TCCCCACCGCCTTTTCGGCACCCCGCCACACACCCGCTACAGGATTCAGCCTGGTTAAGAACCGCGCCGTACCCAACGGAACTCCGTCATACTTCCCCTCCGGGCCAGACAACTACCCCAGCGATCCCGTCGGCAAGATGCACCGCGAGGAGGCTATCAGTTGCATCAACCAGCACGTCCTGCCGTCCCTAAATCTCAGCGGCTACAAGACCGGCCCCGGCGGCGGCCCAAGCTCCACCACCGGCCGTAACGTCAATCTCCAGCAGCTGGCGCCGTGGATCTGCCCATCAGTCGAGAACGCCGAGGAGCGCGGGAAGATGTTTGGAGGCCGCGCAGGCGACGAGTTCGTCGGCGGTGGTGCCGGCGGTGTCGATTACGCCTGCCACGACCACGTCCTCGGCGTCAATGCTAACGGCGGCCCGGCTATCGGCAGCGCCCCGTTGATGAGCGTCGAAGATGCGGAGGCGGCGCTCGTCCTCGCCAAGAAACAGCACGAGGTCCTCGATAAGAAATTCAGACAGCTCCAGGCCAGGAACAGGCGCCTCGTAGGCCTGCATTGACTGCCTGGCTCCGCGCGGGATCCGTTCGCGGGATACGCGGCCGTGATGGCAGTGTGGGTTGCGAGAGTTGTGGCGGCTGCGTTTGCGGGCGTTTTACGCTCTGTTATTAGCGCGGTTGTGAGTGCGGCTTTGGGGGGTGTGGAGGAGATGTGGGTGTTTACGCAGTATTGATTTTGACACGACATGTCGGTTTGAGAGAGCGGTAGTTGACTGGCTTGACTACGTTATAGTAGCTGGCATTCACTCGCTCCACACGAGAAGAGAGTAGGATGGATGGATGGATGGATTGCTCCGTAGCGAGTGTCAAGTCGGAGTCACTCAGCGTAGAAAGCCACCGGTGTGTGGTCTTCCTATCACGATATGATATTTGTACGGCGTTAGGAGACAGGCATACATGGCATGAGAGACGGTGCGCAAGCATGTTTGTATTGTAATGTATTTAGCGTTTGGCCTACTAGGTCACAGGAGTTCGATAGGTTATGAGGTTCTTAGAGCCGTGTGTATTTTGATCTTTTCGCTTGTGCTTTAGTTGCGTTTAATCTAGTATGTGCGTCGTAGTCCTATATTCGTCTTAATGGTCATGTTAATACGATGTTTATTTTAAGCAGTGGATTGTCCGCCATATACTAGCCAGTCACGCATCACGGAGATGAGAATTATAGATGAAGTATTAAATTCTTATTAAGAGGAACCCTTACTAGATCCTTTCGAGCAGCAATGGTATATATGAGTGGGTTTTGACGTAGTAGACGCTCGGAGTTATAGTTAAGATGCTTTTTATAATTATTCGGTTTGCAATAGGTACACCGTTCGTACTTAGGTACCTGTTATAATAACAGGTAGTCTTTGTTTATTATCCATGGAGCATAAATCTTCAACTCTCTTGAATAGCTGATAATAAGTGCGTTTCTTAGATTAGGTACTTAAATATACCGAGGTTTCACGCTTCGTAACATATATCATAGGCTGTCCTTAAACGCCAACGAACTACACAATATAGTATGTCAGATGACAAGGATTACGATAGGTTTATGGCGTGATAAGGGGTTTAAAATCTAGCTTGAAGCTATCTACCAGCTAGTCATTCACTATGTTATATATAAGGGGACCTTGGTTCCCTCTTAGACTTAGGAGAGGGCAGGCGTTAGTAGGATTCCGAAATATATACCATATGAGCTATTCGCCAGCTAGTCACCTGTCACTCCGTAGTGGTGATATACCAAGGGCAGCCTCTGACATAGTGTATTTATCTTCAAAGAATATGATTAATTGAGGAACCTTACAACTTCCCCATAATAACCTCATTTTACGATATAATTGGATATACTATTGTAGTTTATCGGAACTCAACAACTTTACCCCCCTTAATTATATAGATAATAAATAGTATCACTTATATCTCATTTAAACTTATACCGACAATTATAAAATCTCAGTTGTGGCATTAGACTTACGCTGTGATATAAAGCAAACCAATGTGAGGAACAATAAAGCTTAAAATAGAACATTGAGAGTTATTATAGTAACGTCCGAAAGTAAGAAGTCGTAGCACTTATTATAACAGGTAGTTACTTGTTATTTCAACTTCGAGCTCCAGACATAAAACTTATAGTCATAACGTGTCAGGATTAATGCCCGGTGAGGTTAGTCATACACAGAGTGAATGTCTAGGGTAGGTAGACCAAGTAATAGATATATTTATAAGTCTTGTCCATTCTAATAGGAAGTAGTCAAGGCGATATAAGCACGTTCACGGGGTAGCCGAAAGCTAGCCTCCAAACACGAGTTGGACCATGCGTCGGGAATTCCACGTTGTAGGATTTGTCACCAGGTTCCATTGGCCCGGAATAGCTTCTCGAAAAGGCTACCACCTCGTGGTAGGATTTTATCAAACCCCACATTACAGGATGATGCGGTGACTAGATAGCTCAGCAGACTAACCACTTGAGTAAGTTGAGCTGTTCCCTTGACATAATATGTCGTTGGTCGGCTTAGATTTGTATTAACAACCCGCCCGTTTTGATGTAACTGGAGTATTTGTTCCGCCATATTAAACCAGCCATACTATCACTGACCATACTGCAAATACACGTAGCTTCAGAAGATTTGAAGTTCGGGTCGGTGCTTAAATGACGCTAAAGTGGTTCTTCAACATGAGTTACCTACAGCAATTACCTACCGTGTGTTGCATACCTAATGATATGTTTTCGGGGCTCTTTCTATCTCGACTTATATAATACCTTATAAGACTCCGATTTTGAAGCATCTGTCAGATGGCAAGGATTATGATAGGCATATGATGTGATATGGGGTCTAAGATCTAGCTTGAAGCTATCTACCAGCTAGTCACCTGTCACTCCGTAGTGGTGATATACCAAGGACAGCCTTTAACAGCATCCTAGATCATACACTACATATGAGATGGACCAAAAGCTCAGCATTTGTTATTATAAATTATATATAAAGATACGTCTTTATTTTTATACTTGGCGAGAACCTGTGTCTAAATATGTAAACTTGTAGATTTGTACTATGTACCTAAATAATAAAAGAACAATAAACCGAAGAGACCATTTATGTGACAGAAATGCATATGCAGACGCCACCAAACTATTAGTTTGCATCGGGGTTGTCCAGCTAAGGTTACCTCGGCATCGTTATTAAAAAGCAAAAGCCCATGCAGCGTCGAGGGATCATCGGGATCGACAATGGCACTGTAGAATCGGATTTTTAAAATAGGGAATTTAAATCCGGCAAGACACAATACATGTGTAGTTACATGTGTAGTAGCTTGCAATTTCTAAAATGCGATGAGTAACTGCGAATTCGATTCTTGTTGGTGCTATTATCATGTCTCTAAAACTCCCTTTCTACAAACAATATATTGTCTCTGTTGTCTCGAGAAAATAACAGCAACAATAGTATAATTACCTATGAACTTGATTTATTTTCGCCGGTGCGTCATCAAATATGGCTTGTTGCAGATCATTACATACCTTAGGTACATATACGAAGAGTTGTTATACACTTTCACGCTTACACATTTATACACTTACACAGCAGTCAGCAGTCGCATATGTACGGTTGAATAAGGATACTCGTCACGTGGAGGCCGAGCTTGAGGCTGATTGAAACCGGCCATGTGCCGACGTGTCGGGGGTTAAGACCGGGCATAACGCACGGATCGAGTATATTCATTAATATCATTGGGTGGATTGGGTGGATCTGCATAAAAAGACCCCACATGGCTTATAGCTTAAAATTCCCGATCCAATAACGATGACGATGACAGATTCGTTCAAGATCTCGACAGAAACCACTTCTGCAGCGATCGATGCGTAGATATGTACATCGGGTTACCTGATGTAACACAGCTCAACAGCTCAACAACCAAGCCGGTCTTCATCAAGCGCCTTACCCATTAGTTTAGTTAATTTTTTATTTTTTATTTTTTACCTGCATTGACGCCCAAAGCCGAGGCTTGAAATAACCGTTGCTAGGTACATCACGCATTCGCCCTACTGTAAGAGCCTCCCTTCCCTCAGTCCGGTCGAGGCTTTTATGCGGTTAACCTAACAAACGCCATGCTTGAATAGTCATTATGTGGGCACATTACTCGTTTAAGAGATATGGCGAATCTGTGATGCCGTGCAATGTAGAGCAAATGGTCCCCGAAGCTGTCTGCCACTAAGAATAAGCCATTTCTCCTAATGGCAACGAGCATGTCTAAGAAGCGTGTCTAAGGGAGCTCTACAATACACTACCTAGAGCATGAGACCCAATAACTAAGACAAAAGATGTGAAACCGAACAATTGGATAATTTCGAACCATCGGATTTTAGGATTCTGATCACAGATGCGCAAAAACTGTAATCAGACTCTTTTTTTCCCGAACTAGAATAGATCATGATTGCGTTCCCCCCTTAACCGTGGGATGCTTTAAGCCGTTCCGGGAACGGGGGCTCTGTAGCTCAAAGATGGGGCCTTTATGGATGCTCGATCAGGGCTATGACATGGGATGATGGCGATCATCCAACAGAGGCGCATCCGAACATCATACCGCTCGGAATCCTGCTCGTACTTCTGCCCGTACTCTTAGTAACCTCTATGTATATACCGACGGACCAAAACATACCATTCGCCGGTTCTGCCCGTTTGCAATTCAACGTGCGGTTCTCATCAATACGAAACATCACTCGCGGTCGATTTAGTAAGACATCTTTCATACCTCATACCTTACCTTTTGCGATTCGAAGCCAGATTCGAAGCCATACAGTAGTAGTGTGAGACACGAGTCGAGTTAGACGGTGTACAACCTGCGTCTATCCACTGCCAAGTCCCAAATATCCCGTCGTTTAAATATAGCAAAACATCGTCGCCGCAGCCTTATGAGCTCCAAGGAAAGTAACATCCTTAGCAGTAGCTAAACGTTACTACGCCTAGGATATTCCAAGTTACAGTGGAGATTTATCCTGGGATCCCAAGTTATAAGCTTGCCCACCCGCCGCGCCTCTCTCGTCATAAGGATCCGACATTCTCGGGATACCCTTGGACTTACATAACTATATTCTCACTCATAAATACCATCTCAGGATGACTATCATGAACTCTTGGGAAGAGAGTGCGCTGCAAGTATGTCACTATTTTCACTCTCTGGTTATTTCCACTACAGGCTATTATCTAGCAGTATTTATATTACATACTACCTAGATAGCGTCATATATGGCCAACCGCTGACGTATTTTAAACAATATAGTACCGATACCAGGACGATGGACAATTTACAGGAGTATCGGCTAGCATTGCAATGGATCCAAAGGATACTGTGCACGATAGTATAATCTACCCCGGGCTCTATGCTCCGAGTGGCTTTGATATGATGAGTATACTCGTAAGCGTACAACAAACATCCCCCACAAATATCAAGCTCTCTAACATGACCAAGATACGAGTCATGACAAGACCAAACCCTGTCATCGAACTCGGCCCCATCGATGCCTCCTGTGCTCTTATCCTGTGCGATCTCCAGCAACAAGACTACCCCATAGTCTACGCCTCAGGCCCCTTCACCGAGTTAACCGGCTACTCGCACTCCGAGGTGATCGGACTAAACTGTCGGTTCCTCCAAGCGCCAGGCGGGAGAGTCCGGAAACAATCAACTCGCAAGTACGTGAACAAGGACGTCCTCAAGAGGATGCGGCGGTCCGTGGAAGCGAATGACGAACTGGCCGTCGAAGTCGTCAACTTCAAGAAGAACGGGGATAGATTCGTCAACGTGTTGACCATGATCCCGGTGCACTGGGACAGTCAGATGCCGCGGTACTCGGTGGGCTTCTTGGCTGAGAAGACTTGGTGAAGGCAGTGATCATCATCGGAAACTACCTACCAACCTGATCTTTTAACAACAAGTATCCAAGGGGGGAGGGAAACAAAACACGAAGGAGAAGGGCGTCAGGGAGCGAAATTATCTTTTTTCGAATTTGAAGCATGATACCCCCGTCGTTAATCCACGCTACCAGGCGCCAGCATCACACGTCTTTTCGTCGTCGCCAGGCATATTATTTCTGCTTTTAGGCATCTAATCTGCATCTGATACCCCATTTTCTATATCACGGACTGGCCATGCTGTCGATGGGAATCATGGAAGCGCATTTGAAGATTATTTTGTTTATTTTTTGGAGGGGCGAAGTCGGAAGACGAGGTTATGAGCGAGCTGATGGTGTTTGTTATTGGGGGAGTGAGTGAGGTTATTCGCATAGTTAAACTACCTATGGTTTATATACGTCTACCTATATTATACGCACGATAGCTGCTTGGTCTAGGTGATAGTATTATGGAATAGTTAGTGCAATAGCCCGTCTACTACTCCTTAGATGCTTAAATGATGTTATTACCTACGTATATCTCTCATGGGAATTGAAAGGCTCAACAGTGTATACACATCAGTCAAGCATCTTCCTATTGCTACTAGATAAATTCCAACCTATTCTCTGAAACATACCGTACGATAATCAGTCTAATAGGTGTAGTATAGATAACTCCAACACCACACACCACCATAAAGCGAAAGGCCCCTTTGACTAACCTAGGAAATTCTAGACCTACCTAGCAAACAAAGCACAGCAAGTTAGCCGGCTAACACTCCCTCGTAGCACATCGTGTCCTCGCTCAAACTGGGGCTCTTACGAGTTATTAGTAGCCAGACCGATGGTATCTTAGCCAACACACCCACCTTTCGTCTAGCTATGTTTTGCATGCATACTCCTCCCTTCCCCCCTATACACCTGCAGCGACAAGCAACAAAGCGTTAGTTACCCGAAAACACAGCATAGGTAGTATGTCTAGCTTTTCATACTACGCTACGTAGCAAGCAAGTAAGCAGCAATAGGAGAGGATATCAACCCGCTTACCGGAAGCACTAGATAGCAAAAGCCGAGTCATCGAATACGAACGACCATGTACATGCCTAATGCGGGTAAGGTGACATCCTACCCACTCCCACTCCCACTCGCCCGTTACATATCTCTCTCCTCGATCGCCCTACCGTAGGCAGGTCGTCCCCATCGGAGCGTGACTTGCATGGCTTTCTTTTTTTTCCCTTTTCGGGGATTCGGGTTAGGATTTGCTCTTTACACTGCGACCCATCCCATCCCCTCCCCTCCCCTCCTCCGTACCGAGACTACGGAACCGGCGGGGATAAATAGGGGTTCTTGTTTGTTGATGTGTATATGTGCGTGTGTGTGTGTGCGTGCTTATTCCTACCGGTTATGGCGGTGGCGAGACGGGCTTGTTGGAGAGGGGATGGATGTTGGCTTGTTCCGTTCGGGGTTCTTTGTCTTGAGCATACATACATACCAGGTACGTAATGGGGAGAGATAGGGGTTGTATTACGTAGTATGTCACCTTGTTTAGCTGCATAAAGTGAAGTAGATTATTGGCTCGGCACCCGATGTAGCTAGTTTTCTCGTTTTGATTATCAGGCCTACGTCAAGGGCTTGAGTTTGTATGCCGTCTAGGTAATATTGTGTAGATATCTAGGGCCATTGTATTCACGTATCAACCCTACTGCTACCTGTGTATGGGTGTCCACGCCTGGGATGGGTTGTAGGTATTACGTCGAATAGGCGTCAGAGGGTATGATATAGCGGTATTGTTTTGTAATGGATTGGCGACGCAATAGGATGCTCGACTGCGGAATGTACAAACCGGCTAAGATGTTGGTGTCCGTCGTGATCTTGATGCTTGGGCTCTCTTCGTGGCAACAACTAATAACTACGTGCAAATCAGATCACAACCCGATTGAGCATACACATCCTGTTATTATATCGTTTAATGAGTCAACAATTATAGACAGACTTCGTCACTCTGCCCCCTCCAAGGATATATCTCTTCTCATCTTAGAGAATCGTCAACACCTCCATTAGCCTAATATCCCTACAACATTGGTATCTTTTATTCCTGAGAAACAACATCTAATAAACAGGACCCCCTCGGACAGCACACCCAGGCTGAACGTCTGTCCTGCTTTAAGCCGTGCAAGGTCGACGATTTTAATTACCATGCCTCGATCTTCTCCAGCTGCCTATGCCCGCCATGCCCGCCATGCCCTTCGCCATGCCCTTCCTTGCCTTACATATAAGACGCGGCGTACCCCGCCAAGATCCAGAGCCCTCGACTTTACACGAGGGAGCTAAACGACTATCGCAAAGCTTTCATCTGTACCCGAGCCTTATATCATTACCACCTCAAACTCTGAAGACCGCCCCTCGGACGAGTTTTAATAATCACGTAGCCCCCTCCAGCCCATACGCATCTCCTTGCCACGGAGTGCGTTGGATCTTTATGGCCAATTCGTAACACGAAGATCCGTAGTCCCTAATTCCAAGGGCCCGGACCTAAATTTCGTAGAATAACTGTTCATTAAAACCGCACCTCCTTATCTCGTCTCGACTCCTAATCCCTCCTCAAGAGTCCCCAACGAGCCTAGCTTATCATCCAGCCAGCGCGCCAGCTCCTCCGCCTGCCGCCGCGTCGCAACCACAGCAGTAGCCGCAACGCTAGTCGTAGTCGCAACGCTAGCCGTCGTCGCAGCTCCGGCACTAACCACGCTTTCAACCTCCGACGGCGATCCAAGCGGCGTCGCAGGATGGGGCTCGTTTGAATTCGCCTGCTGCTGCTGCTGCTGCTGTTGCTGTTGTGCGGAGGGCACCGTTCGCGCCGGGGTATGCGTGACGTAATCGCCTCCTCCCGCCCCCTCGACACCCGCACCCGCACTCGGACCAATACACACGAACAGCAGGCCGCAGCGCAGCCGTCGGATAACCATGACGCCGGCCACGAGCTGTATCGTCACGGCGCTGGGCGTCAGCGAAGAAGGAGAAGAAGGGCATGATGTGGACTGAGAAGACTGGGATTGGGGCAGGGCCTCGGCAACGGTCTCGGGCGTCGAGTATAGCGCCCATACGGAGGCGGCGACGGTGCATTGCGTGCGCAGGGTGCCGACGGGGTGGGGCGACGCGTGCGCGAGGAGCTTGCCGGAGAGAGTCGTTAGCACCGCGGTGTGGACCTGGGGGCCGAGGTTGGCGCTGAGGAAGGCGGTTAGGCGCTTTGTGAGGAGGAGGGAGGGCGTGGGGGAGGAGGGCTGTTGGTTGGGCATCGTGGGTGGTGGTGTTGTTGCTGTTGTTGTTGTTGTACGTTGTGCGATCTCACGTTCGGACTTTTGGGGGGGGACGCGAGGGGGGATTGGATATGTTATAACGAAAGTGGGAAGTTAGGAGGTAAGTTGTATGTAATTATAGCCGTGGAAAGACGACGGCGCGCCGGCGCTATCTACGCTGAGTTTCTCATTGACTGGAGCGAGATTGATGTTATTTTTTTTTCGCTGTTTGTTTCTTCGTTTCGGATGCTCGAGTTGGAATGCAGTGCTGTTTGTTCACTTGACCATGATCGTCACGATGGTGGGAAAAGGTTGGTTGGGTAAGGGTGCGAAGCTGTAAGTTTGGGTGACGTCGAGGGAGGCTTGGTTGGTTGGTAAGGCGTCAGGGGCTTATGACTTGCTTGAATGGTCCGAGCGCTCAGCGCTGTAACTTATGTAGGCAGGTAGGTTAGGAGGCTAAGGTATTGCGAACCTCGGCCGTTTCTAGCGTGATAAGATAAGGTTGCATCCCCCACATAGCATCTCTCCGTCCCGCTAACAACCATAGGTCTCGTGCTTGGACGAATAATAATCTACTGAAAGCCGATTAACTAACATAAATCAAAGTAACTCTATGTTATAGTAAGTTGGTGAAGTATAAATAAAGAGGAACTCTGTGAGAAAAGATTATTTATGTCAGTATCTATAGACCAATTCACGTGATTGGTATATAACTCTCGAGTTTGGGAAGATGTATAATCGAATGTGTGCGCAAGGAACATGTATTTATACTCATGTTTTAGGTACCTGTTTAACTACCATTTTTATTTTTATGCTTTGAGAATGATTCACAATGATAACTAGAAGGAGAGTTAGCAGTCTTGAATTAAGCCTAGTTAAAGAAAGTCTCGTCTATGTAATTGATTCTTGACCTACAGTACTGATGACGTCTATTCCTCGTAATTCCTGGCTGGCAGGGCTTCACAAGCATAACTAGATGCAGCTGTTCCGGCGAGCTGCATTACATATCGTCTTACATATCGTCTTACATATCGTCCAACAGTTGGGCCTGCGGTCTAAATCCAAATCCACTCAACCATGGAAAAAAACAGCGAATAATACATCACCGTCTCCCATATATATTTTCCATGTTCCCCGTTGTTGTTGTAAACAATTCAACCTCAAGTCACGATAAGTCTATAAGGTACCTAAGATTTCTAGATCTTCGACTATAACGAAACTTCGCAGCATAAGCGAAGTTAAGCTTAAAAGTCTCATGGAGGGCGCTACTACCACCACATCGCCCCCTCCTCAGGTTCGAAAGCATGTCGATGGTGATACTAAGGACCGCCCGACATTGGCAAATGGAGGACCTACAAAACCGGCCTTGAAGAACACTCCGTCTACCCTGCAACAGCACATCGCCTTCTTCGACCGCGACAACGACGGCATCATCTGGCCCATGGACGTATACAACGGGTTCCGCGAGCTAGGCTTCTGCATCCTCTTCTCCCTCGGCTCCCTGCTCATCCCCATATTCTTCTCCTATCCCACACGGCTAGGCCACTCGTGGATCCCCGACCCGTTTCTGCGCATCTACGTCGCCGACATCCACAAGGCGAAGCACGGCTCCGACTCGGGCGTCTACGACTCCGACGGGCACTTCAGCCCGGACCGGTTCGACCGCATGTTCGCGCGCTTCGACACGTCCGGCACGGGCGGGCTTAGCGTGGACGACCTGAGGTTGTTGCTGAGCAAGGACCGGTGCGCGGCCGATCCGGCGGGCTGGAGCTTTGCGTTCATGGAGGTCTGGACGACGTGGCTTTTGCTGCAGAAGGATGGGAGGGTTTGGAAGGACGATCTGAGAGCGTGTTATGAGGGCACGTTGTTCTGGAAGATAAGCGAGGAAAGGACCAGAGGGGATGGCTGGCAGAAAGGCTACGGGATTCACGACTTTGTACAGAGCTTGTGGCTTCATGGGACTTGGAAGAGTTGGGAAACGCAAACTAAGGAAGTAAGTTAAATTGACTTAGTTATAGGTTGAATACGTGAGGTCTTCGGTCGCATCTAACGGCCGTTACTAGGCTAAGTAAGTCATCAAAACAGAACATTGCCTTGTTTAAAATATAGGATGTTGTATTCCTATCAGTGAGTTAAATTATAATGTGCCCCTTTTGCGAAAATTGGCTAAGTCCATCATCCGACCAGCGCCTCTCATAGTGATCTACCAACCCTTCAAGCTTCAGTGATGTCAAAAGCTATACCATACATAAGTCTACGGATCGAAGTCCCAATTGTCAACGGGCGGAATTTTGTGAAGAGGATATGGTCTCTCGTCGTCGCCAATCGCCATGTCCTGGTAGGTAAAGCCTGATTCTTCGAAATCATCAAATTCGGCATCATCATGCTCGTCGAAACGCCAGGGCCCCCTCTCCGTTTGCAGTTTATCCACAATCCGGTTCATTTCCACGGTTGCATTCCATATCTCCGTCTTCGCTTTTGAGTCTTCCAAAGCTTGCTGGGCCCGTTGAGACTCGATGGCGATTATCCCTCGGCCTTCTTCGGTGGAAACTCTCCACCGCCTGTACCTCTCGAAGGCTTCTACGCATAGGTGGGAGGTTAGGGTATCTCGGTTTGGGAAGAGGTATTTGCCATCTGCTGACTTTTCGTCTGGGTTGAGCGTCATCATCTTGATTATCAGGTTCTTTAACCCAACCGAGTAATCCGCGTATTCGAGATTATACCTTACTCCATGCTTGGTTACATTTTCGATGTGATCATGGACGTTTGTTTTTGTTCCTGATGGAGGTATCATCATCGCCTGCATGATCTCGCCAAATGCCCTCCACTCGCTAATTACAGTGTAAGGCTGGTCCGTCTAGTAATGCGGTTAGTAAACATTTCTAAAGAAGGCATATGAATCTCGTGGGCTTGCCTGTTCCTTATAAGTATAGCCATATCGATCATCTTGCCGGATGAGCTCGTCCAATAATGTGTTGACGTCACCCTTTCGCGGAACCAAGGCCTTGCCCCTGACCCGCTCGACTCTGGACTTGCCGTCCCCGTTATGATGATTCGATAAGTATATACTGCCATAGTTGCCAAGCTTACACTGCCCGTACGTCTCTCTGCGTCTAGGCTGTTGGAATTGTATGTTGGCGGGAGTGATATCCCGATGTAGAGCGGGATTCCAGTCCGGAGTGGGATCCATCCCGAATTTATTGGGGCCTATACGGACGAGTTCTGGACTACCGTCATGTAACCACGCCAAGGCCTTCAAGACCGAAGTGAGCACATGCCAACATAGGGATTCTGGTAAGAACTTCTTTGGCTTATCCGTTTCATCGACATCGGCATCGGCATCGGTTTCGGTGCCGGTCATTTTGGTATCAGAGTCGGATGTTTCTTCTTCGGTATCAGAGTCAGATGTTTCTTTTTCTTCTTCGGTGTCGGGGGACGATGTTTCGTCCTCGGTCTCCGGGGGCGGTGTGCTGTCCTTGGTCTCCGGTTCTGGTCTATACTTTTCATATTCTTCGACCAAAAGGTTTTCCAAGGTTCCGGCGTCGCAATTATCCCAGACGATAAACGTTCGTTTTTGGTACTCTCTCGATCTGGGCTTTCGCATTCCAATAGAGAACCAGTCCCGTAGGCATATTAGGTTCTCGTGGTTTATGATAGCCTTGACATTTTCGAGTAAATCGGCCCCATCCGGGCTCAATAGGTAACCTAAACCTCTCTTAGCAGGACTTTCCGAATCCGAATCCGAGTCTGAGTCTGAATCCGAGCCCGAGCCCGTAGCCAACATATCGGTGATATCATGAGCCAAAAATGTCGTCCTGTCAAGTTTCTGGCAGATCGTCCAGACACCAGGAGCGAGCTCGGCGTGGAAGTCATAATCTAAAGCCCTCTGATAATCATCGTATGGGCTTGTGAACTCCATGGTGATGGTGGCTATTAGCGAATCGTTATTCAAACTAAGAGAAAGAAAACCTGATGTAAAGAGGGTGATAATCATGGGTTGGACTACGAAGGCCTTAACTTGGATGTAGAGGTATGCTGAGGCCGATTCTTTTGGAATGCTGGTACCTTCTAATGCCTTTGTTCTTCATGTCCGTACAAGGAAAAGACTACATTCCAAAGACAGATTCGTCCAGAGACCTTCGGTTCTCCCACAGATAGTCGATCTAATCGCGTCCATTGCTCATTCCGTAGGCCTAATTTCGCATTGCGATCTTTCAACAAACCAATGCATGCGTGGCGTATATTGGGTATTCAACTCATAGCTCATAAAGAGTTGATGCATTATTATAGCCGTGATAGAGGCTATAGTAACAAGGCCTTGTCCTACTTATAAGTAGGTATGTATGTTTATAGACCTTCATTAAATTTGGTTGCTTTTCTTCCTTCAGCTCGGAATAACAATATGATTGATTTTACCTAGGTAGATACTAATTGCTATGGACTTATTATCAGTTAGTAACTGGACCATTACTCACTGGAATAGTGGTAGGGCATATTGAATGCCTCTATTATGTTACTCAACCCTTCCTTATATAGAGTGTGACCTATATCGATAGATAGTAGGTAGGAAGCCGTATTCAATACTATGATGCATGTTCATGATTGTAATCCGACATATCCGCAGACAGATTCGCAGAGGATGCGAATGAGAAGATAAAAATAACCCCACTCCTTGACGAAAACGATCGCCAAGAAGGGTCCTGCCGGCAGCCGCCCTATTTGGAGATCTGATCTAAGGATTTGTTGATACTGTGACCTGTCATGTAGCTGAGACGGTGGTCTACCATAGAGGAGTCCACCGTAGAAGCGCGTATTTATCGGGCTCTCAGGTAATTAAATTGGAACTGTCTGTTCCGTTGGCTGTGAGAATTTGAACCGATCCGACCCCAGATTATCACGTAGCGTAAAACATAAATCAATTCACGCATATTGCAATTTCGTAGGTTAGTAACGGTCGGTAAAGGATTTTAGCCGCCTATAGAAAATGTACATAAACAATCAGAGCAGTCCAAAGAAATGTACGGCGTTTCAATGTTTCATGTTTCCTTTAAATTGGGCAATTATTAATTGGCGGTTGGTAGGTATTATGCAATCTTTATCAGGGTTACAGTTCCGTCTGCCGTACGTATTGTAGGTACATTTATTTCCTGCAGAGTGTAGCGCGTGGAGACTCTCCACCGTAACCCCCGGTCTATGGTAGACAAGCACTTTTCAAACAGTCAAACTGACGAAAGCAAGCTAAGGAGCCACAGGGGTCTAGCGCTAATCTGAATTTAGTGTCCGTACCTTGCATGACTGGGGTAAGAGGTCCAATTAGAAGTCGAGCTAATAAATCTGTACGCAGGTACATCCGTTGTGCTCGATTCTGGGTTGCCTGTTTGTGCAATCTTCGCCGAATCTCAAACCGCCAAAACGGACGACCCGATTTCACTCCCCCCCTCTCTTCTAATCCAGGAACAGGAACCAACCAAGACCAAACACCCCCCCCTTCGAGGCCTTGTCCTCCTCCCCTTTTTCGCAATCCTTTGCTCGGTCGCAAATGTCAATTGACCACTTTGTCCCTCAAACTTACCTAACAAAAAAAAAAGGTCTTCGAAGAACAATAACACAAACTACATTCGTTCAATAGGCGGCTATCAGGTGTTGTGGTTCTCATTATCCACCACTTCCCACTCTCTTTTATCACCGAGATACCCACTTAGTCCACGTTTCACTCACCCAATTCCGTCTTTGATACTCCATCCGAGCACTCCCTCCCCATTGTGCCCTGTGCCCTGGGAGTCGATCAAACAAAGCACAGCGACACCAGCCAACGTTGGACCTGTGCTCCTTAGTCGTCCACGCCTTGATTAAGTTGTCATTCGACTCTAACCTTTTGGTACTGGAGATTCAACCAAACCGAGACATTACTCGGACCATTCTTTGGACCACTTCCACTTCCAAACCAAAAGCGAACCGTCAAAACTACAGTGCTGGAAACTCTTGCTGGGGCGATTGAAATTCCGCAGTCCAAGAATACCTAATCTTCGACTGCAATGAGACCGCGATAGCGGCCTCCCGCATTTTCGGATACCCACTAGTAGCATGTCTGGCATATCTCCCCGCTAGTGCGCTGAGACCTATCATTACGGGACGGCTATCATTTCCAACGCTTCCTTCTCTTAGGACGACGTTCGTCTCTCTCTTACGAAACAACCCTTTCGGGATTTCATTCTCTTCTCAAGTCTTTTCTTGACGCTCTACGAGCTCAAGCTCTTCTTCTTCTGATTCGAGAGCGTGGTCGATTACTTCGCGGGCGAGGACCGACGACTGTGCAACACGGCGGGTCCGATTGAACAATTGACAATTGACAATTGATTGACGACGGAGCAGTATTGGTTTCGAGGGTGTCACGACTTCAATTACATTCAATTACATTCACTTACCTTCTTTTCTTCGAAGCCAATCCCTTGATTGGCAACATTTTGATACCCCATCCCCTTCCTTTTGTTAGTTTCCCACACTCGGTTGGGCAGGTTCTTGTCACAGCGACTTCACACACAGCAAGATGGGCTGCATTGGAGGTCGAAAACAGGCGGAAATCCGTCCTGAACAGAAGTGGGATGCTATTGTAGGTTCCTTCTAGGTGCACCTTCACCCGTCCAAGTTTATGCTAACCACTTTACTCTATAGAGTCTAAAAGACTTCAAGTCAACATCATGTTTCACTCCCTTCGCCTACGCTTACCTTTACTTTTCTCTTATTATATCCGTTGCCGTTTATGGTGTTGATACATTTACCGCCATCAATTTGTTAGCTTTCAATACCTGGTCGTCCAGTATTGCACCTACTCAGCTCATCTCGAGAGACGTATCGAAATGGATCTTTTCGATTTGCATCATCGCCTCTTTCGTCAATTTGGCATTCGAGCATATCCGTGCCATGAGGGTCATGAAGCGAGGAAGTGTAGCCGAATGCTATCTTGACAATCTCGCCGTGCGCTTAGAAAGTGCACGGCTCGGGAAGGGTCAGGGATGGAGGCGCTTTCTTGTCTTCGCCGAATTGACTAAGTCTAAGAAGGGTGCTGAATATGTCGCGCTCTTTACGTACTTCAGCTTCCAATGTAAGTATCAGTCTTCAAGCGCTGCCAGGAGGAAGCTGCTGACCTAGCCCTTAGCCTGGATTCGAGTTATATTCTGCTCCGGACCGCGACAAGTTGTCAATGCTCTGACCTTGTTATCTGTTTATAATTCGAATCTCATTCCGACCGATGTTTCTTCCGTGCAGAGCACGCTCGGGACATTCTTTGACAAGCTCGAACATCTCGCCGACGAAAACAAGCAGCAGGTGGTGATCCTATCGGGCATGGTGTTCACGTTAGTCATCTGGGCTTTTTCTGTACTTTTCCTACTCATCGCGGCTCTATTTTACGTCTTCTTCCTCTGGCATTATATCCCCCGACAGGACGGTGGGCTCCACGGTTACTGTGAGCGGAAGGTCAACAAACGATTGACGAAAATCGTGACGGTCAAAGTCAATAAGGCTATCGCTAAGGAAGAGCGAGACCGGATGAGGGCCGAGCTTAGGGCGGCGAAGAAGGCTGGTGAAAAGCCGCCCCTTGGACGACAAGCGACCTTACCGACCATACCGACTCTCATGGACGACGGTACAGAAGACAAACTCCCGGAGATGCCTATGCTCAATCGTAACGATACCATGGCTACCCTACCAGCATATACCTCGCGACCTGGTTCGCAGCATAGCATCGAGCTCAATTCTTGGGATCAGAAGCGACCAGCACCATCAAGACAGGGAACAATGAATACGAATGCCTCAGCATCCAGCTTTTCTTCGCGAACTCCATTGGTGGGCAATGCAGCCGGGATGGGCTTTGATCGATCGGCGTCTCCCGCGCCGACTCTACCGCAAATTGACATGGCCAACTTCCAGCCGCCTGCGCGTCCGGCAACTGCAGCCTCGAATAGGAGTTTTGGGCCCGGTCCCCAACCCGTCCGGGTGCAGACTAACGGGAGTGGATTTGGTGCCGGGTATGCTGCGAGCCCGTCTACGTATTCGCCGGATACCTCGTCTCCAATGGACGGCTATCGCCGACCCGCCCCCGTGCCCCGTCCGTTCAACCAAATGGGTGGACGCTCTAGCCCAGCTCCATCTGTTTATTCGAACCGCGGGCCGCCTTCGAATGGGCCACCATCCTATGGTGGCCAACCTTACCCACCCCCTCGTAGTATCACGAATCCTCCTATGCTCTCTGGACAGAGAATGCCACCACAGCGGAATATGACAGCACCGATGCCGCCCCGGCAGCAGGATGGATACTACGGGCAGCGCCCTGGAATGGCTCCGAGTCACCAGAGGGATACGAGCCAGGGATATAACTATGGCAGTGATATGGAATCGCAGCGTGATTTTCCAAGATACTAGTAGTATTCACTGTTAAATGACGGTTACGCAGGAAGAGTGGGATAGACGCGGATACCCAGATACCCTAATATCATACCAATTACGTAAATAACGTTGATGGTATATCCCTGATCATGGTTTGGAGCTGGTGCGAATAGGCAGAAGGCCGTTGTGTTTAGGAAGCGTCCGGAGAAAGTGGCGTTCAGAGGTAAATCCGATGATTTTCAAATAATGAGACTTCGATGTATTATACATAACCGTATTTGCTGTCATTCTGTCGAGTAGCTACCTTTACGGCTACTAGTTTAACCTATACCACGGATATTCCTCGGTCTTTGTGTGCGCGCGTGTATTAATTGCTTCTTTGCTGGTGATTAGGCTCGATGTTTCTAGTTAGGTTAGTTCTTTTGCGCCGTCGCTTTCTCCAAAGTCGGGGTTTGAATACTGATGCCAATGCTATGTAATTCCCCGGCGCGCCCTTTTGATCACTTAGGTACCGGTACATAATAATCTACGCCTTATTATAGGCTGCTTCTCCGACGGGATTTATACGCTTGCTGTGATGGCGTCACATAATCCTTGTTTCTAGGGATTACGGAGGTAGAAGCTAAGGCGAATGGTATTTTTGTCGTGGTCGTCTGGTTATTAGTCAGGTCCAGGTATGAGAGCCAGTAATTCTTCCTGGACTATTACGAACGCACTTCTTTATTAAGTCAGGGTCGCCCCCTATTGAGTTGGAGGGTTTCTTACTCGATCGTCTTCCTATTCTTGCGCTTGACGACTCACTATACTTCTATATATATATGAAGATATACCTGTATTGTATCTACGCAGACTATCAGGTTAAGTTAGGTTGAGTTAGACCACGCCCATGGCTCAACTTATAGCTCTCGACTCGAGTTTCCACCCCGGCGAACAGGCGGTTCATAAGCTATTGCGCGTGCAGCACCGCGAGAACCCGACGCATCATAGCCTGCCACCGCAGCTCGGATACCGCGTTGCGATTTCGCCGCTCGTGGCGGTCGGGACGCTAGATCGGCAGGGCAGGCCGTGGGCTAGCGTGTGGGGAGGCGAGAAGGGGTTCGCCCAGCCGGTGGCCAAGAGTGTGTTGGGGGTTAGGGCGACAGTGGGGGAGGAATGGGATCCGGTTGTTAGGGAGTTACTTGCCGTTGAGGGTGGTAAGGGGGAAAGAGAGGAGGGGAGGAATGGAGATGGGAGACAGATCGTCAACGATGCAGTCGTCAAGCCGGAAGGAGGTAAGCTGATGGCGGGTCTGTCGATCGACCCCGAGACAAGAGACAGAGTTAAACTTGCCGGCGTAATGGCCGTTGGCACTGCGACGAAGACAACGCCCGGCGTTGCGGACTTGCAACTTGCGTTCCGCGTCGACGAGGCTTTGGGGAACTGCCCGAAATACATCAATAAGAAACGCATCTTACCCCGCGTACCCTCACCACAGCTTGTGAGCGAGGGAACCGGCGTCCCATTGCCCCAGGCGGCGATCAAGTTACTAGCCCAAGCAGACCTATTTTTCATCGCGAGCAAACATGGCACTAAGAGCATGGACGTGAATATCCGTGGCGGCCCGCCGGGATTCATACGTGTGCTAAGGAATAGAGATGAGAGCGCGGGTGGTGCTGCATTGGTCTACCCTGAATACTCGGGTAATCGATTGTACCAGACGCTGGGGAATATTCATAATGACCCAGCTGTCGGCATCGTCGTCCCGGACTTCGAAACAGGCGACGTGTTATACCTAACGGGAAACGCGGCGATCCTGGTTGGCGAAGTAGCGGCTGTGGTGATGCCGCATGCGAAGTTAGCTATACGTGTTGAGGTTGTAGAAGCTCGGTTTGTGCGAGAGGGTCTCTCGTTCAGGGGCGAGGTTATCGACTACTCGCCGTATAATCCGGCCGTCCGGCGATTGGCATGCGAGAAGGGATCTAATGATCCTACGGCGGATTCAAGCAGTGACACTACTACAACTACAGCGAGGCTGGTCACTCGGGAGAGGCTTACACCGACGATATCAAGATACGTTTTTAAGCTTACTACTACCTCAGGGGCAAAGGATAATACGAGAAAGCGGTTGAAAGCATGGCATCCCGGACAGCACGTCACGTTGGACTTCAGCGGGGAGCTAGATATGGGATACTCGCACATGCGGGACGAGGACCCGCAAAGTCTGAACGACGACTTCGTGCGCACGTTCACGGTTAGTAGGCCCGTAGACGCTGGGATCGTGGACGAAGAGGGGTATATAAAGGAGGATAATACGGAACCGGAGCTTGAGATCACGGTTAGGAGACACGGTCCGGCGACGGCGTTGCTGGAGCGCTGGAACGTAAGGGTCCCGCTTGAGATCCCGGTGCTGGGATTCGGCGGCGCGGAAGGATTTAGATTACCGACGGGGAACGGTGAAGGGGGTGGTGGAAATACTACAAGCGTGTTCGTTGCTGCGGGCGTGGGAATCACGCCGTTGATGGCGCAGGGTGCTAGTGTCCTGAAAGCTACGGGAGCAGTCGGAAACGAACTCAAGCTGCTCTGGAGCATGAAAGGCGAAGACGTGCCTCTAGCAGCAGCCGTGCTGGAGAAGATAAGCGGCCTCGGACGCGCGGCTAAGCTCTTCGTCACGGGGAAGATAGGCGAGAGGGAGCGGGCTGTTATATCTACGATAATACGGGGGCTTGGCGCGGAAGTGGTTGAACGGAGGGTGGGAGCTGGTGACGTGTTGGCGGAGGGCGAGAAAGGAAAGAGGAAGTATTATTTATGCGCGGGCCCGGAGATGACTAGGGAGTTATTGAAGTGGACGGAGGGCGAGGAGGTGGTTTATGAAAGCTTTGAGTATTAAGGGGAAGTTTGTGGGTTGGTATAAGGGTTGATGGGATATATGACTGAAATATATACAACGAAGGCTTGGTAGTATTAACCCCTCGGCTCTAGTTATTAGTTAATGACCACGATATATATGCTATGGTTTGAAGTAGGGACGAGTGAGTAAAATGTTGAGAGAACTTATAATAATCTTACTTTCTAATTGGTCGGTTCCCCTGAATTACCCTCGGCTCGAGCCACTTATGCATGTACACTAGGTATATCTTTGCATAATGCGGTATTTGGCTACCGTTTTAAGCCATGCCAAGACATCCGATGCAGGACCGCCTGGGGTAACACGGGGCTAGCATTTGATGACGCAGACAAGTGCAGGCCAACTCATGTGATACGTAGATGCACCTACTATCTTAGGAGCTTGTTAGTTTGAGGTAGCTTCCATCTTCTCCATCATCATCAACTTTCTCGTATCAATCCGTTCATCAAATTTTCTACCATTTTAAGATACCCTACATCCATGGTGCCATTAATCTGCCGCGCGGAATAGTAGAGCACCACCATGGCTCGAATATCTAACCTTGTCGCAGGCGCTCTGCTGCTAGTCAGCACCGCCGCGGCAGATGAGCTCTATACGCCTAGACATGAAGCCGGACGTTGCGCCATACGAGGCCACTGCGGAAAGAAGAGCTTCTTCGGAAAACAGGTGCCCTGCGTTGATAACGGACTAGCTACGACTCCCGATCCCGAGTTCTCTAAAGAAATTGAATCCCTATGCGGTCCTAAATGGAAAGACAGCAAGGTTTGCTGCAATGCTGACCAGGTGCGTTTGCATGCCTATCCCATTATCGCTACTTACTAACAGCCATGTAGCTCCAAGCGCTCAAGTCCGAAATGTCCACTCCCAACCAGATTATCGGCTCCTGTCCTGCGTGCAAGGACAACTTCTACAACTTGTTCTGCACATTCACCTGTTCCCCTGACCAGTCCTTATTCATCAACGTAACCAAGACGCTCGAGAAGAACGGAAAAACTTTAGCCGCCGAGGTGGACCAGCTGGTGTCTGAAGAGTACGGTCAAGGTTTCTATGATAGCTGTAAGGAGGTCAAGTTTGGCGCTTCGAATTCCAAAGCTATAGACTTTATCGGCGGCGGTGCAAAGAACTACACCCAGTTGCTGAAGTTTCTGGGCGATGAGAAGGCTATTGGGTCGCCTTTCCAGATCAACTTCCCCACCGAGTATTCCGAGCCGAGCATGGCACCGAGGGAGATGAAACCGAAGAAGTGCAACGATGAAGATCCGAATTTCCGATGTTCGTGTGTCGATTGCCCCGCCGTATGTCCGGAACTTCCGGACGTAGAGCAATCGGGATCTTGTCGAGTCGGTGTCCTCCCCTGCTTGTCGTTCGCCTCGATATTCACTTATGGCGTGCTACTGTTTACACTCATCGCCGCACTAGTCGGTCACGTTGCTTGGATGAAGCATAAGCAGCGGCGAAGCGAACGTCTTCATTTACTTCAAGCCGCTGAATCCAGTGACGATGAAGATGAGGGCGATCTTGTTCGTAACCGGGGCATGTTGGATCAGCCCCAAAAACCCTACGTCATCAACACTTGGTGTGATACCGCCTTTAGCAAACTAGGCCATATTTGCGCAAGGTTCCCAGGCATCACAATATTTAGCAGTCTACTAGTGGTCATCGTCCTCAGTCTTGGCTGGATCAAATTCGCAGTAGAAAGGGATCCAGCAAGGTTATGGGTCAGCCCAGACTCGGCGGCAGCTCAGGAGAAGACATTTTTCGACGAGAACTTTGGGGCATTTTATCGCGCACAGAAGGTTTTTGTAGTGAATGACACTCACGAATCCGGCCCTGGACCAGTACTCAGCTACGAGACATTATCATGGTGGTCAGATGTCGAGGCAAGTGTCAAGCAACTCAAGGGCAAAGACTTTGGCACCACTTTTCAAGACGTATGTTTTAAGCCAACTGGTCCTGCTTGTGTTGTGCAGTCCCCGACTATCTATTTCGACGGTACAAAGAATTGGAAATCTCAATTCAGAGAATGCGCCCAGTCTCCTGTTAACTGCCGACCCGATTTTGGACAACCAATAGAGCCAAATATGATCGTAGGCGGCTACGATGGTATCGAGAATATTACCGAGGCGCATGCCTTCACTGTGACTTGGGTTGTTAACAACCACCCCGAGGGTAGCTCTGAACTTTCTCACGCTATGGATTGGGAACAGTCCTTAAAGGATCGGCTCCTAGAAGCTCAAAAAGAGGCGGCGGATCGCGGTTTGCGCCTTTCCTTCTCTACGGAGGTTAGTTTGGAGGAAGAACTAAACAAATCTACCAACTCGGATGCGACAATCATCGTTATCAGTTATCTTGTAATGTTTTTATACGCTTCAATTGCGTTGGGTTCGAGCGGTACGACTATTCGCGAGCTGATAAGGAACCCAGCTGTGGCCTTGGTCCAAAGCAAGTTCACGCTCGGCCTCTGTGGCATCTTGATTGTCTTGATGTCCATCACCTCTTCAATTGGTCTATTCTCATGGGCGGGTGTCAAGGCCACACTCATTATCGCCGAAGTCATCCCCTTCATCGTCTTGGCTGTCGGAGTGGACAATATCTTCTTAATTGTTCATGAGTTCGACCGTGTCAACCTAAGCCACCCAGACGCGATGGTTGAAGAGAGGATAGCTAGGGCACTTGGGCGGATGGGTCCTTCCATTCTCTTCTCGGGAATTACAGAGACGGTCTCTTTTGCTCTCGGTGCGTTCGTTGGAATGCCTGCTGTCCGAAACTTTGCCATCTACGCTGCAGGTGCGGTATTCATCAATGCTTTACTTCAGATGACGCTCTTTATATCTATCTTGTCTTATAACCAGATGAGGACCGAAGATAATAGAGCGGATTGCTTCCCTTGTGTTCAGGTCAAAGCAGCCCGCGTTCATCTCAGCGGCAGTAACGGCTCCGGCGGCCCTCGCCCGTACGATGTACCGGACGAGAGCTGGTTACAACAATTTATTCGAAAGCACTACGCGCCTACCTTACTCGGTAAGAAGGTCAAGGTTCTCGTCATCGCCATTTTCCTCGGCCTGCTTGCAGCTGGTGTTGCTTTGATTCCATATATTCAACTTGGATTAGACCAGCGAGTTGCTTTGCCTGACGATTCTTATCTCATTGATTACTTCAATGACATGTATAATTACCTGGATACTGGCCCGCCCGTTTACTTTGTTACTAAAGGCGTGAACGTGACCCAGCGCGGTGGACAGAGAGACCTTTGCTCCCGCTTTACGACATGTGAGCAGCTATCACTCACAAATGTACTTGAACAAGAGCGGAAGCGACCCGATGTGTCTTATATATCTTCTCCGACTGCTAGTTGGCTCGACGATTTCTTCCTTTGGCTGAATCCCGACTTTGAGAACTGCTGCAAGGATGGCCGCCAGTCCTGTTTTTCCGATCGGGATCCAGCCTGGAACATTACCCTCAACGGTATGCCTGAAGGTGACGAGTTCGTCCATTACCTGCAAAAGTGGTTACACTCCCCGACCACCGACGCGTGCCCTCTAGCTGGCCAGGCTTCCTATAGTCAAGCCATCGTTGTCGACGATGAAGAGCTTACCATTCCTGCGAGTCATTTCCGTACGATGCACAAGCCTCTTCGTAGCCAAGACGACTTCATCAATGCCTACGCGTCGGCTCGTCGTATTGCAAACGAAGTCAGCGCAGAGACAGGAGTCGAAATATTCCCCTACAGCGTCTTTTACGTCTTCTTCGACCAGTATGCTAGCATCGTCAAGTTGACTGGCACACTTCTTGGCTCTGCGGTGGCTATCATATTCGTCGTTTCCTCGATCCTCCTAGGTTCTCTTGTGACGGCGCTTGTCGTCACCCTAACTGTCGTTATGACTGTCGTGGATATCATCGGCGCGATGGCAGCATTCAACGTCTCGCTCAACGCTGTTTCGCTTGTAAACTTGATTATCTGCGTCGGTATCGCTGTCGAATTCTGCGCTCACATCGCCCGCGCCTTCACGTTCCCGTCAGGATCCGTCATGGAACGTGCCAAGAACCGTTTCCGCGGCCGCGACGCCCGAGCCTGGACGGCGCTCGTAAACGTCGGCGGGTCGGTCTTCAGCGGTATCACTATCACGAAGCTGCTGGGCGTCTGCGTTTTGGCCTTTACCCGATCCAAAATCTTCGAGATCTACTACTTCCGGGTATGGGTCGCACTCGTCGTGTTCGCGGCTACGCACGCCCTTATCTTCTTGCCGGTCGCCCTTTCGCTATTCGGCGGGGAGGGCTACGTCGACCCGGAGAGCGAGGGAGGCCTCGCGGAAGACCTGGCGAGCAGGCGTTACAGAGCAATCAGCAACCCAGACGACAGTGATTCTGACGAGGATGACGAGTAAATTGGAAATAGATATAAAACCGCAAGTGTAAGATACGAGTAGGATTAATTTACAGAGCTAAGCATGTCTTCTTAGGGTAACAGGGAACTAGCAGATTGGTTTGAATTTCGGGTAGCGTTCTGTATAATTTGAAAGATGTTAGGCTAATATGTAGAACAACATGGAAGTTTTGCTTTACACTAGTTACCTCTTCCCCCTTTTCTACGTCATATCATAAGTGAATTTAAAGAAGAAAATCCACAAGACCGATTATTCATATACAATTTTTTTTTGTATTCTATAACTGTACACTTCAGCTAACTTTACAAAGGAGCCGGGAGCAACGGCTCGTATAATTCCAAATTCCGATAGATAACCAAAGTCCAAGATACTTTACAATTCCAAATTCCGCCGAACAGCCAAGTACTTCTACAGTAGGTACTTAAAAGAGAGCCACCGTATTTGACTTGTAGTTCCCAACACCCTCCGACAACAAGTACTTAAACCACTGTTATAATTTCCAAAAGTTCGAGCGTAAAAAATGTCTCCGACGGAAAATTAAAAACGGAATATTATTAAAATGGAAAAGGTTAAAATTTATATATCTTAAAATATAAATGTTTTAAAGATCGAAATTATTAAATGTTGGTATAAGCATAAGCCGAAAATAGATTAAAGCGGATTAAGCCGGCGGTTTATACTGCCGTTCCACTAGTTCTTGACCGCATTGTCGCTTCGATTGTTGAGAGCTCGTCTGCCCGACGATCAAGCTGCTCTATGTCGTTGTTCGCGGCAGATATCACCACCTCACGCACCATGTTGGCCATTTACAGCATTTCCCCTTGGAACTCGGGGTTGTCGTTCAGGCGTTCTACCGCAAATGTGACAAGACGGTCATTGAGTTCAGGGCCTTCCCGTAATGTCCTGACAAGCTCTGATCGGCAGTCGTTGCAACAAGTGGCTCGCCTGACGACGAGAAAGACTATCGAGAAAGCCACCAAGACGATCAAGATGAAGGCCGGAACAGCGTTAGCTGCAACCTCGAGGTAGTCGGTGGTAAGCATATGGGAGAGTAGCGGGAGTAGCAAGAGTACCTACATATACTGAAACCCAGGGTAGCCAGTATTATGGTATGGGTTATCGTTATATTGCATGGTGTTTCCCTGCGGGAAACTATAGACCGGATAAAAATCCGGGGGTAGCAAGAATAGCAAGAGTATTCTGCGGGGAGGCATAAGCGGATGCGGTTGAAGGGAGTAGTGGGAGTAGCCGGAGTAGCCGGAGTAGCAAGAGTAGCAAGAGTAGCAAGAGTAGCCGGAGTAGCAAGAGTAGCAAGAGTAGCAAGAGTAGCAAGAGTAGCAAGAGTAGCAAGAGTAGCAAGAGTATTCTGCGGGGACGCCCCGGCATAAGCGGATGCGGTTGAAGCCACTCCCGTCGTTCTCCTCCCCTCCCACGAGACATCGACTCAGCTCGAGTGGGCCCTTCTCCTGGTTCGGTATTCCGTCGATTTCGCGCCCATGCTGACGAGAGGGGTGAGTAGCAAGAGTAGCAAGAGTAGCAATAGTAGCAAGAGTAGCAAGAGTAGTTTAGCGTCACCCTCCACTCGGGTTGGTGGTAGCTCCTCTTGCGGTTGATTGAGAGTATTGAGAGTGAGTAGCAGAGTAGCAAGAGTAAGGAGGGTAAGGAGAGTAAGGAGCAAGGAGCAGGAGGGCAGAGGGCAGAGGGAAAGTAGGGGAGTTTATAACCCTTTTCTAATACGAAGATAGGAGAAGATCACGTTAGCGTGCCTGCTCTATGCCTAGAGACTTACGCGTCATTTCCCAGAAAAACGTCAACTACCTACATAGCTGGAAAGTATGACCAATAGACGTGAAACTTAAATCACCTCTTGGACACCGCATTGATACATATTAAATCATAACGCCTTCCTCTACGCTACTACATTAGGCACTTAGCGCTCGAAGCTTCTTCACACGGACCGATATTGCCACTTTTACTAAGGAAACAACTTCCCTAGGTATCTAGGTGACGAGGAAGCTTCGAGGTTAGCAAAACCTCATAGCGACTGTCAAAGGTTTACGTTCGGCTAAGCTAACCTGATGACGTCTCTCCTTAGCTAACTAACACTCATACATCCAGACTCAATTTCCCATAACACAATTCAGAGACGTGCTTGCTTGCTTATACGGTTTATCCACCGGCGAATTGACTTTGAAACTTTGATGGCGAGGAGAAAGCACGACTAAGAACGGAGAATACGTGGATGTCTTGGAAAAGGGGGGTCGTTGGACACTGTGAGTTCGTAATCGGTCCTACAATAGTTACAAAGTATAACACAATATACAGTCTAACTAAACTAAACTACAACTGACTATTTTCTTCAAGATCAAAGCTCAAAATATACTTTTGCAATTAATATACTTTCTTACGCAGTGTAACTACCTAAAGTATAGACAAGTTTATGAAAAGTTTGAATAAATACTCCGAAACTCATCTTCTCTAAACTTAGTTAACCAAGACTTTGCAATGAGTATAGGTAGCCCCGTTCTTCCAACTAATTCTAATTCTAATATAGTTACACGCACTATACTTCTCCTACTCTCGATAGTTAACCAACCCCCAGAATTCCACCAACTCAGCACATACCCACGCCAAGTAATCCCCCTCCCTCTCCTACTACTCACCCCAGGGACACTCAAAAAAACCATATCCCAAGCCCAAGCCCTCCCAACCAACGCAGTTAATCGACTACATAACAACAACTTAGCCTACCCCGACAGGTGCCCAACCCATTTCCGACACCCGTCCGCCAGCTGGAGTCCAGCCAACCGCCACCAAAACTTAGTTAGTCTTGCACATGTCCAAATCTTCCAGGCATCGATTTTCGTACGTCTTTTAACTAAGTTATTAATACTGTATCAGCCACATGCTAAGCTGGGGGTTGGATAGTGGCCTGTCTGCCTGTCCGCTGAATTCAGGTGGCTTACCGCTATATTTATAGCAACTTCAGCCACCATAGCTTAATAAAACCTTGTCAAGCTCAGATGTGCAAGACTTTTTGGCCCCAACCTTCGTACCTCATTAAGATAGCTTTTCCACACCGAGCTCGTAAGGTTCCATCTAGGCATTGAACTCAGATCGGTCCGGGTAACACGGAGCGTATTCGTAGGGATCTCTTACTGTGTACATATACGCACGTGCACGTGCACAAGCCTGAGCCTGAGTTAAGTCCACAAGGCCCATGAAGCTTATTATCGGCGTTAGGAGATCTGTCCGTCCATGGTTATCTGATCTAGGACCCTAGGTAGAGTTCCGCATTTTACGAATCCTATGTACTAGTTATGTACTCCTTTACTATTATTGAACCTTGAAAATAACATTTGAGCTCGTCTTAAGGTTTTGCCTAACTATCCATGACTTTCGATTAAGAACGTGATGAGGCGGATATGTGCATACACACGTCCCATGCTAAATTCGACAGATAATAAATTAGTTTTTAAGTCAAATATATAAATTACGCCTTGGCAAGATAGATACGAATCACGAAAAAAAAAACCTAGGAATAACACTAGGCATGTAAATCATGATGTACATAGTGAATAAGTGACCAAGTGAGATGCCAGGGCCATCAGCCGACCCGATAAATTCGAATTGCAGCACCGTACTATATTGTACTATGCGTATGTACACTCTATGCTATGAGTACGTTAAGTAACGGATATCATCTCTAACCGCTAACAAGGTTGCGCAGTGAAATTCCCGCAACCCGAATAAGAGACTAAAGAAAAAAAAGAGGAAACCGGAAAAACGACCAAGCTGACGCGGGATGCCCATGAGTCAGCGTCTCGAAGCTGTCGGGAACAAGCATATCTCCCGTCGTACACGATGCGTGGTCACGAACGAACGCTCCATCGGAAATACCGAATTGGGCTTCTTGTTAGCGAGTGTGGGGGCCAAAGGGAAAAAGGACGTTGCCATTTTTGAATAGAGAAAGCCCCTCTTCTGCCCCTCACCCTCATCCGCAATTCCCCTTGGCTGAAAACTGCCCTGGTCTGGCTTCGGAGACGTATGCCCCCTAACGCGCCCCCGCAGATTCCATTCAGCTTCCGTCTTCCGTGGCTTGAGGTCTGCAACCGCTGTGTCGGACTAACTCGCGTGTCCTTCTTCTGAAGACTGATCGTACAAGATGCTGGAAAAAGCAAGAAATACAAGCCACCGCATCCTGCGCGATCCCGAACCTGATCTTTATCAAGTACGACCATGACGTAGTTGCACATCTAAACACTAATTATTCAAAATCTTTGAGCGATAAAGCCTATTCACTCCATCACCTGTTGCTTTCCTTGCCTTGGGACTTCGCCTCGTCGTTGTCGGTGTAAAGCTTGTGCTGTTCGATGTACTGAATAACAGTTGCTGGAATTAAATATTGTACGCTCATACTGTAGCATCTCATTAGTTAACCTGCTTCACGATGGTTTCGGGTTTCAAGAAATATGGAACCAAGGGTAACCAAGGGTATACTTACTCCCTCTTAAGGAAGAGTCTAATCTTAGTACTGCTCACGTTGTTCTGTATCATCTGCGTGAGAACGTGAATGTTATCTTCCCATTGCTTCAGGTTGCCGAGCGCTTCATCAATGTCCGTCCCGCTCCTCTCGACGATCATGGCGCCGTAGTTACCCAAGATGTGAGCAAGATCCTTCTCGGCCCATACGCCGGGAGTAGACATGGTACCGATGAGATCTGCGCCGGCAAGCAGCATGATCTTGGCCGGCTTTCGGGATTCACCATCCTCGGATAAAATACCGCCGAGATTGTGGTTGATTTCGTGTTCGAAGTGCTGTAACAATTCGAGTTAGTAACTGTTCACAAGCGATATCGGGGATCGGTCCGAGTGGCGATGATTGTTTCGTTAGACCCTTACGAACGAATTCATGCGCTGTGGAACATGCCGATATAAGAAATTAGAGGGACCAGTGTATACTCACATCTAACACCTTGGCAGTTGGCGTGTATTCGGGTTGAATAGCCTCCCACGGATCAACCATCAGCCAACTTGATGTCTCTTCCGCTGCTAATTCGCACATGCGCACTCTGTTAAATGACCCCGAATGTTAGTGTATCAATTGCCCCAGTAGAATAAGTAGAATAAGCTATCAATTACGTACCTGTGATGCGCCTCTGCCAGGCCAGCTTTTTTATATGCGTCGGATACGGGGCTGAGGTAGCCACCTACAACCTCGTACTGGGTATTTATGCGAGCGTAGTCGTTGGCCATCTCGAACATTCGAAGATGGAGGTAGGTGATGGGAGAGAAACTACCGCAGGCGACGAGCACCAATGGAGTACGGTCCGGTGTTCTCTGCTGTCGCAAGAGCCGGTGAGCTGGGAATCTGTAGTTTTCCAGCGTCATAGTTGATGCTGCCTGCGGCGCTGGCCCCGCGGCGGCGTTGTCCGTCATTGTCGATAAAGTACAACGGGGTAAACCGTACTCCAAAAGCCGATTATTGATTGCTTAGGAATATCGCAGGGATTGGTTACGAACGTAGAATTGATGCAGAGATCAAGTGAGTTTCCAATTAAATATGAATAATTAAGAACGAAAGTCTTTATGTATGGTAGACGAGATGTATGGTATATGTAGGTAAGTAGGTAGGTAGGTAAGTATGTAGTTGCAAAGCTGGTCCAGTTGGGAGCGGGAGTTGTTGATCAAAGGAAGTCCAGGTGGGCCTCGCCTGGGATAAGTATTGTTAGGTACCCTCTTGTGACTTAGTTATGTGACTTTTATATGACTACTGCTTCTTAAGTTGCGACCTGGAGGGTCCTTGCCTTACTTAGCCACCTATAGTCGCGGCCTTGGTCGGCCGCTGCCCGGCATAACAGTTGGACTAAAAAAGCCTGTATTTGTAAGTGCCCATATTAATTTTATGTAGCAGGTACATCTTATATATGACTTCGGCTTCTATTACATGGGATAATTGAACTTCAACTACCTAGTAGGTAATCATACATGTAAATAGAACACCGTCCTATCAAAAGGTAATTTCATGCATCTTTCTACTTAGAATTCTACATATCACTTTATTCTCAATTAATGAACCAAGCAGCATTAGTAATAATTCGTAACAAAAAGCTATCATTGTGATAAGAGCAACAGTCTCAATTCTGGTTGAGATCCACTCGCTTAGACAGCCCGCTTTAGTATCTGCCTCATGGCCTGGGAGGTTGTCCCAGCCCCGGTTGAGTCTGACACAGTGTATTTTGCGGGGTGAGCCTTTATGAAAGTTGCCCAATGCCAATATTCTTGGTCTGTCACGCAATGCATAGGTATTACGTACATTTAAGGCCTCTTAACTAAGACTATATTCTGCTTGCTATCTTATATAATAGATAACCGTCTCGGCTTGTTAATTATGAAAAGTGTCTCATGTATAGACTTAATCTAACTAGGTACTATTCTAGAAACATCCCCTCTCAATACAGCCTTATGTCAGTTATAAACGTGGCTTATAGTGTATGTCTTTGTGCTGCCGTGGATCTATCAGACTAGACCCCAGGACCCCTACTCCATCTGTTACCATTCTACACCGAAACAAGCCATTGCCCTGTCAGATCCATAACTAAGACTCGTGCAGAACAGCATCAAAATAGATGACCCATTTAATTTCTTAACTTTAATCCTTTGTTTTAATTTGCATAACTTTATCAACCTTTGTAAAAGCTAGATGAAACTTATGTAATATAATATTTAATCAATTTGGTTTAATATAAGAATTTTTGAGAATTTTTTTCTTTTGATTTGGTTGAAAAATTGTATTGTAAAATGTGTGTGTATATTATTTTGCTTGGGTGGGATGGGTCATCTATTTTGACGCTATTCTGCTCGTGTTACCTACATTCAATTCATATTCACATCAACCACAAATACAACAGAAACAAATAAATCATTAAATGGCCCAGCAGTAGCAGATAAGATCAGACGAAACTATCGAGCTGTCGATATCTTCTTTTTATTGCAACAACGATTAATCATCTATATCCCTGTGATCCTCGGCCTTGAAACATCGCCAATGTCCAATGCTCCTTCGTTGTAGTGTGGCATGTACTCTGCACAGTGACCTCAAAGCTGATGCATGTCTTTGCGTGCCGAAGAAGCCATTTCGGAGGTAACCTGTAAGCTGTAGTCTCTATTGTCTTCCCGTGATGAGGCACGACCCGGTTTGTATTTGAACTTTCCAACCGTCAGCGACAAGTGCCTTAATAACGTTAATACGTAACGGCGACCTCCCATCTGCAGAGTGTTTACCAATGCCAGTAACGACGGTAAGACTATGTGTCTTCGCTTTCCGCACTCGCTCCTCGCCGAGGCTTCGCCACCATCTCGATACTCGATCTAGGGCAATGTCGACGCCATCCTGCACCGTGACGCCGTGTAGATCGATCATGCTTTCCGTGCTCTGTTGGTCGACAAGGTAGTTTGCCTCGACACTATTAGCTTGCCGGTAGCTCATGGCTTGCTGCTGGGCACGTTCGGCGTAGTACGCGCCGGCTTGTCTAAATAGAGGATCGGATTTGCCCTTCTTGAAGGCTGATGCAGCCGACGAGAATGAGTGGTTTCTTGACTCGGCAATTGCCTTCGAGACAGCTGCGGCAGCTTGAAGATTCCCCGGGCGGGTTGAAGCCCGCATGGGCAGATCAACCATTGGTGAACGGATAGCTGTAGGAGATCTTGGTGATTGCCTCGAATTCAACGCTTTGGTGGGTTCAGGCATATCAATTTCCTCGGAGCCTGATGCTACCACACTATACGATACCTCGTATTTCAAATATGCCGGCTTCTCAAAGTGATTCGCTAATATACGGATAATGCTTATAGCATCGCTCTGCGTCGAGCAGACCTCAAAAGTGGCTTTGACATACTCATGAGGTACCCAGGGAAATTTACCCACCTCCCGCTGGACGTCATATAATAAATCGGGGTCCGACGACGATACGCCTACACCAATGTAATTATCCAGAATTTTGACTACAGTAGCTCCAAGGGAGGCGTTATGGTCTTGGTAGATGCTTGTTACCTCTGAAGATGGTAGATTAAGCTTCTCAGATATAAGTGCAATTTGCTCCGCTGTAGATGTCAGTTAGATACGAGCTCGATGAACTAGTTATCCTCTTTGAGTATTCGGCTTCTCACCACTCTGTACAGTATCGCCGTCGCTTGCTTCCTGAAATGTATTTTCCGAATCGGCATGTTTGGGTAACGTCACCTTAGCCACTTTCTTCTTCTTTCTACCCTTCTTCTTCCTTCTATTCGGAATATTGTCATCATCAGATACATAGAAGCCATCGACCCCTTTAGGACGTTGGCCGGTCTGCTCGAGCCATTGCAAGTTGAGGAGCTCGTCAATAGCGAGGCTCGCGTCACCCTTCGACTTCTGCAGACACAGCTTCACGTCGATAGGCTTAAGGTTGACGAACATCTGAATGAGCTGTTCTTCCTTCTCGCTGTCCGTGAGGCCGTCAAAGAGGTCTACATGGAGAAGCCCGGGGTTATCAAGGGCGGACGTTTTCGACGATCCCGAGGATACAAGACTTGGGGGTATGGAACTCTCTGTTGTGACAGTGAAGCCATCAACGCTTTTCATGTCGCTACCAGTTGCGCCAGCGGCCTCAGCGTCATCATCCTGGTTTGAGGGATTGATATCTACAATATCATCGACACCCAAGCCGCTCGGGTTGAAGCCAGTAGCTTCTTCCGCTTCCACATCCTTGGAAATTGTCAGTAGGACTTGTCGCGCAGCAGCGAATTCCTTAGGATCATCCAAGTTATAGTCACTGGAGATGGACAGAATAGTAGTCTCATCCAAGAGAGACCGGAGCTCGTCCTTGATTCATCCGTTAGCTGTATAAATTGTAAATAATATTTGGCGCATCATAAATATATTATGATATATGATTTTTGAGTTATCTTCTCCAGATAGTCGTAAAGCCCTGCCCTCGCGCGGACTGCTTGGACCGAAGCACGGCGCAAAGACGCATTTGTATTTTTACAAATGCGCAAAGCCTAATACTATGAATAGGAAGAACAAAGGAAAGGGTGCCTCATAGACTTACCAGCAACTTCGTACTGGGATCGCTCATAATAAATACTAGGTAGAACGCAACACGTCCTTATCGTCAAAATGAATACCAAAAGAGATCTCAAGTCGGGCTATAGATGCATTCCTATAGCGGGGAGAATTGAGAGAGACCGGAACTATACAACCAAAAGAATCGGGCCTGTCGTTGATGCATTATAAATATAAAGCGTCGTAAAGAGAATGCGTTGACGGTTGGCAGTTGGCGGTTGACCGTTGACTTATGCGTTGGCTGTGTGAATGACTCTCACGTTTGCAATGCACAAGTCAAGACGGGAAGGGTGAGCACACGCTCGTCTTTCATTGGTTTGCCGAATTTCAGTCGGGAAGATTTTTGTTAAAGTACATGTATGTTACCACGGAAATGTAGCGGTGGCAGTGGCAGTGGCAGATTGGCGCTTAGGTAGTAACTGCCCAAATGATCTGCTGATTCCCGGCCCGGTGCTAAGGTTAGCCGGTTGGTGCAACCTCGATGCCCGTCACTAGCGCATGTTGTACATACCTCATATGTACATGTATGTAGATTGATGGTGTGTGTAACACTTGCATGTAATTCGCACCTGCCCTTCCAATCGTATTTCTATTTCGAGAGAAGATTGTATTGTATCTAAAATCGAGTATCATAAAACGTTTCTATTCCCATTCCCCCAGCCCAGTTTGTCCTACCACTAGGTACTCCAAACGCCATAATCTACTTCCTTCGCTTGAAAAATGCATACAATATTGTATAGGTAAGCATATAACAAAACACGCCGAAATCCCTTTCGTCGGGAAGCAAGATACCTAATACCCAGGCGTCTCAAAACTCGCGACTCTCACCGACACTACACGTATCAAAGACCCCAGTCTCAGCCAACCCCTTCCGCTTCAACGCCTCCTTCAACAACTGCGGGGGTTGCAGCACCGGCTCGGCCGTCAGCACCCAAGTGCCCCAATGGACCGCCATCGCTCGCTTGCACTTGGTATCGGTGAATATCTCCACCGCGTCGTATGGGTTGGCGTGCACGCCCGAGAATAGATATCGCGGGTGGTACGCGCCGATAGGGATGAGACCAAGGTCGAACGAGCCGAATTTCGAGCCGATCTGTCGGAATTGGGGACACACGGGTAGATGTTGGTACTCTGGGCCGTAGTCGTCTACGCCTTCGGGTACTTTAGGAACAGCGCGGTAGCCGGTGTCGCCGCCGAACCAGACGGATTTGGCTGGTTCGCCTGAGGTAACGGCCCATGATACCCATAGCGTGCTGTTTTGATCCAGGATACCTCTGCCGGAGGCGTGTTGACAGGGAAGACAGGATATCTTGGCACTAATTGGCCCTGGCAGGTCCGAACTATTCGCGCTACCCGCCTCCGCCTCCGCCTCGTCCTTACCAGATTGCGGCGTTAACGTTATGTCTGCCTCCTGCCACCAATCTAACTCCGTCACGTTATTAAATCCACCATCCTTAAACCATTTCTCCAACCCTAGCCCGACGAAGAAGTGCGCATTGGGATGATGCTGCTGGATCTCTTTGGCAGACGGATATGATAAGTGGTCGTAGTGGCTGTGGCTAATAACGACGGCATCGACGAAAGGTAAGTCGGCGATGCTACATGGCGGTTCGGTATACCTCTTAAACCTGGAAAGGGAGACAGGTGTACAACAGTCTTCGAAGACAGGGTCAAATAACACACGCAGCCCTGACGGGTACTCTACGTAGTAGCAAGAGTGGCCCAACCAAGTGGCGCGGAGCTTTGGAGACGATGTGCGCGTCGGTAAAAATTCCGGTTTTATAACTTGTACAAGTTTGTCTTCAGCGCTCGGCTTCGGCCAATTTAATGTACCAGTAAGCGCTTTTCTATATATATACAATCATAAAGTTAGCCAAGACAAAGACTACGGTACTTCGTAATAATGATATAATCGCCTGGAAACGCACACTGTCATCTCCAGTATTTGTAGTTGACCGGGAAAAGAGAACGAAGGGTGCGGGTTCCGGAATTTAACAGTCTCTCCATGGCGATTTTTTATATGGTGAGCTTTAGAGTCGAATTCATGCGCTTCGCCTGGTTGCGGTGGGCGCAAAGTAACGCTACTATAATACGTCGCCATCGAGAGGGCGACGGTAGCGCCTCCCGTCGAGGCCACCTGGGAGGAGAATTGTCTCGAGTGCATCGCAGGTCCTCTTGAAAAGAGAACTCGGGAAAAGAAAGTCATGGAGGTGGCGAAAAAATGGTCCGATTAAGACCAGGAAGGTCAGTCGGGCCAGATATATAGGTATCTATATGGGATTTAGAAATCGCTAGGTGGCATCGCTTTTCATACATATGAAAATTAGATCTTTTCAGCTCGCCCGGAGTTAATGTAAGGCTGGATTTAATCCCTTAACGCAGAGTGGCGCATCTCCGGCGCGTCACCTATTTAGGCATATTGTGTCAGCCAACTAGATGACCTCCATATGTATGAAGAAAGCTTCGGCCTAACGGTCTAATTTTGAATCCGATAAGTAAGGGCGGCCGTATCGAAGTTATTTTAAGCTGAACATTCAGACATTATAATTGGGGGTTTCTTAAATCTACTATTCCGCGTCCTATAAATAACTTGCCCGGCGCGAATGCGAATCGAGCAAAACTCAAGAACTGATACCAGTCAGAGGCTACTGGCTACTGGCATAAAGTACAATCTTGTCCTAATTATTGTTGGTTTAGGTACTTTAGCGGTAAGTAACTCAATATTATATGCAAATTATGCCAATGGGTTAAAGAGCACGTCTTAATAAGATGAAATTCCAACATGCACATATCAATTCTTCTAGATCAACGCCTACAAAATCACATGTACTTCATTCCAATTACCGGCGTTACTACAAAAACCCACCCCTTCATCCATTCTAACCTCCCTCCTCAGTTTCTTCACTCTCGCTCCCCTCACCCCCACCCTCCTCATCCCCTTCCGCCTCCTCCTCAGGCGGCACCCAAACCAACACCCCCTCCCTATCGCTCTTCATGCCCTCCGTCGGGATGATCTTCAGCACCTTCTGGAAGTACTTATCTCTAACCACGAGCGTCGGCCGTATCCACGCGCCCCTGACGAGCGGGAGCAGCCTATAAGTCACGGACCTGCGCGCGACGGGCAGCACGTTTAGCGTCGTCGTCTTAGCGCCCGAGAACGCGAACTCGTCGCTCGGCTCCATCACCAGCCCGAACGTCAGGAAGTGCGACGACGGGTTCTCGATCGTGATGTCTAGGAAGAGCAGTTGAGGTGGCGGGTTGGAAGAAGAGGGGGACTGCGAGGTGGATGGGTTGGGTGGTGAGTAGTAAGATACGCTAGCTAGGACGCGCGGTTCCGAGACTGTGACGAAGAACCGTGGAAGTGGTAAGACTGTAGTGTTCACTGTGTCTTTTGGGGACGTGAGCCGGCGCCACTTGATGATGAAAGCAAGATCCGCCGTTGCCGGCGACCGGTCGTCCAGGTCAAATTTCTGCGCGATGAGCTCAAATTGTGCTTCTTCGATTGTCTTGGGACTAATAACCGCATCATCTGTCACGGGCGGTTGGCCCTTGGACGCCTTGCAGCTTACATTCCCTTGTGTAGAGAGAATGTTGACGTCCAAACCTAGTATAGCTAGATCTTCATGTGCAAATGAAGCGTATCGGGTGGCGAGAGACCATTTCTGTGCTAGTCCTCGAGGCCGCCGGACGACTTCATCTCCTTCGGATGGGTCTTGAATATCTTCAGGGTTGAAGTAGCTTGGCCACTCAGAATGTAGCCGAGGAGATAAATCATAACTTGCTTCGAAGGGATTAACAATGTTGAGCTGGTATGTTGCTTGCTGAATGATCGGTGTTCCCGGATCCGACACAAGATGATACCGTGCTCTCACTATCAATTCAAGCACTATGGGTCCATCAACCGGGTCAATGGTAATCGTAGCTTTTGTAGACTTGGAATTTGGTATTGTCCCAACTGAGATTCCGTCAAGCCTCGATTCTTCCACTCCAGCATTAATAGTCTTTTCTGTGCCATCTTCAATCTGCACTGCGTAGCCAGGGACATCTTGCCCATAAAGGGCTATATCCAATTTAGTATTGGCATCCGCTTCTTCTTCGTTAAGTATCTCCAACTCAAGCGGGATATATTCGCTTGCATAATATTGCTCGAGCATATTAAGAAGCCTGACCTCCATTTTGGGGGGCCTTGGAAGGACTTTGATTTTGTGTGGATTCGTCCGTGTGACCTTCTTCCTCGCAGATGTTTGTGAATACCATAGGCCAACGTGGTTGGTTTCTCGGAGCCTAATCGTATATCTAAGGGTGAAAGATTCCGGTGCTACTGAAACCTGTACCGAAGATGCTCTAGCATCACCTGGTTCTCGTAATGGGACGTCCATTTCAAAAACTCGCGTTTGACCCGGTAATAGCGTTAGATCGTCTGTTCCCTCCAGTGTAGGGGTCGTCTCGGCGTTCGATTCATCATCATCATCAGAATCGTCATCTTCACTGCTCTCCGTCTCGACTAAAGCCACTTTCGAAACTCGTGGCTTTGAAGATGAATGTACCTGATTATCACTAGCTTTGTGCCTCAAGTATATTGTATATAAGCTGCCGTCGAATTCAATTCGAATCCTCTCCAACACTACCGGTGCAGCATCTTGGAAGGAGTTAGACGTAATCGAAAGTTGGGTTGGGCAACTCTGTCCAGCTTTTCCTTCGTCATTTTTGAAAATAAATGAAGCATGTAGGAATGATGTTACATGCTCGTTGCCGATTTCTATAACAGGCCGATTCTCTGTAGATATGCCGTCCAAAGACTTCGTTATATCGTAATGCCAACCCGGCCGCCTAGAGAAACCTATACTAGACGTCAACTTCCAAGCTGCTAGTTTCTGTAGTCAGTGCTTCTCACCTTTGTTCAAGAGTTCCCAGTCAATAGCAACAATGAGGTTCTTATGGCCGACTTCTACCGCTGCACCCCTTAGAGTCCAACTAAAAGCTTCCATGATATCCCACCAGCCTTCTGTACGGTAAGACATGTCTCTCCACAGAGGGGTCAGGATTTTTAAGATTTTCCTCCACTCCTGCATTCTCTCTAATTCTTTACAGCACTCGAGCGCTAGCTCCGCCGAGGTCCGAATTTGATGTCGCTTCTGGAATTCGTTGTGTGCTAGCATCAGGTGATTGAAAATCAGCTGGCTATGATTTACGCCAGTTCCTTCTAAAGGAAACTCTTCGTGAGGCTCCGGGCACATGTATGTGTCATAGCTGTAGGTCTTGTTCGACTGCGACGGCGAAGACGAATCTGGCGGCTTGCGGTCCTCTTCGGGTATAGACCACGCCAACTTTCGTCTATAGGAAAGATGTCGTGCGGCTATTCGGTACCAGTATCCCTGATGGTGAAGAAGTTCCCACGGGTGCAAACGCTCTGCTGACAGATTCTTTTCGGGAGGGCGGTAGGGTAGGGTAGTGGATGGTTCCAACTCGGGGAACTGGACTCTTTCGATCAGATTGGCCATAACCGTATTCCATCTCGCTTGCCAGGTTTTCCACCCATAATTTTGCGTCCCTCGACCCCTTCGATCGACCAAATCAAGTATTCTATCGTGGTGCGCTTGCCACCTCCTAACGGCGGCGGTGCTTTGTCCGGCCCATAGTAAACATTTCAAGACTCGGATAGCTATTATATCAGCTAGGAGCCGAGCATCATTAAACCTAGGATTCCATCCAGGAATGGTTTCGAGAACATCGACACCGAGAAGAGTGTCATATGCTTGCTCATAGGAACGCAAAGCAACATCTATTTCTTGACGAAACTCAGCGAATACGGCGGTTTTAAAATCATAACGCACGTTCCAACCCTGAAGTGATAACGTATGAGAAGTACCGGTAGTAGGAGGGATAGTTGGCTGCGGCGCAATTCCTCTTCCTCTCTTTTTGCGGGAATGTCTACCGAGTTCGCGATAGTATTCGATCGCTTGGTCGAATACCGCGGTCAGCACGTTGTCGACTGCGTTTTCTAGGTCTACTGTAGTACGCTGGGTAGGCAGGACAAACAGTGAGGTTTTTGGGTCCAACCCCGTGGTTCTCCTAATATTGCCTAGTCTTTCTTCAAACTGGCCTATGGAACTTGGCGACTGGTCGCTAAGGATAACCGCAACGAAGCGACATTTATAACCAGATTGCCCAATGGCATTCTTGACAGCATTTATGTCTGCCTTAAGCTGATTATCGTGTAGGGTCGCAAGCGTAGGATCCGAGGTCAAGCTATAAAAAGCCAGGCACACGCTGGGTATGAGGTCCTGGTGCTTTTGAATCCACTGTGTATCTATTAAGCCATCTGGGTATAGGCTAGAACCTGGACTAAGGGGTGAAAATGGAGAATGTAGAATTAATGGTGATGAAGGCGCTTCGAATTTATCGGGAAGGCGTGCACGACGAGGCGGCAGCAGGAATTCCTAAGAGTCGAAGTCAGATTCGTCTCTTATAACCGCCCAATATGCCTTGAAAATAACTCGTAACTCCACGGGGCATAGACATACCCTCCCAACAGTGTCAATCTTAAATTTGTATTTCCTTGACGCGTCTCGAGAGTTCCATGGGAGGTCAGTGGCGTCCTTCTCTTGGATGCAGCGAAGGATGATCTTTGCCTCGCGGCTCTCTATAAGGGGTAGCTCTGATCGAACGAGAATGCCCTGTTCCCTTAAGCTGGGATCGGCTAGAGAAGACTTTGTAGTAGAGGAAGCATTGCCTAGGCCAAAGACGACGAGGAATGGGACATTATGGTCCAGGCTACCCGCTGGAAAGTCGTCCATTGGTCTAGTAGGAGAGGGGCTCGAAAGACATTGGTGTTCGCTTATACGATCGGTTCAATGTGGGTTTCTAGTCGATTCAGATCATTATTCTATGTGTTAGGTAGTTATGCGATTAGTTCTAGGGACTGTAAGTCGAGTTGAATAGGTAGTAGTACTCAACGAGGCACTCTGTATAATGGCCCATTGTCGCATATAATAATAGTTGGTTATCGCAGAGCTTCCGGGTTGTTAGCTATTGTTCTAGTTAGCTGATATCGAATTCGAAGCTTCAGTGACCTCACACTAAATTGTACAATACCATACACATTACATTAAGGTGGGGCTACCTCTTAAATAGTCGGACCCTGGTGACTTGCTTGTGCCGATTTCCTTACCTAATACCGTCACCAACAAACTCTTACCCGAGCCGGCCTTGTAAAGTCTGATCATCTTTTCCGTTTTGGATTTGCATGGTGCTACGTACAGCGCGGTACCTTGTAAGATACATTAGATACATATGTATGTACCACATAAATGTACGTATCACAATGTATATAAACCGTACCTATATGGGTACGTACTTCATTAGTACATGTCAGGGAACATCGTTATCTTGATTGGTGAACCCATGCGCGCACTGCGGGCAGCAGCCTTGTCCCAGCTCTAGTCGTGTCGTTACGAAACTTGAAGTCTTCTTCTGCAGCTCTTTTACAATTTCCCGCAGGCGCAACGCATTTCGGTATTGTATTGTTTAAGGAGGTCGACTACAACACCTAACTATTTACCCACATCTTCATAATACTCCTAGGACCTGTTTAATTCAACCATTCCAGCATCCCATTTTCCATACGCCTCTACCTATCTCGCTGTTCCGATCCTGCGACCGACAGACACGCCATTCCACCCTTTGTGCCAAAAATCTTGCTAAAGAAGCCGAGCTTATACGCCATTGCTATCATTAATAGCTCGAATTTTCCATTATTATATTTATCAAAGCTACCAAAGCTGGCCGCGCTGGGCCATTGCGGGAACATACTCAGCTCTTGCACATTGTAGCCGACCACAAAGATTTACGATCGCAATGACTTCCCAACAAGTTCTCTTCTCTGAGACCATTGCGGCAATGAAGAAGGCACGAAAGCGCAAGGCATACGGTGAGCTCCTTTGTAGAAATGCTGCGTGTTAGTCGCTGACGTACTGGTCTGGTAGAATCCGATTCCGATTCTGAAATACACTACCATGGTAATCGGGGGCACAAATTAATGAAGAGGGCTAGGTTTGTCCACGAGGGACAGTTAGCACCACCCTCAGGGCCTGAAGTATATAAGGAGGTCAGTGTGCCTTGCATTCCGAGATTCCGAGATAATTCGCGGTGGATAGTATCTAACCGAAGTTGACTTCATAGATCGTTAACCACGCTGGTTACCAAAGAGCGATCATTAGTCGAAACCCAGTTCTTATTGACGACGAAGGTTACCAAATCGATAGCGATGATGATCAAGAATATATCCAAGACGTTGCCGACGCGGCAGCCGAGTTCAATCCGTACGCCAACGTGCGACTCGAAAGTTGGTTACCACATCCAGCCCAATCCATCCACAGATGCTAATAGTCGGTCTTTTTGCAGACATCCTCGCGCCTCTTACCTCCGTTACCGATCTTCCTACACACCCTACCTTATCGCGACCTTATAGTACGAAAACACTCACAGACTTAACGAAGCAAGCCTGTAATATCATGCACAAGGAGAATGCCGCGCTTTGGAGGGTTAAACACCTACAGACAAAGCTAGTGGGAGATCATATCTGGGCCCCCTGCGACATGATGCTTGGTCCCAACGATATCGAACTGTATCGTGACGACTATATGGATTCAAATAGTCAAGCACAAGGATCTGTCAAGTCAGACACCAACATGCTGCCGCTGGAAGATACACGAACGAAGACCAACAAAAATACTGCGGTCATAGGGAATGAGGACGTTTCTGGAGGACCCCCTGAGACAATAGCTAATGGAGCAAAGCCTGATGGTGATACTACGATGATTGACGCCGAACCACCAACAGACGCCGATACAAGTGCACCCGAGCCAACAACACAGGCTGCTAAAGTCAATGCTGAGGGGCAGAAGCGAAATATAGAGGGTGATGTTTTGGTCGACGCACTAAACGGGTCGGAAGAGAAGAAGACGGGGGTGGACGCAACCGATACCCAGCAAAGCACCGTTGCTAATACCGATATCAACGGGGCTAAAGAAACACACTCTACAGAATCTACAAGTGGGTTAGCGGCGGATAGCGCTGCGTTGGCCGGGCAAGGACCAGTTGACAAGGTAGCCCATCATAGTCAGGTCGGCGAGGGAACTGAAAATGAGGGTAGCCGGGCAGTGTCGGTGATGTCGGTGTTCACGGAGGAGACACCTATTCACCCCCTCTTCTTACATCCCCGATCAGCTCGGCCCGATAGAGATCTTGGAATTCCGGAGGCAGAAGCAGAAGATATGCGACGGCTATTGCAGTTATATGTGCAAAAACAGGAAGAAGTATGCCGCGGAGCAAAGCGGCTATACGAAGGACTCCTTCGGGCAGACAGGATGCGGAAGACAGTCTTACAGTGGTCTAAGTATGAAGCCCATGTTGGACCAAACCGTGATATGTCGGATGGAGAGGATTGGTATGATAAAGAGGAATGGGGCTTAGAAGATGACTTAAAGAAAGGTGCGGATGAAGAAGAAGAGGATACGGCGCAACCAACTAAGAAGACAAGAACTCGGAGATGATGATAGCTAAGGAAAAGGGAGAGGAGGCTCGTATGATGAACTTTTTTTTTAGTTATCGGATACCCGGTGAGATAGTTGGCAGCAGTCCAATGCATAAATGGAATGAGAAAAAGGTCTCAACATAACCTTTTCTTACCTTCTGGATTCCGTACCTTATGGCGTCAGCATATTCTCGTCAAACGGGACTTGGATGGATTATGATGTGAATGAAGCCTGAGAGTACAAAGCAATGATGTCGGAATTGCTATAGCGTAGATGGTAGTATAAACTAAACTCGTATAATGTCCTAGGTAGAATCAGTCGTTGGTTATTACTTATGTACCTAAGGTATGTACTTGATAGAAGTAAATGGTACTACCATATAAAGTTGCAATGTAAGGTTGAGGAAGGCCATATGGAATGCAAAGCCCAATGATGCACGTGCACTCCGATCGGATCGATTAAGTTATCGGGGAGGGGCTCCAGGTTTGACCATAGGTAGTACATGGTATTACCTGGCGAAGCTGTGGGCAAAGCGGGATGAAAATATGTACATTGTTTTACATACAAGACCAGAGAAGAAGAAAAAAAAAGGCTTGGCTCCAATAATTCCGATTCCAATTCCACAAAACCAGGCCACGTTCATCTTGCTTGTTCATCTTGCTTTCGTAAACATATTGAATAACTATTGAAAGTTCCCCAACCCCAAACGTCATCACCACTCACTTGCACAATAATATAATATCATATTATTATATTATTTCACTAACTATTTTGTTTTATACTTGGGCAGCAGCTGGTACGAGCTTCAGCCATGGCACCCCTAGATCCTGCTGTGACCAAGCTGGTCGACCTGAACCAGAAGAGCCTGTACCGTATGTTGAGTTGAAGTAAAGCAGTGTCGCAAAGGATGCATAGTTATACTAACAAGATTAGTTTCTGCCTTTGCGATTGCTTTTAACCCGCTGTTCTGGAAGTAAGTCGCATATTCGAAACGTCCACTAGGTGGATATATATGCTAACAGGAACTTATAGCATCGTAGCTCGACAAGGTCAGTCCATCCAGGTTTCAACACTACCTCCCTACTTCACCTAGGTTATATATCTTCTCATCGTAGTATGACTAACATCTAAATAGAATACCGTAACAAGACACTTACCAAGCTCTTCGGCGGACATTCGCAAGCTGCCTGCTATGGGTTAGCTCTCACCATCTTCTCTCTTGGTCTGGTGCGCGACTTCTTATACGAGCGTGCCCTGCGTCATCAACCGTCCTACCCTTTACTCGAGCTGGACGAGGTGAAATATCTGGCATATGGTCTGCTTGCTGTCGGAAATATCCTGGTTATATCCTCGACCTGGGCCCTGGGCATTACGGGCACGTTCTTGGGAGATTACTTCGGAATATTGATGGATGACATCATCACGGGCTTCCCCTTCAACATCACGGATGCACCCATGTATAACGGGTCGACCTGCAGCTTCCTCGGCACAGCGCTATTATACGGCAAGCCAGCTGGAATTCTACTGACGGCTTGGGTTTTCGTCGTCTACCAGATCGCTCTAAAATACGAAAACCCGTTCACAGCTGGAATATATGCGAAGAGGGAAAGAGAGCGTGCTGCGGCAGGGAAGGGCAGCAAGAAGTCGCAATGATTTTGTGACTGGTGCGACTGGTGCGACTGGCTGGGTTAAGCACTCGCACTCGGCATGCATAGGCCATACCGACATTTACCGAGACTCGCCCGAAACCGGAAACCGGCTACAAGGTGGGCCAACGGAGTGGCTGAATACCTAATGAACCGGGATGGTTCCTATTATGCCAAGGTACGTACGAGCGTGGGAAAATTGGCATGGCGGTGTATCGGTGTATACGGCGACACACATCTAAAGGCGTTTGCATGGCGGATATGGCGTTGGAGAAGGGAGCACAAGCTATGTAGATGGGTTGAGGAGAGGTGGTATGAATCAATTACGAAGAGACTGTATTAATTGAAGTTGTTTGCATATCTTAATGTAGATGCCTCTCCTCTCGGTTAGCTAATGCCGCGATATGGCTTTTGATATACGAATTTACTCAACCACAAGCCTTTTTTCTATTAGTTTCTTCCAATCCAAGTAATGGGATTCAATGCCAAGAACCAACCGGCTCTTATCTATCTTTTCTTTTCCTTTCCAGCCTCCACACATGTATGCGCACATGCTAGAAAATTCAAATAAAGGCGAATCGGATAACAAAGGTACATTAAAACATAACCTGTCACCTCGGGAGAAAGGAGTGAATCATATATTAGATACTGAGTCCGTATCATTTTATAATATCTACCGAAGAGGGACCACATATATAGTCCGGCACGGTCTCGGGTTGAAGAGTACCGGGATTAGACCGTGATACGGAAGAAATCGTGATGAGGGTATATTGATGATGCAGAAGTGATTAACTACTACTACTACTACTACAAGACGCAAGTACAAGACGAAAAGATGTGAGTACCTAGGTACCTAATTCACCCACAGCTTCCATACTTTTCCTTAGTTTGTAACTGCTGTAACTCTTACGCTAAATTCCGGGGTATCGGTTACTTTCAGTGGAGAATACCCCCCTTGACGTGCATTCCCTAGTTCAAACAGATCAAATAGAAGTAACGAATCGTCGACGAATCAGTTCGTATAATTAAGTACTTAAACCTCTGGAGCCGGTTGCCACCTTAGAACCTTTTTAGGTTTCCTTCTTCCGATACCGTTTAACACCCGTCCCATAGCAAACATCTACACACATTATTATTATCATCATCCTCTTCTAGCGGATTTACATACAATAGTTACATATTTAAATCTTTGTGTTGTTTCGATAAGAAACCTTTCTTACCAAAAAATAAAAAGAAAGAAAGAAGCAAAAAAAAAAAGTGGCTATGGACTAAGGAGAAAATAGAAAAAGAAGGGAAGATAACAAGGCAAGCGGCTTGTAAGAAAGTTCTTGTGGTCCCCCTTTTTTACTGGGGCCCTAAAGAGTAAAGAGCGTGGTTCGGTTTGACCATGAACCAAACATCGCGAACGGACGAGCCGTACGAGGGCGAAGGGCTCAACCAGAGCCCAAACGCTTTCTCGAACGACCTCGTCACCAACCAAGACCTCAACGGCATAGCAAATGCCAGAGAGCACAGAGGCGACAACTCGAGGAGTATGGACGACTCTGGACAGCCCGTGGCGGATCGAGCGCCGCCCGCCGTCGAGGAGGACCCTGATGGTAGCGCACCGAATCTGACCATTGCGCATCGTACGATTGGTCGGATACCTGGGAGGGCAACCAACCAGGACGACGACGCCGGTTCGACGCCATCGCGAAAGCAGTCTTTTATGCAGCGCATGTGTCGAACCGTCGTCACCTTTGGCAAGTTTGTCGGACCTGGTTTTCTGGTCGCTGTAGCGTATAGTACGTCCACCTTATTATGTTCATTCTCGATTATGAGGTATGCACCTACTTATATGAAGTACCCATCTGCTAACCTAGACCACCAATCCCCTAGTCGACCCTGGAAACTATTCCACCGACATCAGTGCAGGCGCTGAAAATCAATTTCGTCTGCTTTTTATCATCTTGATGAGCAATCTTTTCGCCATCTTCTTGCAATGCCTCTCGATCAAGCTGGGAACAGTCACGGGACTCAACCTGGCTGAAGCTTGCCGGGCTTTCTTACCTAGATGGCTTAATTATTTCATGTATTTCTTGGCCGAAGCCGCCATTATCGCAACTGACATCGCCGAGGTGAGCGGCATACTACTGGGGGTATAATACGGGATGGCTAACAAGTAATAGGTTATTGGTACCGCTATTGGGTTGAACCTACTGATACCCAAGTTGCCTCTCGTCGCCGGTTGCGCTATATCTATTTTAGACGTAATGGTCATTCTCTTCTTCTATAGACCTAATGATTCTATTAGAGGTCTTCGAATGTTCGAATGTTTCGTGATGGTCCTTGTCCTGGCTGTTGTTGTCTGCTTCTGCATTCAGCTCTCCCTTATAGAGGATACATCCGTTGGTGAAGTCTTCCTAGGCTACGTACCGAATGATTCCATAACACAGTCTTCGGGTTTGTTCCAGGCCTGCGGTATTCTAGGTGCTACTGTATGTGCATCTTTTTATAATCCCCTGTTACACCTTACGTACCCCTCCCTACGTTATACAGCACTATAGCAAATTCTTCCGATATACCCACCCGATTTCTCGGTCATGCCCTTAAGTCCAGCCGCTAACAAGGCGATAGGTAATGCCTCACTCGTTATATCTAGGCTCCGGTATAGTGCAGAGTCGCCTCAAAGACTATGACACTAAGCGTGGTCTGCTTCCCTCAGAACCACCATCTGCTGCCAACAGCACCATGGACGATAAGATAGGGGAGAAGACATACTATATCCCCAGTCTTTCAGCCATTAAACACTCGCTGAAATATTCGTATGCCGAAGTGTCTCTTTCCCTCTTCACGTTCGCCCTCTTCGTGAATAGCGCCATTCTCATTGTGGCAGGAGCTAGTCTTTATCAAAATCCCGATGCTCTAGAGGCTGACATTTTCGGAATTCACGATCTACTCGTGCAAAGTATCAGCCCGGGCGCAGGGACAATCTTTGCCCTGGCGCTACTATTTTCTGGTATCTCAGCGGGTATCGTGTGCACGATATCGGGTCAAATGATATGCGAGGGTGCGCTGAATTGGAAGATGAAGCCATGGCTTCGACGTCTCGTCACGCGATCCATCTCCATCACGCCAAGTATCATCATCGCCGGTGCTGCGGGGCGGGAGAAACTTAACGCTGCTCTCAATGGAAGTCAAGTTGCGCTGAGCGTCGTCTTGCCGTTCGTCACCGCGCCGCTTATCTGGTTCACTTGCTTCAACAAGTACATGACGGCCCAGCCGGGACATGCTAGATACAAGACGGAAGGCAAAGACACGTTCGTTATCAACGGCAATACCCTTAATATCAGCTCTAGCGAGGGTGAGCTAGGTCCTGCGAACGGAGGTAGCCCCACTATGATGGCCAATCCTTGGTATATCTCTGTGCTCGCCGGTGTCATCTGGCTTATAATGGTGGCCATGAACGTGGCGAACCTTGTATTGCTCGGTCTCGGCGACGCATAGTCAACGATTGTCCTATCAGCCCGATACCATTCTGCGGACAGAAATGCCAAATTCCGGTCAAGGTCAAAGATTTGCGCATTTGAGGAATTAGTTCAGGGTCGAATCTCTTCGGGTACTGTTTTCGGTATAAATCTCTGTGGCAGTGACTTGCATATTCTGCACGTTACTTGCACATCCTGCTACCGCGCTCGACATGAGCGTTTGCGGTAATCTGTTTCTTTCGACTTAACTTAAATTTTGGAATGCTTTTTTAGAATATATTGAGAAATATGACTTGACGCAGTCAGACGGAGATATATTGAATTGAATTGAAGTTGCACGTGTCGTGGAAAAAGTAATTTCCCTATTCAGCGAATGACCTCAATGTTTGGGTTGTTCCCGATTATTCCGTCCCATCTTCCATTTCCGGCTCGGACCGTCGTGCGAGTTCTAATTTTAGACCCGTATCTTATATGTTTCATGTTATGCACGCATGTATAACTAACTTAATCTTGACACCAGCCCTATGGATCTCGTAGGATCTCAGAAGTATCCACATAGGGGTAGGTGCACATGTAAGCACCTTAGGATTTAACGTTATCCGAATAGTATTTTACATAGTATCGCGACTGCAGCATACCTTCAGAAAGGCCAAATGATCAATTATATTCGCGACCGGCATGAGTAAATACGGTTCTTATTTTAAAAGGGTAGCGTGGCTATTACCTGGGTTGGTAGTCTATAAGTCACTTAACGTATAACGCATTCAACGTAACCCTAAGGTCTGATTATATGTAAAGCAAAACCGCCGGACGTTCAGGATTATATGCGTATTCAATCCGGAAGCTGGAGCGCTACACAAGATGGGGGCACTCTGTCGCGGGTTGGATTAGGGGTATTTAAGAATCGTGGTTGCCCCTTGTGAGGCGGGTGATCTTCTTGTTGTTAATCAGAGTATATAATTGTCTTTAACTGCTATATATTATCATGAAGCGGATTATTTTATTCTCTATGGCCGCCGGCCTCGTAGCAGCTCTTCCTCAGCCAGATTTTGGTGTAAGTCAGTATTCTTAGTTATATTATAGTAACTAGATAGTTATCCACCTATTCTTACAAATGATGATTGCGATCATGGTAATCGTCCTCTTCGCTCCTCACCCCCTAAATACCCCCAACACATACACCGCCATCATAAGCACCCACCCGTCAACATATACCCCACCACTAACCCCTCTTCCTAGTCCATCGAACTCGAAAACGTAACGGTCTCCGAATTCGAGGCTAACGACCTCGTCGCCCGGGGCAAGGGTCCGTGGAACGGCCCGGTCATGGACATCAGCTTCCCGGACCCGGCGCTACTCATCGACGGCAACATGTGGACCTAGACCAAGATGGACGCCATGCCCGACGTCGGGTCTTGGATCGACCCCAAGAACAAGGGTATCTGGGCCCCGAGCGTGTTTAAGAACGACAATGGGAAGTACGTCTTGTACTGTAAGTTATCTTATACTAACCCCCCCAACCCCCCCTTTATTTTTTATTTTTTCTTTTTTAAAGGGGGGGAAGAGAGTTAGGGATTAATAAACGGCATAGTCTCCGGCCAGCGAAAAGGCGGCCGCCGGTGCGCAGGCGTCGCAACGGCGGACTACGCGCAGGGCCCGTTCGAAGCGACTCCGCAGCCGCTGATCTGCGACGACGCGGGCGGCGGGATCATCGACCCGGTGTAGTTCGACGACGGCAAGTACCGGCGGATCATCTGGAAGGTCGACGGCAACGCGCTGGGCGGTCCCAAGAACGGCGACTACAAGCCTACGCCCATCCGCATCCAGAAGGTGACGCGCGACGGCTTGACGCTGCAGGGAAGCCCGAAGACGATTCTTAATCACGCGGGTGATAAGAACGATGGGCTTATGGAGGGCCCGGCTATGTATAAGCGGAAGCCGGGGTCGTATGTAAGTGTCCCCCCAAACACCCAAAAACTCCCCCCCTTTTCTCCTATCTTCACTATATTGTCTGTGTAAGTTCGCTCGCAGACAAGGTATGAATGCAGGTCCTATTCTTTAGCACGCATTGCGACAGCTACGATATTCAATACGCATGGGCGACCAAACCCGACGGAGACTTCGAACACCGGAAGACACTCGCCCGCTCCGGTCCTAACCAGCCGATCTACGAGCCGGGCCATATGGACATCGCGTCGGACGGGAAGACGATCGCGTTCCACGGCCGGGATAAGCCGGGTAATCCTAAGGATACCAAGCGCCGCATTTACATCGGCAAGACCAAGTTCCCCGAGGGCGACTACAGTGATGGTATTAAGGTGCTTAATTATCAAGGTTAGAAGGTTGGTAGATATATAAATTTAAGAGATGTGGAGAGAATAAGGGTTTCGTCATACATATAGAGTTCAATTTTGTATATAACTGCCTATAATATATATCATGAGGTGAAGCAAGAAGCATGGAAACAACTTCGTTGCTGCGCGAGGAATTATAAGTCATCTATAGGAGCCTATGTCTACCGGTTGTGCACACAGGAAGTATCCCCATACCCAGAATCCCGACAATATAATATCATGCAGGTATATAATGTAATATCCTCCTTCTGATTAGATTCATTCATCCTAGCCCCAAGTTCACTCCCTTTGACCCCTCACCTAAGATACATAGTTAAACTATGCCCTTTAAGAAGGTAGAACGACTGGACGTACACTATATTGCATTTACTATCCCTGTATAAATGACTTTACAGTGGTTTCGTCCTTTTGAATATAAAAAATAACACGAGCCCTGATCGGCTTCCGATCACAACCTTATCCCTTCCCATACTCACTGCCACGGACGACGACGTAGGTCGATACTGTTCAGGCAACACGAATAACGTGTTATTTTTATAGATAATCTGGCCCTGGTCAGGTTCAAAGCTGTAAGGATACCACTCGATTGACTCGATGGAACTTGAACTGGATGAACCGGCGGGGGGGTTAATTAGGAAGGGCCCCATCTCGGTGATAAAGTACTCAGGATACGTAGGGTTAGTATGCATAGTGCAGAACATCGTTGTAGTCCTAAACACCCGTACCCTGTCGCGGGTTTCAACATTCCATACCCTCACTACTTTATATGAAGATGCGATGAGAAGACCAGAATTCGGAGTGAAGGCCACTGCTAATGCACTATACCACCCGTCATCATCTTCTTCCACATCGGGTTCTTGTAACTCTACCACGTTCCACTGGCCATTCTGCAGTTTCAAAAGTAGCACATGACCATCGTCTCCCCCAGCAGCCAAGTAATTTCCGTCGCTAGAAAACGCGATAGACATAACCCAATCTTTGTGCTTATATACTATTAGGCCCTCTTGGTCGGCATTGTCATTCCCCGAAGTATTTGTCCCTTTGGCTTCCGGGATAATTTCATTTGCAACATTCCATATTCGAATCGTCCTGTCGTCAGATCCAGAAGCTACGAATCGCTCGTCATATGAAAACACAGCACTCCTAACCCAGTCTTCATGGCCGTGAAGTATGCGCGGCTTGGATTCATTATTCGTGTCCCAGATTCTAACAGTTCTGTCATTGGAAGCCGAAACTAATAGATTTGCATGGTGTGAGATCATAATAGATCTAACTTTACTACCATGACCCTCTAGCTTATGTTGAAATTCGCCCGTAATTCCATTCCAAAGACAAATCAGTCCATCCTCATCGGCCGAGGCTATCACATTACCGTCGTCTGAAGATGTTATGACGCTAATAGGTTGCATATGTGGCTGATCTCGCCAGAGAGTCCCGTCGTCGGTTTCGGCTATAGGTTCGTCGGTATCGTAATCCCAGATGCAAAGAGTTTCATCGTCTGAACAGGAAGCGAGGTGCCTTTGTGTTTGGGAAAATGACAGACCCCTCACAGCTTCCCTGTGCCCACGTATTATCTGCTCGGAGACTTTCGACGCACCATTGTAAGGTCCCTTCCAGATTCTAATTGTTGTGTCTTGAGATGCTGAAGCCAAACGTAGGCCTTCAGGAAAGAACGAGACCGCGCTAATGCTATCAGTATGGCCTTCAAGTCTAGTGGGCGGATTTTCCGATAGTAGTTCCCAAATGAGCACTGTGCCCTGGTCCGTACCAGTAGCAACAAATTTTGAGTCAGCGGAGAAAGTAATTCCAGCCCGAATGATAGTCATGCCATCTGGTGCTGGGAGATCCTTTAACTTCTCTTCACTTTTTACGTCCCATATTATGACATGATTCTCCGATGCAGACGCAAATAAGGCTCCATCACCTGAGAAGCTCACATTAAAGATCGCGGAGTCGGGATTCTTCCATATCCTTCTAGAGCAAGAGAGAAAATCCCAGGTGACGATAGTACTCCCTGAACATGCAACTAGCATATTCCCATCAGCTGAAAAGTCGAAGTCTGATATCCCAGACGCGCCCGTGTCACCGAATATATTAGAATAACTTGGAGTTTCTTTTAGCACTCCTGTGGTGACGTCCCAAAATTTGATTGTGTGTGCGGTTGACGCCGCTAGAACCCCCTTGGAGGAGAATGCAACATGATGAACCCAGTTGCTGAGTTCCAGAAGGTGTTGCAAGTTTCCTGTCCTTGTGTCCCAAATGCGGATAGAGCCGTCGTCAGATCCTGAAGCTAAAAGTTCGCCGCTATGGGAGTGCGCGCAGCAACGGACATAATCAGTGTGCCCTCGGAGAACACGCATGGCAAGACCCCAGTCCTTTCCTAATGCTGGCGGAACCACTAGCTCTGGAAACTCAGTTGGGAGTAGCCGCTTTCTTAATTTACTGTTGCTGGGGCAGAATAAGAGGGTATTCTGTGCTCTAAGTTTTTGGGAGCATCCGATTGATTGATGAAGAAGGAATAACTGGCGCGCCTCGAAAATAAATTCAAGTATATGCTTTATGTTGCTAGATTCGTCTTTATCAGACTTCGCCTACAGGAACACGTAGAAATATTGTTAGCGATTAACCCCTTTCCTGAAATTCCACCGATCCAGGGTGTGGATTGGACGACGTGTTGATTTAGGTTTACATACCTTTCTCTTCCATACAGTTTCGAGTTCTTGGATAAGGCTCAGCGCTCGTGACAGATGCCCTGTTGATGACAACAATTCCAACCATTTCAAGGGGTATTCGGTGAGAAAGTGAATAACCGTGTCTCTAACTTCGTCAGTAATGTGACTTTCGCAGAGATGCTTGATCCAAAACACTGCTATATAGGACGTTGACTTCCTTAAGCTCTCTGGATGGTCTTGAGATGAATCTCCTGGGGATCCCCCCCATGATCGAGATAGAGAACGAAAACTACATCGTACGATCTTCCAGTGGGTATCTTGGATTTTATCCGACATTTCTCGTTCAATAAAGTCTCTAGCAGACTGGTGCCTGAAGCATATAACGTCGTCGTATGCCTTTAAGAATGAGAAGCACCCCTTATTGACTAGTATCGAAAGATTAACCTCGGGCGGTAGGTCCACAAGTTCCTCAAGGTCTAAGATTGGAAGAGGTCTGTATGCAACGACCATGACCAATAATATTTGGTTACAGTAATCCGGATCTGTCGAGTATAGCTTTTTAATACTTTTCTTCATATGGGTATATAACGACTCAATATCGGCCGGTAACTGACGAATTATCTTGGGAGCATGCCAAGAATCATTCTGCTTGATAGCTTCGCATGCTATCTCGATCCATAGGTAATTCCAAGGCGAGGAGTCACGTAGACATCGTATGACTTCAGTTTCGAGGTCTCCTTTGAAGTGCATGCCACATTGCACAAGTTCACTCACTTCGGAAGGAATGTAATGCTCACGGAATATGGCCGATAACTCCTCGCTATAAGAGTCAAGACAGAGATCGACTTGTCCTGGGAAACACAATTCGCTCTTTTCCCTGCCCAAAGATACTAGCCATCTGACTTTGGAGGACAATCCTAAAGATGCACTAATTAAACTCAAAAGGGCAGTTATTTGAGTAGAATTATACTCGCCAGCCCCATCAACTATAAAAAGCGTATTGGCGAATTTCTCATCCTGAATTATATTATAGAATATAATTGAGAGAGCGTAGAAGTCGGTCGGCTCGTCGAAACCTTTTCTCTCCGTTCGTTTTCTCGCCTCGACAAAGTGATTCTTTAGGGACGGCTGACTATCTAGAGTGAGGCCGATAAGGCTTCTTAGCACCCATGCGGCATTCTTTGGCTCAGTTGGATCACTGCCACGAAAGTGTGATAGTAATTCAGGACTATCACCTCCACCCAGTCCCTGAGAGTAGTACCCATGAATGATCGCGGTAACAAGCATTGCCTTGCCGGTTCCCAGAGCACCGAACACCCAGAGTACGCGGGCGGTCTTGTCGAATTCCTCATATTCTTTAGTTGAGGTTACCCAATCGAAGAGGCGTTCCAAGGTAGTCTTTAACCCCCCTTCTGGATTAGGAATATTATGTTGCCGGCCAATCGTATCAAGGATGGGTACCTCATCTTCGCTTCCAGTGTCCGTTCTTGTATTAGACTCTTCTTCATCAGTAGAACTATCGCTTTGCTCATCGGAATTTTGGAGTGATTCAAGCAGTTGTTTGATTTGAGTCTCTACCTGCTGTCCACTAAATGTAGACAGCCCTTCTTCAGCAGACACAATATTTGCTTGACTTAGGTCGTTCAAATCGACAAGATCCGACGAATAAGGACTCTGAGAACATACGATCTTGATCTGATAGGAAAGTATCGCCTTGTAAACATCAACTATCCTACTCCTAAGGATCCCTTGCTCTGTAGAGTAGCAGTCTCCGGTAGTATTTTTCTCGTCTTGAATGAGAAGCTGTGGTAGAATGCTATACCATGCCATTCTAGACAGGACATAAACGACCCCCGCGACAATGGAATCTGGGCGGGACTTGGAATCGAGAATCCCCTAGTTTGTAACGTCGTTAGAACCTCGATGTCTTTCATTAAGGTGGAGAGGATGGGGATATTCATGGCCTACGTACTTGTAAAGACACGCAGACCGCCGCCCACACCAATGCGTTTTCTGGGTAGTCCACATTCATCGATCGAAAAGTACTCTTCAAGTTCTGAATAGAAGTGTAGTCCGTTACTTCGTCCGTTTTGGAAAGCCAGATATCCACTATTTTATGCATTTGCGCTCTTCTGTTCTGTAGATCTAAGGAGTCAATGTTGTTTTCCCGGGTCATTGAAGGACGCCTCAATTCCAAGCTCCGAGGTTCTCCCTCCATCCATATTGCCAGGATCGCCTCGTAGCTACTTAGTAAATCTGGGTATTCGGTTTTGAGGCTATCGTATGCTTCGTCCCATAGATTTGGTTTGTTTCCAAGAGTAACCGACGGCGTTATATCACTGGCTGAGGAAGCATCAGAGGCTTCAGGCTGCGTCGCATCAGAGGCTTCAGGCTGCGTCGCATCAGTTTCGACTGCATTCGGCTGTGCTGAGTCCTTAGCCGTGTAGTCAACGGGCTGAATGACTTCGGTTGACATGGTAGCCAGTGCTGATGAGATATAATCTTCGGTCGCCTCCGGTGATGTTGATTTTTTAGCTTTTGGTTCCGGAGATCTATCGCCGTTATGTGAAGAGTCTGTGTTGGCTTCGGGGATTCTGAATTATAAGTTTGAAGATCACCTTCTTGAGAAAATACGCTGCATTGCCTTAGAAATAGCAGTCGGTATTACGCTTCGTAGTGCGCGTGAGTTTATTTTTGATATTGGGACCGATTAGCCTGCCGACATTGAAATGGAACGATCAGGGGTAGAATATTTGTGGTCAAGGTAGAAATGCTAGTGAAGATATTCCACAATGTACGTAAAAAGAAGAAAAGCCTCAGTGGGATCTTTCTATAGCAGGGAAGGACTTGGGAAGTTTTCGATTGGTCGTCAACTACGGGGACTGTGTTACTATATGTATCAATATGTACTCGGTACAATAGGTATGTTTTCGGGGTTTCAAGATCGCCGATGGCCACACTATAGATGACGACGCAGCAAAGGGGGGGGGTATGAACGAAATTCTTAAAATGAGAAGTACCTAACTCGTCTATTAACACCAGTCGGATGAATGAGTGGGTATATTATAGTAGCTAGTCACATATCTTAGCTGATCAACTCTCTCGATATTCGCCAGAATTCCAACCAACCCCGGACCTCCACCACTACTGCAGAATCTTATCATACCGTTCAACATCAGCGGTAGAATACCTCATGAGTGCAGACACCAACTCTGAAATGGACAACTACGCTGTTATGGATGATATAGACACACTGGAGTCTATTAAATTCAACCTACACGAGAATCTAAGTAATGATGCTACCCTTCAACAGGGAGGGCTCAAATCCTATACCGCCAACGAAAATAGTAGTGTGATTTACGAAAGGAAGAAGTCGGATCATTCCGTCAAGGTCGAAAGGCTTCTCTGGGTAGACGGGTGGGAAGAGACTATTGGAAAGGGGGAGAGCGTAGTGAACAAACAGGAAATGACGCTCATAGTTCTCAAGTTTTTACTAGCATCACAAGATCCAGATACGAGGATCAGTTTTATGAAAGCATCCATCTTGTTTGAAGACCCAAACAAGGACGCCAAAAACACTGGGGCCCCAGGCGGACCAGAAGTAATAGCGTGGGCTCCTTTTCACTCAGAGGAACGCTGGAATGGGACATCTGCCGAGCTAAAGGAAACTACCACTATAGAGGGGAATTTCAATGCTGGTTATTCGAACATTGGGGTCTCTGGTAAGCGCGGCTACGAGGGCGAGATATCATGGGCTCGAACCGACTTCGACAAGGGGCGCGCGATACCCGAGACGAACAATGCTGGTGGATACAACGGAGTCACGTGGACTCTAGAGCAGAATCCATTGCAAAAAAAGGGGGTCGCGCAAGAAATCTGGACCACGGTCCTCTTATCGAGGCAAAGCAATGCCCCCTACTTGGTGAATTTCAATATAGACGTGCGTGCTGGCACCGTCCAAGAATATAAGGACAAAACCAAGCGCTTTTTTGGCTTCGGGCCGGGACAAACTAAAGCTTTTTTGGTTACCCCGTGGAAGAAGGATGTCTGCAACTCCGAGGGCGAGGACATCATGCAGTGCATTGACTTGAAAAACCTAGGGAGGCTTCGGCAGCAAGGAAAGAGGACTAAGCTAGAAGTCAAGTGGGGGCCTAGCTATAAGATTGAAACATCGAAGCCTATACAGGTCGCCGTGGACGACACCACCATTAGTGACATGGAAGAGAAGAAACTCGGTAGGGTAGTGAATACGGCAGCGCCTCCAGCTTCAACAGTGGGCTCCCCAGCTCCATCGATGCCTAACACGCAATCTTTTACACTACCTGTCACTTCTGGTCCTCCCCGAACTGACCAGTCAACACTCCCACCTCTGTTAATTGGCTGGTGTAACCAAACCCCGACGTTGATCGCCGACACAACCCGACTTACGGCATTGGAGGCACGGCTGGGACAGATAGAAGCCCGCCTTGCGCAGCAGGACTTATTGATACTACAGTTGCAGCGGGCGCTTGCGGCGAAGGACAACTAAGTACCTTAGGTAGGTACGTAGGTAGGCAGCCAGCCAGCTAGCAAGATTGAAGCTACAATATACCTAGGCTTTTGTTTAATAATACTACCGCTTATCAATTACTTTCTCTGGCTATATCGGTTGGGGTACGATCAAGGTTTTGTAATAAGTCTTAACAAATCAGTCAAGCTACGTGTCTGATTACGATATTGGTAGGTAGGCTGTGAGCCTCCATGCATGATGCATCTCCGAAGCTGAAAATTATCAATGCAGAACCTTGCATTATACCGACACAATGCCGATATATAATGTCAAATTCTCGAATCAAAGCTTTGCCGTAACAATTGCCACGCTGTTACGACATCTTGTAAGTAACTACAGCCGCAAATACCGAACAAGAGGTATCTATACATACATAGTACCTGGATATCACCTCTCAACACTGTATACGAGTGAGACATTTCTTCAACTCACGCACAGCACAGCCTTATGTGCGGATATCATATTCTCTCGAACCTCTAAGTAATTGCAATCTTTATTAGACAATCTAACTCAATATATCACAATACTATCATATTAGTACCAGCGTAGAGTTGCGATGGTTTCACGCATACCGAACGAAGATGGCCCAATCTCCAATATCAAAAGGACATGGGAGAAAATACTGGGAAAAGATGACAAAATAGACTCGATGGTCGCAGACGGGGTCTTCAAGCCACTGAAAATGGCCTTGTCTGCAATCCAGACCGAGGATTCGGATGTGAAAAAACAGATGATGGTGGAAATTACCGAACTGTTGAAAGTCGGCCTAAGGAACGTTGACGACTGTGTTCGATGGCTTGTTCTTTTCCAGACGGTCGAAGACATGGATACCACTTCCCAATCAGACACCAGGGAAGATTCCGAGACATTAACGGAGATCCCAATTGAGATGGAAAAAGATGTGAACATTTTGATCATGAGAATCATCATCTCCATAGCCCCTTATTTAGCTTTTGAAAATCCTATAATGACATCCGAAACCATGGATGATATGCAGAAAACATGCAGGGACAAGAAGAAACACAAGTACGACGCAAAAATGAAGAAAAATAAGAAAACCACTCCTTTTCATAAAGCAGCAGAAGACGGCAACGGAAAAGCCCTCAGGCATATGATCCGCCAGGGGCGTGAGTTTTGTCGCCACCAATTTGGAATCGATACTTGCCACAGGCGCTACATAATTACTAAGGCTTTCAACGTGACCCCGAAAGACTGTCACGAACTACTCCTTGAGATCATGCGATGGACCGACCCAAGCTCTAAACATAAGGAGACCGCTCTTCGCTTGGCTGCTGATGCTGAGGATGGTGATAAACTCGGAGCATTGTACGCGCTCCTGGATTTCGATACCCGCCTTGCAGGACCACCAGATAATACATTCCAGTGTGCACTAGAAGACGGGAAAATCAATGTGGTGAACGCATTCTTTAAATACGAAAAACTGAGAGAGCAGTTCGCCACAAGCAAGAACGTTGTTCAAGCCATGGGTCGCGTGAAAAAGGGGTCATTAAAGCAGAAAAAGCAGGAACCCGGTCGTCTCAAAAAACGACCAACAAATCTGGAGTCCGACAACGATTCTTATCAGCAGATTGTACGCAGTTTGATCGGTTGTACCACAACATTTGATGAGCAAGTTGTTGAGAAGATAATTGAGCTTGACTTAGAAGAAGCTTGGGAAAAGCTACCAGTCGACATGAAAAAGCATGAGACCCCAAAAACGCGAGGGCTTCTTCACCTTGCAGTTCGACACCAAAACCTCGGTTTCGTAGAGAAGTTCCTACGGCTTTACCCGAACTCCGTCACCTTCCAAGCCGATTTGCCTGCCGCTGAAAGAGGTAGCGCGCAAAGAGAGTCATGCTATCCATTGTGGCATAACAACAAGGCCATCGTAAATTCAGAAGTAAAGGATAGAAACACGGAAGACAGCCCGGACAAAATCAAAATCCGCAATGCGATAGTTACTGCCACAATTAAGGGGGTGGGGAAAATGCAAAGGTTGTCAGAAATATTCCAAGATTCCAATGGTAAGTATAGCTTATTACGACACCGCACTTCTTTTCGCAAAGGATCTATTAAAACCTCATAGCTAACTATTTTCTCTTAGAAGTCGGTAAGCAAAAACGATGCCGGCTGCGTCACCCAATATCAAGTTTCTGATTATCATGTCTTATAGTTAACGAGCTATGCTTTGATCTCTCGCGATTTAACTCAAAGGTGTATCCAATATCGGATTTCGTTCACTCTTTGATCAACCACCGAGAAAACCCGGGCCTGTTATCTTACGAACATACCCTGAAATATGCCGACTTCCCAGCGTTAGACTTGGGACCTGACAAAGAGACACCCGGCAACAGTGTTCGTGTTGAACATAAGGAAGTCTTCGGCATCCTCGATTGGTTACGAGACAAAGGGGTTTACGAAATAATCGAGCTTATAGTGCCAGATAGGCTAGTAAACCCACATAATGAGGTAGAGATTGCAAAGTATGTCAAAGACTTCAAAGTTGAGAACCTCAACTGGAGAATTTTAGACATGTCTATATCGGTTTTTCAGGACGAAGAGACTAAGGAAAGAATCGAATACCTCCACCTATACTCAAGTGGGAAGCGAGCAGTTATTAGCCATTGGCTAAGCAACGAAGGAGTCGCATCTCTTAAAAATGTAAGTTCGACTTAACGAATGATTTCTGAGCCATTGTTTTCCAATGGTATTAAGCGATGCCTGCTAATGTAATCTTAAAATTAGCTGAAAACTCTCGATATTTACGTCATACAGGTTGGAATAATATTCCTCAAGTACTTGTCGTTTTATTAAAGACTTTAACAACTAAATTATTTTCTAGGAACTGATGACGAGGCAAGAGTGTTACGATACCCTTGCTTATATTCGTCGCGAATTTAAGAAGGCAAAGAGTGCTCAAGATATCGATATCAATATAACCGCTCAGCCATGGAATCCAACCCATGAAAGATTGGCTGACTTGGAAGAGATGTGTGTTTTCAAAGATTTATATTAATTATAGAAAGTGTTAAGCTAACACATCTCCAGAGCCGAAAGGGCTTTCCCGAAACTATCGCGTTTCATTAGAAGCTATTGTAAGCATACGGAAGACTACGATACCGGAAAACGACCATTCCGCCCAATAAAAGTGGCCATCATCGATAACGGCATATTGAGCATCGCTCCCGGTTCTGAAGTTCTTTGGGGCGGTTCTAAGACTTATCAACGGTCAGACAACTATTCAGGCTCCTCCGAAACCCAGTACATAAAACAAGAAAGTCCAGATGACTCTAAAAGCGATGGCAAATTCTCAGATTTGAAAGGCCACCGCGGGAATCAAAAAACCCTTTGGTCACGTGTTAAAGGGGGTAAGTCTTTCGTAGATGAAGGGTCTCGGGTTGGTCCGTGGCTATTCGCATCCGACCCGCATGGAACGCAGATGGCAAATATCATTTGTGCGATCGATCCACTATGCGAACTCTACGTAGCGAAAGTTACAGAAGGTAGATACGGTGTCACTCCCTCGAGAGTTGCAAGGGTAAGTAAGGATTTCAATGAATCTTTCAAAGGCACAATTGATTTATTAAATGGTTATACTGTGGTAAGCTAACAACGTGCTCTCATATGCAAGGCAATCCGGTGGGCGATACTTCAAAAAGTGGATATCATCTCCATGAGCTTCGCGACATTAGACAATAACCCTGACCTAGAGCGAGCCTGTAACGACGCGGACGCAGCAGGGATTGTGATGCTATGCAGCACACATGACGAAGGAGCGAAAATTAAAGACGCTTATCCAGCAAGTTTCCCGTCAACAATTTCTATCACTGCTTGCGATGAATTTGGTTCGCCGCTTCGAAATAGCCAACAAAAGTACGACTATGGAATTTTAGGTCAAGATGTGGCCGCAGGCGTAGTCCCGTTTCTTGAGTCTGATGATCGTATATCTGGCAGTTCTGTTGCCACAGCTATTGCTGCCGGACTTAGCTCACTGATCTTATCTTGCGATAGAATCGCTCACCCGGACGGCACGTACGAAGTATCTCCCAGGAAGGCTATTGTAAAGCATCATCTACGCCAAATGTTGGCCACGGACGACCAATACATATTGCTGGAGAAGTTCGGGCGCATTGATCTTAAACTGAAAGATGGTCTCAATATTGTTGCCGAGGAGATCATAAACAATGTGTTCAAAAAGGCAACTTACAACACCTAGTGTTTACATGCTATAAGGGTATATTCGCAACAGATATGATCGGGAAGGAACTAATCGATGTATTCTCTCATTACTTACCCCTGGATTCCCCGGTCGGCATTGGGGTATTTAGATAAATACTCTTTGACTTTTCATATATAGCTTCGATCTATTATTATCCATTGCAATTCACCCAGCTTGCTTAAATCCTCATATCGTATGCGTATTTGAGTCATATATGTTTACTACTTTTTCGAGTGAAAAGGTAGAAACTGTATAGTAATATTTATGTATTATGATAAGTGAAGAAGCGACCTTAGAACACATAGATTTGGATGTAATTACCTAGTAAATTGCAATGAGTTTATATCCTAGTTACGCATATTATCAAGTATTAGCAGGCCCATCTAACAACTCTTAAGTTGGTAGGGACTATATTACACAAGCAGCTCAAAACGCATTTATTAAAGGAAACCCTTTTATCGCTAATGAGCCTCCAAACCCCGTAAGTGTCCTCGATCTTGGCGAATCTAGTGTATGGGTTGATTTAAAATTTATATCACCCGTAAACTCCGTTTTCCTTTGGGTTGAACTTAGAGAACTGTCCACCAAAATCTTCCCGTTGCTTCCTTTTCGCTGTCAAAGGAATAGCTAGAGTCGTTGTAGCCGAGAGAGATTGCAACTGATTACCTCTTCAATACGCTATAGCGTTGACCACGCCACGGTCTCCTTTCTAACACTGTATGCTGTTAGCCGCCAGGAACAAGTCCCAGGATAATCTATTTCCTTGATATATGAGAAAAGAGTATCTTATGCCAACTGCGTCCAGTTCAAGATCTTACCCTGATTATGGTGGGTTGGATCGTGAAACGTTGTATATCTCTCTCTCGTAGCGAGCTTAATTGTCTTAAACCACTGTGCAGATTTTTAAACCATTCTAGACATCATTATTGGCAGTTAAATGAGTTACCGTTTGAGAATGCTTCGTTGGGTACTAGTGGGATGCTGGGACCTTGGATGAGACAGTTAAAACAAAGTCAATACCATGATAGATCTATATCCCACATCAACTTCTGCATCTATAACCTAGGGGTCTTTTAAAGTAACTTTATTGTCTATATATGTTCCAGTTCACCTCGTAATAGCTTTTCCTTGCACATCCCTATAGAGTATCATTTCTATAAAACATTACCTACCACATTTGAGGAACGCTTAGTCGTATGGTCCTGGGAATCAATCATATAACCGAGTGTTGATTAAGGTTAAGGCTAAAGATAGAGGATGCCTTGAGTACAGACTTGTTAATTGTTAATAATTGATGTGAAGATAATAATGCAGACGATACATAGTAGTCATTCCATTTGATTTGCCTGTCCCATCTCATCCCATCCCATCTCACCAGCACTGTCATCTTGAACAGCGCGATATAAAATGTCAATAAATATCATTCCGTCTATTTATAATAGCATCATATATATGAGACGACAACACAGGAAAGCAGTCACAGAAAGGTCGGTCTTCTCGTCACTATAAAACTGCATTATTATGCCCATTATCATCACCATGAGCCATTATTCCACCGGGTCTCTAGGATCTGCATGTATATGTAAAGGAAACCGCCGCGCCGGCCTACCACATAGCTGAGCCATAGCGTCTATCTGTACTTCATAGCGATGCTGAATGGTGGGTATGCAAACTCCCTATTTCTGCTCTAGAAACCGCACCGAATTCACATTCTGTCTAAGATATCAATACCCTTTCTCCAGGCATCTACCAGCTCATCATCCCCGTGCTCCGATCAAACCCACCCCGCAGCTGCTTATCCGGCTTGACAACCTTGCCCTGCAGAATCGTATACCGAACCAGATTCTCGCAGTCCTCGGGACGCACTCGCGCAAGCCAGATACACTGGCCAGCTCCTACATCCGGCTCCTCAGCTTCCTCTCCATCCTCCGCAGGCACCGGCTTCACAACCTTGACCTGCGGCTCCTGGCCCGGGGGCAGCTTCCCTCGATCTACCTTATCGAGGCCGAAGGCGTCCGGGCGGCGGTAAATTAGGACGTTGGCCGAGTACTTGTGACCTCCGACGTGGTTGACGAAGTAAATGCCCACACCTCCGGGTCTCTCATCATCGAGATCGCGCTCCAGACCCAGCGGGCGCAAGTGCCGCTCAAGCTCCTTCTTGATGAGCGGTGCGCTCTGACCGCAACGGGCGTCGCGCGTGCGGTGCGAGCACAGGAGGACGATAGCGCGGTGGGGACAGGGGCGCGCGTGCATGTCGCCGACGGCGGAGCGGGACGACGGGATGGTTGTGGGGAGGGAAATCGGGTCTAGGGGGTCTGAGGTTGTAGGCACGCGTGAGATGTACTTGTTGATGAGGGAGGGGACGGCGGGAGGCGTCACGTTGTCGATAATGGTGAAGGCGGGGAGAACCAAGATGGATGTGGGTTGCGAGTAGTCGGCCTGATGCGACGATGTGGGCATGTTGGAGGCGGAGAGCATGAGGCGCTAAGTTGCGTGGTGTCAGTATATCCATATATTCTTCTAAGTAGCATATGAAAACGAGGGGGAAAAAACCTACCCCGTTACCAGGTTTACTAGCATGCCCAAACGCCTCCATCACACTGCCCTTCTCATCCTCCACATCCCTCTTCCAATCCGACTTGCTAGTCGCGACGATGACGTGCGTGCTCCAGGGCTTGATATTGCCGTACAGCGGGTGCGACTCCTCGACCTTGAAATGCCGCGGGTACTTAACGGTGCAGCTGTCGCAGTCGTGCTTACACGCCTCGCCGTCGACGTCCGGCCGCGTCTGCGGGAACAGCTCCGACGCGCGCGCGCTCCCGGTCAACGCCCGCCGCGCCCCTCCGATCAGCGAGAGCAGACCTGCCGCCATCTTTCTTTCTTTTCTTTCTTCTCCTCCCCGAAGGTTCTTCCCCTTTGGCCGATTGGGTCGGCAGTTGGCCGCAGATAAAAAAAAAAAAATGTAAATGTATAAAGTTTGCGACACGGAGAATAAATAAGTCTAAGAAGCGGCTGGAGCTATGGTGGGGCAGGGGTGAGATGCCAATATATCTTATCTGATCCGGAGATTGGGTTAGTGCTGCAAGCTAAGTGGGGAAGGGAAGGGGGGGAGGTGTTTGGGGAATTGAGTTTTGGGGGCTTGTGCCTGGGAAGGAGAAAGCAAGGGGGTACGATAGGTACGATACGGTAATAGTATCCGCTGCTTGTAGCGTAAGACGAAACTAAAAAAAGTCGCAACACTTACATAACCAACTCTGCTGTGACTAGATTCCTCCTAGTCAGCGTAACGGTTCTGTATTCACCTGGTTATTTGTGAGAGGCGAGGAATCTTGTTGCGTCGTGACAAACGTCGCACGATCTATGGCAACCAAAATCCGAGCGCGATAATCTCCGAGGTAAAACAAGCGAAAAATCTAAACCTTCACTTACTTCACCCTTCCTTCCTTCTGAACGTAAAGGGGTTAGGTAAAAAAAAAAAATAGGAAAACGGCAAAAATAAAAAGGGATGGTAGGACTTTGGGATGACAAACTCGAAATAAAAAGAATTCTATTCGAGACCCTGCCGGGGCTCCCTATTATACATACCTGTCCTCGGTCGGGGTATCCCATCTCGGACAAAAGAGGGCACGTCCTTCGGAGTAAAGCCTTCGGCTTCCGAGCTGCCGCGTGTTCGTTGGCTCCAGCCATCACCGCTACAACTATGACTATGACTATAACGTATATGCTATACCGTATGGATTAAGTACATATGCCCGTCACGTCATTAGGCGTTAAGCCCACGATTTCTATTTGTTATAATAAAAAGAAGAAAATAATAATAATAACTGCCACGGCATCTCACCAGTACGGTAGGTATACTGCTTGCCGTATTCTATCTACACTATCTCCCCTTAAATCCGCCCTGTACACCGGTAGGGCTGTACAAGGTACATACAGTATAGGTTAGAGGTACCTGTAATACTAAATACGTTGAGCATTCGTAACCATGTTACGGAATACATGCGTACCTAACTTATGCAACCCACACTTCCAATAAGATATCAGATCGGCCCCAGGATTTTAACTGGCTCCGACCCCTGCCAAGGATCCCCTCGATTGGGCCTCACTTACGTACTCATCTTGTCCACCGTAACAGATGAGTACCTAACCTACTCTACTATATAGGTAGCCAAGTCGGACTTCAGGACAAACTCAACCGTCTATACTCGCACACATACGCACACATAATAGTCCGTAGGTATATAAATAAATATCGGGCCCCAAGTCCAGACATTACATTACCTACCACAGCGTTGTTATAGTTATCTTGAAGCATAACTCACACCTCTCACGAAACTCATAACCAAGCATCACGCATATAAACACGCACCAAGTTAACATGGCATCGTCATTACGTTCTATTCCCCTTATTCTTCTCGTGATCGAACAGTAGCCGCATAGACGACAACAACGACAGTCTACCTGGACACCAACGTACTGTCCGTTCGGGTATACATTACTCCTGTTTCTCCTTCTCTCATACACAAGAATTCTTAGTAGTCCAAAAGAAAAAAAAGAAGTCCCCTACCACGTTATAGTGCTCGACTCCTTCCCTTCTAACCCAGACTTATCCGTCCAGACCTTTCTTTTTAGTCCAGTCCAAGCCAAATTATCTTAGGTACACAAACAAGAATCAAACCCTGTGAACAAAAACAAGAAAAAAACCTCAAGTCCCCTCGCTCCCCTCTCCATCCGACGAAAACCCGCTTTTCCTCCGTCTCAGCTGCCCCATCTGCTTCATCGCCGCCCTGATCTTATTGCTCGCTTCGTTGAAACCCTCGTTACTATCCAACGTCGTGAACCCTGACACCGGAAACCCGCCGGACCCGAACCCGCCTCCGCTACTGCTGCTGCGGCTTCTAGACCGGGATGGCGGGCGCGTCGCGAACATACCGATGGCACCAATGTTGCTGAAAGACTCGTTTCTTGGGATGGCCTGGCTCGATTTTGTGGTATTCTTCCTCGAAAGGTGCGGGGAGTCCGGCGGCGTCGGCTCCGTCCTGTCTGGAACGCTAGCTTCCCTGAGCGAGATCGCACCGTTCGCACGCGGGTCTGCGACCAGACGCGTATGTTCGAAGTCCTCGTACATGTCGGGTCCGAGATCGTTGATGACCTGGACTACCTTCTCAGATAATTCTGCTCTCCGCTCCCGAAGCTTGTGGATGCTGTAACTAGATGTAGGGCTGATGCACAGAACAAGGGGCCTGAGAGATTTGAATATGTCCATACCAACTTCGCCAAAGCGCAAAGCGGCAAATGTGATAGCCGGGAAGACGATCCAACCAGCAATGAATACTAACCAGAACGGCACCCACTCCGGTACGTAGCCCCATAAGTGATCCTGGTACACCTTGAATGAGAGCAAGATGGAATATAGGTTGTAGAGCACGGGCGCAAACGCCATGGCCACGAGGAGTTTCCACGTGGCCATGACATCCTTGCCTTGTATCTTAACCGACGAAGCCGCTAACGCTTCTTTAGCCTTTTTATGGCTAATGATCTTAGATGCGGCAAAGACCGGCGCGAAAAGAACAAGGCCGGGGATCACACCGATGGAGAGAAGTAGAAGCTTAACAATCCGGTATAGAAGGGTGACGATAACTATCGGGAGAGTCATCTTAGCATAGGCCACTTGGTGGTCCTTGATATTGAGGTAGCTGAGCTGCTTGTTGTAATCCTTGATATTGTTCATCAGATCGATAATGCGTGGGTCATCCTTATATTTGGAGAAGCCGACGGCTAACCTCCTGTTCAGCTCCACCACCATGGGCAGAGGTAGTTTCTTCCCAGTATTGTATAGTCGCCGGGCTGCTTGGATGCACATCAAGGTATCGTAATCCGGAGCCGATACCGTAACGGCGCTCAAAGCTTGATGTACCATATCGAGTGTCTGGCCAATCGCATCTCTCCTCTCGTTGTTCTTATATTTCTCAACCAGATCTCTTGGGATTTGGAAAGGGGCTCCAAATTCAACGACAGCCCGTGACCGGAACTTGTGAGCATGGAAGTAGTTCATCCCAACAGGAACAATTTGCAGTCCACAGTCGGGGTCTTTGGCCAGGGTACCCAACGCCATGATGGCGACACCAGCCTTCAGAGGTAGCAATTCCGTCCTGTCATGGCTACCTCCTTCAGGAAAAATTCCAATACAACCACCTGATCTTAGACGATTGAAAACCGCCTCGTAAACCTCAGTCTGATCGATATGAGGAGCCAGCTTAAACTTAGTACCCTCAAAGCCATCTTTTGGGCCCTTCAATTCCTTATTAGTAAAATTTCCCTTCTCGTCGATATCGTCTCGACCGGTTAGCTGCTGCAGGGGAACCTTTCCCTTGAACGGCCGCTTAATTCGAATTTCCTTGGGTCCGATGATCTTGGATATGTCGATCGAGCTACCCGACTGGCCCTTCACGGAGGGCAGGAACAGCATGCCGCCAACCTCGGCTTCTTTTTCGAAGTCCGTGCCCACGCCTCGGATCAAGGTTGGATCGTTGATGGGGTCGGGAAGATAGATAACACCTGAAGCGGGTTTCGCTTTATCCTGCGCTCGGCCGACAGGGACGGACCCAGTCTGGCGGGACCCCCATCCGATGAAGCCGTGCACTGATTTCTCGGCGATGAGTAGGCCTACGCGCCGCTGGGCTTCATTTTTCAGCGTCCGTTGGAGGACTAAGCCGTCGACGAATTGGTTGGCATGCGGCGCGGCGACGAAGAGAATAGGCCCGGTCCTTGGCACTCTCCATGCGCCTCGCGGATGAACTTCGCGGAAGAATAAGTCTACGAGAACGGAAAATGTATGTAAGAAGGCGTCGTATTTCCAGTCGGACATGGGGTATAATTCTTTTTCTTTAGTAGGTTTGGGCTTTGCAACGGCGGAGGGCCGTGCCTCTTCGGCGGGCTTGCCGTCAGCGGGCTTGCCGTCGGCCATGGTCGCAAAAAGCAATCGAAGGTATAAATCAACTGTTGAAGTCGATTAGTGGCGGCGACGGATATGGCGGATTATTCGGTTCGTTCAAGTAACGACTGTAAAGTAGAGTTTCGGGGAGTTGCACGCGGACTCGATCGAGTGGGCTCAGAAACGGTCACGTTGTCAAAAGCTGGGTGTTGACGTGGTAGGTAAAAACGAATGGATTAGGTATTAAAGCCAGATTAGAAGAAGTCCGGGCTCAAGCTATTAGTATGTAGAAGTCTTAGCCCTCAGCTAAACAAGGAAGAAATATAAAAAAAACTTATAAAAAAAAGAGAAGGTAGCTAGGTTAGGTATCAATGGCTCTAGCACACACCAGCAATCGAGAGCGTCATTCTTGGTGAAGAATGATGGAGTAACAAGAAAACGCAATGTAGATCTTGCTCGGGCAGGTTTAATAAAAAGAAGAGAAGGAAAAAAACTCAATCAATCACAGGCCAAAATCCAGACAACTTGTGCATGAAAATGCAAGCCACAGCTCGTGGTACCCTGCCAGCTGCCTGCATGCCCTGGAAATACATAATACTACTGGAAGCAACTGGAATCTTGGCAGAACGTCAGACCTATACACTACTCGGCGCCACAGCTGGAGGAGGGGCCGAGGGGGTAGTGGCCATTCGTCCGAGGTTTCTAACTTGTATGTAAAAGGTACTAAAACTTAAGTGGAGTTCCGTGCTAAGCCCCATGTATCTGTGTATAACCCATCGAAGGTACCTAATCGTCTTTTTCGTAGATAATTCTCGACATGTCAACTCTCAACATATCTACGCCTCCTTGACTTAGATATCTGCTTACTATTGGGTTAAAATCCGCTCAAGATTCCCAACAGAAGCAGACCGGAGAAGCAGACCGGATTGATTATATCTTTACCGAGTATGCGAGACAGTCTACCTTAGGTAGTTATCTAGTTAATCATCTTACATAGTAAGTCGTTACGGCTTCTCGGTATGCAGCTTGCTATATACCAGCATACATAAAGGCCCATAATATCTATAAAAATCATGCAAGGCGAGGCGCAATCACGGATGCTGGCAGATACGAACGAATGCAAGTCATATACGACGATAGCTAATTAAAAACGTCTTCGCATGTCCTGTACCTACCTAGGTAAGTAATTAAAGCCAGCCTAGGTAATTGCGCATGTGAGCACCAGCTATGCGGATCGATATACATAATACGGCTAAGACAATCGCGAGGATAGACCGAGATATATTTAGTCTTGCTGGTCGGTATACAAGCTTCGCGCAAGAACTTAACTTTCTTTTTTTCTTTTTCTTTTTTTTCTCTTTCTTATCCTTGCTAAGCTTTCCGGCTGCTCCCAAGATCCATGTGACATGTATGTAGCATGTTAATGGTCTCACGGGTCACAAGGACCGCCGCTTGAATCTGTGCGTTAACACAGGGAAAAGCAAAGTCAATTAACATCCTGGATTGCTTCAAAACGTCGTCATATAGTACTGACAAATATCGTACCATTGTCATTACGGACGGAAATCAGTTTTTGCTTTTCCCCTTCCCCTTCCGACGTCTCTTGTCCTCAGGCACAGACGCGCTACCTTCTTGAACCTCGCCCTCCTCGACTTTGCCCTCGGCTTCCAGTTCCTTGAGCTTTTCTTGGCCCGAGATAAACATGCTAAGATCGTGGTTCTGGTCCTTTAAGTCTGCATTCTCTAATTTTAGCTCTCTAACTTGTTCGCCTAGGCTTTCGAGCTCCTTGTTCATATGTTCGATCCGTTTCATTAGGCCTTCCGAGACCTTCTTCTCCTCCTGTAGACTCTTGCCTAGCCCCCGCGCAAGATCCGTAGATTTAGTTGCCCGGTTACGTTCGCGTTCCAAGTCTTTCTCGAGCCCCGGGATCGTCTCGGTGCGTAAGCGGTCTTGTTCCTCTTGGACTATTTTAAGCTCCTTAAGTGCCCGTGATGCTTGGGCTGCGGCGGTCTCTGCGGCTGCCGATGCTTTCGTCGCCTTGTCCGCAGCCTTCGAAAGCATTTCCTCAAAATATACACGTTGGCTCTCTAATTGGCTGCTGAGAAGATGAGTATACTCCATACCGATACTTTCGAGTTTCGCACGAGGCACTACGTCCTGGTCTTCATGTTCGTCAGGACCCATGTGCCCTCCTCGACGACCAGGTAACTCCACCACCTTGCCGTCACCCTTGTCCCTAATCAAGCGATGTACCCACATATCACCGGCGTAATCCCAAACGTGTTGGGTTTCTATCTCTAGGGAGAAAGTATGAGCTGTCTCCTTCCAATGTTCTTTCGCGTGACCGCCTTTATACCGCCCGCACCCCACATTACCACAGATAAGACATATCCAGAGGTCGTCTGGAGAGTCGCAAACAGAGCATAGGTTGGATACGCGGGAGCCGAAAGGCTGTGTATATGGGTTGTTAGGGTCGTAAGGGGTTGAGGCGTGCGCATTTGACGAAGACGAAGACGATGACAGTATTGGATTCGTGTGCCGGCAGACCGGACAGCCGGAACCCTTCCATTTCTGTAGACACGAGCAATGAAATACGTGTTGGCAAGTAATTGTTAGCAGACCTGTAGTATCGTCCATACGCTCGAGACAGACGGGACAAGTAGGTAGTTCGATTAAATTAGGGGTTGGTGGCGGAAATGGTTTAAGCGAATTAAATGTAGCTGAAGTAGATGGTGTAAATGGATCTTGGCTGAGATCTGGGAAGCTGTCGCCTGGCCGAGTCGGACTCTCGAAAGTGACGGACCTAATGAAGGCAACTGTGCACGTTTCCGGCTTCGTTGCGTTAACCTTCTGTATACTATAATTATACTATAATCTTGAGAATATTCTTACCTCGATGTCATTGAATACCCTGCCGTCAAACTCGCGCCTAAAGAGTTGCGCCTGCTTGCTCTCTCGAAATTTCATGAGCACGAGGTATCTATTCATTCGACCCGTCATGACCATACGATAATGGCTGACTTTGTCCCTCCATTTCTCGCCTATGAAACCGAGAAAGTCGCTTGGCGACAAATAGCTTGGGACTGCAGGAATACAAACAATAGTACAGTCGATTTGCGCGCCGTCCTGTTCTCCGTTGGCTTCGGGTATTTGATCGGGAGATATCTCAAGCTCTGGGCTCTCTGCTTCTTCTCGGTATAAATGTACGATTCCCCAACCCAACTCGGTGTTCTTAGAAGAGTTTAGCGGGACATATTTCGCTTTTGTAGCCTTGCCTGCACCTCCCATAGAAGGGCCAACGGCAGCCGCCGCTGCGGATGCTGCTTGCATATTGCCGTGGCAGTCCACGTCGATGCTCTCGATCCTAAGTTGCCCGAACCTCCAATCCTTAGCTGCGGTATGCGGGTTTATGGCAACGTACGACTGGGGAGGCGGATAGCTTAGCGTTCGTTGTCGAAGCTGTCTCTCGGTAAGTCGTATAATATTCCGATCGTCTTGCGACTCGGGCGGTCGAGGGGCCCCGCAGTCAATAACGCTCGAGTTAGACTTCGTTAGGGTATTCGGTGTTTGGTTTCGCTGCCAGTTGTACGGTATCTCCCCTCTACGAGTTTGAGCTTGAGCTACTGGCTGCGTTCGAGGATGCGACGGAAGGTTGTCGAAGATGTTCGATGTCTCTTTCGGTAGCCAAATCGACCTATCGTAAGATTGAGATGCCTTCCCTAATCCCTTAGACGTCGGAGTCGGCGTGGGATAAACTTCGAGTTTGATATGGTAATAATATGATGGCATAGCCTATGTCTTTAAGAATGCGCAAGACTTAATGAGCAAATCATCCGTATGCGTATATTGGAAGCTGAGCCAACTCATGTGGCAAAGCAGGGATGCGATCCGCCAAGGTAATAAAACTATGTAAATGCCGTTGTCGGTCGTAGTAAAAAGTTGCTCCCATTGTTAAAATAAGTAGAGGAATATGTATTGGAAATGTTGTGGCTCAGTATAAGTTTTTGGAATGAGAAAGCGCAAACGTTCCTTTCGATTCATTTGTCATCTTTTCCTTACGCATGTACCCCAACCCTAACGTTCATAGATACAATAACGTAAACCACGGGTCAAAGGCTCACACAGGTCAAAGGCCCAATAAAAATACATACAAAATACGTCTGTGCGTAACCGTGCACTTTACTTAAAATAAATCGTATTAAAAATCGGTTTTCGAAATTAAATATGCATTTAAATTTTAATAATAATAGTATTTTTTTATAAAATTTTACTATTTTTTTTTAATTAATAAAAAATAAAAAACATAAAAATAAACTTAAAATAATAATATTTTTTTATAATTAATATTATAATGTAATAATATTTTTTTCCATTTTTCTATAAGTTAGGTATATAGTTAAATATAACATATTAAAATTTAAGATTTTTAAATTAAGATTCCGTAAAGTTATAAATTTCTAAAATATTAGAAATAAGGTGTGTTTTGCGTTAGGCCTTTGACCCGTGTAAGCCGTTAACCCGTGGTTTACGTTAGAACTTTTGCTAGTAATAGAGTACGAATAATACGGTAACAGCACTGTCGCCCAACACACGTATACTGGATTACGTCTTAATGTCTCATTTATCACAATTACGAAAAACACGGTTTAAAAAGTCATGAATGTGGTATATTCATATTCAGCATCAATCGATACTTCCTTGATCATTAAGGTATGTTGATTGATGCCTAGGCCTAAGAGCCTAATCCGGGGCCAATCCCACTAACGCCAGTTCGTGCAAATGTCGTCATACTCCACCATCGCGAAGCGCCTATTGTCCACCACGGAGACGGAGCACCAAGTGCAGCGTAGACTCCTTCTGAATGTTGTAGTCACTCAGAGTGCGACCGTCTTCCAACTGCTTACCAGCGAAGATAAGTCGCTGTTGGTCAGGGGGAATGCCTTCCTTGTCCTGGATCTTGCTCTTGACGTTGTCGATCGTGTCCGATGATTCAACTTCCAGAGTGATCGTCTTTCCTGTCAACGTCTTGACGAAGATCTGCATTCCACCACGTAGTCGGAGAACGAGGTGAAGAGTGGACTCCTTCTGGATGTTGTAGTCGCTGAGGGTTCGGCCATCCTCCAATTGCTTACCCGCAAAGATGAGTCGCTGTTGGTCGGGAGGAATTCCTTCCTTGTCTTGAATCTTGGACTTGACGTTGTCGATGGTATCCGACGATTCAACCTCAAGGGTAATAGTCTTACCGGTTAAGGTCTTCACGAAGATTTGCATACCACCACGGAGACGAAGGACAAGGTGGAGAGTGGATTCCTTCTGAATGTTGTAGTCGGATAGGGTTCGGCCGTCCTCAAGCTGCTTGCCGGCGAAAATCAATCGCTGTTGGTCAGGAGGGATACCCTCCTTGTCCTGGATCTTCGACTTCACATTGTCAATGGTGTCGGAGGACTCGACCTCGAGGGTAATGGTCTTTCCGGTAAGGGTCTTGACGACTATTCAAATCGTTAGCATGTTGTAATTGATTATACTCAGATGGAGTGTAACTTACAGATCTGCATGCCACCACGCAGACGGAGGACGAGATGGAGAGTGCTCTCCTTCTGGATGTTGTAGTCGCTCAGAGTGCGACCATCCTCAAGTTGCTTTCCAGCAAAAATCAATCGCTGTTGATCGGGAGGAATGCCCTCCTTGTCCTGAATCTTGGACTTGACGTTGTCAATGGTGTCCGAGGACTCGACCTCAAGGGTGATGGTCTTGCCAGTGAGGGTCTTGACGAAGATCTGCATCTTGTCGGTAAAGCACGGATAGATCGGATAGATTGGGTGCTCGGTTGATGGGTCAGTTTAAGGTACCAAGAACGGATAGATGGTATCACGGTTGTTGATGAGAGTAGTTGATGATAGATTGTGGTGGAGGAGAGAAAAGGAAGAAAGGAAGAAGAAGGTAGGCAAGTATGGGGTTCAAATAGAGAATTGGGAGGAGCGGCAAACGAACACGGACACCCTGAGGCGCAGTTACCTGAATGGAAGCCTTGGGAAGGAGACGTGGGGTATCCACTTTAACCAATCACGTCTTCAGTTGCCCAGCTGATCCAAGAAGTGAATCACCACTGATAGCGGGGGGAAAGCGCCAGAAGTTGGCTGGACCCAGCCTGTTAGTAGTCTCAGGAAGTGACAGGTACGTTCTAGAGTCACGTACCTACCCGTATCTAATGTATCAAAGAGGCAAACAGCCAGACTGCCACCTGCCATAGTCAACCTTGCCACTGCTGTTCAATGCTTGATAATCCGGATTGACTTTCGTCAGCTTTGTTTCCCAGCCACAGGTACTGTAGCAACCTTAATAATCACTAGGTTTCTATGTACATACATACGGATCCGTAACAATATCAACAATAGCAATTCGTTCTTTGCCCAGGTAAATAAACCGTATGAATCTTCAGATTCAGCAAGTAACTAACTACACGTATGTAATCAACAGCTGAGCATTCAAACAGTAGTGATTTAGCATAGGTATTGCGCGATAGTCCTGTTATCTATCTATTCTACGTCATGTGGCCCAAGGGTCTAGATAAGAAACCACAAGGTAACAGTGAAACACCGAAACAGGAAAACAAGAGGCATTTACCACATATAATCTTCATCTCTCAGTTACATATCCAACTACACATACAATTCATCGATTAGGTTTACTATGGCTATTGATTTTACCTATTCACTAATCATTACATAGTAACTAGCTTTATTCCTATGTATAGACATTTCTCTTTGCCCCCTTTCCGAGCTACCGAGATCTGCGTCCCCGGAGCGAGCCGAACGTCAGGGGCTTAGTGTATAACTACATACCTAACTAACTCCTATGTTGATCACTGAATTCGGCCCATCGTACCATGGAGAATCGTTTGTTCCTGATGCATCAGTCTCCTATTACATACATACACCACTAGTTCAACGTCGAGTATGTACAGAACTGGTACAGAACCACTTTCAAAAACACCACCACTATCTAAATCACAACGACGCCGTCCGTCCATTCCCGCTCTCCACTTAGCGCGACCGACCAGACCTATTCCCGTAGGAGTGCGGGGTCCTTTTCGATACGGTGTCACTAGCCCGGCATTCCTTTAGACCAACGTCATATGTACTAGCTACAGCTGTACTAGCTAACCTTTAAGGTCGTATTAATCCAATAATCCCAACAAGGTTCAATTCGACATGCTGAGCGGTGAACAATGAGGCGATCCGAATCGTAGAATAAATGCATTACGTACCGTGTAAGGGGGCTATCGATATATAACCATTCCTCGCTATCCCATTTCACGGTAAAAGGTTTTCCATATATATCCAATCGGTGTTGGTCAATTAGGTGATACACACGTCTCATTCCGAATCTCAGTTTAAAGTGTGAGCTTACACGATACTACGATCCCGAGCGGATAGATGCGTCCTGAAGAAGACAGCAGTGGGACGACAGAAACTGTTTATTGCTCCCTTAGAGTCTAAGGCTTAGACTCTAGAGAACCCACGAGAATAAAGGCAGCGGTGTCGGCCGATACCTACCAACATAAAGTTGTATTGCCATGCTTACAGGTTTGTAGGGTGTAGGGGATTGCAAATCCGTTGGCAGTATGCGGTGAAGCCTGCATAGGGGAAGCTTTGGGCACAAAATCGCTCACTCAGCACAATAAGTACATACAAACATACAGACATACAGATGACATTGAATCCAATTTAGACTTTTCTCTGGTTCTTATTCTTGCTCGAAATCATTAAATGAAACGTATTTAATTATCCATTCATGTTCGTATCTCTTCTGTCCCCTAAGCAGATACAAACAAGCCATAATCATGATCCTTGTTCCAGGGAGAGTGTCAGATACCACCCCTCTCATTTGTTCACCCATCTAATAATTCATCAAGGTTGTCTGGACCCTCGGAGGATCAATCAGACACCGTAAGCCATGTAATGTAATCTATGCTGTTGTACGTAACTGCATTTTGTCTTGTGTGTGTGTGTGTGTGTTTGTGTGTGTGCACGTAAAATCCGTAGCTTCTTTCCATTTCATAAAACCATGATCCATCGAACCGCTTTTGGTGCTTGCGCGTGATAACGATCAACATAATTCCAAGTCATACAGTCGTCGAAAATCAGCCGTTTAAAAGGTCGTAAGATTTGAGTAACATGGCGTAAAACATCGCATGCGTCAATTGGCGGTGACCAGCCGTAAGTGAGAGAAAAGAAGAAGGTATGTTGGTCGATAAGTAGTGATAGGTCATGATGATAAGATCATATCCTCAGACAACGCCGTCGCTAAATGTTTCCATCAATCTGAACAAAAGGAAAAAAAGGAAAAAAGACAAAAACCCCCAAATTTCAAAAACGAAAAAAGCAAAAGCAAAATCTACGCTCATTGATAAAAGCGTTTCTAGGATGTAGCCTCATCCTGAGGTAATGGCAACAGTAGAGTGCTTCAGTTAGCCTTGATGACCAACTTGGATAAGAACTTGTTCGACAATGAATCGAAGTCGTATCGGTCAAACTTCGACGTATGTCTGGTCCTTAGGTACGCCTCTGTTGTCATATTAGCGAATGCCAGGATATCTGCAAATAAAATTTTCTTACCATGTTTAAGGACGTGCTGCCGTACTTCGGTCATAGCCTCGCATACAGCAACATTGTTGTTAAGCAGATGACCATGACGTTCAGTATCCCAGTCAATCAGAGCCGGAAGTTTCTGAGAGATAGCGTGGAATAGACCGGTAATGACACCAACCGGTGTGCTCTCCATATCGGTGCAAAATTTCTCAACCGCCACTGGGTCGGGTACACGATAATGGCAGTCAAACTGCATCTCTTCCCAGACAGCCAGAAGTATGGAAGCAAGCATAAAGATGGTGGGCCAGTTCTTCAGGCGATCACCGCTGTATACGCTAGAGTAAAGCGCTGAAAGCTCCTCCAGAATATCCTTCTGTAGCTCACGCCACATATCTGCCATAGCACACTTGATCTGGAAGTTGATCATGACGGGTGCCACGTATTTCCCGAAGTACTTGGAGTCTTCATCATCGATCTGGCCTTCCAAGGTTTGCTCCGAACCTTGCTGCTCGACCAGCGTGATGTGTTGGGTAAGGTTGTAGGCTAACACTAGTTTCAAAGCCTTGCGTATAACTGGCAACTTCTCCTTGGTGTAGAAACGGTAGGCAGTCTTGAAAATTTCCGTGATGAAAGGAGTACCTTCGAAGTGGTCGTCAATGAAGTTCTCAAAGCCACTCTCGATGTGCTTGTCTAGGTACTCAGCAAGCGCTTCCGGGCGAATACCACCGTTTCCAACGTCCAGCCTCTCGGTCTTAAGTTCAAACTCAATCGGCTCCTGATCGATTTGATAAGACTCGACCCAGTCAACCTGGAAACAACTGTCATCCGCTACGAAAACTTCGCGGACCATAACGGGCAGGCAGAAACCATAACCATGGGTGATCCACATCAGACTCTCCTTCTGTGCAAAGCCCTTCACGTTGTAGACAGAAACACCGCGGCTCAAATGTCGTTCGTAATCCGCCTTCCAGTCTTTCATGAAGTAACCAATATCCTTGATATCGATACGAGTGCAAGGAACTTGCCAGAGTCTAGCGTGCGACGGCTGGCAACCACCACAAGGCTCGCCTTTGTCACAAGTCTTCTTGAGGAACTTGCACCGAAGGCAGGCTCGGAGTTTCCTGATCTCGCTAGCTTGTTTCCGCTGCTCGGGAAGAAGCGGGCCTTTCCGACGTCCAACCTTCTTCTCGACTGTGCCATCCTTCTTTCCATTAGAAGTCCTCCTTATGACCGATTTAGTAGACTTTGCAACCGCGCCCTTACTCTTTGGACCCGAGCTTCTACGAGGGTTGTTGTGAGGCGGGGACGCGACACCTGATCCACTTGCGGGGCTGGGGCGATTCGAGGTCGATGACTTAATAGGCACTGGCTCGACGGCAGCGGCAGGGCTGATAATTTCGTGGGAATGATGGCTCTCACCGTGGAAACAGTTCCGATGGCTCGCCGGATCCGAGTACGTATCAGACTCCGGAGAAAACGGAGAATAATTGAATGAGATATCCTCGTAACTACTACTGCTGAAGTCAGTGCGCTGACCGCTTCCATCCGAATGGGAAGCGTCCGAGTTCGTTCTCAAGTGCAACGTCTGGCCGGGATTGAAGATAGCAGTGTTCTGGGCCTGTGCCTGTGCCTGCGCCTGCGCTTGCTGATACGAATCGTAATTTTGGTACATCTCAACCTGAGTCCAGCCGTTATCACTAGATCCCGGCAGGGATAATACCTCCAAATAAGTCCCAGTCGGAGACTGGCTCCCTAGGCTTCCAAATCGCGGCAGTCCATCGGACGGGAATTGCAAAGTAGTCCCGAAATCCTGCCAATTCCCCATTCCCATGCCATCCCACTGCTGCTGCATAGTCCGAGGGTCTTCGATGGGCGAGACGTTGCTAAAACCCTGCTGCTCCATGGGCATTGCGGATTCCAGCGTCGCCTGCGCAGCCGAAGGCAAATAACCGATAGCGCTCGTCTGATAATTTGCGGCAAAAGGGTACGGTATCAATGTCTGGCTCTCTTGCATATAATGGCCCAAATCCTGAACGGGCGGATGCTGCTGTTGATGCTGAAGCAATGTCCAGTCGGTCAAGAGCGGGGGAGAATGAGTCTGCGGAGGAACGCTCTGGTAAGGCGAGTGCTGTAGCGGACTCGCACTCTGTTGCGAAGGCGATTGCGACTGTGCTGGAGACCCGACAGGCGAGTGTACATTGCTCGAGTTTGCGTTCTGGGGAGCGGCCATATCAAGAGGCATCGGCCAGGCACCCGAGGGACGAGTAGGAGCCATTGCTGTAGCCGATAGGGCGGGATTTGAGCTGGGTGCTGTAGTGGTGTACGGATAACGATCCCGCTGGTCGAAAGTGGTCAAGTCCAACAAGGCATCCCCCCCGGCGGCATTGAAATCGAGGGTCATTGTCGTCAGAAGTCAAGAAAAGGGAGGAGAATTCAACTGGGGGATCAGGGACGAGTTCCGCTAGTATTATTGTCAAGAAGAGACGACACCGCTCTTTCGTAAAATTCCCTTACGGCGCCGATGGACAGCTTTGGGGATATGAAAGGGGGGGGAAGGGAAGGTCTGGTTGTGGAGGAGGTAAGATTTTGCGGTGGATGGTCGAGTGAGATCGAGGATGTCGACGGGGAGGCGCCCTTGAAGGCAATGGAGAGGAGGCATGAGATTGTGCGAGGAGACACGGGAAACTGGCGGTGAGAAGAATAACGCTGGCGTCCTTGCTCCACCTGCAACATGCAGCTCAGCGGCCAATCATGGAGTGACAGTCCTGCAAGAATCATGGGATGGCGATACAAGATAGGACATGGGTAAGAACCACGAGGCCAATAAACGACCGTACATCTCGTCCCACTAAGTCTTCTTTTCCTTAGGGCTCGCACGGTGGCTGGTACCTATAGTGTAGATCTAGTATCAATTAAGTAAGAGCAACTACGGCCAAGGTACGGCGGGGCAGGCCTTAAGCTGCTCAAGATGGCTAACTGCATGTAAACTGTATGGGCAACACTGTACGTAAGGTGTAGCGTATGTCCCGGGTATGTAGGTATGTATTTAATACGTCGGATGGAAATCACGTTGTGGTCTTGATGGGTTTATGTGGGAGCATATCAGGCATATGCCGTAGCAAACATCTAAACTCTATTGCTTATCTACATGTAAGACTCGATTAATACATACCTAGGTACATACACGTATTAACTGTACCGTAAGCAGAGACATGTATCGTACTGTGCTTACCCGCTTTCTTAATGGCGGGGTATCAACCTTATCAGTCTTAGCCACCTAAAGGTCCCCTATGTCTCCAGCGTCTCCCCCCCCCTCCCCTGTGTCTGATCCAACTGCAACTCCACATTGATCAATCTCATGTTGAGGCAGTGAGTTGATGACATGGCGACCGGCCTATAACGGCTAACTGCAGATATGTAGGACTGCGTCACTCCTCACTCCTAAGTCAATATATGTTTCAATGCTTAATGCTTACAAGCTCAATCAATTCTTCTATGTATGTATTGCTCCAATGCAACACCGTGCGTCGCAAACATAGTGCTCGGGGATTTCGAGCTAATCCTCGGAGCCCCGAGAGGAAGGATACCCCTAGGCCGGCCTCGCATATGTATTGACCTTGAAAAAAAAGCCGAGCTAAGGTGGAAGGTGAAAAATGTGGAAAGGTGGAAATATGGAAAAAGCCGGCCGCATCAATAATCCTCGGCTGGTGGATCTCTTGTTCGGGTCTTACTGCTGCTGGCCTGCTCCCGGTTTGCCCTTACAAGACAAGGAGAATTAAGACGATCTGGATCTGGAAGCGAAAGAATACATACAGAAAAAAAAATAACTCCACAACCCGAAAGAAGTTCTTGGTCAGTGTCCACCCTAGCTCCTGAACTGTGCATTGGCACCCTGTCGTCAGCTGCACCAAAATATACGATATGGTGATACCCTTCGCCCATTGAGCCAGTTGAATTCGCCGGATCTTCACATTGCGTCCGTCCAATCCAACCGCTTCCGGTCCCACCAGTCACCAGTCTACTGCCCAAATAAAAATGCTTTGCGGTTCCCATTCCGTGTCGAGGACGATTTTATGGTGTCATGTCATGTTTACAAGCTTTTAAACTTCCCGTCTATGCTTGGAATAAAAGAGCCTCAATGCCTCGGACGACGAGGCTGCAGTTTGGGACTAGCTGGGCGTCTCGGCCACTCCATCCGTCGTGGGTACGTGCGTGGGTAGTGTATGTGTCGACGTGGGCGGCTGTTCTACTCGGCACTCTCAAACAATACTAACCCAGGGTGTTGGCAATTGGCAACTTACCTGGGGAGGTAGGTCCCTATGCGCGCGGGAGGCGAAGGATTTCTTCGCGCTTGTGAAACCACGCTCCTGATAGGCCATACTTCCTATCACCTTTGCAAAAACATACCATTGTTGCGTTTAGCTAACGAACCTACGAACGTAGGTACAATTCCTGGTTACATTCGGTAAAACCGGGGGTTCGTTCGATGTTTGTTCTACATAGTTGCGTCGCTACAGCTATTACGATTACAGCCCTGACAATCCTAACTAGATATCCTATCTCCTTTTGACTGCATATGAGATCTGATTCCGTCGAGCTTATTTTCATCTACATAGGTGCAAATGCCGGCCGATTACGTCTTACTGTATGTCCTGACAATTGCTGCTCAGACGGCACAAGCTTTCTCCGATATTGGAACGTTACGAAATCAACCCTGACAGGGTTCTAGAAGCCCTTAACCACGATCGCCCGTAGCAGTAGCCGCTAAGCCATCTCGGCGTCAAACATGCGAGGGGTGGACAGTTCGACTTTGCCACTAATCCAATATCAATGCAGAACAAGTTTGTGTTGTTAATGCTAACCACGTAGTCCATATGTACAGTGTAAGGATGAGATGAAGGAAGCCAGAGGCTGGAAGTTGGTTAAGATGGAACTAGACGAGGTTGGGGATAGCTCCACACGGATTATCCGGCACACTGTAGATCAGTATCCAATCCAGCGTTCACCATGGGAGACCACACCTTGAGGGCTATAAATAACATTTTTCTATATCTACATAGGGAGAACAGTGAGTTGTTCTTATATCCACCATAATATACGAGGACTAACGTGTTTGACAAGTAGGTAGGTATGTAAATAACGAAACGAAGTCCCAGTTCCGACGGCGCAGTTGATGGCTTGTGAGCGTCGAAAACGAGTCCCGGAATCGCTACCGGACGCCACTCGGTTCCGACGTGGCGCGACTTCGAAATTAAACATCTGAGCATCTCATAGGCTTTACAGCGCCCAATGCTTTAACAACTGCCCATTCGCCACTTAGTTATAATTTACATACTAACTACTATTATAACTACATTTCACATCCGAGCCTGTCTCGAAACTACGTCTGCCACGTTTACACGCATGTTTTCTTTTAACCTGAGGTTCGAAGACTTACTACGGACGGCTGCGGATTGTAGTACAGATATCGATAACTCTTTCGGTGAACTCCTACCAACCCGGTGAGGCCTTGGCTTTCAATATAGACACGAGATAGCCGTCTTGATAACGCACCACTCGACGCCACATTCGGGATGAGCGCGTATATCCATAACTAGTATAAGGGAGATTGTTCCCTATAGCATGTGAGCCTGTGGCTGTTGGCTTGTGTATTAGGTACCATTATCTAGATAGAAGCTACTTAGATAAAGGCTACCTATGTGTATGCGAGCAACTCTGAGGTCATACTACGTTTTGCGCCCTTACATAAATCTTACTCTTGTCTCACTGTTTATACTCTATTGGAAAACTGCCTTGTATTTGAAGATACCAAGATCAACAGGAGTGAATTACCCACCTCGGTTGTGTGCGATGTAGTTTAGTCTATATTATCTGACATATCCGGACACAGGCTTGACCTGGAACGTAAATATTAACTAAAATATAGTAAGTGAGATAGTAATAGGGTATTACAGCTTTTAAACATTTAGTTTACTACTGGATTATGATGAAGATATATCTCGCCTGCTTTTACAACTTCCATTGCCATCTTAATTACGTACTCTCTAAGCCGCCACCATGGACAAATGAGGTGATTGCGACAAAGTTAGGATATAGTTTAATACACGCAAACAAAGCCCGTAAAATCTAAAAACATCAAATATGTGTTTATCATTTTTCATCTTTTATAACGCATGTTGATGAGTCTTAAAAGTAGCTTAATATTGGCAACCTGTGATAGCAGCTGATACATACTCGTTAGCCGGGAATTTACCGATTACCTAACTATATGTACTTACTAACTTGGGATAGTCCCGGTCGTGTTTAAGTGATATAGTGACCAATGGTAGCGCATTATGCGCTAGAAACGACCAAGTGACTCTGGAGCCTTAGGACGTTCGAGGATTTCGACACGGCATGTGCCCAAATTTTGAGACATTACAAAGCACGTTTTCCTTCTTCACGTGCGCTTGAAGGGAAACTACTTACATATACTCAAATCACGTTTCATCAAACTTTACGGGAAAATACGATTTTCTAGATAAGTATTCGTGGTTATCTACATTCCAAACTTACTCCTCACTTGGCCTCCCTTATGCCAATAAAGACTAGCCTCGCCCGAGCGCGTCAAAGGACTGCATACAAAGGGAAAACCTTTCATCCTAGCTTAACAAATAAATCTAAGGATACTCAGGATTTCGAGGACCTCCAAGATTTCGAAGATAGTTCAAATGAGATGGTAAATAAACACCACACTTTGCCCATGGCCGGTCCAACAGCTTACGCAAGTCAGGAGCCAATGATCCCTGATCTGTTCACTAGCTGGCCCCCTATTCGGGAAGCGCTCGCTACCGCAACTTCCAACGTACAAGATATCACCGTGAATGAATGTCTACCTTTCTTGGCAGCGCAGGTTGATAATGTGTCGTACAACCAGTATGGCCTACCACGTCTTGATCGGGAACGGCATATCAAATTCCTCCGTAAGAACCTAGCACCTCTTCCCGCTCGTTTCGTGATGTTAGATGCAAGCAGGCCGTGGGTCCTTTACTGGTGTCTCAATGGTCTATCCCTCCTAGGGGATGATGTCTCTGTTTACCGCGATAGCCTTATCGAGACGGCTCGTTCTATGCAAAATCCTACTGGCGGGTTTGGAGGAGGTTTTGGCCACGATTCCCACCTAGCCTGCACGTATGCTGTGGTCTTGGCACTAGCCGTAGTAGGAGGCGATGCTGCATATGAAGTCATTGACCGAAGAGCTCTTTGGAAATGGCTTTGTGATTTGAAGCAGCCTGACGGGGGCTTTCGGATGGCCGTTGGCGGTGAAGTCGACATAAGGTAAGGCGGCCTCGTTAGACCGGCCTCGACGACGCGTGGCTAATGATGTTTGTCAGGGGAGCCTATTGCGCAGCTGTCCTGATTACTCTGCTTAACCTTCCTCTTGAGTTGCCGCCCGACTCTCCGGCATGGACGCCCGACGGACCAAACTTGTTCACAGGCCTAGAAGATTATGTACGGCGATGTAAGAGGACCCAGGCGAAGTACCCATATGTTGGACCTATGCAAACTAACCCTGCAGGCCAAACCTTTGAGGGTGGAATTTCGGCGCAACCAGGTGGTGAAGCCCATGGAGCTTATGCCTTCTGCGCTTTGGGTTGCCTCGCGATCCTTGGTGCTCCGCATCGTACCTTTCCCAGGTTTGTATTGCCCGATCTTCAGAAGCTCTGCTGATCTCGATAGTTTATATGTTGCTCTCGGGCTAACCCCTGAATGCAGATATCTTGATGTCCCACGGCTCATCTCATGGCTGTCATCACGACAGTATGCACCGGAAGGCGGGTATAGCGGCCGTACGAACAAGCTCGTCGATGGCTGCTACAGCCATTGGGTAGGCGACTGCTGGCCATTGGTCGAGGCTAGCCTTGCTGGTCCATCTAGTCTAATGTTTGACATAAACAAAACTAAAGGCCCCGATATTGATATCCACAATATTTACAGTCGCGAAGGTCTTATCCGGTATATCCTCTGTTGCGCGCAAGATCAATCAAGAAGGGGTGGCATGAGAGACAAGCCAAGCAAGTAAGTACATGGACGCCAACCGTAATCTAGACATGGGCTAAATACCACAAAAAGAATTTCTGATGCGTATCATACTTGCTACGTACTCTGCGGACTTTCTTCAGCTCAACACATTACTCGTTTACTTGCCTCGGAGGGTGAAGGGATGATGACGCATTCGGAATATGACGTCTCGCCGCTCCGCGGAAGCCCTCAGATTTATGCTGAAGAAGATCGACTCAACACTACTGATCCTGTGTATTTCATACCCGAGGGGAAACGGAAAGAAATCATGTCATATTTCCTATCGAAGCCGGGTTTTTGACCCGCTTGTGGCCGCATATGAAGAGGCCATATCCGACACTACGCCGGACCAATCGAGGAAGGCTGAGAATTTCCCTCGCATCCTACGAATCTTCGACCTTCCGCCCATGATTAATGAGTGTCAGCATTATAGCCTCTCCCTCACGTGCCGAGCTATATAGTATAGCTCTCCTAGCGTGCTTAGTATAAGCCATATAATTACCCCCTGGGTTGAGGTGGGCTAGCTCGTGTACCTACTCGCCTACTTGGAGGGGCATTCCGAGAGCGAAAGAAGTCAAGTAATGGATAATAGCTGCGCTCCTGTCCTTACTGGATGGCGTGCCTCCGCAGTTACACATCAAGACGGTGCATCGAGAACCTCGGCAACAAAGATTGGCTCGCTCAATGTACAAGAAGGGCCCGCAAACCCCAACTATACCCTTTTCACGTTTTTCTACAGGAAGTATCATGCACTTCACAATCAACAGCTAGACCTCTAGAGGTAATACAAGAGAAGGTTCACCAAGCACGTTCGCCCGAGTAAAGTGAGACAGGACCATCTAGAGGGATTCCTGTGCATTCGTTAATCTACCATCTCCACCGTATGCGGTCATGCAGTCCAACACGATAACTCGTACCTTATTCAGCAAGTTTGAGCGCAGATGAGCCAGCCAGAGCGGGCAATAGTGTGGCAAGCTCTCCTAGATACTGGTAGATACTGGATTCGACCCGACTTGCTAGTCTCCGGAAAACGCCACTGGTTTCCATCTAATGTAGTCCAAATCGGAACGTCGACGGCAGACGGCAGCTCTAGCCAAAGTAAGGAGACTATTGAATCGTACGAGGGCGTCAAGCCTATAGCAGCCGCGATGTAGCGGTCGAGAGGCGTTATGAGAATTTGCATCAGCTTTGTACGTGCTGATCGACTCAACAGAATCGATGGGGTTGACCACATGGTGCGGTTGTTTCGCATCCCGTCCCTACACCTACACCCATGCTACCCTGTATTCCTACGGCCATATTGAGTCCCTGACGTGTACAGTCTCCATTACGGTCTCCCTGGGTGGCCATGACTTCGGACGGTAGAACGATCTCTACCGAGCTAAGGGTAGGGAGGTAGCATTTGGCCTCGCCTCCACTGGTCGCATATGCTCTACGCGACGTAGTAAGATGCTGTGCTACGAGTCCACAGACACATGGAAAATATTTGTTGATATGACGATCGGGAGTCATCGAACTAGCCCATATGATCGTATTCATAGATACCGTGATATAAGGGTTACAGTCCAAGGGTAAATTCCCAATTCCTTTCTACGGGCGATTGTATGTCATCTCCTGACCATACTTTGTTATCGCTTACCCCTAATTCGACTTAAGGGGAGCGTAATATAGAGCACGTATGTAGCAGAAAAGATTTGGGGAGTGAATTGGAAAAGAGATGTACCCCCCCAACAACAAGCAGGCCTACGTATGTGGCCAATCCCTCAAGCTTTAGGCTGCGCCTCGGCGCGTTTATGGTAAACAAGGCCTGCTGCACGAAATTTCCTTCGCCTGTGGGCCTTCCCCCGGATGAACGACTCGCTTCGCCGTATGATAAGCACGAATTGAACCCCCGGGATCCTACTTTAAGGCGTCTCTCGAATGAGTGTTGCCGAAAGGGCTTAATAGGAGACAGCGACGATCGCACGGCTCCCTCTGCCGGACCTCTCTCTTAGCAGCTCGGACGAGGTGGCCGTAGTGGCCGTAGTGGCCAGGACGGATGGGCTGGCCGCCGAGGTCTCGGATCTCGCAAACATGTTGCATTTCTGACAGAATGACTTTGGGGCTACGTATGTATGTCTCTGGCATCCATACAGGTCTCACAGATTAGGTAGGATCGTGAGGGCTCCCTAACCGTGCGCGTGGGAGCGGAGAGGGCTGGTCGGCAACATCCTTAACGGCATTAGTTTTTTTTTTCTTACCTCAAAGTAACATGGCGCTATGTATATTGCATGAAGATATTGTATATGTTTCTCTCTCGTTGGTCTGGCGCGTAATGGTCAACTGTATGGTGGATGATCAGGATGACTAGATGCCCTCTTCCACTAGTATCCCAAGCGTAGTCGGCGAAGCCTACCCACCGTCGCGACGCCTTTCAGCTTTTCTCAGTCGAGAGGGATGACGTTGTGTGCGCATTCCAGAACAGCGCGCTGACATTGTGTATGTAGAGGGTCATACCATGATGTATCGAGCTGAAGTTACGCAGAGGCTACATACATACCTACATACATACATACATGCACACATACATAATGTAATACCCGTCTTGAGCCGTCTTACGGGATATTGGATATTGGCTAGTGCCGTAGTATATACATCTTAACTACCTTCTAATAAGCTACATTGGCTATTTTTCCATTTTGCCCTTTTTTAACCTCCTTTTCGCTCGTTGGCTTATACCTACATGTATGTGTCTCGAGCGAGAGCGCTTTTGCTTCCCTCGCGTCGCGCTGCGGCGTAGGAACTTTTAACGCCGTCCGTAACATTACCCTACATAGACACGCATATACATATACATGTATTGTACATATATATCGTGTAATTTTAGTTTTAGATATCATGCGTATACCAGACGAAGAAGGTAGGTAAGTAAGCAGGTAAAATGTAAATATTGCATCCCGGTACTGCGTCTAGCGTATCGCCTATGTGGATTCCAAAGGCTGGCTGGCCTGGGCGCCTCTGATGTTACGAAGAAATCTCAAAAGAAATACATACATCGTACATGGTGGGAATAGGAATAGGAATAGGAATAGGGATAAAAATAAAAATAAAAATAAACAAATAATAGGACCAAGTCGGCGGCCGCTGCATTAAAGTCCGAAAGTTACATGCGGTGGTCATGATTCTCGGTCTACGTCTGGGCTGTTATGTGTTATGCTATTGTTGTTGTTGTGGTCGAGGGTCGAGGGTCGAGGGGCAGGTTGTATGTATGTATGTGTATGTATTGTAGCAATCACGACGGTTCCTTCGTCCATCCAAACCAAACCCCGTCCAAGTTACGAAAATCGTCATGATGAGCGGCATCGAATTTCCTCATATGTACCCAAGGTAGGTATGCAACAGATACAACAGACACAACAGACGCAACCAGATGCAACCAGATGCAACAGGGTGGTCAGGCCTGTATTGTCGGGCCAGGTCGTTGATCGGTACTGCTACTTTCAGTCGACCTCAGCTCGCCTTTATTCTCAAGTATTCTCCCGGGTATAGGTTAGGTAGAGGTTATGGATGGCTGCTAGGTACCCGTACCCAATCTAACATGCACAAAATATAACGTCTATCTTGATTTAATATCAAGCGGCAATGCCAACTCATCATTGCATGAGGTGTTAAACGTCTGTTCTTCGCCTAGTCGCCTTTTTTCGCTGGCTCCCCCCGGACCTCGCCCGCCGCTCATTGGCCCGACACCCTCCCAAAAAGGGCTCTAAGTGGTTCCTCGCGCCAATGGGTTTTTAGGGCAGAGACCAGGTTCGCGAGGAAAAGAAAAAAGAAAAAAAAGAAAAGAAAAAAAAAAGAGAGAGATGACCAGGGTTGGCCTACCTAAGGCAGGTTAGCTCAGTTGTGTTCATGCATCTCATTCTTCCTCACCGACTTCATGGTTCCCGGCCATTTGAACCAGTCAACTTCTCGATTTTACTTAGTTTATGTTATTGTTATTATTGTTGTTGTTATTTTTTTTTTCTCTCTTCTGCACTTCGGCGGGGAGAAGGGGAAATGAGATGACGAGAGACAAGAAAATAGGTACTTGAACAAAGACAAATAAAATAAAATAAAAAATAAAAAATTCAAAGGATTAACTAATACCAACTAAGAACAAAATTTTTTATACAAAGAAAGAAGAAAAGCTATTGGTCGCCGGCACAAGTTCGTCAAGCGCCGCTAGTACCTATTTCGCTCGCGTCCAACAATTGTCAAATAAGCACCAGCCGTTTTTTTTTAAAGCTCTATTTTAGCTGTTTATACTTTTGACTAGGTACACTAACTATTATTATTACTTTTACCCTTTCTGATTCGTCCAATTTGAACTTTCTGTCTGCTTACGTTGTTCTACTTTGTTTTCTACTTCTGGCACCGGTGCGAATCGCCCACATCTCCTCAAAACCCACCACCTCTTGGTCCCCCATGTAAACCATGTAAACCATACCATGTAGGTACGTGCCGTCGGCTTGGTCTGATCCAGCAGGTTGGTTGGGCTTGCGGGTGGTTACGTTTCTATTTTCCTCTATTTTCTCTTTCTCTCTTAGATCCGGGACTCCTCCGTCTTCTCTCACCGTTACCTAGGGTGTCTTTTTGGTTTAGGAGGACCCCCTCTTTCTCATCTCTCAGGTTCGATCTCCGAGTCCTTGTCATGTACATGGATCTATACTATACATATACATACATACATACATACCTACATACATAACTACTACATACGTACATGCGTACATACATGATACCTACCTACATACCTACATACATACATACATACACTACAGGCATCGTCGTAGCAGCAGCAGCAGCAGCAGAGCAGCATGCACGTACGTGGGGAGGTATCATTATTGACCCTTTTCTGGTCGTCTAAAAAACCGCCTTTTTTCCATACCGTACCGACCTTTCGTTGTTTTGATTGAGTTGCTGCTGCATTAGTGGCCGAGTGGAAAGGAAATCTTGGGACTTTGTATTGTATCTCTCATCTTCACTCTCACTCTCACGCTCACGCTCACGTCGAGGGCCTCTCCTTTTTTGACCTTCCCCCCCTCTAGACGATATACAACGAACCAGGCACATCCCTTCTTTATGGTGCTCCGGGTTAGTATCAAAAGGGAGAAGACGTGACTGGTAGACTGGTAGACCGGTCTTTGGCTTTTCCCCAGTGGGTGTCATCTCTTCTGTCTCTATTATGTATTGTTGTTATTTCTTTATTTTATCAACTAGTGTTATTTTTATTTTTATTTTATTTTATTTTCCAATTCAGTTCGGCCGAGGTCGTGTATTGGCCGCAGAACTGGTTCCAGTTTCATTTCGCCACTCCAAAATATGCTTACCTTTGCATACATCATCCTTTTTTTTTTTCTTCCCTCTCTTTTTACCCAGCTAGGTCCCATTGTCGGACAGGGTTATGGAGGAGAATGGAGGAGAACTCGGACGGAGACAGCGGTACCACATTCTGCCAAAAGGAGCACGGCCAACACGGCCAGCACGGCCAGACTGCCAGACTTATCAGAGATGATCGTCTAAGGGAATGCATACCCCATGTGTTGCGGTGGAGTTGCCTAGTCTCTCGAAGCTTTATCAACTGGCAACGACACGCGCCAGCACAGCAAGATGGGGTCACACTCTTCAAGAGCCGCATCTTCACCTGCGTCTATCAACCTGGTTCCCTTCCGTCCCCATTGTCCCTCTCTGGTCCCTCTCTGGTCCCTCTTGGGTCCCTCTATGGTCCCCATTGTTCCCCCATTGCCCCCTTCGACCCCTTCGACCCCTTCGGCCTTGTTCTGTTTAATTGCGTCTTTACTAGATCCCTGCCCCGCACTAACGAAGTCCAATTCTGCAATAAAGCACACATGTCTCGCCGTCGATGGCTCGTCTCTCTGCACCGCAGCCCCGAATACGTAGCCTAACATCCCCCTTCTTCAACACAACCACAACCACACCTCCTTTGAGTAGTACAGACCTCGTCGACGAAACTTTTTTTTTCTCAGTGCTGCCCTACCGCTTCCCCATTGATCCCTCCTAATAAAATTCCCTCGTACAGTTGGGCTTGACTGCATACTCAAAACGCGCCCCGGAATCCCATCCCGCGTCCGTAAGCAACACGCTGGGTTTTTTGCTCTCTCTTCCCCGGAAATCCTATCCGTACATACACCCGTCCCGACTTTCTTGGTGGGGGTGTTTCTATGCTTTGAGAGAGAATACCACCCTGCTGGATATTTTTTCTTACACGAGTTTCTGGGCTGTGAAGCATTGAGTTGCTGTCACTGCTGTCAGCAAAGCAATATGGGAGGATTCTACATGCAGTATCTCGAGAGTAAGTCATTGCCTACTTTCAACAACAACAACAACAAAAAAAGAGCACGTACGCCCCGGCGACTTGCCGTTTCTCCAATGAACCCAATGAACCAACCCCACGATGATGCGCGCGGTGGGGCTGGAACAGCGATGTGTTCGTCTCACACACGTGGACAAACACCCCCCTGCGTCGAAGCTTCGACGCCGCACGAAAACATCGAAGAATTTCCCCCCCCTCCAAAAAATACCATAGCTAGCTAGCACTTCTCCGTGTCTTGTTAAACGCCACGTTCCTGGGCATGGGCGGCTGTACCTCCACGTCTGATCTGAAGTGTTCGCGCGATCCGGCTGTCATGCATATGTCATGCTCGATCTCCGTCGCGTCATTTAGGGCTGCATATACGCTGCCCATGCTTCCCGGGCGTTTATTTGCATTTGTTGGCATCGAATAGGGGAGCAGGGCAAGGGGAGTTCCAGGATCAGCAGCTAACTTAGCATCCGATAGGCCTGTGTCGGCGTCGTGGGTGGCGAGACCCTTCGTACGAGTGTTACAGAGATCCCAGTGGCTACACGTGCCTGGTCCTGGTAAATGGGCGCGAGTACCAGACGGACCTGGCATACGAATCGGATCACCTGGCTCAGGAGAATGCCGCCATGAGAGCCTTCATGGTGTGTCGGAACTTTTCTGTCAACGGAGGCATGCTCGCGCGTAACGGGATCGTCCAGGGTCTTCCAGCCAATGAGTCTACCAGACGTAAGAAGTCCCGCCACGCTTCTTCAAGCCACACCCACACCCAGAAGGAGAGCCGCCATAGGTCAGGACACCACTCGAGCAGCAGCTCGACCGCATCCTTCGAGTGAGGGAGGAAATTGGCTGCCGCCCCGGCGGATTTCAGCCAAACACGACCATCGGCTAATTTTAACCAATGGATTACAAGTAAGGACAGAGAGAGGCGTCAAAGATCGATATATATACACGTGGTGAAGCTTCACAGCTTATCCCCAGGCATATTCCGCGGAATACCCCTATTCAGCATATCCCCCGACAAGAGAGAGAGAGAGACCGAGAGACAGAGAGACAGAGGAGGAGAGACAAAAGTTTGCATAAATCGACGAATTACGACTTAACGAAAGAACTGAACGAACTTTATGAGCCAAACTAATAATGACAAATCTGATGTCATCGTCCTGAACAGAGGCTTTTTGCTCGTTTTATTGAAGCGCTTTTTTCTTCCTTTTCTATATGCCATACGAAAAAAGAAAAAACGACGTGATGAGACTTCCCCCCTATTTTTCATTTGGGCCGTGGGAACTACAGAACCAGGCCGGTTCAGGAGAACGGATTCTATCGGAGGCAACTCTGCTGTTTGGCGAAAACCTCGCTGTCGGGGAGCCATGGTCCTTCTAATCCGCGTATGGCTTCGGAACCGTACCGACCTCCTTAATGGCCTGGCTCAATGGACATTGGTTATCTCGAGATAGACTTCTTTTGAATGCCCCGGACTGTGCGAGCGGCCAAAAAAACATGTTACGCAATGCGAGACACTCCTTGCTCGCTCATTGTACCTGTTGATATTTTTTTTCTTCCTTTGGGCCAAAAGCCTCGCTGGCTGGCATTATCCAATTTTCCTCAATCGGACGACGAGAAAGCAGAAATCGGCCGAAATTCTAGAGACGGGATGACATGACACGAAAAGGAAAACTGGGTAGAAAATTCCGGGATGGAAACTTGAGCGCGAAGGAAAAGAGGAAAAGAGAAGAAGAGACTATCGCTCGGGCGGGCGCTTTGCAGCTGCTTACTTTACTAGAAAAACACCAAACGAGCACTTGAAGAACAGGAAGATGGTGATGATGGGAGAGGCTTTTTCTGCTTTTTTATTATTACCATTATTACTTTTGCGCGGGAACTTCATAAAATTACGATCTCACGGCTAGATAGATGATGATCATGATTACGAATAGTTACGAAGAATCGAATTTACGACGTCAACGACCTGACGAGATATCTTCACGGTCGCACCAATTTAATCCTTTTCTGTTTGCTTGCGGATGTCTTGATGATGTGATGTGATGCGGATACCCGTGATATATATGTCTGATATGAGGTGAGGAAATGAGCCAGGTAGCGAGTCTCAGTCCCTTTCTCTTGAAAGGAGAGAGAGAATCGACCAACTAGTTAGATGATGATGGAAACAAGGAAACGAGGGAATATAGAAAAGGAGACATGTAGGTACGCATTTGGGCAAGTATAAGTCAAGTAAGTCAAGGTCAACTTAGAGATGAAGTCCTGGCGGAATGTTTTATCGGAACGAAACGTCGTCTAAAAAAAGACACACACACCCCACGGATCATCGTCCCCAACTTTATTTTCCCCGAGATGTCCCAGATGATGGTTGCTGGTTCCTCGACGGGAGTGCGGGTGGACATGCGTCGTCGCCCTGCTTCTACTTTTGTGACAGGCACACGGAACCTGCAGCTCGTGACACAGCGTCTGCCAGTCCGGGACGGGAGAGACAGACAGGCACACTTTATCTGCATACATAGGTAGTGCCAGGGAGGTTAGGTAACAACCCTTTCGGTAGTGTATCTGTGTATCTAACCCACCCTGCTAGGTACGCTACATAGTATGTATGTATGTATGTACGCTAGACCCCCGGGATGTGCTGGGTGTCGCACATGATGCCTCTGTTGATCATGTACGTAGTTGGAAGTTGGGGACATGCTCCCCCTTATCACATAACATAACCACCTAAGTTAAGAAACTAGTTAAGATAAGTAAGCAACATTGAAGTTCGTCAACATATACGTACCCAAGTCAACCTGCTACCTAGTGTACCTATACATATGTTGAACCATCTTGAGGAGAAATGTAGAATAGAATACATACTTGGATGATGGATGGTGCTGAGGTTAGTAGTTGGCGGAACGATACGAGAAGATTCCGGGTAGAGGATAACTCGTATTTCTTACAGCCGGCGTCATAATCTACCTGTCATGAACACATCAATACGAGGAGGGTAGTGTACATGAAAGCATGAAAACATGAAATATTTCGGAGGACATGGTGGGCAATGGACAAAAGATTTAAACAAATACGCGTCTTACAGAACCTTACGAGGCCAGGCCTTACAAGGGAAGATTGACTCGGTTTCGAGTTAAAATAAAACATTCGAGGAGCATAAAGGTGTAATGAAAGGTGTAATGTTCAATCAATTTTAATGCTTCGTATCCGTGGGGCGGAACGGGCTGTGATTGGTCCCCGGGCAGGGCAATAACGGTACATCTGGTCTGTACCTCCCAGGGCTGCATCTGTGCATCTGCCATGCTTTGTGGCTGAAGGGCCGTGCACATGGCGTAGCAGCGTATGTAGCAGCAAGAGCAACCCAGGCGACGCAGGCGTTAAATAGGCTTTCCCAAAAATCAGGTGCCACTCTCGCCAGATGCCCAGGGGTTTGGGAAGGAGCTAGCCTAGCTAGTCCAGGGAGGGGGGGGGGGGAGGGGGGACGCTAATTTCGAGCATTTGATGGCGCGACGACTTAACTGGCCTAAAATAAGAAATAAAGGGGGCATTCCGTGAACTGAACACAATTAAACATTCAATCTCTCGTTCGATTAACTACCACTTTGAACACCTTGACCACATTGACCACCTTGACACCCTCCGAGCGAGCAGAGAGACACAAGTGTCCTTAAGCCATCCTTATTTCTTTTTTCTTCTAGCACTACCAGCTATTATTCACTACTACGTCGACTCTTTGAGAGCTTCACCGTCCTTTTTATATTCACTTATATTCCCTCCCAACTTCGGCCTATTCCGCGCCGGTATTCAATAAATACTACACCGACACATTGTCCTGGATCTCCAATTTCGCAATTTGAGCCTCGTTGTTCGCTACTTAAATTGCAAGAGCACTCAGCGCGAGAACATAGCCTCGTGGTCTACATTCACTTTGCGACACGACAATTAGCGTCTAATTCTACTCACCACCTACCGCCATCATGAAGGGTAAGTGCCATTGAGAAAATTCCCGTAACGTTTAGGAGACAGATATAGCTAATATCTTATTCAACAGCCCTCATTCTCGTCGGTGGTTTCGGCACACGTCTACGGCCCTTGGTATGTTTATCAATCTGCTACCTGCTACAATGCACTGCCGAATCGAAAAATGTATAATCTCTCAAACTCAGACCGGGAAGCTAACGAATAGTTCTTCAGACCCTTACCATGCCCAAGCCTCTGGTAGAGTTCGCCAACAAGCCCATGATTCTACACCAGATTGAGGCTTTGGCTGCCGTAGGTGTCACCGATGTCGTACTTGCTGTCAACTACCGCCCTGAGGTTATGGAGAAAGTCTTGAAGGAGGTGAGTACCTAACCTAAGTTATAATACGTAGCTTTTCCCCTTTCCCCTCTCATCTTTGCTAACATTACGGTCCTCGTAGTACGAAGACTCTCTTGGTGTCAAGATCCACTTCTCTCTCGAGAACGAACCCCTCGGTACCGCCGGTCCTCTTAAGCTTGCAGAGGAGATTCTAGCTAAGGATGATTCTCCCTTCTTCGTCTTAAATTCGGATATTACCTGCGACTTCCCCTTCAAGGCGCTCGCCGAGTTTCACAAGTCACACGGTGAAGAAGGCACCATTGTTGTCACCAAGGTTGAAGAGCCCTCTAAATATGGTGTCATTGTTCACAAGCCCAACCACCCTTCCCGAATCGACCGTTTCGTCGAGAAACCCATCGAATTCGTCGGGAATCGTATCAATGCCGGTATGTACATGCTGAACACCTCGGTGCTCCAACGCATTGAAAAGAACCGACCTACCTCGATCGAGCAAGAAACCTTCCCCGCTATCGTTCGCGATGGACAATTACACTCCTTCGACCTCGAGGGCTTCTGGATGGACGTCGGTCAACCGAAGGACTTCCTAACGGGTACCTGCCTATACCTTTCATCGCTCGCAAAGAAGCAGCCACACCTGCTAGTTTCTCCTTCTGAGAGCTACGTCCACGGTGGCAATGTCATGATTGACGAGTCAGCCAAGATTGGCAAGAACTGCCGCATTGGACCTAACGTTGTCATTGGCAAGAATGTTGTCATTGGTGACGGTGTGCGTCTACAGCGATGTACGCTTCTCCCGGGATCCAGGGTTAAAGATCACGCATGGATCAAGAGCACCATCGTCGGATGGAACAGCGTGGTCGGAAAGTGGGCTCGTCTCGAGAACGTCACTGTCCTCGGTGACGACGTGAGCATCGGCGACGAGATCTACGTCAACGGCGGAAGCGTCCTCCCGCACAAGAGCATCAAAGCCAACGTCGACTACCCGTCTATTATCATGTAATTGATCACAGCGCCATTTTGCGCTCTTCTCGGCCGCCCACTTCGATTTTTTCTTCTTTTTTGCGGCACTTCTTCCTGTGTATAATCTGGCACCTTTTTCAACGTCTATTATTTCGTAATGAGTTAGTTGTTCCGCCCTCCGGCTTGGGGCACCTCTCTTCTCAGCATTTGTTCAATTTCATTTCCCAAGTAGGATGGCGTTCTGGTCCGCATGTCATGATAGATGACCGTCATAATTTTGCCCGATATTCCGGCGAGATTTGGGGTCCGAGGAATTGGAGGGCGGGAGTTAGTCGTCTTTATCTTAGTCGAGTTATGCCCGGCTGGAAATGACGAGAAGCCGGAACCCTCACTCACATGATGCGACCCTTGATCTATACGGGCCTTTCGCGACCATATCGAACGCCTACTTCCTTGGCCCATTAGGGGGCATATATACAAAATAAAACACGGGAAAAGTGTCTACGGCAAAGGAGAAACGATGTGGATGAGGTCAGCATTGGACTCTAAAAAAAGATATGGATGCAAGAGCACACGACGTTACGGCGATGGGTATAATTGCAATTCTCAATTGGTATTTGCAGCGGTTAACTTAATGCGTGGGACTGTCGAGCGTGAGCAAAAGCAGCCGAGGGGAGGAAGGGGATCGAGAATCGGGATCGTTGTTACCTCGTACCGTTTGCGTGCGAGGGCGAAACTGTGTCTCAGACTCGTCGAGCTGGCCTGTCTCGGTGGTTTATCTTGGCGAGATAGATAAGCTGAGAGTATAGCGAGAGCAGGAGCAATGGAAGAGATAATGACTAAGATCTGATATGAAGCTTGTGCGGTGATTGGATTTGATGTGATATGATGTGATGAATGATGAGCGATGAGTTTGACCGAGTGGCGTTGGCATATCCCCTTCCTTGCATCTGTTGAGTGATTCCGATTTCGATTTCGATTTATATACAGTAAGTACCTATTTATTCAAGTTGATTTTTCTTTTTTTCTTTCAAGGAGTGGTGATGTTTCTTTCATAGAGACGCTACGGACAAGTTTGACTGGTAGCGAATTTACACCGTGGTAGCTGTCGATGCGACGGGGCCCGCGGTCACTTTGTACGTGTAAGTGAGGTAGGTAGTAGCCGTTTAAGTTGGTTGCTCCGAGAATACGTCCGTACGGGATTGCCGTTGCGCCGGTTCGGGATGTATTCGGTTTCTGCGTTTGTGAATGTGTGTTTACCTTCGTTTGTTTGCTGGCTGGCTGGTTGGTGTATGATTAGTGATGTTGATGTTGATGGGGTAAGATTGATTTTATTTGTATTCTATTCTAGGTTATTTATGTGTGCTTGTGTATGTGTGTATATGTGTATGCACCGATGTTGATGCTGCCACTGCTTGCTCGTGTCTTCTACACACCTACCTACCTACGTTACATGTAGGTAGGTATTGTACCTACTACATATCATTCAATACATTAGCCAAAAGCAAGAATATTAACAACGTTGACCTAACCCATCCGTCTGTATATACCAGCAATACGGAATACAAGGTAGACGTAAAGGTAGATGTAGATGTAAAAGTGAACATATTCTTCTACATTAGGTACAGCACAGGCGGGTATCCACGCGCAATTACCTACATACTACCACCTACCTAATACCATACTATGCCATAGGTACTATGCCATGCCATACTTTCCCATCCATCCACTCACTCATCTACCTGAACCTTACCTACCTACCTACCTACCTTAGGTACCTACCTTGCCCATTTACCTCCCCAGCATTTCCACACGTCCGTCCGTCCATCCAATCCGTATATAATTCCCTTCCCTTCTCTTCCCTTCCGTACGTCCCCTCCATCATACGTATCGCGTCTTCGTCATCTGTCCTATGTGAAAATTCCGAAGTGGCAATGTAATACCATACATAGGAAAAAAAGGAGCCAATATCGATATCAATCTCCCGTCTATCCCATCGCCTTCGCATGCTCACATGATAAACGTTAGGTAGTAAACCGCAATTCGGCCTGCTGTACGTATTATCGTCCCGTCTTGTGCCGTGTCCCGTGTTCACTTTCGGTCAGCAGTTTGCGAATCTGCGTGGGCCGCCGTCTCACGGCCGCACATTAAACCGAGCGAAAAACGCCAATTACATGCTTCTGCTCGGCTACGGAATACAAAATACGTTTGCGCCTGCAGGAAAACTATGGGGATTGGGGATACTGTGCTATTATACCTGGGGTACGCACGACTAGCATTACTATGTGTAATTATACCCGACCCTCCAACCCTCCCGCCGTACCATTCACATCCCCTCCCATCCAACCTCCCGCATGTGCGACCTTTTGCTACGTACAAAACAAGGTAGGTTTAAATAAGTAAAAAGGTGTGTAAGCTGCCTTTCCCTGCTGAAGCTTGCCTCCTTACACGCTTGCCCGCCTATATATGACATGCATGTCAGGGCATCTATTCCCGAAACAACATGTCCAAATGCAAGGAAATGGAGGTCATTGCGCCCGCTGAGCGCTTCGTGCATCCAGTGAATGACCAGATATCATGCCCAAGATCCACTCCTACCCGTCACACTCCATTGCGACTTATGGTTATTAATGAGAGGGGGCGCCAACTCCGACATCTGATATTTTACAACGTCGGTTTCCTGAAGATGTCAGGCCTGGAAGCTTCATTCTCGTCGTCAGAGAGATCGTCGCGGACCCATCCGCGACTCATCTCGACAGCTCTTTCCCAGTGCTGATACATGCGCGCAGCTTTCTTCCGGTCAATTCTGGGCTCGAAAACCCGACGACCTGGCTTTTTGCGTGTGAGCTCGGTGAGCTCCTCAAAGCTAGTCCAGCAACCTTCGACAGCTAGACCGGCAGCGATTGCGGCACCTAAGGCCGTGGTCTCGCGCATTGCCGGTCGCTCCACGCGGATGCCTGTGACATCAGCTTGTGTCTGCATCGTCAGGTCTGAGTTCGACATGCCGCCGTCAACGGCAAGAGACGCAAGCTTATGGTTTGAATCTTTCTCCATCGCTTCTAAAATCGCGCGAGTCTGGAAGCAAGTGGCTTCTAGTGTCGCACGTGCGATGTGACCTCTTTGTGTGTGTTGCGTTATTCCGACTGGATCATGATTAGCAAGATGCTTATCTGGATAGGTTGAGGCCCGTCGAGGCTATTGAGGCCATTGAGGAGGACTTACAAAGAGTACCTTTCGCATCGTCAATCCAGTACGGTGCGAATAGACCACTAAATGCGGTCACAAACACCACCCCGCCATTATCCTTGACGCTCTCAGCCAATTCACCAACTCTGTTAGAGTCTCTAATAAATCCTAAGTTGTTCATCAAAAACTTTACGCCAGAACCACCCACGGCTATGCTTCCCTCCAGGGCGTAAACTGGTTCCCGGCCCTTTCCAAAGTCGAATGCGACCGTCGCCAACAAGCCATACTTGGAGAGTACCGGCCTGTGGCCTACGTTGTATAACAAGAAACATCCAGTACCATATGTGTTCTTGGCTTGGCCTGGCTTGAATCCGCACTGGCCGACGAGCGCGCTGGCCTGATCACCTAAGCAACCTGCAATTCTTACTCCGGCCAAGGCGCCGCGGCCAATGGTACCGAAGGCTTCGGGGTCTGACGATGGCACAATCTTGGGCAGTGCAACCTTGTTCTTGTCAATTCCGAAGAAGGAGAGCAGTCTGTCATCATACTGCCGGGTGTGCAAGTTCATGAACATGGTCCTACTCGCGTTGGTGGTATCCGTGACATGGATATTCTTCTCCTTACCATTTAGGCGGTAAATTAGCCAGCTATCTACGGTACCAAACGCGAGACGGCCTTCTTCGTAGGCATTTCTCACGGTCAGATTATTCTTCAACAGCCAAACCAGTTTTACGCTGGAAGGATAAGTGCTCAGAGGAAGACCGCATAGTTCGGGGATAGCATGGGCGCCAGGGTAATTCTTCAAATCTCGGACGATATCCTTGGTTCGGGTGTCGGGCCATACAACAGCATTGCATAGGGGTTCGCCGGTAATCTTATCCCAGCATACCGTGGTTTCGCGCTGGTTTGTGATACCTACAGCTTTTATTTGGGACTTGGAATAACCTTTGAAAGTAAACTGTTCAATGGCTCTTTCGATACAAGACTCAACAGAGCTGAGCAATTCTAAGGCATCATGTTCGTGCCACCTGCATTACGAAAATGGGACATTAGCTCATGGTTGATGTAATAAGGGGGGCAGGGTGACGTCAATACCCCGATTCAGGATAGAGATTTTCAAATTCGATTTGGTGGCTGGCGACTGGATCCATGTGGCGATTAAAGATAAGAAAACGCGACGACGTGGTGCCCTGGTCTATACTACCGATAAACCATTCCGATGGTGCACGTTTGCTGGTCCATAGACCGCCATTGCCATTGGTATTGGTAGTGGCATTGCCATTGGTATGTCCATTGGTGTTGCCGTTGGTATAGCCGTTGGCACGCTGACCATTCGTATAGCCATTGGTGCGGCCATTGACATGACCGTTGGTCAACCCGTTGGTCTCACGGTTGTCACCCATTGCACTCTGGTGGCTGTTACGAATGACAACTGATGAGATGATTACTGGACGACGACTTGATGGTGGGAGGCGGCGTGAGGCAATTTAGCCTTATCCTAGCAATTCGGATCTAGATGACGTGCAGTCGGCTGAAAGGACGCCGAGATAATATGCCGCGACGGAAATTCGTCTGATAAAGGGTATCTTTGGTATCTTTTTGCTGCAACAGGGCAGTGGCTATGATGGGGATAAGTCGACAAGATAATATATGATGGTTAGGATGGGTACGATAGGTACGAAGTGAGAAAGAGTAAGAGTAATATGAGGAGAAGAGGAGAGATAAAGAAACAGAAGAGAAATAATAATGAGAGGAGAAAGAGCAAAAGGATAAGGACGTGGATGTGTAAGTGGATGTGGATGTGGATGTGGCAGTGGCCACTGAGTGACTGGGACAATCATCTTGGTAAGTGCGAGTAGATCGCACAATGTCGCACTCACGCGCCTACGCACTTACGCACTTACGTATTGTATGTTAGGTACTTTTTCAATTGTACCGATCTCAACCGGCTGAAGCTTTTTAGCATGCGAATTGAACAAAGTGCCTAATGCAAATTCGAGAATGGAAAATGCAGGAAGCAGGAAGGAGCAGGGGTACGAGAGCTGCCGAGCCGTGTCTCTGGAGCAAATCTAGGACCATTAAGAGAGCTTTGAAAGCTTTGGGAGCGTATGAAAGCGTATGGGACCAATTGGGTAACTACGCTAGGCTCGTGGAGAGTGGAGAAAGTTTTGGAGGATTGCGGGGAACATTATTGGGTGGTTTAAGGTTGATTTTGTTTGGTTCAAATTTGCTGACAAGATACCGGCACGATACCGGCACGGTCGTGAGCAGGGCTATCAGGATCAGGACTACACTACCTTAAGAAACCTAAGAACCGCCTAGACCTTGGAGAGCGCCATTCTCGAGTGTATGAGCGCATGAGCATGAGCGTATCGATGCGTCCCTTCCAAATGTCAATGTCTTGCAAGAAAAAAATTATACATATTCCCCACCTTCCTAGCCAAGCCAATCTTTCTACCGTATTGGTGGAACATTCTCTCATGGAAGGGGGAGGCTCCCCATTAGCTCATCGTTCTTGTATTAGAGGGGCAAGGAAAAGGTCACTAGGTCAGCTTAGCTGCTAAGGCCCAAGGGGGGCCGCGGCGCTGGAAATTATTTGGCAATTCCATTTCCAAAGAAAGGAAAGAAGAAGGAGCAGAAGAAGAAAAAAAAGAAGCTCGAGCCGATTTTTGCCCCTCATTACTCATTTCTTTTTTTTTTCTTTTCCATGTGAAGAATTGACTTTATGTATGTCCTAACTAGTGTTCCATTACTCAACAGATTTTACTAGTAGTTATGTATGTATTGTATTCTCGTCAACCTCTCTATCTTACATAGCACGCAACACGCACAGCTTGGCCAGCGTGACCTTTTTTTTTTCCTGCATTCCCTGCCTAGCCGCCTAAGATTAGAAAACATGGCAGCATCGCAGGCAGCATGGGGGTCCCTCACTCATCCTGAGCCTCCGAGGCCGCCCCTGGGATGCGGTCAAGCACCACGGTTTGCCTACATAGCTCTAGACCAACAACTCGGTGATCTGTGCGAGGGGCCACTTCACGATAATCACATCCGCGTGATAAATTTGATTTTTTTTTTTACCCTCTCGCATCGTGTTCGTGACCGGCCACCGGGCGCGCGCATAATCACTCACTCATTCATTATCTATGTCTGGACGTGGGACCGAGGGGTTGGCCACGTATTCCATTCCTCCCGTACATAGTATACGTCAACGATATTGACGATGCATTCATTCCCTTGTCTCCCACCCTTTCCGAACAAAGCCTCTCACTCTCCCTTTCCCCTTCCCCTTCCCCTTCCCCGTGCCCCCCCATTCCCCATACCCCATTTCCCCTTCACCCTCTTTTTTTCTTTCTTTTCTTTCCCACCTCCTTTCCCCTTTTTTCCTTAGTCCACGTGCAACCAATCCTTCCACCGCTTAGAAATTATATCTCCATGAGCCATTTATTTATCTGACGCTCGGCAACGTGCCAAAAATAAACCCGACATTAATCAATCGATTTTTTTGTGTTCCCCCCTCCAAGACTCCCGTACCCGTTCCTATTGCCGTCGGCCTCGTATCGACCAAGATTAATTCCATTGGTCTAAATGTTATGGGTTCTGCCGTCGCATCTAGCCTCAATGCCGGAAATTTGTGGGACTCGTTGCGGTCGGGAGATCGTCTGTCCAACTTCTCTTCCGGTCTTTGTTGTGGGGCCGAACCCCGGAGAGTTATCTATAGCTGATTGTTTGCTCTAATAATGGACGGAGCAAACCTCGTATTATGCATCTTTCATCTTGTGCATATGATAGCCCTGGAGTTTCATATCCGGGGACCGGGTGTACCCATAGGTACATATTCCATGTTTCACATGAGTGGGATGTCTCGACCAATGTAATCGTAGAAGAGGAACATGGAAATATGCAACAACCGAGCTCAGGTTATCTTCCGTGTGTTCCCTTTATTTTATTTTATTTTTCGTCCTTCGCATTCATTTGCCTCTAATAGCGTTACAACCCGCCGTCGGTGTATATAGGTCTTCCGAGCCCATTCGTAGATATTTGGTGCTCAACCGAAACTACAGGATTCGGTAGCAGCTCCGAACATTATTATCAATGGATTCCTTCCACACGCGTTGGTCCTGAATAGGGACGACAGGACTGCACTTCCTCGTTCTTGATACCATCTACAGGCAATCATACTTCGGACCGAAATGATATTCTTAATCGTGAGCCATTTCGGAAGTATGTTGTACGCATTCATGAGGGGGTTACGCAATCGACGATGGTCATTGCTGCTCTGCGTATATCGCAAATCATATTCATCCGGAACTGTCGCGGGAATTCCTTAGCAATTGATCGCTTGACTTCTGAATCTTTACTTGGGGCGATGATATTGGCTACGTCCTAGATGCACTCGAACCGATTGGGATTGTCGGTCCCGAATGCATTTGCGAGAGCGAGGAATGCCGCTGCGGTATACCCGAAGTTGATAGTCCGTCGCTCCAAGAATAGAATACTCTCGAATCTACTACGTTGATTTATATATCATGATATGAAGTATGTCGATATGACTAAGTGGTAAGCGGTTGTTAAGTAGTATAGCCAGTTACAGTAGAGTATATATGCCTAAGGTTTATTTACCTTAGGATGTTGTGTTGAATGCGAGTAAAGATTTCCTATTTGGGATACATGCCTTGCTACCTTACAGATAATTTTCCTGCCTCATAGAAAGCCATAAAAGATAAAAGGCGTAGGTTTGCATATGCATATATGTAAGGCTTTTATATTACTTAGGTCTCGAGGGTATTGAGAGTATTGTCCAGCTGTATAATAGCAATAAATTCGGGTTGTTGTAGGGGTGCCTTCCAGTTTAATAGGGGGTAGGTCGCTAATATATAATAAAAATAGTATAAAAACACGGTGCGGTGTAAACCTTAGGCTTTTGTGTTGCCCGGGGGGTAACCTCTAGTATATATATAGCTACCAATTGTTAAGATCTACCAGGTTGTCTTGTTGTCATTTATAATTTCTACAACACCAAACTCATCACCTGCAAAGTCCCTCTAGGCATAGGGGGAACTAGTATGAATTAGGTATAACAAGATCTACATACGATAGATATATAAGGGGCGCGCAGCGTGTCAGGATTCTAGATGAGACATCTAGGACAAAGAACATGTATGTATATACGAACCGTGGGCTCGCCAGATAGGAGGTTAAGCGATAATAGATTCATACTACTACACAACTACTATATAGCAGCTTCATTACTGCTTCTAACATTCACTCTACGTTTGGAACTTGTTTTCGATTGTGTCGTCGTGATGCGAAAAGGTTCTTGCGATGTTGGAGGCGTCTTTTTTGCCTTCCTTCATCGTCAAGTTCCGTAATGTTATATTCAGTATTTATCCCAAAAAAAAGACGCTGTAATTGATAACTAGCAATAACGCCTTATATGTGACACGCCCCCCTCAACTGGTCGCATGCCTTACTGCCGGTACAAGTCCGGCTCTGGGGCTTTCGCCAGTGTTTTAGGGTTTGGCGTGGACCGCTGCGCTAACCAAGCGCTCATAACCGATGTAGATGACCCCTTTCCTTCCCGTATATCCTCGTCTCGTTGCCGCGAGACATCTCCGTTAAATATCCGGTTCCGTTAACGCCTAACTCCTCAAACTGTAGACAAGATTTGCGCCTTTCCTGGCCCGTCCAATTGATCGCTTCTTCGATCTTATTTCCCCCCTGAGCTTGAGCTATCGTCTTAGTCAGTAGGAGATTCTTTCTCGATAATACTATATGGGCTAACTTACGAGTTTTTTTTCTCCTCCTCCTGTTGTTCTTGCCGTTGTAGGTGATACTGGCGGTGCTCTTCGAGCTTTTCTTTGGACATGTTGTCGTACATGTTATCCTTCATTATGGCGGGTCGAATAGCGCCGGTGAAGTGGTCTTTTATGAAAGGCACCAGCTTCTTTCGGTTATAATCCCAATGCATTCCCAGCCTAGTACCGTTGGGTGCATCGAAGAATTCGCGTGCCAACTCTCTTTCCTGCACCATTTTTAGGAGCTTGATATTCTCCGGGGTATTCATTGTGCTGTAGTATTGGGGCTGCTTGCTGGTGCGATTGTTGCTCTCCAAGGTAGAAGGTGTTGAAGATATATTTATGGTGACTCCGTAATAGAAAAGTGTTATAACTTGGGTAGACAGTTTAGTGGCTTGAATGTTTGTTGTATTGTCGAGAAGATGAGAGGTGCAGTATTGTTGATGGGTGATGTTGTAGAAAGGATGGAGATATTTTCAGATGATAGCAAGTCCAACGCGTGTGGTTTTATACCTGGGGATCGAGGAGGATATCATATTTTGGGGAGCCATTTTGCCTGAGCGTAATGCCAAAGTTTGTTTCCCAACGTATTGGCGTTGTAGTTTCAACGCGAGGTGTTTAGACGTGGCAATGTCTAGTTTAGTTTTCTTAGTTGTGTTGATAGTTTATGTGGTGTGGATTTAGGTTGGTACAGCCTCTTGAGAAAGTTGAAAATTCTCTTCGATTGTGTTATGCTCTTGTGCAAGGCGAAGGTTGTATGGTTGTTGGGCAACCAGGTAAGAAACTAGGGCGGTATACATAATTACTTACCTCGTCAGGAAGGAACGCTACGGCTATATACTTTGGCTAGGCTTGAGCGTACAAGCTAGTAGTTACTAAGCTATAAAATTGTCTACTATCGAAATATACGGCATCTTACCATGTCTCTTAATCTGTTGTTGCTTCTTAGAAACTACGTAACGAGTATATAAGTACCTAGGTAGTCATCAAAGTAAACAACCATCCGATATTTCGAAGAATCAACAAAGTCAAACATGTAAGCATGACCAATGATTAAGGGACTAATTCGTACCAAAAACAAAAAAGAATTAAGATTACAATTACAATTACAACAATGACGATGGAAGTTTAAGATAAACGCCACGTCACTTGTAGGAGGTTACCGTTTCGTAAAATTTGCTGCTGGCGGCCCATGCCCACTTGTAGAGTATATTTGCCTCCCCAACAACCCAAAAGACTAGCAGAAGCCATTCGTAAGTACTTCTATGCTTAATTAATGGATCGTATTTCGCCGAGGGGCTAGGTTTGGTAAGGATATACGTAAGGAGTATATCACGGTATTCGGTCCGTCTGGTTTAGGGCAGTTTAAAAGATTTGAATAACTGCCTACCTAGATAATGAAGAGCGGGCTATTTCTCTACTTTACATACAAGACCTGGAGTCCGCTCTAGACTATTCACGAGCACGGCAACAGTCTTCTCTCCTCCATCGGCAGTTTGAGACGTGATGTTGATGAGGATGGCGCCGTATCAGCTGGCTAGACTATAGTTCTCTCTAATCATATTCGAAAGCTTACCCCTAGCCACGAAGATACCTGAAACATAGGAGCTGTTCGTGTGTAAACTAGCTGCCACGTCAGAGCTCGATTTATGTTTATTAGCATGTTAACCTAGTTAGTTGTATTCGTATTCTTCATCTGCACAGTAACATAACTAGAAACGAGAGTTTAGTATCATAGTCTATGGGAATGCGGTCCAAGAGCACTAAAGACACAGCCTGGGATTACGAGCGCTTTGATTACTGCCGAATTATAAGCAAGTAACCTAGAAACTCAGCCACGCATACGACATAACTAATGCCATAGCGTAACGCTTTAGTACCGAAAACGAGACAATACGAGATAGGAAACCGAATCCACGTCAAAGCCGCTGTTAGCTGTTATCCTTAAAAGGACACCCGTTTTGGTAACCTTGTGCTTGAAATATAGTTGCCACTAAGCCTTATAGCCTTACTGGCGTATTCTGCACGATGTTTAGTGTAAACTATGCGCGAGGAACGGACCGACTGACCGTCTACCCCAGATTTGACTTCAAGCCTTAGGTATTTCCTAAAATCTTTTTTACTTCTGCAATTATAATTATACTCGTGGATTCAACGGTAGCCTCGAGTTAAATAATAATGCACGTCCGAATTTCACTAAAGCTATCAAACCAATCTAGAAGCTTCCGACGCTCCTTTTGTCCCTCGACGGTGGTCCCTGGAGGCGATGCAAGTCCCAAGCGAGTGTATGATACTTCATCATCCTTCCCTCTGTCCTCCTTGAGGATAATGCTGATGGGAGCTGGAAAGTCGCACGTATCGGCTATGCGCAACATAAGCACCGCCATTTGCTCCTCTGTCTGTGCAAAGGGCTCGCAATCTACACTGACTTCGATATTAACCGCTAGCTCGGGATGGAAAATCCGGTAATCCTCTAGGGATTCCTGAGAGGACTTGGAAAGTGTACACATGATGGATTCCCCGCGTAATATTAACCGCCCTCCAGTAGCTTGCCCAAACTGGTTTGCGTCCGTGTAGTCGCAGCTTGCGCTCAACACCTTCACATTGGGTTTAAGTGGTGCTGTTGAGTCGTAAGCAACTGGGCCAGGGACAGAGGCCCACGACCAGGTGGGTGCAATGTAGTACTTTGAACGTTGTTGGGGGCTTGGTTGACGCTTGCGTGCCCACAGCAAGTCCAACTCGAGCGATTCATGCCAAAGCCCAGCGAGGTATGTCTTGTTCTGGTGCACGGCCTGAGTTTGTTCTGCTATGGCCCCGATCGCCAAAAGTCTATCGGTTTGGTTCGTGAGTTGCAAGTCCGAGTAAAATTGAACAATTCTACGCCATGTCTTCCCGGTATCGCTCTTCAAGGACTTACTTTTCTTAGTAAACCTTATGGAATTTCTAATATATTCGGTATACTTGGCGGGATATTGTTGGGAGAGAGGCGGACTGTTCACTAAGTTGTTGACGTGTAGCATTTTTAAACTTGTTGGGTTATACGGCCCATCACCGTGGAAACCGCACTCACAGACGGATGTTGAATAACATTCCCATATCAATTCGTGTTTTGTGAAATATAGAATTCGAGGAGAGACTAATCTTTCTTGGAACGTCCAAGCTCGCTTGAAAAGGGGCTCAGTCCGGTGATTCAAGTACAGATTAGTGATCTCCGGGAAAGACTGCTGCGCATATAACTGGTACTCTTCAGTACCATGCCGGATTTTACCCAATTGTAGCTGTTGTCCAGGGCTCAGGCTAGAGAATAGCCCCTTAGAACTATCCTCGGCATGGGATGCGGCAATCGTCAAGAATGCATTCTGATAAACATGGAACATTCGGCCGGCCTCCCGTAACCAATCTTGGGGATCTCTTTGAATGATACATAGCGAGTCAATCCATATATAGCCTATACCAAGTTTGCGCGTAAACAAGATTGCTTCTTGAAAGCTCTTTGGAAGCGTACTCCAGGGAACGTTTTCCTTCTGATCCAAGACGTTTGCCTTGGTAGTCAGACACTCGGGCAGCTTTAAGCCCCAACAGTGACTGAGAGCTACATAGTGTGAACCATGAGGCACTTCGGAGTTGTCTATCAGCCTTACCTCGTCGTTACTACCGGCGATAGATATGAGTCGCGTAGGAAGAAAAGTGCTATCTCGCGTGCGGCAACGCTGGTGAGATTGCGAACAGGCTGATAACTGGTGTTTTACCCATTCACAGGCGGCTTCCGACGCGGTGTTTCCGGAGACGAGAGAGCCCTTGGGTATACCTGATAGACTTCTCCGCTCTGAGTACGGAAGGAAAAAGTTCCACTCAACTTCATCTTCCTCTAATAAGGTATCCTCCAGAAGAAGGCAGGGTTTGTCCTGATTTATCCACGGAGATATAGTCCATCGACCCCGATCTAGATTTTGCTGTCGTTCAAACAAAAGGTCAATTATCTTGCAACAGATACATTGCGAATCCTCGGGCCGACTAAATATGATATCTGGTTCATCGCGAGGAGTTGGGACTTTGAGTAGATGTTCGGGATTAGCATCCCATCCACATTGTGGGCAGACTTCTCGTCGATCCCAGAGTCTTTCTAAATTACCTAACCAATTCCAATACTTTGGTAGCACAATTGTGTCCTCTGCATCTTTAGGACTAGCTGGCGCTTGAGATATGTTGTTTAGAAACTCGCTCGTAAAAGCTTTCACGGTGTGATCCATTTCTGTTAGTTTTTCTGTTAGTTGTTGATCACAACTTACATAGTACTAATAAGGTGACATGGGAAAGGAACAGGTTGGCGGTGTTCTAAAAATAGCAGTATGAGCTTAATTGATATTTTCATTTAGACTTGATTTGGATTTTAAATGGAATATGCAATTAATTATCTTTTGTCGCAAGGTTAAGGCGTCAAAAAAGCTGGCGCACCTCTATGTATGTACATAGTACTAACAATTATCCTGGTAGGTGCGCCACCTTTTTTTTTGACGTCCTTCTGACAGCTAACACAGCTGCACAGCTGTATTCATGAGTCAGCTTAGCAAGCACGTGATAGTTACCTGAGCAATTCCATATACCTAAGGCTGCTTATCGAACAAGCCGCTTGCCTCGGTTCATTTTAATGGATAAGCCGGGGTTCGTGACTCGTCATTGGGTTGTTTTTGTCTCCAGCCTCAACGCGACAACTCGACAATTCTTCTTACCATCTACAATAGGTAATGCTTCGCACACACGACAGCTTTCCCTAATTGTCATCAACCACTTGCCATGAATATTCCTTGAAATTCGACACTTTAATCATGCCAATCCGGGAGGACGTCGTGGCCTCTGCGGTCAATTGTAAGTACTAACCAACCCAACCACTTGAATTATTTGATGTTTAGGATAGGAGCTGGAGAAGCATAGCTAACAAATTATCTTCAATTATGTAGTTTTACAAGACCCTAATGTGATTTCTTCCCCCATCGAGAACAAGCTGTCCTTCTTGCGATCGAAGAATTTAACGCAAGAGGAAATCGACACCGCTTTCGCGAGGAGCGGCTCATCCATAGCTCCCGTTCCCGCTTCATCCTCACCATCGCCGTCACCTTCACCAGCGCCCTCTGCTCCTGTCCAGAATCAGCCATACTACGGCCAATACCAGACGCAGCCGTACGGATGGCAAGCACCACCAGAAGTCCCTAAGAGGGATTGGCGAGATTGGTTCATTATGGCTACTGTGGTAGGCGGAGTTAGTTACGGGTTATATACCGTTTCCAAGGTATGCCATGATTACTCCAACTTATGAATAAATAAAACATCGAGATCCTAACCTTGATGGCAGCGTTACCTTTACCCCCTAGTTTCGCCTCCGACACCGGAGAAATTAGAACAAGACAAGTCGATGGTAGACGAACAGTTCGAGAAGGCCTTCGCGACGCTCGAACAACTATCCAAGGACACAGAGGAGCTAAAGGCCTCGGAGAGGGAGCGCACCGATAAGCTCGACAAGGTGCTAGATGAGCTAGACGTATTCATGCGAGATACGAAATCTGCCAGCCGACGACACGAAGACGAGACGGACCGACTACGCGAGGAGATGAAGGCCTTGAAGGGGATCATCCCCAGTTCTATGACTGCGAACAAAGAATTCACGGATAACCGATTGAAGGAGATCACCACCGAAGTCAGGAGTCTGAAGTCTCTCATCAGCCAGCGAATGGGCAATTCCAGCAGCACTACTCCAGCCCCGCCGTCTGTCAGCCCGAACGGCTTCCTTAAGCCAACTGTCAGCACCGTTGCACCATCAACTGCTAGCGGTGCCTCGAGCCCTGGTGTTGATGCGCTAGCTAAGGACCTCGGCGACGCGAAGCAGGCGGTGCGAGACGAGAACTCGCCTCAGAGCAGCGCTACCAGACAGGACTTCTTCTCGACGCGAACGTCTCCCTTCGCAAGCGGCATGCCTCCCACAAAGGCATCGATTCCCGCGTGGCAGCTAGCAGCGAGTAAGTCGGAAGCCACTGCAAGCGGTTCGCAGAACGAAGCTGGACCTAGCTCTAGCTCTTAATTACATATGTAGACATACCTTAGGTAATCATTACTCGTTTGGCGTTGTTTTGTGTGATCGGGGATTCTTTTAGTTTAAAAAGGAAAGGCATTTTCCCAGGTCAAGCACAAGTATATTTGAATGAGGACACCAGCCTCGATTGATGTAATGGGGGCAGTTTCACATGATGAGTCTCCGGGCAAAATGTGTACGTTTTTAAGGACTTGGATGGGATAAATGAAGTTGATTTCATAATGCCATATGTTTACGTGCCCCTTTGATTATGCTGTGAAAGTGACACTTGGGATGAGATAGGTACCGTACCTATGATTACTAGCAACTGAGGATCATCTTAGGGGGCTGACTGCACGTTCTCGTTGTCATCGATGAGTGGAGGACGCTATGCTATGTATGTTACCTGTCTTCCGGCGGTAAGAAGCTTGCCACTTAAAAACGGGTGTATGCATAGTACCTAGGTCAGAGTGTCTTCTTTAATAAAAGCAATCCTTTAAAGCTAAATGGAATATATAATATACTTAATATTATTAAATCTAAAGCTACTCTCTTGACCTAGATGTATGAAAGCAATAAAGCGTAACTAGTTGAAAATCGTTGAAAATCATTGAGGAATTTCCCCTATTCAACTATGTAAAAGCCGAATCTTGGAGAACGTCACCAGCAATGACAGAGTGGCTGAGTGGCGACCCAGACGTACCCGCACAAAATGTGTACATGGTACCTGCCTCTCAGGGTGCCGAGGTTTACCTTCGCCTGCAGCGTCCCAACGTTCCATTCGGAGTCAGCGGCAGGGGAGTTGGCATACATACATAAATTCTCAGCTATCATGGAACTTACAGGGGTTAATAAAAATATAAGGGGGAATCGAATACACAACGCTTTGCATACATATATACATACCTACCTTGTAGTATAACTAGATGACTATTTAACTAGTTAGTTAGTCTTTGCTTTTCGGTTTCCGTTTCGGTTTGTCGGTCAGTCTTAATATCGTCACCGTATATTCTCCTTTTACGCTGCGTAGGAGCAATTGAAAAGAAACCATTGCATCCCAGCGTAGACCACGGTCCGTTGAAGGCAATTTTCAGATCGTAGACATCGCCATGTCTGACTCTATCGTCTCTACTGTCGACAAGAAGAAAAGGGCTCCCGGTGGGCGACTGGATCTGCTTTGGTTCATTCTACCTAAACTTCCCTTGATCGTCAAGGTCATTCTGCTACATGTCATCGGCGGGTCCGAGACTTCTCGGTATCGGGATCTAAAGAGTGATGTGACCATCGCGGTCCTACGGTCATTAACTGACCCATCGAAACCGAAACCTCTTTCTGAGGTCCAGGCCATGACTTTGAAGGACCCAGGCGTCAAGGGCAAATTGTGGGTTAGCACGGTGGCGTCTGAGCCCCCTCCCGAGCGAGGGATTCGGGACGCCCTGTTGGCAGTCATCGACGCGTTGAACGAGCCTAGCGCAAGAGGTACAAAGCCGTCCTTCAAGATACCGGAGCTCGTTCCCGTCGAGGCCGAGTGGACGGGGTATAGAGCTGCCGCGTCTAAGAACTCGAAACCCCCGGAGATCTCGGAGGAGCAGAAGTACCGCGAGATGATGAAGGAGTGCAAGAACTCGACGACAATCTTGTACTTCCATGGTGGGGCTTACTATCTGTGCGATCCGTCGACACATAGGTTGCTGATGAAGCGATTGACCAAGCTGACGGGTGGCCGCGCGTATTCGGTCAGGTATCGACTTGCACCGCAAGACCCGTTTCCAGCTGCGCTATTGGATGCCTTCGTCTCTTATTTTACCCTTCTCTACCCGCCTCCCGGGTCGATACACGAAGCTGTTGCTCCCGGGGATATTGTATTTGGCGGTGATAGCGCGGGCGGCAACCTCGCTCTGGCACTCCTTCGAACGCTAATGGAGATCCGCCGCCAGAACCGCAAGATCAATTGGTTCGGCGAGGAGCGAGAAGTGCCCCTACCTGCTGGTCTTGCTAGTATGTCTCCATGGATAGATATGGTGCAGAGTCTGCCTTCGTTGACTAGGAACCAAAAGTGGTGCTATCTTCCTCCCCCAAGGCTCCTCTCGGAAGAACATCAACCACCGGCGGATAGCATATGGCCGACTGACCCACCTCGAAAGCACGTTTACGTCGATGACGACTATATACTTCACCCGTTGGCTAGCTTACAGATGAATAATGACAGCTGGGAGGGAGCACCGCCCATGTATATATCCTGCGGCTGGGAGAGTCTCGAAGACGAAATCAAGTACTTCGTGGCAAAGCTCACCAGGGACGGCGTAACGGTGGTGTTTGAGGAGTACCAAGCGATGCCGCACGTGTTCGAGGGGCTTCTGCCCAAGCTCCCCGAGTCGCAGCGTAACCGAGAAGGTTACGCGAATTTCGTCAAGGCCGTATGTAAAGACGCGAAGAATATCAAGTCGTCTTATACAGCGATCAAAGCGAAGACTTTAGAGGAATTGGAAATCGACGTGGAAAAACTGACCCCGCATAGCGACGAGGAAGTAAGGGAGCTGGCTCGACAGAGAGTCTCTGCACAAAAAGCACCCGTTGCGCCGGCTCCCGATGTACCGGCAAAGCTATGAGCTCTCAACTTAACTTCTTAAAGGTGCATCGTCCTTGGTTCTGCGCGTATTTATTATAATGAGGGGGGTTGTATACGATGTGTATGTTTTTTACGTCTTGAGTATAAATGGTAATGAACGAGATATATGATATAGGTAGTTATTCGGGGTACTTGTCCATTATTCTAGAAGGAAATATCAAGAAGTAAGGGGTTTAAACAAATGTCTGGAAGATAATGTGAAATACAGCAAATATAAGACATGAAGGTGCCTAGGTACCTAAGATAACTTCCCCAACCCAGCAGCTCACCCAACACGTCCTTTAGCTGCTTACGTTACCTCAAGGTCCCATAACTTAGGTAGGTACCTAAGGTTTGTACCTTATGTAAGGTAGGTAACACTGGAAGTTGGTGGGTGGTGGCTGTAACTGACAGCCTGGATGGGTACACAACCCCGTATATCGACCCGCATAATGTCTCACAGCTAAATCTTTAAGAGCAGCTGCTTTAAGATACTCATACTTGACCTAGTTACCTACCTAACTTATAAAACCCGACTTTAGCTAGGTAACGTTAGATATGTCCTCAAGTGCCAGGGAGACACGGTGGGTCAACCGTAAACCCCCTAAAATCCGAGTAACTTGATTGATCCAAAACAGTCATCATGAATTCTTATTGAACATACCCTAGTATAAGGTACCCACCGCGTCTCACTCGCGCTTGAGGACATAGTGTATAAAGTCGATTTTAGAGAGATATATAAAGCCAACTTTCAGTCTTTACAACAACACATAAAATACCTAAAGTAGGAGGCCGTTCACTTCCCTAATCCTCCCTCTCCCAATGGAACGCCACCGACAAGCCGTGCGCCTAGTCTCCGCAACAGTGCGCTCGCTGTTCGAGCGGTCGGAACCATACCGCATCTGGCACGGCAGCACCAACTCGACGCGGCCGCCGCACCAAAAAGCCGGCGTCCGCGTCGTCGACATCAGCGGCCTGCGCGATGTCCTCTCGGTAGACGCCGCGACGCGCACGGCCTTGGTCGAGCCCAACGTCCCCATGGACCGGCTCGTCGAGTCCACCCTGCCGCACGGCCTCGTGCCCCCCGTCGTCATGGAGTTCCCGGGCATCACCGCGGGCGGCGGGTTCGCGGGCACCGCGGGCGAGAGCAGCAGCTTCCGCCACGGGTACTTCGACGAGACGGTCCGGTCGGTAGAGATGGTCCTGCCGGACGGGGAGGTCGTCACCGCGCGCCCGGACAAGGGCGACGAGTACGAGGATTTATTCCGCGGGGCGGCGGGCGCGCTGGGCACGTTGGGGACGACCACGCTGTTGGAGCTGAAGCTTATCGAGGCTAAGAAGTTTGTGCGCACGACGTATAGGCGGACGAGTAGCGTGGAGGAGGCGGTTAGGGTGATTCGGGAGGAGTGTGCTGCCGAGAGGGGGAACGATTATGTTGATGGGATTTTGTTTTCGAAAGATCATGGCGTTATTGTGAGTGGGAAGATGACGGATGACTTACCGTCCGAGGATGAGCGCGTGCAGACGTTCAGTCACCCGTGGGATCCGTGGTTTTACATGCACGTGCGGGATATCACCAAGACCCTACCGTCTTCCGCTTCCGCCTCCGCCTCCGCCTCATCCTCAAGCTCTTCTTCCGAAGGCACGGTAACCGAGTATATCCCACTATCCGAGTACCTCTTCCGATACGACCGCGGAGGCTTCTGGGTCGGCCAAGCTGCCTTCGACTACTTCAAGCCCGTGCCCTTCAACCGGTTCTTCCGGTGGTTCCTAGACGACTTCATGCACACGCGGATGCTATACCGCGCACTCCACGGCAGCGGCGAAAGCGCGCGCTTCATCGTCCAAGACATCGGCCTGCCGTACGAATCCGCCGAGCCCTTCATCAACTACGTGTCCGACGAGCTAGCCATCTGGCCGCTATGGCTGTGTCCGCTAAAGACGCCTTCCCGCCCGAGTTTCCATCCCCATCTACGAGACGGGGGGAAAGGAAAAAAAGACAAAGCATCCCACGGCGAAATGCTCAACATCGGCGTCTGGGGCTGGGGCCCGGAGGACCGCAACTTATTCATCCGGGCGAACCGCGCGCTAGAGCGCCGCGTCGACGAGCTCGGCGGCACCAAGTGGCTGTACGCGCACACGTACTACCCGCGGTCCGAATTCTGGCGCGTCTACGGGTCCGCCCAGCAGAAGCAGTACGAGGCGCTGCGGCACAAATACCTCGCCACAAGTCTGCCCGACGTCTACGACAAAGTCAGCGTGAAAGTCGACAACGACGACGCGGTGACGCGGGGGTGGAAGCCCTGGCTTAAATCCCTGTGGCCCGTCGGTGGGCTCTGGGGCATCTGGAAGGGGATCCAGAGTAAAGATTACATGCTGCATCGGCACGCGACGTGGAAGTGGACGGGCGAAGGCGACGAAGCTAAGACGGGGAAGACGAAGTCGGCGTAGTGTGGGAGGGAGCGGGTATGCTTCCTGCTGTAGGACTATACTATTAGTGACGGGTAGGCTATTAGACTTGGATATCCCAAGCCATTGTCGTGAAAGACTTTGCTGGTCGATCTAACTAACCTTCTCTTTCCGACGATAATAGAGGATCAGACCTACCGTACATGTCTGTTCTCCTATTATTAACGGTTTTATTTATAGTAAGTACCATGTGTATTCCAACATAATCAAGTAAACAGGGACTAGTTGTCTTAGAAACTCAACGATAAGTCATCCAATCAGAATTGAGCCGTAGCACATTAAGGGTGACATATAGATCCGAATCATCAACTACGACACATTCAAAAAGATAGCCACTTGAGTCTCTATCAGCGTCTTCATTAAGTTCTTCGTACGAGTCATCACAGGAATAATTCCTAGTATATACAAGTCGGGCATTCGTCAATCATCACCCAACCCTATTAGTAGCCCTCTTATCTCACAATCGTCTTTCATGTAGTATACATGATCTTCGTGCCATAAGCCTTGACTCTAGGAATTGCGCCAACCATACTAGTCTAGGTAGTATCCCGGCTGATTAATACCTGTCTATATAGGATGTAGATCGCATTTATTAATTTTTTTTCTTCTCATTTATGCCTTGATCGCGTAGGTTCGCTTGAACATGTCGTCGACCTTCTCAAGGTAGTAAGTGCCACTGGCCAGAGTGGACACGTCACCTTGAGGGGTGTAGTTCTTCTGTAGGTGAGCCTTGTGGCGCAGCTCGCAGAACTGGAAATTGTTAGTTTAAACGTCATAAAAACTGGATGGTTTGCAACTTACAGCCTCATATGTCTCAGGAGGGACGGCCCGCCTTGCAGCTAGCTTGTTCTGGATATCCAAGACCTTTGCGATTTGCTCCGTGTTTCCGTTGACGCGCACCGAGAGGAAACTAGCAGCCAGACCGGAGCCGTAGCTGAAAAGTCCGATACGCTTTCCCTGGAGGGTAGCGCTATCAACGTAAGAGATGATACTAGCAAGGCCACCCCACAAGCTGGCAGTGTACATGTTACCACAGTTGGTGGATACTTGGATAGAGGGTGAGACGCGCTCGTTGAAGCGCTTCTTGGTGAGGGCCATGAAGGTCTTCTCCACCACCTTATCGGACAAGGACTTTTTGTAGTCCATATCCCGGATGTCACCGGGGACCTCAGCAAAGGCAGGGCTATCCGGGTCTGCGAGGTAGTCGTGGTATAGGAGACGTGCGTAGGACTTCTGGACAACCTTGCACGTCGGGGAGTGGAAAGCCAGGTAGTCGAAACGGTCAAGAGCCGTCTTGGTACCGTCAGCAGCGGCAGCACCATTTCCGTTGGCATGACCGTTTGCTGCGTTCTTTAGCTGAGTCTCACGCTTGCAATACGCTCGGTAAGCAGCGTCGAGAGCTTCGGTGTAGCAGTTGACCGAGTAGTGTCCGTCGACATAGGGGTACTCGCTGGTAAGGTCAGGCTTGTAGAAATCATACACGTGTTGCATGTACGTTCCACGCAGACCAGCATCGACGACGATGGGAGCGTCAGGGCCAATCAACAGAGCAACGCAACCAGCACCACCAGTCGGCCTGGCGTTACCCTTGGCATAAAGGGCAATGTCACCGGCTACGACGATTGCATCTCTTCCGTCCCAGGCAGACGATTCCATCCAGTTGACAGTGTTGAAGAAAGCGTTTGTACCGCCATAGCAAGCATTCAAGGTGTCGACACCCTCAATGTTGGTGTTTTCGCCGAACAGCTGCATCAAGACAGACTTGACAGACTTGGACTTGTCGAGGATGGTCTCGGTACCGACCTCGAGACGGCCAATCGAGTTAGGGTCGATGCTGTAATTCTTCAACAGCTTGGAGGTGGCAGTCAAGGCCATGGAGTAGATGTCTATAAGTGGCCATCTTAGCACACGTGCGAGAGACGCTTAGGTCTAGCAATGGCAATAACAACTAACCTTCTCGGTCATCGCAGAAGGTCATCTTGGTCTGACCAAGACCAATGGTGTATTTGCCAGTGCTAACACCATCGAACTTCTCGAGTTCGGCTTGCTCGACATACTGAGGGGTACGAGTGTCAGTAGGAGGCTCTCAATTCAGGGTCCATTGGTGTCGTGCGATGTCGGAGGAGGACAGCTCGACGGCTTTGGGGAGTAAGATATCTTACCTGGCTGGGGAAGTAAAGCTCGATGGCCTTAATGCCAATGTTCTGAGGACGGGAGGCCATGGTTTCGAACAACAATGGGTATCGTGGTGGTAGGGCTGTGAAGAAAGTTGTTCTAGCAAGGAAAATATTCGATGCCAAACAAGTGTATATCTATCTGTGGGAAACGGGTAGTGTTATTAGCACAAGCACAAGCAGCACAAGCATGTGGGCAGGGTTTGAATTCGGAAGGCTGGATTCACCGCCAATTTGGCAATGGAACCCAATGCAGGCGGACAGGGGCAGACCCGAGTATTTGTTTGCGACGCCTAGTCTGGAATTGCATGTGTGCCGATCCAAGTGGGGGAATCTGGTAAGAGGTGTTGTAAAGCGCCAGGGGTTTTTGACTGGTTTTGCTGGTTCTGCTAGTTCAACTCACCTATCAGCTCTTATCTGCAGTATTAATGTGGTATTATGAGGAGGATTGCCACGAGTTGATGCCACAACACGGGTCGTATGCGTCTACCTCTTTTAAGCGAAAAAGGAGAAATGAGCGGATGAGATGGGACGAACCGAAATTATGAAGATGGCCAACAAAAATTCCTGTTGATATTTTGAAAGACGGGAAAGGGCAGAAAAGGGGAGAGAAAAGATGCGAGCTAATACCTCATCTGATTAGTTTAGTCTACTTTGTTGGCAGCTACATTTCACATACATAGTACATACAATGTAGTATGCCCCACCAGATTTTAAGTTTAGTGTATGAAGTACAATTGGCAATTACCTAAGTAGCCCCTGAGCCTACGTGTATGCGTTTGTACATATTTTTCAATTCGTTTACTTTTAGTCATGGTTGAGTTGAGGGACGCGCGCGTAAAAGAAAACGGTCCGAGTTTTATTACTGCTGCCTCTAATATCGAGGGTCTAGTGTATAGTGTATGTGTAATGTGTAATTTTAAGTACATAATCTATCTCACTTTGAAGTGCATATGTACCTAGCCAGCCAGCATCATGATTTCATTAATGTTTAATGTATATGTAAAAACTTCCCGTAAGCCAGAGATCTTAAGTTGAGTTAGTTACACAAGTCTTGACTGATAGGTTATACCTTCCGCAACACATAGGTTTTAAGTACGCCACTTTAAAAATCTGCAGCGTCGATTGATTATGTGTTGTACGCAGTAGTCTAAAGTTTACCTAGGCGCAAATGTGTAACGTCGTCTAACACATCTTGTAGATAAAGTCTGTATCCGTTTCATACATGTATTACATACTAAGGTTAGGTAGTCTAACTCGCAGAGACTTGAGCAACTTGTCATACCTACCTACATATCTAGTATATCTATATATCTATACTACTATGTACATACCTATGCATCTACCATAGTAAGCAGATGCAACTTTAATACTCCCTTCGTATCAGCAATCAAGATTGCTAAGTGTGCATTTCGCCATCCTTCGCAACTTGGAAATTTCTCCCTGCTGTAGTAGTGTACATAGTACAGTTTTGCGAGTGATTTGTTTTCGCAGGGCAACTCAACGTAACCCAAAGTGGTGAAGTGAGGTAACGTAATTGGCAGATAACTCAGGCACAATCTGCTTAGCTTCAAGCTAAATGACGGCGTGGCTTGGTTCTTTCCATGATACGATTACTTAGTACATAGTACACGTCTAGTTGCAGACTTAACTCGGAAACCACCTATTTAGGTAATGGCAATCTACATCCTACCTAGGTTAGCTACATTAGCTACATTAGCTACGCGGCTCGGAGTTATCTTAGGTACTTTTCACCATCTACAATTATCACTCCTTACATACACGTAGTATCCTTACATACTATATACTACATACCTGGGTAATATACAGCTTCCAACATACAGATACCTAGCCCATCTTCCATCATTTACCTAGGTAGCTTACGAATCAATCCGTTGACTCACCAACAGACAGGCATAACGGATCAGCATCTGCAACTTTCCGATGTAACGGATCAGGCCACTTTCATCATCGTCTTGATCTCCCCCTACAATACCACAGCATCGCCGGACTTTGTTATGTATGTATAAGACCGATTCAATTGTCACTAGGTATGATCGCCACTCCGAGATTTAGATAGGATATATACCTATGTACACTATCGTCACGGCTCGACGCTTGATGGTGTTGCATAGCCGGAATCTTGTCTCTCATGACCTAATTTTTTCTCTACCTTTAACTCCGGTTTCTTCTCAACAGAAGATTCATCATCTTTAGATTCGCTCTGTACCACCTCCTTCTTGTCAGCTGCTTCGGATGAGGTTGAAGTGGCTGCCGAGTCTGCCGTCTTATTCTCACTTTCCTTCTTTTTCGCCTCCTCTGCTTCCTTCTCCTTCTTTTCTTTCTCTTTCTTCTCCTTCTCTTCCTTTGCCTTTGCTTCTGCCTTTCGTTTCTCCTCGGCTTCCTTTAGCTCCTTCTCCTTACGATCTTGCCGAGTCTGCGTGATGAATTCGTCTATGTTTGCAATAGCTCCTTGAGCGTCACGCTTGTACTTCATCAAATACCCTTGGATTTCTGCTGGGCTGAATTCATGTGACGGCACTTTGGCGGAAAATTCCTCTGCCAAGGTATTCACACGAGCATCATCAGCTGCTCGCTTCTTAGCCTTCTCTGCCTCTTGTTTTTCTCTTTCTTCTGCGGGGAGAGGTGCGTCTACGGTGTTTTCAGGACCCTCGTCACCATCTAGACGTGCAAAGATGGCGCGGAAAATAGCCGAAGTCATTCCTTCGTCTGCTAAACCAAATTTCACTATCATATCCACACGTCCAGGGCGAATTAATGCCTTGTCCAACTTTTCGAGGTGATTGGTAGTCATGATCAACACACGACCTTCTTGAGATGCTACACCATCCAGGATGTTAAGCAGTCCGGATAAGGAGAGTCTGCCATTGTTAGTATTTGTATTTCCCGTAGTAAGTTGACCGGGAACCATATCATCCGAATCATCCTTAGGTTGGTTCTGGTTTTCCTCACGGGTATGAGTAAGACCTGCCGTGTCGATATCCTCGAGGAGCACAACGCAGCGACGGGGAAGCTCAGCAAATAGAGACGCAAGACTCTCTTCGTTTGCTGTGATAGAGCTCAAACTAACGATGTAAATCCTCATCTTGAAAAAGCCGGCTAGGGCGAGGCTAAGCGAGCTCTTTCCCGTACCAGGAGGACCGTATAACAAATAGCCACGACGGTATGGGATACCTCTATTCGCGTACCAACGCTGCGTTGCGGGGTGGAGATAGTCGGTCACATCGTCAATAAGATTTTGCTTCGTCTTCTCGTTTAGGATTACTGTCGAAAAGGGACGAGAAGCACGAGACATACACCTCTGCCAGGTTGGTTCGGTAGACCCTGGCTTAAGCGTTCCGCGGTAGATCTGAGTCTTCCGCTCATCCTTCTGCATGTATAGTTGGCGAGCCTCTAGGAGAAGCTCTTTTAGAACCCAGGGGTTTCGACCAAAGCATGAAATCGATATCTCCTCGCGTTCGCTAACATACATAAATGAGTTCTGCTCTCTGTTTGCTGTTCTACGGAACAGAAGGAGGCGGCCGCGATACCAGAAGTAGTGACTACCAAAGGAAGGCGTGTATGCTAAGCCCTTCTTCTTTCTTGCGTTTGTTACCTCGTCGATATCTTCTTCGTCCTCGTCGTCATCGAAATCGTACCACAGAAACCAACTTCGGGAGTTTAAGTTGGTGTTCACTACGAATCGCCGGGCACTCCGCGAAAATCTCTGCTTAGCCACCCAGGCCATAAGGATATTGTAGATCTCGTCATCTGTTCGGATGTCGACAACGGACATAAGATGGGATTCAACTTGATCCCACAAGTATGAACTTATATAGTTCCATGCGAGCGTTAAGACGCCTATAATAAGCAATAGTGGGATATACAAGTTAAGATCGATATGGAGGTACTTTTGTACCGCGCCGGCGAAGACAGAGAATCCCGGGAAGAATAGGTCGAGAATCGCTAGCTGAGGTGACTGTGAGGTCCCAGGAGCATAAGTTGGGCCGGCGGATTCATTGATCCAAGGAGAGAACCCTTGAGGAGTTGCCATGACGGCTGACAAGAGGCCTAGCGATAACGCCCAGCCACTGAAGATATGTAAGAGTTTTGAAGCTAACAAGATTATAGGAGATAAAGAATGCGAATTTCAGTTCGATGTTACGTTCGTTTGCCCTTGATTATGGGGAGGCCACTCTATATCAGGCACCGTTGTAGTGAGGAAGGGCTTGTGTGTTCAAGTTCAATTGAATGGCAGCAATGGATGTTTATATCTATCTCACATATCCAAATAGTTTCAGGCAACCAAGAACCAAATTACCGGCAATCTATACATGCATGGCATCATGCTATGCACCTCCCAATACCGACCCGACTCTACGAGAGGGAAAGAGGAGTCCACAGCCATCAAGACAACAGTTTATTGGGTAAGTCAGACGGTAACGTTGATTATTCGGTGGCTGTTAAACCTGCACAAAGCCAACTATGGATCCGAATAGCCGTATGACTGGATGGTGTAAGACTCATCTACCACTCATGTACAAGGTGGGTTAGACAAAGAAGAGAGTAGCGTTGAAAGTGGTGCACTATATTTTAACATCGACATCAACTTTGAAAATGCAACAAATAAGAGGGTGATGTCAGACCGCTAAGACACCTACATATGTAGGTCTAAAAGATGGCCTGTAGATCGGGGTTGCCGTTAGGTATCCAATCGTTGGCCGGTTCGCACTCGGCTTGCTCTCGGTTTGAGCCTCAACATGGGCTGGCCGTTGACACCTACCTTTACTAGCCTTAATGATCAGGGTATTAATCCAATGGCAATTTACCCCTGGCCTTAGCGAAAATTCTATCAGCCATTCTATCAGCCTAGTATGCATTAAGGTATGCATGCTGTATAAGTCACACGACCCATGAAGCCGAGTACCTACTTGGGGAGGCAACCAAAAGGGTCGGCGGCACACGGGCACACGGGCTGCACGGTAGGCTTATATTCTTTGTTTGCGGGGTTGGCTGCCTAATTATTAAGGAGACTAAGCCGCATCCTAAACCGCGGAGTAGAGTGGGAGACATGGGAGGCATACGCATATTGACCTGGAGCGGTCCGTAAGCGTGGCTTAGGTTCCAACCCACCGAATACTCAGCCCAGCCAAGAACGCTACTTGCTTTGCATTGCATATTAGCTTTGCTGTCACCGAAACATAAGCAACATCATAAGCAACATCTCTTTGATTATTATTTTAAACTGGTCGATGCCTGAAATTAATGGCTAAGATTATACTTATACGGAGTCTTAGTATGCAGTCAGCTACACAAGGCAGGTTTACTTGTTCAGGAATCAGAATTGCCAGCTTGGCTGACTCAACTCACCCCCCCCTACCTCCCTACCTTCTTAAGTCTCATCTGTCGATTTCACTTTTACGACCTTGTCTCTTATACGTTAACCATAGGTTTGAAAACTCTAGTTAAGGTCCGTGTCAAATACTAAGGCCACGATCCTTACTCTATAGAAACCTGAATATCGCCTTCTCCAATCGATCCATGCGAGCTCCATTAAATCTTATGCAAGCATGCCCGTCCTGTCAGGGCTGCAGGGTAACCCAGCCGGGCTGCTTCAGTGACAACTGGCAGTTGCTATTGTCCTGCTGCAATGGTATTCGCTACGCGGCGGAGTCGACGACAAAATATTGGATTTAGCTACCTATCATTATCCAAGGCCAAGATTTAACTGCCCGCTACCCGCCGGCCATCCATCCGCGCGCTGGGTACCTGAATGGATGCATCATTACTTCTTTCTGCCTCGTAGCAGATTGGGTTATATTCATTTGCGAGGAACGACTTCGTCCTCGTGACTGTTCACTGTCGTTTTTCTCTGCGATTCGTCGCAGGACTGGTTGGCTGGCATGCTCAAAAACATAGAAATCATCTCTCCCAATACGAAGCCCTCGTAAACGCCGTACACCCCCAGATAAATAAGCCCACCCAAAGACCGCTGAACAAAATAAAATAAAGTAGAATAGGAGCCGTCTCGTCCATTCCGTAAAGTCATGAGATCCTAGTCATACGTAAACATTACAGTAGAAGCGTTCCACGTCACAACACTTGGTCGTCATAGTCATCAATCGTAAACATGTACTCCGGGCCCGTAGCCTGCGTCGTTGCCCCAGACTGGGTCTGGAGGTGGCGGCGGAGGACCGCTAGGACCGCCGAGCTGGATGAAGCCGCCTTCGAATCCGGCGGGTGCAGCAGCAGGTGGCGGTGGTGGAGGGGGTGGAGGTGGTCCCCCACGGAAACCAGGATGGAAAGGCGGCTGGTGGAAGGGTGCCTCGTGGAACTGTTCCTCTTGGAACTGCTCCTCGTGGAATTGGTCTTGGTGAAATTGCTCCTGACGATACTGAGGCCCGGCGCTAGGAGGCCGCGGGTGGTAACGGGGGTCATGATGCTGCTGGCCTCTTCCCGGACTAACACTGTTTGTGCTAGAACGCGAGCTGGAGCGCGAGCTGTGCGTGCTGCGACCTGGTCGGGCGTGGGAGCTGCTCGCGTGTCGCTTCTTCTTGTAGAACTGGGCAAACGGCCCGCTCAAGATGTGCGCGGCGAACCGTTTGCGCTGGTCGTCGCGATCGTCGACGTACCGCGTAACGGCACCGCCGACGCCGTAGAACCCGTAGGGGTCGTCCCTCCAGACGAAGGAATCGGACTCGGAAGAGGACCAGACGGAGTAGGCCGAGTCTCCCGAGCGCACCGAGTAGAACGAGGACGTGTCCGAGTCGAAGGACCCGGGCCGTCGTAGTTCGGGGCGCTGGCTCATGGTGGGAGGTGGGAGGCAAGGCTTCCTTTATAGGTTCTGGAAATAGAAACGCTAGAGCTTGAAGGCTTGTTTGGGGGCGCAAAGCCACTTGCTAACGGCCTTGCTTGCTTGCCTGCTTGCTCGCCCTGAGTGTCTTAGACAGATAACAAGGGTCGACCCTGTAACAAACGAAGATATAAGTTGTTTGAGGCAAGGTATGGTATAGTATGGTATGTATGGTATGGGGTATGGTATTACTACCTCTCTGCGAGAGTGAGTGACAGTCACCCGTGTATCATAGAAGTGAAGAAAAAGAAAAAACGAGGCGAGGAAGTCCGGGGATGGGGGAGCCTGCTTTGTATGTATAGGGGACCGGGGACCGGCTAAGGGGAACGGTAGGTATAAAACACCGTTAGATAAAGTCCAGGACTCTGCAAGTATGTAAGAGGTAGGCATGTAAGTAGGTATGTACGTACCACGTCTAGGTACGTACGTGAGTGAAGAAGAAGAAGACGAAGAACGAAAAAATCACTTCCCTAAGAGGCTCCCAGGCAAATCCTACCTATCAGGATCGTGTTCGTGTGCTCGGGCGACGGTTCTTCCCTGCACACTATGCATCCGCTATACGCCGCGGTCGAGGATTGGTGGGGGGTGGTCAGCCACGGTGAACACAGAGATCGATTCGACGGGAGTTGGCAGGAAAACCGCTTAACTAGCTGCAGACGGGTTCCAAACAGGTAAGCCCGTTCCTAATACATAGCAGGAGAGATTACAGGGGAAAATGCGTGCGTCTTGGACGAAGAAGTTTTCTTCTTCTTTTTTTTTTTTTTTTTTTTTTTTTCTTTGGGTCCTTTCGTGACGTCTACATAGGATAGGACGACAGACTACCTAGCAGCAGCAGTAGCAAGCAAGTAAGCAAGCAACAGCCTCGTTGTTCCAGTCAGCAGCAGCAGTCGGTTAGTAAGATTAATGCCACTCTGCCCTGTTTCTTCCCTACCTACATACGGAGGCGATGATAGGTAGTGGATGGGGATGGGGTGTGTGCGGCTTTGCATACATATGTACATACCTTAGGTAGGTACACACACATGGCTACACCTAAACGAACTCGGCCACGCTGGCGAACCAGGACCCTCGAATGCCAACTCGCCCCGTTTCTTGGGTCGAGAATTCGGGGGAGGGTTCTGTGGCGTGCGGCAGCAGCAGCAGCAGCAGTAATGCCAGTTTGAAGAAAAACGCACATGAAATATGACTGAATGAATGAAACATCACCACCAAACAATCTACCTACGCTACACAGTCTACACCCCCAGATCCATACCACCACTAACGGACGGAGCCTCAACCCGCCCGGCTCGCGAGGTAGGATTCCGGGGAAACCTAGGGAATAAATAATAAGTCCCCCTCCCCTTCCCCGCGGGTCTAATTCCTAGTTCAGTTCTAGAGTCCTATAATGTAGGTATATAGAAGGATTCCTATTATTACGCCCGAGCGAGTGGATGAGTGAAGATAATAGGTAGGTAGGTAGGTAGATAATGAGAAGCAAAGGGGAGGGGGGAAAGCAGCCAGCCAGCCAGCCCTGAATTACATCAGCCTGGATGATTGGTAATTAAACACCAAAAGCAGGGTAGCTTTTTCGACTTCTGGGGTGCAGTTGACGATACACGCACACGGGAGACTTCACGATGATGATGATGATGGTGGTGGAGGGTGTGCAGTATGTAGGTAGCATGGCTGGCTTACTTGCACGAGAAAAGACAGCAAGAGAAAAAAAAGTGAAGCTTGCCTCATCTTACTTACATGTACGTTATGTATGTCTGTATGTATGTATGCGCATCATTTCAGAAGTTCCGAGCAGGCTTGAGACTGGACCCCTCCGATTGACATGATTGACATGTCAATCAAGCCACGACCATTGGCGGCATTTATTTCGAGCCATGCTGCCATGACTCCTTAAATGACGAAAGGTAGGAATGCTAACGAAATGAGAGAGTTATGATATCTGATATCGTATTCCCCCACGCCACTTACAACTCACTCACTTACACTCGGGATTATCTTTACTATCTTCATTATCTTCATTCATCAACGAGAAAATTTGAGTGTAAATAAACAAGCTCCATCAGCCATTCGGATCAAATTGGTAACACAACTCTTACCTCACCGTGGCGCCCAATTTGGACGACATATCTAAATATCTAGGTATACTTGCATAAGCCACCATTCTAGCGGCTCTCTTTCCTGTTGGCTATTATTAGGCCACAATCATATCATAATATCATAATCATATTGCTCTGCTTCGACGGCCGTATGCCTCTTCTCACACGGCCGCAAAGTTCAACCAAGACATTAGCAGCCCATTCGAAATCCGCGCGGTCAAGGTAAATCTGACTAGAAATCCTAACCCAAAACGCGCCGGCGTAATATCTCGTCGCTATGAAAGTCTCATACTCTTCGACGGTCGTTTTCGTAATCCAATCAGCTACTGCCTGCCCGTCTCGAGCTAGAACCTTATCCTTCTCTTGCGACTCCGGCGAATCCTCTGCTACTACGTCTAAGGGTAGCCTCACGTTAGTAAAGAAGCAATCTCGAAGTGTCCCCGCTCGGTTCTCCAGGACCTCCGTTCCCATGATTTTTGCCATCAACTCGCCGCCTTCTTTTGCTAAATTCACGCTATAGTTGCGCACCTTCTCCTCGCCGCCGCAAACTTGGGCTCTAAATTTGAGCGCTTCTGTCACACATATATACGGACTAGTATCTACCGTAGATACTTTCTCAAACAAGTTGACAAAGTAGTTTCTTTCGGACATCTCCACGCGGTGCTCAAGTGGTTGATAACCTTCGCCGGTCGGATACGTCGTCCTGATCAAAGCTTGATTACGATAAGGTACGTAGAGCACCGTACACCCACGGGGCACCATAAGCCATCTGTATAAACTCAGCTTGCGGGAGGTCTCGAGCTTGATTGATGGTGGCTATGTTGTGATTCGAGGGAAATGCAAGAGCAGACGTGAGCTAAGAAAAGGACAAACTCACTTGTAGCAGTTGGTAATGAAGAAATCTGGTCCGACTTGAGAGGCGTGTCGCAAATCAATATGACCTATCCCATGTGCACCATCTATACAACTCAGAATCCCATATTCTCTACATATAGGCACCAGACTTTCCCACGGAAAACGCACTCCGGGGAAGGTGAGGACAGTATCAAACAGAGCCAGTTTAACTGACTTGCCTTGATTTTGAACCTCGAGGATTGCGGAGCGGAACTTATCGAGGATTTCATCGTCCTCGATGGGGTACACTAACTCGATGCAATGTCCTCTGACTTCAGTAGTCTCCTCTAGAGATTGAATAGTCTTGTGGCATGCGTCATATGCCGTACTAAAATATACTATGACGTCGCCATCGCGATACGTTAAATTCCTTAGGATGGTATTGATTGCCGTTAATGCGTTAGGAATAAAAACCACTTCGTCGGTCTCTGCTCCCAACAGCGGGGCGACGGCTTCCCTTGCTTCCCGAAGGAGTCTAGGATATTCAAAGCGTATGAAGGTATCTGGCCTCGCCTCAGTTTCGCGTTGCAGCCGCCGCTGATGCTCTCGAACCCCCGAGGGAAAAGACCCGAAGGATCCGTGATTCAGCGGGGTGTACGAGGGAGCAAAGTTAAAATGAGCCTGGCGCATTTGTTTCCCGAAGGATATCGTCGTCGGTATGATCGACGAGTTATCCTGAGGCGCGTTCATGCTGTATGTTATGTCCAGGTAGCTTGATAGTGAAGATTCGTGGTAAGATCTAAACTTGGTAATCTGATCGTGACTTGATGTTGAGTAAACGTTGCGACTATTGATAGCAGCTCACGCCATGGCTATTGGCCGAATGGTGGCCAAGCAATCCAAGCAATGCAATGCTCGAATGATGTAATCAACCATAAGCATCCTATCCTTGGTATACCGGGTATACCCAGCTGGGCGTCACGAATCAACGTCTGTTTGTCGAGAATTACATTGGATTACACAAGCGTTGTCTTGCCAAATATAGAACCCGTCATGTCCAAAGGTAAACAATTAATAATCATGACTTATTCATGATTATTGTGAACACCCACGATTTAAACATTGTTGCAAAGCGTTTGATGCCTAGTTAATAGGTGCAGTAGGAATAAAACTTATTGGTGGAGGATTTGCGAGCTGCAGCCACATGCGCGAGATATTAGAAATGCTGCATATTCAAAGTCCGGGTATATTCAACTACGAAAGTACATCTAAACATGGAAGGTACCTACCTACCTACCTACATAGATTAGCGTGGTGTAAGGGAAAAGGGAAACTTTAATACATCGGGTTGCCTTCCTATTCCGTACAGGAATCAAAATGCCGTGTACACAAGGAGATCGATATATTGTTCCTGATCTTGGTTTAGTGCTCTTCATAACTTGGTTTTTAAGTTTCCTCTCACTCCACAAAAGGGACCTATGGTGCATTCTACGTAGTAAGAGCAATTAACGTTGTAGCATATGTGTGTTGTTCTTAATACAAGTTTTCAGATCGTTTCACGTTCCGTTGATATCGTCGCTATGACTTATGTGTATCTAAATGCAATACAGAAACTGAATAGGTAGGTAGTTTACCGAGCGTTCCTGCTTTTCGCTTCCTGCAAATGCAAGTTAGGCAAGTTAGTACACATTAGTAGTCGCCTAAAGACGCTTGACCCGCTTCTACACGAGGGAACTAAGTGCCGGATCGCCGCTCACCTGCATCAACCATCGATTCATATGAAGCTTCCATTGTCCGACCTAACCATTTAGAGTTTATTTCTTTGTTGTCAGGTGTAGTTGGTGCCTGATAAAACAAAGGAAGGCACTTGTACGACGATATATCTTGCTATCTTGCCGATATCTTGCCGTATAAGAGATGCGATTCGATGGAAAGTTCCGAGCGAATGGCATAAACCGTTGCGCATGGATTCTTTTGCCAAGAGCAATATTTAAATAATTAGAATAAAGAGGACAAGCGTAAAAATGGTCAAGGCCTAACAAGCTTGGCTTCCATTTCGTCTGGAACGCTACATAGAAGACTATATCGAACCGGCTGTATTGCTAATACCTTACGGATTAGTCTGCACCCAACCGAGATCCTATCCGCACGCCCCTCACATTTTCCATTATTCTACTGTGTAACTGTAGCGTGGCCTCGTGCTGTCCGTCGTCCGGGAATATTCTCGCAACACAAAATAGGCTTAACTGGGTGTAGCGAATAGTGTATGTGCCCCCGGGACATATTACCGTCGTTACAGGCTACTTTTAATTACTTAGACATGAAATCCTTCTGATGCCATCTGACAGCAACATGGTGAATTCCGACGGATGACATGTCTAGATCCGAGGGGCGTAAAATCTCAAATCTCTCAGGTACGCTGTGATCTATCAATGAAATCTCGTGGCCCTACCATTCGAGGGATGATATCGACGGGGCCATTGCTAGGACCATTGCTAATGACACGGCTCTCGAACTCAACTCTCCCCGCCGCCCTTTGTCCTCCCTGCCTTCGCACATTTAACAATAACCTAAAGTGCCATCGCCAAGAGATCGAATGGTGCCCCGATTAGGGTGAGATAGGGTGAGAAGGGGAGCGCACATGGGGCGAGACCAACCGATTGCCCATGTAACCAACCCAATCTCTTTCGGCGGCGCTCAGCAAATTCCAAGCCTCTAACCTACAAACTTACATCTAGTGTATGTACAAATTAGTTGGTATAGATAGGCATGTTGGCTATGACAAAGGTGATCATCAGTCGTGGGTGTCGTACATATGTATGTGAGTAGTAAGAATGCCATCCGTGGACGGGATCGAAGCAACCCTATCCTTCCTTCTATCGGTCCATAGTCCTAGATTGCTATCTTATCCAGATCACCCTACCTGAGGGTAGATCCATATGTAAGGCATGTAAGGCATGTAAAAAAAAACTTGGAAGTGTGCTGGAAATATTATACGATATATTCATATCAGTATTCATATATACGGTACGTACATGTATATACATGTATATTAGGTAGGTACGAACCAATGAGAGTTTAGGTTGGCAATAATTCTTCCCTGGAGGGTACGGCACTGTATTTGCTCAGGCTTGCTTCCCCCCTCTCTTGAAAGTCCGAAACCCGCTAGTCCCAGTATTTGGCCCCTGATTTGTGCTGGGGTTACTGGGATTCCCTGTGCCGAACCTGTAAAATACACTAGCCACTCCCACTAGGAACGGCTGTTCTCTACTTGCTGGGCTGGGGGTTTTATTCATTTGTCTACAATTTGTCTACAACCGGACAACCTGACAACTTGCAATTGGTATTCTCGATCGACCGGACTCGACAGGAACCTGACCACGAGCGAAAAGCGAAAAATAAAACATCACCAAATAACAACCCGGCACGCTTTCTCATCAGTCTGCCCGATGATCTTCTGGGCCCGGGATCGTCGTTCGCCGTGCTTCTGATGCTGCACTGGCATCTCTGCCCATTCTTCGCGCGTAAAACAGCAATCCTCTGGAATTACCGCCGGCAATGGGGGCTTTTGAGGACAACAAATCCTCCGAATTAAACCGCGTTTCGTCGCTTCGAACCTCGGTGAGGATTTCTACCTCACAAAGGGACGATGAGGACTATGACTTGCAGGCCATGGTAGTTGCCGACGGCTTTCGCCCGGTAGATGCGACAAACACTCAAACTCCGAGACCTGCGACGGCGCTGCAAGATGTACCAACGACACAAATACCGCCACCACGTCCATCGAGTATTACAAAGCCGCATCGTCGGAGCGAATCTCTGGCTTTGCAACACGATGGATCGTCTTCTGAGTCGGATAGTAGGTCTCTAAGAAGAAATTCTCTAAGTAGAGTTTCGAGCGGTTCCACTGCATCGCCGTTTGTTGATCCTGAAGACCCGTACGATGGACCCTCTGGTCCTTCTCACCCGTACCAGATGTATCCGCAGGATGTTCGAGTGGCACGAACGGCTAGTTTAGCGACAATGTCAACGGTACCAGTCTCTGAGCGGTCGTACAATGGGCCTCGCGGGCCGGCGCATCCGTACGGCATGTATCCGCAGAACACCGTACCTGAAACGGGTGGAATATCCAGCGGGCCGGTACAGGCGGAAATTAATGTCGGGTTCCCTGGAGCGCCGGACAACTACCAAAGAAGAATTGGTCCGGATGGAGAGGACGTGGCTGATTTGATTGGTCCTGATGGCCATACGGAACAGCTACCTCCTTACACGAGATATCCGGAAGAAGCGTATACTAGAAAGGCGTTGGGCGTGGAAACGCCTCAGCCAGCGCCAGCGCCTGTGCAGCCAATGTTGGCCATCCCGGCGGGTGCTGGAGGTATCGGGATGGCTACTCGAAATCCCGAATTCGGGTCTACTGAGGATCTAGGCGAATTATCCTCGCCCCAATCTAGACAATCTATTAGGAGTTTTACATCTGAGAACAGCCGGAATGAATTAAATGCTGCTGTTACGACTAATCAAGAAGCTGAAGACGAGAAAAAGTTGCCAAAGGACTGGCAAGTAACCGCGAAAAGGAGAGTTTGGGGAATTGTTCCATGCTGGGCCATCGTCCTGGCTGGCATCGTCCTCGTCTTGATGGGAGTGATACTCGGTGCTGTCATTGGGACTCTCCTTCGCTCCGATTCGAAGAATAAATCGCATAAGGATGGGTAAGAACGTCCCGCCGTTTCTTGCTCTTTGGATTTTGAATGCTAAATTGATGACTAGGCCGTCTTTACCAATGGTAAATCCGGGTAACTGGGACACACAACCTCTCAGTACCCTACCGTCAGATTTACTACCTTTACAAGAAGGCCAATTTTCCTTACCTCTCCGGAACAATCGAATGTCTAATACCTGCTTTACTGACTCGACGTTAGCTCAAGCATGGAATTGCGATCTCTTTTTCTTCCAGCTTGGCATGGACATCAAGAGATTACCTGGTGAACCGGAAACATCTGACTATTCACTAGGGTTCTCTTATAACGAGAGCGCGACTTTGAAAAATAACGTGTACCTTTGGGGGATGCAGCCGCCTGACTTAACTGACGTGCGACTGAAGCTTGTCAATGATATGCACGAAGGTGCTCGAGGTCCGGCGTGGAATTTCGAGGTTGCCTACAATAAAACTGTCATCGTTCCTGATCAGGCCTTATCAGTTAGCTCCTCTTCTTCCCCGTCTGCTACTCCCCATCGTCGGACGCTGTATGGCGGTGGTCCCAACCGTAAAGGTGCCCAAATCGGAGACCGCATATGGATTTGCCATTGGGACAACACCATCTTGGAAGCTTTTATCTACGCAAATCAAAATAATAGTATCAGACCGATGCCAAGTCCTCCATCGCCCACAACTACTGAGGATATTCTCACTGGAAGTACGACGTCCGGCGCGGCTGTTACTGGGGCCCCTGAAGGTGTCGAGAACGGCGGCAGTTTAGCGCCTTCGGATATTCCTTATAGCGCACCCCAAGATCACCATGCGACTACTGCGACCTCTGATGGCATTCCGAACCCAACCGATACTTCCTCGACTGCTACGTCTAGTAGCATATCCGACCAAGACTTTCCTATGCCCCTAAATTACCCACCCCCATACCCGCGGGTCATCAAGGTCGAGGAGCATCGTAATGCCGACTCATCAGCGTCTGAGCCCTGGTGCCGCCAGTTTCAGATTAATGAGCACAATGAAGCAGAAGCAGTAAAAGTAGATGGAAAGACAGTCGATATCATCATTAATGAGAACGAAGGAGCGTTTGGATCAGGACCCTCGAAGGACAGAGTCGTGAAGCGCCATATAGGAGGCCGCGGGGGTGGTATTGGGATGGGAAGCGATATGAGTGATTGCGGCTGCATGTGGTGGCTTTCTTAAATGGCCAGGATTTATTATGCGGTATCATCATTTTCATTCCTCACTCTTCGAACGGCTTAAAGCGAAGAGGACGAAAACCTATTGTATATAGCATGATTATCTGGGAAGAGGGCGCATATATATTTGGGCGTTCAGGGGAACTTTGCTTACGGGGCAAACGGCACTTGTATTATTGGTTTCCAGGGGAAAACTAGCGGGCGACTTCGATTCCCGCTTCTCCGTCGACCCCATACTTATTATTTGCGGGCGTGTGTTTTCGGGCTACGGCGTTGTTTGGATATACGATGGCGGGAGCGAGATACGTTTCCTTGGTAGCGGCTGTTGATAGGAGAGCGGCTTTTCTTCACACACATCACATAAATATCTACCATATATATATATATATTATGCTATATAGTTATAGCCATACAGGGCGTCTATCGAGTCTCGATACTTAGTACGAGCCTTACTACCAGGGAACTTGAATCCCGTGGATTGTGTTTGTGTGTATTGGATCAGGCTAGGTTGACGAGGTTAGGTAGGCATTGACCATGTGTATATAATACGCGATATGATGACTTAATTTATATACTACTTATTATAAGTCTAACTATCAGTCAATCTATACTTTTACGCTCGTTTGTTAACGCTGCTTCAGGCACCTTGGGTGGGTTATGATAAAAAGGGGGTATCATATTCAAATTCCTAATCTTAAACTAATCCTTATTCTTCCGTAACACATGTATCCCTTCCCCGTAGCTATTGCGTTATGTAGTCGTCCGCAGCTACGAAAATATGTGTATTTTCGTGATAAGTGATAGGTACCTAGGTAGAAGAAAGCAACCCTTCGTGTCAGCGTCGGTGCTAGCTATCACGAACTACGTAGTACTCTTCTGCGGCCCCCCCTCCTCAGACTCCTTCCTCTTCCCACCAGCATCACTCCCACTCCCACCAGCACCAGCACCAGACGTCCCCATCTCCCCCGCCAGCCCATCCAAAAAGCTCTCCGCCATCTTCTCCGCGCGCTTCGCGCCAATCTTCCTCCGGCGCTCCTCGATCTCCCTCCTCCGCTTCTCCTTCTGCTCCTCCCTCTCGCGCCTTACCCGCTCCGTAGTATCCCGCTCCCGCTCCAGCGCCTCCATCTCCCGCCTGCGCGCGTCCTCGTCGTCGTGGCTGAACTGGTAGAAGCCGACGCCCTTGGTCCGGATCTCGGCGCGCCCGTCGAAGTGCGCGTCGGGCGGCGGCGTGGGCGACTTGTCCCGCTTCGCGGCTAGGTCCGCCATCTTGGTCCGCGTGTCGTCTTCCGGGTTGAAGGCGGCGGATTGGATCACGTCCCCGAAGATCAGGCGCTCGGGCGCCTTGGTGGGTTTCGCCGCCATGCTTTCTAGCTCGGCGGCGCCGAGGGCGCTGCGGTGCCGCTGCCGCTCGTACCGGGCTGCTTCGGCGCGGGTGGCGCGGCGGGTACGTCCGAATTCGTCTTTGAACTCGACCATTTCCTGGTCGGCATCATCTGCGTCTGAGTCGTCTGTTCCGGAACTCGAGTACGTGTTGTTGTTGTTATCGGCGTCTTCGGGATGCCGTTCTGCCCACTTGCGATCGAAGTCGACGAGGGGCGCGGCCTCGCCTTCCTTCGCGATGTAATCCCCGCGCTTCATGGCGGCGTACAGCCGCGCTTTCTCTTCCATCTTGCGGCGCGCGCGCGCGAGTTCATGCTTCTCGTCCTCGGTGCCGCGGACCTCTTTGAGCTGGATCTTCGCGCCATCTTTACCGTCGTCGTTTTCTGCCGTGGAAGTGGAAGCGCCCGCTTTCCGCTTTGCCTTGACGGAGAATATGTCGTCTTTGTTTTTGGAAGGGCGGGCGCGGCCGAAGGCTACTGCAGAGGATGAGGCTGATGATGATGGGTCGGAGGCGGGCGTTGAGAGGAGGGAGGTCAGTTGAGAAGCAAAGTCCAGAGAGCTGGAAAGCGGGATCCCTTTCTTTTGCCGCTTGGCGGGCCGTTGGCCGTAAAGATTCGGATCTTGTGGCATTTCGAACGGGGATTGCGTGCGAAAGTAATTAGTTCCGCAGGTCGGGTTGTGGTGTTCGGGATATGAAAAGAATGTTGTAATAGCTAAAATGCCGTTTGGTGAGGCGGGATGACGCCAGCTTATACAAAATACGTTAGGTAAGGTACCTGTGCCTGCCCGCGCCTAAGCTGAATGGCAGTTCCCGACAAGGCTTTGTGTTCAATTGCTCCACTTAAGCCCACTTACGGTTGACCAGACGTACCACTGTGCCAAAATGAAAAAAAATAATCGTAGACTAAACTAAAGTTGGTAGGAGGTCACTTGCCACAATTTAGAAGATATTAAATGTGTACTTCCAAGCCTCATTACGGCTTATTGTAATAGATATATTGATTTAACCAGTATAATGGCTACCCCCTCACACTACACACTCAGATAACTTTCCAAAAACAACGATTCAAACGATACAATTGGTATCATTCAATAGCCCCAATTGATGCGAAAATAAGAATCCAAGTTGCATGCTTATACGTCGTGTTGTTATACCATTATAATGTAAATGAAAAGGCCTTATTCGAAGATACGGGTATAGGTCTTTGGGATGATGAATAGTAGCGCGGCACTAAGTGGGGCGGCTCAACTGAGTATGGCTATTAAGTAGCTTCACATACAAATCTATATGTAATAGTACAAACTAGTAATGAAAATATGAACTTTTTAAAGACTGTTTTTGAAATCTGGGCTACCCCCCAAAAGACAATTGCTATTTGATTCTACTATAACACAACAACGAAGAGGCCGATTCAAATGCAACTTGGATCATTGTTTTCGCATTAATTGTGGCTATTAAACGATACCAGTCATAACGTAGTGACTGTTAAAAATGTAAAGTCATTCAAATGTGTATGTGTAAATGTGGTATTGGTAGTTGAAATTGAATTGACAATTGAATCCTTTAAGTTGATTGGTTGATCTTAAAATAAGAATACCCTATTAAAGCATATGATATATAATGCTATAAGGTATGTATTTATAAAGAATGATTCATTTTTCCTATATAAAATGCGAAGTACCGTAATAAATCGAGCTAATTGCACTAACTTGTGGCTAACTACCCTTTTAAGCTAAGTTCGCATAACTTTTTTCATTTTGGCACAGTGGTACGTCTGGTCAACCGTACCACTGAACTTTTAGGCCTTGAAATGCCCCGCGAAAGCCGTGATCGGCTTTGTATCTTAGGTACATAAAATTACCCCACGTCCCTACACATTGAAAGCTTGCAAAATACACAATTTACTTTGAAGTATAACCGTTGACTACTCACAATATGACGGCAACTAACAAAGTCTTTGTTGCTATCATCGGTATGTTACGAACTAATAAATAGGTTTGAATAGTGATTTAATTGGCTAATCTATTTACTATTTACAGGTGCTGGGGGGGTTGGCAAATGCTTCCTTTCCCAATTCGAGGCTTTGTCTAAAAGACGACCGACCCCTAAGCTGGATCTCTGCTATATCTCGACCAGCAAGAAGGCTCTCTTCAATGACAACTACTCTGTAGCTACCGAGAACGTCCTCCAAGAACTCGCCGCCTCGACTAAATCGCCCTTGAATTTGCCTCAGGTGGCCGATTACCTAGCTGCGGCACCATCAAAGGTCATTCTTGTGGACAACACCAGCTCCCAAGACGTCGCGGATACCTATCCCCTCTTTTTAAGCCGTGGTATTAGCATCGTCACCCCGAACAAGAAGGCCTTTTCGGGTTCGTATAAGCTATGGCAGGATATCTTCACGGCTGCTGCTACGTCTGGAGCCAAGGTCTACCACGAATCATCTGTCGGAGCTGGTCTCCCTGTTATCTCGACGCTCAAGGACCTTATAGAGACTGGCGACGAAGTGACTAAGATCGAAGGTGTGTTCAGCGGTACAATGTCCTTCCTCTTCAACTCTTTTGCTCCGGTCGAGGGTTCTGGTGGCCAATGGTCTGCCGAAGTCAAGCGAGCGAAGGAATTGGGTTACACGGAACCAGACCCTCGGGACGATCTAAACGGACTTGATGTGGCGAGGAAGCTGACAATACTTGCCCGATTGGCGGGCCTCCCCGTCGAATCCCCCACTTCATTCCCCGTACAGAGCCTGATCCCGAAGGAGCTGGAGTCAGTCGCTAGTGGAGACGAGTTCTTGCAGCGGTTGTCCGAGTTCGACTCTCAAATGGAGGAAACCAAATCCGCAGCGGAAAAACAAGGCAAAGTAGTAAGGTTCGTGGGCAGCATTGATGTGGGTGCAAACGCCGTCAAAGTCGGCCTCGAGACGTTCGACAAATCGCACCCGATCGCGGCCCTCAAAGGAAGCGACAACATTATTAGTTTCTACACCAAACGGTACGGCGCGAATCCTCTAATCATACAAGGCGCTGGCGCCGGAGGAGAGGTGACGGCAATGGGGGTCACCAGCGATCTGATCAAAGTCCTGTCCCAAATCTCGTAGTCAAGGAAGAGATACAAAATTTTATCTATGTTCTATTAAATATGGTTGTCGCAATTATGTTGTTGTAGAGGAACTACGTATTTTTCGGGTTAGTCGCTCGCATGATCCGAGTAAATGGTACGCCTCTGACTCGTATTCGCGTTAGCAGCCAGAGCTGTTGCGGAGCCAATGTCACTTGCGGGTGACGTTGGGTTAACGCTATGACCGGGAGCCTTGTGCGAAATGCGATTTGTTCGTAGGGCGTTCTGAGGCTGAGGTTGATTCAGTCGATAGATCCAAAGGCAGAAGTCGAAGACGACTAGGCCAAGAATAGGGACAGCGAAAGATAAACTGGCTAGTTTCTACACAAGACTATTAGTAAAATGTATAATGTATAGGAGCAAAGGGCCAGTAGAATTGGGACGCACAAAAAAGAAGGCTATCCAGCTAATGACCATCCAGACTTGGTCGGGCAGCAAGCCAGTCTGGAGCGTATGTGCGAGCCGAGTCATGGCTATGTCTATTGGTAGTTTGTTCATCTTGAAAACTTGACGAGTCGCGAGTTAAAATGAGGATGCAGCGAAAGACAGGTATAGAATTATGGAATGTCGGATGTGGCCGCGTTCGCGTCTTATCAAGTCGAATAGAAGATTACACCGAGGCGCAGATGGTTCGACTATGATGTTATGGAATTTATGTGCAACCGGACGAGTAATGATGACTTAATTATATAGATAAAGTTGAATGACGATACTATGTATAAAATATGCAAACAAACAATTGCGCGCACCTTGGAGGTATATATTATGTATGAAGTTGTGATTTAGAAAGAGTGAAATAAAAAGAAGATGATCAAGTTAGGCAAGCCGAAGGAAGCGAGATGAAGATGACGTTCCACCTAATAATAATACTGCTAACGCCCAGTACCGAATCAGCCTATCTTATGTATCACCCTGTAATTCGCAAGGCTTGTAAGGCCTGTAAGGGAAGGAGAGGTGCCTATGCATAACCTTAAATTTTATAGATATCGTGATAACCATCCGAGGCTCATCTCTTCATCTCTCCACCAAACCTTACTGTAACGGTTATTTCTAATAACTAAATTTTTCTTTTTATATCAGCTGTCAAGTCGGAAATAGTAGGGCGGCTAGAGTCATGAAACAAGGCAGATAGGTAACTCTTAGGCTAGGCACGTGTAAGTGTACATAGGTATGTGTAAGCAAATTGTTCTATTATGCGCACCTAGGCACTTAACCTGCCGAGGTCGACACTGCATTAACTTCCATGCCTTTACTTACATTTAGGTACTTGGGTAACCTACACAGTACGCAACGGTTTGTTGCTCTATGTCTTATTACTCTATATTTATGACCAATTAATAAACTCCTAAGCAACATTGAAACATGCTTTAAGTACCTGGCTTGTCGGTGTTACACACCTAAAAAAAAATACATGTTACTCAAAGCATCTAGTTAAGTATAAATGACGTACAGATAACTTAATGGAAAGTATTACCTGCTTACTGTGCACCACCGCATCCTAATCTTCTACATACAATCATTAATTAAATTTCCATGCACCATTCCGTTTTAATAATTTCCTAAAACTTGGAACAAACATCGTAGAATGAACTGACGATTGATTTCCAAGATGGAAGCACAATCGCATTCGCGATGTTACGCTACGGGACTCCACTTGATCCCGAACGACCATCGCTCCACCTTCGTTGATCTGGCTTGCTCTGGGTCAGGGTCTGGGTCGTGGTCTTAGACTTGGTCTTGGACCTTGTAGATTTCGCCCGTTTTGACCGCCCTAATTCATCTACGGATTATGTACCTGATATTGCCTAATATTTGCAAGTCGCACCGCGTGTCGGTAAGGGGAACCAAGCAAAATCACCCAATTTCTATCTCATATCGCATACGATTATACATTTGCGCTGGGTTACTGATACCTTATCGACTCTACTTACCTTGTTTGGGGGTAAAGGGGTATTATTCCAAGTACCTAGCCGACGATGGCGTCTCCACCGTGGGCAGGGGCCGCGAGTCACGAACAGTTCTTCGTCCTGCTCACTGGAGCTAATAGGTATGCGCTTCCTTATGCCACGTGGGAATTCACATATGGGAGTACTGTATCTTAGACGAAGGACTATGTAGTGGCGTCGGTCTTGGTATCGGTCAACGAATAATCGACGAGTTCCTTGCTTCGCGATCCTTATCTTCGCATCTTATTCTTATACCTACAACACGCTCCGTCTCCAAGTCCCGCGATACCATCCTCTCCCTACGCGCTCACTTAAAGAAGACGGCAAAAACCTCGCAGCAGCTTCGGTCTCGAGCAGGCCACGACTACGACCCTCAGACCGCCATCTCTCGAGTCCACATCCTCAGTATTCAGGTCGACTTGTGCGACCTCCGTTCGGTATACGGCGCCGCGAAGCAATTGGTCCATGGTACAGTGAGCGATCCGACTGGCTTAGTTACAGATGTGAAAATACCCCGTCTCGATGTCGCGCTCTTCAATGCGGGCATTGGCGGTTGGTCCGGCCTAGATTGGATCTTATTTGCAAAGCAATTCCTCCAAGTTGGGCTCGTACAGTGCTGTACGTTCCCTATCTTCAAAAAGGCTCTGCCGGCTGCTACGCTCGACCAGAAGAAGCTGCTTGGAAAATCTGCTGCCGATCTGAAGACGCCACCGCCTGAACTGGCTGAGGTCTTCTGCGCCAATGTCTTCGGACACTATATTCTAGCACACGAGCTGTTACCTCTGCTAAGCCGCTCACAACCAAACGAACCACGAGGCCGAGTTATCTGGACGAGTACAATAGACGCCGGCCACGAACACCTCAGCTTCGATGATTTCCAGGCACGGCAATACAAGCCCCCATACGAGAGCAGCAAGCGCATAACCGACCTCCTCTGCTTAACCGAGGATCTCCCTACCGTACAAAAGGTATCCTCCCCATACTTTTCCTCCCCTGCCACAGCCGACAAACCCGTAAAACCGCGCTTCTACCTCTCCCACCCCGGTGTGGTCTGCACGCCGCTTTTCCCGCTTAGCTGGCTCCTGTACTGGGCCTACTACGCCGCCATGTACCTCGCGCGCTGGTTCGGCTCCCCTTGGCACCCCGTAGAACCGTACCTCGGCGCATGCGCATCGACCTGGCTCGCGCTCGCGGACCAGGACTCCCTCGACGAGCTGAACGCCGAGCGTGTCAAGTGGGGTACCTGCGCAACGCGGTCAGGCCGTGTCATGCCTAAGAAAGCAGAAGTCGACGGCTGGGGCTGGGAGGGCGTAGTCGAGAACCGCGAGACGCTGAAGCGTGATCCTACCCCCGGGGTCCTGCATAAGCTTCGGGGCCGCAAGTGGGATGCTGAGGACTTGACGGAGGAGAAGAGAGAGGAGTTTGAGGAGGACGGACGCAAGTGCTGGGCTGAGCTTGAGAGGCTAAGGACTGCTTGGGAGGCGGCTCTTGGGGAGGGGAAGTAGACCGATAGAGCGAAACGTTGTTTAGACTATTATAGCACGTCTTGATGAAGGGGATGGCATTTTGATCCACGGGTATCGTATTATATACCCCGATCCCCCAACTATCAAACTACCTACCTACCTAGTTATAATAATTAGTATCACATTTATATTACCCCTACACACGATTCCATAAGGGGCTACTCAAACAAACAGATAGATATACAATATACAATATACATACATCTGCCAAAGCCCGATATATCTCAAATATGAGCAATAGCAAATACACTTAATGCGCACTACGGGGTATAGATAGATACAGGAATAACACGCTACTACTACTAACAATAAAAGCATACGCATGAAGACATGAATATCACCCCACCTCCGTCTTCCCGCGCTCATGGCTCCGCGGACAAAATAGACCGGATCGTGAAGGTTAGTGTGGCAAGACGGCTTGAAAACCGTTTACCTCGCTAGGGCCGGGGCGGAGAGAGATAATATAGCGGGATGACTGTAGAAAGAAACCGCGTCCACGTCTGAGTCCTTGTCCGTAAACCCCCCTCCCTCCCGAAGTAGATTTTTCCCATTCGGGTATTGCCATCAAGTAATCCAGCCGCCCACCGACCTACCGGACAGACACCACTACGTCTTCCAATCCATCCGTCCGTCCGTCCGTCCATCTGACCGTAAAAACCCGTCCCGCGCCGCCCATCCTATCCCATCGTGACCCATCGTAATGTAGTTATCGTATCACGCAGGACTATCGTTCACAGCCCGAGTGCTACCACCATTACCATTACTACCACCACTACTACTACTACTACTCCCGCTTCCCACCCGTCTAATAGCCAACTTCTCCTTTTGCCCAAACATGCCCAGCGCCACGACCGGGACGACCGCCACCAGGGCGACGACCGCCGTAAACACGAGCGCGTTGTCCATGTGGAGCGGCGGATCCGCCGTCGGCCCCGCCTTGAGCGCGTCGCTGACGATGATGAAGACGCCGCCTAGCAGCTGGCCGCCCGCCCAGGCGATCGTAGACGTGATCTCCGGGCTCATGGGGTGGCCCAGCTCGCAGAGGAACTCGAGGGCGACGGGCAGCAGGGAGAAGCTCGAGGCGCCGAGGAGGGAGAGCACGACGTACGGCCCGGCGAGGTCGCGGGTGCCCGGCATCCATACGAAAGCGAGGTAGGACAGGGCGATGAGCGGGACGGCGACCTTGATGGCGAGCAGGAAGGCTTTGGTGCGGTCGAGGATGGGGCTGGAGATGGCGGCGGCGACGAGCCCGACGACGATGAGCAGGGCGCCGGCGATGCCGGCGTCGTCCGACGAGAAGCCGTAGGGCATCATGATCTGGTTGAGAAGCGTGGAGATGCTGTTGAAGAAGCCGACGTAGATGGAGTACGGGATCAGGACCTGCCAGATCTCGATGGATTTCAGGAGTTGGAGCGAGGAGCGGAAGGACGCTTTAGGTGTGGAACACCATGAGCCGGGGGGTGTGGGAGGCTCTGCTGGGATGAAAAAGGATGGGAGTGCGGCTACGGAGGACTAAGGGGGGATTTTTTGGTTAATATGGTTAATATCATAATACAGGATAATAAGCTGCGTGGGAGAAGGACATACGATAATAGCGACGTAGAGCACGGCGTTAGAGATATCAGCCGGTCCGGCGACCATGAACGGCACGATGAGCTGTCCGAGCGCGGCGCCGAACGGATTCGCCAGACTAGCCAGAGCGGTAGCGGCAACACGGCCTCTATCCGTGAACCACATATCGGAGTACCGCGTGGGGGCGCTTAGCACGAAGGGCTGGGCCAAGCCGGTCAAGATCTGGCCGAACATGACGACGCCGTACCTGCCGCCGTCGCGGGAGTAAGAGCCGGCGTAGCGGATCCAGTTGCCGACGAGGATCAGCACGGCGGCGGCGATGATGGAGGGCTTCGGACCCCAGTGCAGGGTGTAGATGGTGACGGGGAAGATGACGACGAAGGCGAACAGGAAGCCCGTCGAGTACCAGTTGACGGCCGACTCGGTGGTGCCGTAGTAAGCGGCGGCATTTTGTGAGACCGGGGAGAAAGTCAGCCACTAGAAGATGGATATAGATGGTTAGTTAAGTAGGTGGTGGTGGGTATGACAGAACAAAACAATAGGTAACAATGATGCCGTCTCTGCTGTGTCTGCTGTGATACAAGTGATACACAGCATTCTGCCAAGACAAGGGACAAGGCTGTGGCATGTAAAGAGACGAATAGTGAAGAGGTAGATACCAACTACCGATTGGTAGAATATATAGCCCCCGTTTTTAAGAAAAGAATATATATAATTATATATATATATAACTATATCTTGCGGCGTACAAACTAACTGCCACCAGGTTTGTTGCAACGGGTCCAAGCCGATTTAAGACAAAAACGATGCAGTAACTTACGTCCCAACTGACGATGATATTGAGCAGCGTCAGCTGTAAGAGCCCAAACCACCGCCGCTTATACACCTTGTACGCGACACTATCGCCATTCTCGATCGAAGCGCTATCCGTGTTGTCGCGCGTCTGTCCCGCAGCGATGCGCGCCGCCGCGGTAGCTTCGTCGCCGTCGTCCGTCGAGTTCGAAGCGAGCCGTAGATGACCACCACCCTTGATACGGGAGGAGGAGGACTTGCTGGACGAACCGGTGCCGATGGGGTCGAGGGTGTACTCCTCGTCGCGGGCCGCCTTCTTAACGGCTTCGTCGTCGAATATTGCTGGCGTTGTAGTTGTAACGACAGCCGCGTCCGAAGATGGCTTGCGACTGCTGCTGCTGCGAGACATTGTGTGCGCTCGTTGCTTCCAATTCCAGGCTCCTTCCTTGCGTTTTTCCGTCCTGCGGCGCTTCGGGGTGGCTTGCTTGCTTGAGGCTGGGCTGGGTAACCTTCCTTAAGAGTTCCAGGCTCTTACTTAATACAATTAATTAATTTTTTTTGTATTCGTCCAACATACATACGCCCCGCGCGTCGATCCTCCAAGTCCAGCTCAGCTGACTTGTATGTGTGTATGTGTGTGTGAAAAAGCGAATATCGCAAACACCTTCGAGTATCCGGACCTTAGGGAGGAGACATCAAGTTCGCATTGTGGAGAGACGATAGGTATTTGAAATGGAGGCAAGGAAAAGAAATGACCAGATAAGAAAATGAAGGCAGTTAGTTTAACGAGAGGCAAGGTGTATCATCGTTAACACCTTGTTGGTCTAGATTTGGACAATAACCCCGAGCGAGCTATTACTGTTGGAAAATATTAGATAAAACCAACAACCGACTCGTCCTGCACGTGGTGGTATGTATTGTACCAGTCTCACATCGACACCAACGAATTGTACGACGGCCGGCAGTTTTTAGATTAATACATACATAGGTAGTAATATAACGGTTAGTACGTATGTGTATTACGAGGCTCGTCAGGGATGCATGGTACACATAGCTTAATCGTTAAGATCCTGTTGAACTTTAGGGGCCTCGTCCCTGGAAAAGCCCACTAAACCGTCGGTTCTATCGCTAGCGAGGAAAGGTGCGCTTCGGGTAGGTATAAGGCGGTTAGCGAAGTAGCAGAGTAGCAGCAGTACACTAGGGTTTCAATGTTTCAGCTATGTATTGTACAACTCAAATACAACTCAAATGTCTCTAAACGGTCTTCTCTAGAGCTCTGATTGGCCAATAGTCTGGGGAACCTACCGCATCTAGTCCACGTCCCCGTGTAACGCAACCTTCCTTAACTCTCTTCGAGTCTCGAAGACTTTATGCTTTAGGTGTTGTGCCCTACATGAAATTGTACAATACATGTAGCCCATCTGTATTGTATATAAGTGACCACCACATAATCGGTCCATTTCCGACATCTGGTATGTTTGTTTTTCGGCCATTCTTTTTTCACAAAGATGTTCTTATGTGATTCGGCTGCATATTAGCTAGGGATCACATGCAACACGCCTGAAAGGGGGTGTTATAATACCATAGCGGCAAAGGGTGGTTTTGAGAAACGATTCCTCGACCGAGTACCGTACCTCCTATATGTATTATTTATTAGAGAGGCAACGTTATTTTTTAAAAATTTATTTTTTAATAAATAATCGTTTCTTAAAAAATAACAAAAATTTCAATTATTTTGTTTTTTTTTTTTTTTTTTTATTTTTTTTTTTTTTACACTCGAGTTAATTCGAATAGTAAACTTTAAACATATTACGGGATTTATAGGTTTACAGATTTTACTATTAAGTTAATTAAGGTTTAACATATATACGTAAAAATATTTTATTATTTAACATTATATATTTTATTTAATTAAAAAAAAATCTTAATTTTAAATTTAAAAATAATATTTTACCTAAAAATGATAATTTAAATAAAAATAATGTTTTTTAGGTAAATAATTATAAATATAAATAACCGTTTTTTAAAACCACCTTTTGCCGTTATAGTAATTATTAAATATTATAACGGTAAAAAGTGGTTTTAAAAAACGATTCTTTAATTAAATACCGTACCTCCTATATACATTATTTATTAAAAAGGCAACGTTATTTCTTAAAAAATTGTTTTTTAACAAATAATCGTTTCTTAAAAAATAACAAAAATTTTAATTATTTTATTTTATTTTTTTTTTTTTTTTTTTTTTTTTTTTTTATTTTTTTTTTTTTTTACACTTAAATTAATTCGAATAATAAACTTTAAATATATTACAAAATTTACAAATTTACAGGTTTTATTATTAAACTAATTAAAGTTTAATATATACACGTAAAAATATTTTATTATTTAACATTATATACTTTATTTAATTAAAAAAAAATCTTAATTTTAAATTTAAAAACAATATTCCACCTAAAAATGATAATCTAAATAAAAACAATATTTTTTAAGTAAATAATTATAAATATAAATAACCGTTTTTTAAAACCACCCTTTGCCGCTATAGTACCGAACCGAAATTTACGAAGCAAACTTCAACTTATTAAACGTCTTGCGGTATCGCTATTTACCTACCTAAGTACCGAGGTAAACGCATTGTTATATTCAATCGAGGTGAAACTACTTTATAAACCTGATAGTTAAGTATCTTATCTACAATTCCTATATAAACCATGGCTTAACGTTCTTAAGATATAATTATATTTCTCATCTTCATTTTAACATAGTCGTTAATATGTCGTTACAACTAAGAGTTTTTGGTGGTAGTTCATATAATCTCTTATACTTCATCATACGATGTCGATAAAATTTCAAGGGTGAACAGGTAACTGGGTATCTAATAAGACACCAAGTACATACTTGTAGATAGGTAGCTCAAGTATTTCCTAATTGGCACAGGGTCAAGCACATACAACATAACTATGTCCACGAAAGGGAGCTCGTCGGCAAGTATAAACCTTCATATACTCTCACTTGATGTTTCGAGTTGTACTAATAAGCAAACTTCTTAATATGAATGAGAAACCAGATCTGTTTGAAGAATTGAGGAACAGAGATCTATTCATGTGAATGCCGTGTATGGTACATAGGGGAGGAGGTTTAAGGTACCCCGGCTGCATGTCATCCGCTTTGAGCCGCAAATCGTGTTACAAGGCCACCACCGTTCGACCATCTAACCGGAGTCAGACAATGATAGCCGGCTTGCCCGACCGAAAACCTACCAGCACATGCTTCTAGGTGTTCTATAGATATATCGTGCCTGATGCCGGGGGGTTCTCGGGGCTGGTTTGCGTTGACTATTTGAGGACAGACCAGAGCTTGGGAGCTGCGCATTGGCTTGCGCAGTGCACGAGGTGGAAGACTGTAGGGAATACTTATGTCAGTTTATAGTCCGTAACGGGTAGGGTTCTCGAATATATTCTTCCTAGTATATTCTTCCTAGTGTAGTCATGGCTCGAGTCGGTGCGGAGGGTACCCTTACATTCTTCAACACAGTCCTCATCGGTCTCTCCGTCATTCGAGGCATTTGTTACACGCTCGACGCATTCGTCATAGTGGTGCTTAGCTGGCAGGCACTGCTTAGAGTTCTTGCATTCTATATACATAACCGTCAGCAAATATCTCATCATACAATGCGAGTAGTACGTTCGGGACAATAATGCTTGCGCATCGGCATCACCCCAAGTACAAGATTCCGTATGCGTTGGTGACGTCGGGGGTGCGACAAACCTTCTTCGAACTGCTCCTTTGGGTCCTTGGGCTCGTCCTCATCCTCTTCTTCTTCTTCTTCCTCTTCCTCTTCCTCCTTCTCTTCGGGCTGTTCCTCTTCTTGGGGTTCCTATGGAACTATCAGTTACTTTCTGTTACGGACGAAGGTATACGAGACAGCCCGAAGTCGTAATGACGTAGGTATTAAGCGCTCATAGAAGCCGGTGGAATCCCGGTTTGGAGCTATTTCGATGGGGGAAAAATCATACCTCAGCTGGAGCTTCGGCTTCGGCGGTGGTCCATGGCTTGGCCGCCTCGACGAGGTCGGTGATAGTGTCCCAGATACCCATTGTGCTCGAAACGGTTGGCGGGCAGTTGCAATGCCTTGTTTTCGGGGATGAACGTGGGTTGATGATGAAATGCAGTCTCCAAGGAACGTTGGCAACCGAGAAAAATAGAGCATCGCCAATTGAGACATTTTGATTGGCTGCGGCTTAAAGTTCTTATCACGTGATACTCGACCGATCTATCGGCGCTCCAAGCCAGAGGTACGTACCAATAGATACCAATCAAAGTCGGCTGGTCGGGCAAATTCACGTGGAAGCAACGATATGGGATATATGTAGAAATATTCGCATTTTACGGGTATTAATCCAAGATTAGGTACTTTATGTTTAAATTGTATTTATATGTCCTAGTAGGTAGGTACCTACATTAGCGCGCCAGCGTGGGAGGCCGACATGATCTCAGGGATAGTCCTAACGATTCGAAATGATTTCAATTAAGAGACCAGCTTTTGACGATCCTATAAATGAGCAATGTTGTTGCCGAGACCCTCATGCGATTTGGTGATCCTTTCGAATTGGAGACGATTATGTAAAAATACATCATATTCAAAAAGACAAAGTCACGAAGTTCCGAAATTGTATGTAAAATATAAGGGTTTTAAGAAATAAGATACTTACTTTTTTGGAATAGTCACGTACCTCCGACATGATCCCGGAGATCATTTCGAAATCCTGAGATCATGTCAACATTATATAAGCATATAGGGTATAAAAATATATAATAGTACTAGGTATATGAGTATCTAATAAAATAATGGAAAAAACATATAAGCGCATATATCTATTTAGACATAGCACCATATTATTATTACGAATAGTTGAAAATAAACATCACAGGTGAGGCTCGAATTACAGGCTTACAAGTACGATACGATTATAATTACGATTACAATTACAATTAGAAGTCTACGTGTTTTACGATTGAGCTAAGTCTTACGTTGCTACGATTTTACGGGAAACAATAGCTGGCTTGTTGTTGCAGTATATAAGCCCGCAATAAGGGGAGGCAGGTGCAATTCGAGGTAGGTATAATAAGTCATACTTGCCTGGCCGAGATCATCTTAGAAAGGCTGAAATGATCCCCGAGATCGTTTCGGAAGCCTGAAATGATCTTAAAGGCTGAAATGGTCTTGGAAGGCTGAGATTATGTCGAATTCAACACGATCCTTATGACTATTTTGAACATGAGGCTATTTTCTTTGAACATCGTCACGGAGACTCGAAATGATTCGATATGCAATATTATCCTGGTGATCATGTCGGGATATTGTAATAATATTCAGATTTTTAAAATAATCTTATAAGGTGACATAATCCCTGAGATCATGTCCGCCCCCCACCCTGGCGCGGTAATGTAGGTAGATGTGCACGAAGTAATTTGTACGGGTCGGTATCCTCTTCAACACCGACTTAAATGTTTAGGGGTTACTTCATATAGAAACCACCGGTTATAAAACCTCGTCAGGAGGGCAGAATGCTGCGCATAAGCTACGGTCGTGTACTGGAGACACAAACGTTGTCCTCTACCTGAGTGGCTGCAAGCATAAGCATCAACTCCTTTCTCTCTCGGTTTCCTCCACAGAGTCGGCTTCGTGATAACCTAGTATACGAATGCACCAACAGGATAGAATTCAAAGCAATATTTGGTATGCAGCCACGCGGAGAGCGGCCGCACTAACATACCGGAAGCCACGTCTTTATTGGCGAGGGTATCACATTCTTTTCATATCGACTTAGATAAATGACGCTCTGTTAGGGGCCTCCAAGCAATCGAATTTATCGACAGCATATAAGCCCTGGGACAACTAATATGCCAAGCATGTTGTCATTGTCTTTCTGCTTCCTCCCGCATACGCTCGTCGAAACGCATGCTGACCGCCTGTGCCTGAGCCTCGTCGTAGTTTGGTGGGGGCTCGTCTGGAGTTTGTTGGTGGGCCTGCTGTTCCCGAGCTGCTTCATCCGCTCGTCGAGCTACCTCGGTTACTTGACTGGGGTTACCACCACCCTGAGGACCGCTATATTCTGGTAGTTGCTCGTCGTGGACGGTTTGAGCCCAATTGCTCTGGCCCGACTCTTCTGCGATTTGTGCCGCGTGGTGCAGACGGGCTTTAAGTTCCACAAACTTGGACTCAAATTCGCTAGAACCACCATCCTTGAACGTCAATCTCACATTGACTCTCGGAAACTCCGGAGGGATATTGCCATCAGGAACCGGGCGCACATTGGCCTCCCAGTACCAAGGCCCGATCCACGACGAACACATGCGGCTATCCAGGCACCCTAGTATTTTAGATGAAAAGGACTTGAACTGATCTGTAGGCTTGGAAGGTAGGTAGATCAACTGAGATGAACGTTAATCTTATCGTTCGATTCATATGCTGTAAAGCGTAACATTAATACTTACTCTCTGATTCGTTATGTACGCCGTTCCGCTCTCACTCTTAATATTGAGGGGAGGGACATCGGTTGCTTGATTCGGAGCGGTTATGCTAAGAGCTATCCGTCCTCTTGTCCTATGTAGAATAGTCTCGTGCGGCAGCGGCTCTATCTCTCCGGCCCGAGATAGCATAACCCAGCTGGCTTCTAAGTTAGTGTCCTCCTCGCCCCGGCTACTCTGACTAAGGATGTATGACGCATGCTGGTCGTGAAGGCCGTAATCCATTATGACGATGAGATGGACGAGAGAGATGGACGGTGCAAATTGGACCGCGGAAGGAAGAGCAATGCTCTCAGGGAGAATAGAGATAGATATCACATCCTAAAAGTTGATGGAAAAGTCGCGGATGGGGGAACAGGGAAGGGGAGGGCTGAGGGCTAGTTGGGGCTCAGGTCGACGGGAATTACAATTATTACATAGGCAAGAAGAGGCTCATACATACTTTATTGACATTTTGGGCAAATTTGAAGGTGGTCAGCTTTCGGGTCCTGCGCACAAGTCCTAGTAGTCACCAACCGAACTCCTGGGATTCGTCGGCACAACAAAAACGGGCAGGGTTCCAACGATTCTGGTCTCAGGAACTGCAGGAACTGCGGGAACTGGCTCGGTGGGCTTCTCTGGCTTGCTGGACTGGCAGGCTGGTCTCGGACCGGCACGATTTGCAGGAAGTTTGATGGAGATGTTGATATTGGTAAATGTGGGCCGACTAACACGGTAGCCCGCTGGAACTTGCCCTGCCGTAACTGGTACTAGAACGGCGCACGCCTGACAGGGCACTGCAAAAGACTGCAAGGACTCGCAGATGTGGAGTTGCGCTTGGTAGTGTGGGCGGCGAGATTGTATATTGAATAAACGGCGGAGCAATTGGGGCAATAGGGAGAATTCCTCGACTTCAGCTGCAAGGTGCAAACCCGAACCGGGTTACTCGTTCGATGGCTTCGATGACTTACTACCTATGTACAATACGGAATAAATGCGGAATACTTTTGCGACGCTTAGGCCAGGACCAAGGGCCTAGTCCCCGTGGGAAATGCCGAAGTTGACCTGAAACCCCCAGGTTTAATTCGATATGTCGATACGTCGACAAGGGACTTTGTTCTCGATTCAAGATAGAGAGGCGTAATGCGTAGTGCGCAGTGTGATGACGAAGGGATGAACGTGGCTGCGTGGTAGGGAAATACGTGATGTATGGTACAACCAACTTAGGTAGGTAAGGCAGGCAAAGGTAGGCAAAACTTCAAAAAAAGGCTCTAGACCAGGGATGGATAGGGAGAGATATGCGCGCCAAGCCGCTGCCAAGGCATGGTTGAAAAAACCCTTAGGCAAGCAGCTAAGAATGGAACTCACTAACCTAACCTAGCAGGTCGTGACGATGTAGACTTGAACCTTGGGTACGTGGATCGACCGCTAACTGCAGGTGTAAAAGCATGTACCAGCATTTGATAAGATTGATTAGTTATGGTAACACAAGATTGTGGAAGAGGTAAGAGGGGTAACTCAAGAAAAAAAAAAAAAGGAAAAAAGCAAGTGACGGCATAAGCCTATGAGCGTTTGGAGGTTTGGGATGGAGGGGATAATACTCGGTAGATTCCGTTTCCATCATTGGTCTTTCACATGCTTCAATATGCTATAACTAGGCATTTATATCGTCCAGGTACAGCGATTGTATACGCGTACTTACAAAGGTTACATAAAATATATTCAGTCAGGTCAAGGTCAACTACTATGTACCTTATGTGTATAAACATATTGCGCTAGGTACCTCTTATAAAATAGACTACGGTGCATTAGCAGAAAATAGTATTTCCAATACGGAATAGAGGGAAAGAAAATAGGTTTAGACCTATCAGGGAAGATCGGGTCCAGCTTGGCAAGAGCTGGCTGATTACGTAAATTACTCTAAGTTGGGAACTACCTAACCCAGGAGATTTTGTTTTAGGTTTTACCTGGTAACTATGTGTACTGGAAGTCGCAGAATAGCGTCAAAATAACTGGCGCAGTCTACGAACAATTATGCTGGTAGGTGCGCCACCTTTTTTTTGACGTTATTCTGAGTCGTTATTATTCAGCCCCCTCGAGATCTTCTTAACCATTCTACGCATCTAGCAACCCGACACGATATCACTAACGTAACTCTTTCATACCCATGGAAATAGCCTACTATATACATGACTATACCTATACATGTAGTGTATGTAGGTATGTGTACCTAATGCAAAGAAACACTTACGCAAGTTACATCGCGAGCAGGGTCCTCGGTCTAATACCGTCGACCCGAAACCCGAGGCTTCAACAGAATAACACTCATTTCGCTCTTCATTTTCACCGGTCACCAACTTTGGGTTGGTTCAAATGCATACATCAGCAAATTTGTGACGACGTTGGAGTTTTTGGGAACCTGATCGTCGTCATCACGGGCTCCCTCGTGCCTTATCAAGGTTGTTGAAGAAACAACCCCAGGGGCCCGGGATCATGACATTAACATTTGAGGTTGATCTAGGATCTTCTGGTTTTACCTACCGTTACTTGGCTTCTAGTTTCTCCTTTTCTATTGGTTCCCATGCTCATTTTCCAGGGTCCTTGTTCTCCGTGGTCTCTGCCGACCAACCGGTTAGCTACCACCTTCTTGAGCTTAAAACTCTTCTGTTGACATACATGGTTCCTCGCATGACGGTTTATTGGTTATGAGTACCGCGTCCATGGCCAGCCTCCTGAGTTACGCCCATATCTCCGGGCCTATTGAAGCTGGTGGACTGACCCAAGCCGAGTATTCCTGCAGTAGCCATCACTTCGCGGACCTGGGGACAAAGGCCCTGTCTGTTGGTGGGTCGGTCGAGTCGCCAGACTGCATCAGGCCCCTCACGATATCTTCGGAGAGCGTTCTATTCCCCGGTTCGCATATTTTCCAATACCATTTTACTGGAGAAATTACCTCTTCTATTGCACTATCATTCTACAGGATCTACCCTCTCCTTGTCGGGCTGTCAGATGATTGGCTCGCCCTTAACTGAGGCTCCGCAACAAAAAAACGACATGTCATATTTTATAGAGGCCACTTGACGCAACGTCTCGCTAGCATTAGACGCTTCCAACCATGGACCAACCAAATAAAGACAGATGGGAGACTCTTCTCAATAAGAGTTACGTTACGTCAATTAAATCTAGATACTGTTGGCCTCGATTCCGCGATTCCGGGGTGAAATCCTTCACGGAGTAGTGTCGTTGCGAAGCTATGTTGAATCGAATTTGCTCTTCTAGGTCGGGTTAGTATGCATTGCAGATCACTGGTCTGGGCAATCTCTCTCCCTGAACCAAACTTCTCCTGGATACATAAGTGTCATTCAGTCATCTTGGCCTATCGTGAAGCCTGTCGACGACGGCTTAAACCACGTCAGTCGGCGGATACAGCTGGGGCAGAACGCACAAGCTTCTTGAAGATCTTTGCTAGTGAACAACATTACAATTACACAACACAAGTCTAGAACACTTCCTCGGTGTGTTAGGATTCGTCTAGACGAAAACGACATCACCCCTATCACATGGCTGTACCTCTGCGGCGGCTAATACTTGCAGGCTGAATTATATCACATTTCATAACATAAGTATCCATGTCATGTACCAGCTTGGTAGAACACCCTGAACTGATGCAGATCAACTTTCTAGGTCTTTGGCATTAATTAGCCAGCGTTACGAAGCTGACCGTATGTCGGGCCCTCCGGCAGATGAAGCACGCGACATGGTTATGCAAAATTTACACCCAGCTCAGAGCAATAACCTGCTATATCCACTTTGAGACTAGATGAAGCGAAGCGTATGTCTTGGACGTCGCCGATGGCGGTCAAGCATGGACGAAATAGTCGTTTCGAGCTACCATTACTAACGGACTAGCTGAGCTTGGCTTCTGGGACTATTTTGAGTGCCGCTATCGCTTGGGTTCTTTCCTGCTATGGGATATACAACATAGGACGGTGGGTTTTGGGGCGTTAGATAATTAAAGATTATTCTGAGTATAGATCGCCTGGGCTCTCTAATGGTCACACTGTCTCGGCTGTCTTTAACGCGGCTTATGCATCTCCAGTTGACTGGCATATCCCCAGCCGTGCTCGAGTGTGTCTACTGAACCTTCACCGCCCCTATGTTTGAGAGGTGGCCCCTTAAGCGGTCTTAAACACCCGATTCGACCACCAAAATCATTGATCCTACTTAGCAGCTAACAGGTGCGTCAGCCACGTAAATGGTAAGGGAGCACGAGATCGTACGAGTCGCGGCAATCAAGCATAGAAACACGGCACAGACGACAAGGCTTCTCCAAAGTCATTTGATTCATTGAGCTGTGCCTTAGTCATAAGCGTCATGATCATTCAATCTACCGCGTACCGCGTGTGAATAGCCGTGTGTCCAACCGGACTTCATTACCAAGTGATGAGGAAAGATGGAAACCCAATATCATGAGGCGTGACAACGAAAAAAAAAAACACCCCTCCCGCGAATAAAACACCCCTGAGACCCAATGAAGAAACTCCAAATACAGTACATTGACATGAATACCGCCATCCAGCTCTGCGTAAGACTCCTAGCCAAGACAATGTGTTGTTAGCACTATGATTTTCCAGCACGAGGCGTCCTCTATTCTTTCTCCAAAAGGATCGTCGGTGCTGTTGGCCCCTAGCTCTGCAACCAGGTTTTTCGCGAAGCTACGAGAGCCAGTTCTCGCTTGACCGTGCTGCGGGAGTAGCCGCGCTACGTGCAGCGTCGGAGCCAAGATTGAATTTTGGCATGTCGATCCGTGGCGGCGCCTCCTCCTTTTTCTTACCTTTATTCCCACCGCCTCCCGCCTGGTTCTTGCGCGGGCTTTTGGACTCGGCAGGCGGTCCATAGCGCACGCCTCGCACGTCCCAGCCGTCTTCGGCCGCGGCGGCTACCCAGGTCCGTAGCCCGTCATGCACGCCCGGGTAGAATTTCTCCTTGCAGAGGCGCAAGCTGCCTCCCATGCAGCGCTCCCAGCCCGAGATGTTAAACAGGCCGCGCAGGGCGTTGCGCTCCTCTGCTGTTGGGGTACAGGCAATAATCGCGTTCATGAGGTCGAGATGCGAAGCTAGATAGTTTGTAGCATCCCATTCGACACCGCCGACATAAGGGGCAGCAGGGACCGGGGGCCTTTCCTGCGGGAAATGCGTCTGCATGTAAGTAGCGCTGTCGATTCCGGACGGGCCAGCCCTTTCCTTGGCCTCCTTTTCTTGCGGCAGGTAGACCACGTTGAGGTGGTGCAGGAATATCCAGAATACTTCCTTGGTGACACCAACGGCCTCCTTGCACCACACACGGTAGGGACGTTCTCGGTGCATATCGAGGACGAAACCGATTGGTCGTTCTGCTTCATTCGGCTCTGGGTCGCGTAGGTGGCCAAGTACCGTCTTGGCGCGGACAGGACGGTCAGAGGGGGCGGCAGATTGTATGTAAGTGAATAACACAGAGGTGATGATATTGCGAGTGGTGAACTCGCTGGGGCCCTTCTTCTCTGGGTCAAAGAGCATGTGTAGCAGGGCCGGGAACAGCGTTGCCTGGATCGAATTGAGGTACTGCAGTGCGAGGGCTGTGGTGCACAGCGCCTTAAGGCAGAGGAGATTTTCATGCAGAAGAGCATCTTCGTGTTCCTCTCTGTTTCATAATTAGCATTGCTGTCCAGTCAAAGGTCAAAGCAAAAAGAAGTGGCAATATTTTCAACATACCTCCACTCGACCTCCATGATACGATGCAGCAACGCCACGATCTCCTGCATCCCGCCCTGTCGTATGAATTCCTCCGTCCACGCCACCGTCTCGTTGCGTAACAGTAGGCGCAGCTTGTGTAGCTTGCCGACCTCCACCGACTGCGGCTTCTGGACCTTACGCAGGTAGGCGACAAAGTCTACGGGGCCCTGCTGCGACTTCACCTTGGAAAAGATGCCGCCACCGGTACCCGACCCCGCGGAACAAGGCCGCTCGCTGGCGACGCTGTCCGTGGACCGGCTGCGAAAGTGCCGTCCTATGGAGCCTTCGCCCTTCTGCTTTTTGGGGGAAGACGTGCCCGATTTCTTGCCCCGCGATAATGTAAAGCTCCGGCCTCGGGATTTCTTCGTCTTGCGGTTCTCGTTCGCCTGCGCGACGCTGATGCTCGAGTCGCTACCGTGGCTCTCGGGCCGAGCGCTATGCAGGCCGCGGCTCTCAGCCCAGTCCTGCCTTATGAACTCCATCTTGATAGTATCCGCCAGGTTGCGCATCTTGTACCTCTGGTGCTCGGGAATATTTCTTCGGTCTAGCATAGCCTCGAGGTGCTTGTCGATGTCTTTGGGGTCGAGGACGGGCTCGACAGGCCCGGCCGAAGTGGGCCTGCTTTGCGACCCGGAGCCGCCGGTGAACAGTCTGAGACCACGGTGTATCTTAGACGGCGAGGTCTTGCCGCTGTTGCCGCTGCTCCCGCTGTTCCGCATGTCGGGGGACTGGATGAAGGGCGCGTGGTACGATTTAGGTCTTTCTTTTCCGGCGCGGGTGCTCGACCCGCCACTCTTCGAGGAGGGGTAGCTAGGGACATCCAGGCTGTGGGTATTCTTCTTCGCGCAATCCTGATCAGTCTGCTTCTCTAGCGCGCCGCTCGCGAATTGAGCATAGATGGGAGGTCGCTGGGGTGTATCATAGGGGGGGTGATTCTCTTTGTTCTTTTTGAAAGGCGTCTCGTCTTCGGTAGCCGTTGCTTGTAGATTCTTCGTACTCTTGGGGCGACTTAGGAAGCCTACGAGGTTCGTGGCGGACTTTGTTTTCTTAGGTTTGCCTTCGTTCTGCTTGGCCAGCTTGGCCAGTTTCTCCGCTTCCCTCGTAGTCATTGGTTTCGCTGATACTGTGTTGTAGCTCTTCTTGGTTGGGGATGATGGAGCACTCGGTAGCTCGTACTGTTTGGGTGGTGATCGAGGAACAATGCTAATTTGATTCTGCTGGATCTCGCTGAGGGCAGCCGGACGAGAGAAATTTGGAAATCCACCTATCTCTTGTCTGGATGAGGATGATTCTGGAACATAGTTTGGAGGGATTAAATCGGTAGGTGGTAGAGGAGAGCCATCGGAATTGTTTCGTCTGTGTATCCAAGTTTTGAGAATGTTGCCTTTGGATTTAGAGCGCTGATGCTGTTGCGGTCGTCCAGCACTAGGACCAATGTTTGCAGAGACATGATACTCGTTGATTGATGATGCCATAACGCCTGATTAATACAATGCTCGTCGTCTAGATTGACGACAGAGCAAATATTTAGAAGCAGAAGCAAAGCAAATATGTTGTTAATGTTGTTACTAAGATAAAGCGTTGATTGTTGGCCATGCGTCGTCTGAAGCGATGTTTAGGATGTAGGATGATGAGAACGATGAGAACGCGTTCAATGGCAAAGCCTGTTTTTTAACGGGCAGCCAGTTGAACTTTCCTCATCTGACAGCTACAGGCGCCGAGATGAGGCTAAGATTTAATATAAACTTCAACGTTGAATCTGACGTTGTGACATCGATTGAGAGTATTGTATATGCATGGAGCCTTTTGTTTAAGTTCTGTCTCGCCGCCCTTTTCTTACCTGATTTGGGGGTTGGTTACCCCAGCAACCGGATCGCCAGGCGTACGAAGTACCTACGTTACGAGGTAAAAAGGAGTGCTTATCTGTCAGTTTTGTCTTATCGCGTCTCCAACCCCACCAGCTGTTTCCTCAGCTGGAACCCCACTTCGTCAGCTTTGACGTTACACCCGCCGGCGTTTCTTTTTTATTAAACATTTTATCTTCGCGATTAGGATTCGCAAGCTAAAAACTACTGCCAATTGTCGCATCACCTCTGCTAGGAAATAAATACCGTCGCCATGCCCGGTCCTCCGAATAAGAAGCAGAAGCGGCAAGATTACCGCCAAGCGCTAAAAGAAAATGGCACGACGAATATGCCCAAGAAGAAGTTCTATCGCCAGCGCGCACATGCGAATCCCTTCTCAGACCACAGGTTAACATAGTATGCATATTGCCTCTTTATGTCGCTTGTTAGGGATCAATGCTTATGCGGTATAGTCCAGTCAGACCCGATGCCATGGATTGGTCCACGTTCTTCCCAGCATTTACCGAAGCGGAAACGGAAACATCGTCCCCTAAGAAGCTCACGAAAGATATTGAAGTTGTAGACATAGGTTGTGGATTTGGTGGCCTACTTGTAGCCTTGTCGCCCGTAATGCCAGATACCTTACTCGTAGGCATGGAAATCCGATCGCAAGTAGCGGAATTCGTCCAAGATCGAATCAAAGCTCTCCGTGCCAAGGACCCCGAGCAGAATTCATACCAGAACATTGCTTGCCTGCGGGCAAACACAATGAAATTCCTACCCAATTTCTTTCGAAAGGGCCAACTATCGAAGCTATTCATCTGTTTCCCCGATCCACATTTTAAACAGCGAAAACACAAGGCTCGAATCGTGTCTACTACCCTTAATTCCGAGTATGCATACGCCCTCAGGCCAGGTGGAATTGTATATACCATTACGGATGTGGAGAATCTTCACGAGTGGATGGTACAACATTTTGAGGCCCACCCTTCGTTCGAGAGAGTGCCTGAAGAGGAGCAAGATGCTGATCCATGCGTGGAAGTTATGAGGACAGAAACCGAGGAAGGGAAGAAGGTCGAGAGAAATAAAGGCCAGAAATTTGTTGCCTTATACCGGCGCATGAAAGATCCGGAGTGGTGACCACTACTACATACGACTACAAATTATATGACAATTGGAATATAAAGATACCCGGTGATGACTATCCTATGAAGATTCGGAACTTGCTCTTTTCTGTAATTTGACCGATGAACTATAAGGAGTCATATGTCGCTTCGCTTCGAAAAACGAGCCTAGAATTGACAAGAATTTTGTTATTCAATGACAAACTTGAGGGTCCGCATTCAAAATCGCGTCTAATGGATGGGGCATCATTCTACGGATTACAGGTATTGATAGGTATAGGGTACATACATGTACCTATACCTACTAAGTGTATGTACAATACAGGTACATGTAGGTACCTTGCTGCACTGTACAATAGGTACATCATTGGAAATTCATAGCCCGTGCTTCTTGCACCGCATTACCCCATATGGTAGGTACCTTACCTAATGCGCTGGAACTTACAGCAACTTCAATCGATAAGCAGGTCTTGGCCTCCAATTCGCCGTCATTTACGATTTCCACGATACCACATATACTCGTCACCCCCACGGACAAGTCATGACGCCAGTTTTAAAGCCACCGCAAACTGAGTATGGCCCTTAAGGGGAGAGATGTTGGTTACGCTGGCGTCGTTTGCTTCATCGCATGGGGTTACGCCACAAGCTGGTTTCCTCCCATTCGATGGATGGGATATGCCTTCGTCGGCGGCGTCGTTGTAACTCTTCTAGCCTGTCTCCTCTTACTTTTTACCTCCCGAGGCTCAACATATAGCCAACGAAATAGAACCTCACGACCCAATGCAGTCATCTTTTCAGGTCCCGCTTCTTGGCACAAAGAGACCACCGCCTTGCGAATTCGACAAACCTATCTTAAAGACCCCCTATATGCCGAATCTCCCGCCATATCCAACGCCTTAGACGATTTGCTCGATCTGATTATACGGGATTTTGTCAAATCATGGTATTCGCACATAAGTAAAAACCCGGTATTCGCGAATGAGGTGGATAAAACTATGAGATATGCGCTAGCTAGCATTCGAGACCGTCTCTTCGAAATAGACCTGGTGGAAGTAGTAACGAGTAGGATTGTCCCAATATTAACGGCTCATTTTCGCGACTTCTACGATGCGGAGAGGGCTGTTCGCGGCCGTAAGTTGAATCGTGATGTTACGGAATCCGAAGAGTTGGACTTGGCCATTGCCGCAAAGTATAATGACGGAAAACTACATCCGGCTGTGTCTTTGGCATACTCGGATACGAAACTGCTACAGCAAGATTACCTACGGAATATAGTTACTAAGGTCCTACCAAGAGTACTACCTAATACCATGGTTGACAGCCGAGTTGTGTTTAACATCGTCCGCGAAATTGTCGCCTGTACTGTCCTATTCCCTACCATGCAGCTTCTATCTGAGCCCGATACCTGGAACCAGGTGATGGAAAATTATGGCCGAACCATGCTACAAGACCGATCGACAGTTCGTAAGCTTCGTGCGGCCTTAGATGCGCATGCGTCACCGCCACCAAAGAGTTCTAGACCAGTAGCTTTCCCGCGATTGGCTTCGGGGGATAGCGAGCGTCGGTTTGAAAAATTCATCCGCACGATCCGCAAACTTAACAATTTGTCTGACGCGAGACGTTTTCGAAGCGAAGTAGCAAGTCAGCTGAAGAGAGATTCCCAGTACTCGGGACAGGACCCCATCTATCTCCGTCGGTTAGAAATGGGCAAACGACTCCTGGATCAGAGGGTTCAGCAGTTAGCTGCGGGTGGTGATGGACGGCACATACCCCTATCGAGCACTCCGCCGCCAAATGTAGGGTCTTCAAGGCTTGAGAACGCGTCTTTAGTTGAAATCCTGCGTGACACGTCCGGTCTTTCTTATTTTATGGAGTATATGGATAGACAAGGCTTGATGCCCCTTGTACAATTTTGGCTAGTGGTGGATGGTTTACGAAACCCTCTGGAAGATGATGGACTCGACGATGAGCAATTACCTTCGACTCTGAGCCCCTGGACCGAATCCGATCGTACGGACATCGCCCAAATTGATCAGGCCTACTTATCTAAAAAGGAACTCAAGGTCCCGGCTAGCTCGCGGCGCATTATTCGCGAATTTCTCGACGCTGGAAAAGCAGCTTCCCCGGCACAATACTACAAGGCGCGCCGGGCTGTGCTACGGGCTCAAAGTGCCGTACTCGAGGACATGCAATCCAAACACCTTGATGCATTTAAAAAGTCTGAGATCTTCTTTAAGGCTTTAGCATCGGAAGAGGCATCGAAGAATATCCCTCTAGCACAGTCTCAGACAAGGCCAGCTACAGGCCCACCATCACTTCGCGCTTCGCAGTCGTATGGGTTGAAACCCGCGCCTGTGGCAAAGCTTAATCCAAAGATAAACACGTCCAACGGTCAGGTTAGACGAGGTCTATCTACAACAGACCTAAACGCTGTTGCTACCAACGCCAATCATAGCCCAGACCTCCCAACGGGTCAGCGGCGATCATTCGACGATAGCACAACTTCACCACTATTTGACGACGACGATCCGGACCATGATCCGATGACAGACTCAGTAATGAGTCTTGATCAGGAACCATTGAGACCCGTACCAGATACCCAGGTAGTCCAGGCGGTGGAGGAAGCACTGAATAACATCATGGAAGACGATCGACCCCAGACTGCAGAGGACCTTCGCGAGTCGCTATTTGGGAATGACGACGGAGCTTCAAGCATATTCTCGGGTCAAGATAATGGTTCAGCTAGGGGCTCGCTGGACCAACAAAATCCAATGCAATCTGGGAAGGAAGTCGAAAAGCCCAGCTTGGCGTCTCTTGGACTTGTCAGTGCAGCATCCAGGATTGGAGTATTCATAGACGACGACCTTTTTGCAGACGAGGATAGGTTCTTGTCAGACGAGCAGGAAGATCATAACGAAGGTGAGGTTGGTAACATCGAAGACGAAGTACACGAAGCCGCCCCTGGCGACCTGGGCCTTGCGGAGGCTATTGCAGCCCTTACGAACGATATTGAACGACTTGCTGCGCAAGAGGCCGTCTTAGAATCACTAACGAAGAAGGCGGAATTAACTAATAATACAGCGGAACTGCGCATCTTACGAAAGTCAAAAGCGAGTCTGCAGAGGGAACTTCGGCGAAAGGAACTACAGCGACAACAATACGTAATTCAAGAGAGCGATAATAGTTTATACGGGCGTGCGTCGATCAAGATCAAGTCCATCCAAGTAGGACGAGAGGAAGACGGAAAGGAATTCGCCCTATACGTCATCGAGGTAAAGAGGAACGCGGGGGAGAAGATGCCAGCAGCCACTTGGATTGTGACGAGACGATACAGCGAATTCCACGAGCTTCATCAGAAATTGCGAGACAGGTATCCCTCAGTACGGAACTTGGAGTTCCCACGGCGGAGGATGGTCCTAAAACTTCAAAGCGACTTTCTTCGTAAGCGGCGTGATGCGTTAGAGCGGTACTTGAGCGAACTCCTTCTTCTGCCAGATGTATGCCGCAGCAGAGATCTACGGGCCTTTTTATCTCAAAGCGTCATCACTCAGGGAGAGGACATAATCAACCGCGAGGATAAGAAGGATATGATGACGCGTCTATACGACTCCGTTGCTGATGGCATGGAGGATATCTTAGGAAATATACCTGTTCTAGACCAGCTCTCAACTGCGGGGCAGAATCTAATAGCGGCGGCTACAAGCCAGATGAGCACGATACCGCTTAACGTCAACGAGGATGCCATAACGGCTGCCGAAGCCGAAGCCGAATTGAATGCCTTTGAGAATAAAGAGCTCGAGCCTTTCATCAAACCAATCTGCGACGTATTTCTCGAAGTCTTCGGGCTTAATCGAGGTAATAATTGGCTTCGTGGCCGAGCTGTTGTCGTTGTGCTACACCAGATGCTCGGAGGTACCATTGAACGAAAAGTACGAGACAATTTCAAGGTGCTGGTTCAAGAAGACGCCATCCTTAAATATATCGATCTCCTAAGGAACAGCATGTGGCCCGGCGGACAACTTAATAGAAACAAGCAGCCCAGGACATCGTCAGAGAAAGCACGAACCCGAAGAGAAGCAAGCTTGATGCTGGCTACTCTCGTTCCGGATTTGGCTGGAAACGTGGTCGGACGGCTCAACGCCCAAGCCGCGAGTCGCAGAATGTTTGCGACGCTGAATAACTCGAGGTTGAAGTACGTAATGTTACCCGTCTATAGACGTGTTAAGTGCTAATAAACAATGACAGCTCGCATTTGGTTTTCACGATTATGGACGAACTAATCGACGTTCTATTTAACGAAGCCTAATTCTTCTACATAGGCATTTCTTCTTCTACTACACAGCACAGCATAGCATCGGCGTTTGGACCAGTCGAGTTTAGGATGGTTTCGAGGCGCGAGTGAATGAATACCAGGTACGAAATGTTAGATATCTAATGCATAGTTGGCGGTGTAGCTCTTATCATTGCGATCGCTGCGGAAGGGCGCTGAATGTCGTATCGATTATCGAGAGCTACCGCTAGGAAAAGAAAGTGAGGCGCTTGCTTGCTTGCTTGCATGCTTGCATCCATGTTCGAGGGGTAGGTAATGCGAAGGCAAGCATGTACATACACGCGTCGTAACGTGGACCTTATATTTTGTACGATGTATGCATAGTTATACGGCCTATGGTGTTTTTGAATAATTATACTCACTTCCATATTGGTATAGTTATGTGTTTGATACGCCTGCTTGTCCATTTCTTATAAAGTTGCTAATGAATAATCATGAGCTCGATTCTCGATTCTCGATTCTCGTGTAAGTGAAGCTGAGTACGTAGATGTAGATGGTACATACCGGTACCTTTTTATCCTTGTACCTAGGTAACCTACGTACATGCATGTACTACCTAATGTATATTCCACTCAAAGGTACACCTAAGGCTGTTTTTTGACCTGTGCGGGGCGAGGATCTCAAAAGACAAAATCTCACAGGTAGCTCCGCTCTGGCGCCTCCACATTTTTAAGTGCACGGTGCTCTTTCACAGCCAGATGCCAGTCAGACAAGATGGACACCTTCCATTCTCTCTCCTCTCCAATCCAGCAGCTGCCATCCCCATCACACCTCGATCTTCTGCATCAATCACTTGTCAACTTTAATAAAATTGACCAAAGCAAAGTGATACGGCCACAATACTACCCGTCCTTTCTACTACTCGCGCAACACAAGGACTACCCTCTTTTTTATTTTCCAACCACCAATTTTATAGCCGGCCTATCTCTTAACCCTCCTTCCAATTTTTTCGCCGCTTTCGTTGCCCGCATTTTTCGACAAACTCCTCCAGGTTTTCCTCTCGTCGGGGTTTTCCCTTCTTGCTCCGTGGCCTCGTGCCAACTTTTTTTTTCTCTCACGCAACCCACCCACAAACCATCTGATTCGGCAAAACAATTCGTCCAGGCATTTCTTCCTTGGTTTCTCGTGATTCGCGCAACAACAACTTTGCAGAGTCTTGCCTATTTTCTCGCAGCGCACGCGAGCTTCTCTCAACCTTTTGTTTTAAACACTCATCCGGACTCGCGCCTCGTTTCTATCGATCGCGATCATGGCGTCTACTGAGGTTTCCGCTACCCGGCTTTACTTGGGTAACCTGCCAAAGGGCGGTAAGTTATACCGGATGCTTGCTCGAGCTCATGTTGTAGTGTAACGGAGCTTCAAGCTAGCTTTTGTATCGCCCTGTCGTGACTGCTAACCGTCCCGTCTAGCAACCAAGGCCGATGTGGAAGCCCACTTCGCAACCCATGGCACTGGTGAAATCACCGAGGTCAAGCTGATGAATGGATTCGGCTTCATCGAATACAAGGATCCCATGGATGCGCGCGATGTCGTTCCTGGTGAGTAACCCGCGCGTCTTGCAAGTTTTTGTTTTTGTTTTTTTGTTAGCGGCAGTCAATAACTAACATTATCCGTGTCACAGCTTTCCGTACGTCTTGGACCGTTCCTGGCCACCGTCTCACCTGATTTCTCCGTTGTTTTCCCTGGCTAATATGACGATAAGATGGATCTGATTTCATGGGCGAACGCTTGACCGTACAATTCGCTCGAGGTTCTCGCCACCGCGAAGGCTTCGGTGGTCATGAGCGCAGTGCTCCCCGACCCCGTCGCACTCCCCATCGCATGCAGATTACTGGACTTCCCAATGATACCAGCTGGCAGGTCTGTTTAACTCCCGTTTTCCCGTTCTTCGCCCTCGGATTCTGGCTTTAGATGATTTCCCCTTCCTTGGTACAGCGAGCCATCTTGCGCCGTGTGCTTTTTCGCCCGAACGACGGGGACGCTGGTATTCAACATTATTTTTTGTGATGTCATAATCATCGATCTTAGCTCTCCCCAATTCTAGCGGACAGGTCTCAGGAGCTAGCCAAGGTGCCTCAGGGATTTCCAATGTTAGACGTAACCGCCTGCTTGGATTGGTTTGACCGCATTCCTTTTGCTGGTGCTGCTTCTGGAGTTGGGAATATTGGCCTCATTCGCATGTTCTACACCGCTCCTCGGACCCCCCACTTACATGGAATCTGGATCTAGGACCTGAAAGACTTTGCTCGACAGTCCAGCTTGGATGTCGTATACTCGGAAACGGGCCGTGACGGCAATGGCCGAGGGTACGTAGCGGCTCTCAACGGATTACCTTGGCCTACGATGATATAAGCTAACGGATTTTAAACAGCTTTGTCGAGTTTGAGACCGCAGCCGACCTGAAGACTGCCGTAGAGAAGCTTGACGGCCGCGAGTTCAAGGGACAACGAGTCAACTGTATCGCTGACGTAGGTTTATCTACGGTCCACTACTTTCTTTTTTATTAATACGGAATATTAGACCCAACCGGATTTCCCTGTCCGCGAGCGTGGCGCCCGTTCTCGTTCCCCTATGGGTCGTCGACCTTACGGCCCGCCTGGTGAGGGTTATGATCGCCGTGGTCCGCCTCGCGGGTACGGCAGCCCGCGCGCGTACCGCGATGATTACCGCGACCGGAGCCCCGCTCGTCGCGACTACTACGACGATCGCCGTTACAGATCCCCGCCGCGCCGCGGACCTGTTGACGATTACCCAGCTCCACGTGGGCGCTACGAAGATCCGTATCGTCGCGACTACGGACCCCCGCCGGATCCGTATGTCAACGGTCGGCCTTACGACCGGCCTCCAAGGGATTTTCCCCCGCGTGAGGGTGGCTATGGGCCTCGCGAGGGCGGGGGCTATCCCCGGGAGGAATACCGCCGAGGTGGCGGTTACTGGTAAATTTCTTAATTAATTCAACTTTATTTGAGCGACCCCCCTTACGTTATTTAGATACCGCGCCGTTTCTCCACGTATGGCGGGACAGCTGTACCGTGGCAATGACCTGTTTGTAGGGAGCTTGAGAAATACTTGGTAGTAGGTAGCGAGGAAAATAAGGGAATAAAAGTACTTTTAGGGGTAGGCTATGCGTGAAGTGCAATGAAATTTTTGACGGGGCCGGCTTCAACGTTTTTGATGAGGGTGGCAGGAATAGGATTTAAAGGGTTTCTGACCGGCTTGGTTGAGCCATGCTCAGGTTGGCTTCAGGTTAATTGTGTGTATGATCAAGCAAGACAGTCGCAACGCAGTTGCTTTTACGAATGAAATGGTTTTGTACGTAACGGAGGAGCTGTCGAAGCTATCCAACAGATCCGTCTAACGTACATACCTAGATACCTACCTAGGTACATATGCAGACTAAGAGTTACCTACATGAGAGCTATCTACATGGAGGTATCGTGCTAGGATCTGATCGGCTAGATCTACTACTTGGGCCAAGCTAGCCCAGGTCCTTGCAGTAGCGGCAATCCTCTATTCCCAATAGATGTTTTAGTAATTCTTCGCTAGAGTCTTAGCAAAGGGGATGACTGACTCGGCCTGAGAAAGAGGCACTATACCTTGTTGATTAGAGCAGCTAAAATTAGAGAGTTGGTATCGGAGCAATCGAAAGACCCGACGGTGCGGGTTAAGGCAAGCTAAAGTTTTGAGATAGGTAGTTATAGGAGCTACCTTAGGTAAGCTACCTCGAGAGAGGAAATAATAATGTTGTGCTTAGAAATACTAATGACATCAATAAGCGGGAACCACCAGCGAGTGTGACTGATTAAGTAATATATATTATGCATAGGTATCTCTTACCATACGAGATGCCCTTACGAGGTACCTAAGAGGTAGATATGTAATCATAAATCTGCAAAGTAGAAAGTTGATACTGCAGTTGGTCAAAGGCTACATCGAACATTACCAATCCTGTCTCACAAGAGAACATACGTACGTAGGTATTCATGTCGCTCAATATCCCCCGCGGTGTGATACTGCGGCGTATAAATATTCTCACTTCCCGTCTTTCATCTCAAAGCCTTGGTGTCAATTTCATTCAGCGACCAAACTACTACTCGAAGATTATATACCGTAAAACTCCATTTTCCACATCCCGGACATTATATAAATCAGACAGCGACATGGCCGAACAACCCGAACCAACCGGCCTCATCGCCAAGAGCGGCATTGAGCTTTTAACCTTTAGTATGTTCTCCTTTTGAATGATAGATACCTAACCTAAGATATACATGTCATATTAATATTTTATCATAGCCACGCCCAATGGCATAAAAATTAGCATCCTACTAGAGGAGCTAAAAGAAGCGTACGGCAAAGAGTATACGTGGCAATCCGTCAATATCCTGAAGAACACGCAAAAGCAGCCGTGGTTTACCGCAATAAACCCCAACGGCAGGATTCCGGCCATCGTCGACCATGATCGGGGCGGCTTCGCCGTGTTCGAGGGTCTCGCCATCCTGAACTACCTGACGCGCCATTACGACCCGGAAAATAAATTTAGCTTCCCTGTCGACAGCGACGATTATAGCGTGTGCGAGCAGTGGATGGCTTGGCAGCAGTACGTGTTTGATCGATTATTGACCTGACTTGGATATAACTGAGCTAAGACCGTTACTTGCACAACAGCGGCGGAGTTGGCCCCATACAAGGTCAAGCTAACCACTTCTTCCGCTTCGCCAAGGAGAAGATCCCGTACGCAGTCCAGCGCTACGTCGGAGAAACCGAGCGGCTCTACGGCGTTTTAGACAAGCGTCTCGAGGGGCGGGACTTCATAGTGGGCGCAGGCAAGGGCAAATTCAGCATTGCGGACATTAACCTGCTGGGCTGGGTGAACGCCGCGCTCTACACGGGCATCGACATGTCCCCGTTCCCTAACGTCGAGAAGTGGATCGACAGGTGCATGGCGCGGCCCGCGGTTCAAAGGGGGTACGCGATTCCGAGTAGGGTGCCTATTACTAACGAGGACGTGAAGAAGAAGAGGGAGGAGGATCCCGAGGCTAAGAGGGAGCATGAGGAGTCGTTGAGGTTTTTGAACGAGGCGAAGGAGAAGTATGGGTATAAGTATTCTTCGCCGTAAATAGGGGGGATATACATACATAGTCGTAATACCTTAGTATACTCACTATATACCTATATAGTGAGTATACTTGGTATGCGGTGCTACTTGAATACAAGATAGCTACTCCATGTTTCCCCGCATTCTAAATTATACCATGTTATAATAACTTATAACTTATACATAATAGGGGTCGGATAACCAACCACTTATACATGGTGATATCAATTCTCTTACCCTTATTAAGTCATGTATAATACGATCATCATAAGAGTATGTACCTAAACATGCCTTCGTCGCAATGACTTCCAACAGGTGGACAATTTACACCTGCGTCTTCGGCTCGAACTTCCCCGGATCGTCAAAGGTGCCATTCCCAATCCCAATTCAGCCAGCCGGCCCCGGTCTTGGGACTTGGAAATGCTACCTCGTACCTAGTTCGAGGAATACCGAGGTGACGTCTAGACGGTATTGGCATTGTTATTTATAATGGCGACGTTGTCGCGAGTCGACCCGGCTTCTGTGCCTGGAATGATTGGAGCTATTACTGCTACTACCTTGGTGCAGTGAATTTATTCACCCACAATGAGTATTCGCTCCGTTACCCTCGCAGCTCTCGTAGCTACGGCCGACGTCGCAGCTCAAGATATCAACGTCCATGTCCCAAGTGACCTTGCCACGCGACCGCTTGTACCTGATGTCTACGGGTACTCGGTCGAACCAGTATGGGTAAACGACTACGTCAGCACGCCTCTGGCCAAGAATCTCCTAAGCGCCATCGCAAAGGTAACCGGCAAGCCGCCGCCAATCCGTGTCGGCGGCAACACGGCCGACCAGACTTATCTACACGACGAATTATCAACCGGGAACGACTCGTTCGCTATCCCGACTCCCCTCACCGCGAAGCAATTTAATATCACGCCGGACTGGTACGACAGCTGGGCAGACTACTTCCCGGAAGGCACCGATATCATCTACACGCTCAACCTCGCCGTCAACGACTCGGCATGGTCCACGGCCGTCGCCCAAGCCGAAGCAGCGCACAAGTCCCTCGGCAAGAAACTCGTGCAATTCGAGCTCGGCAACGAGATCGACCACTTCATCAACAAGGGATGGCGAGACCAGACCTGGGACGTCAACACCTACATCGAGCAGTTCCGCAACGTAACGGGCCAGATCGTCAACTCGGAGTGGTACAACAAGGCCGCAGACGACAACAAGCCGACCTTCCAGGCTGGCGTGTTTGGCGACCCGCCGGGGGTGCCGGACCAGCAGGACGAGGTTGACGATTTCAGCATCGAGAATCTGACGCTCGTCGAGAGGGACGAGGATCGCGATATTATCGGCAGTTATGCGACGCATTTATACCCGCAGTCGACGTGCGATGGGCCGAGATGGCTGCGCATGAGGTTGGATTTGCTGTCGAATCATGCGGTGCTTTGGCAGGGTGAGTTAGTTTAGTCTTATTCGCCGTCTGTCCTGGTAAATATACCTAGGTACCTATACTAACCGTGTGGCAGTGAGTTACCAACCCCCTTTTTGCTAAGATATTGTAGACATCATGTTTATATACATCACCTTCTCTACCTTGACAGCAATAATACAACAAGAAACACAAAACACACACTACTAACACACCGCAGAACGTATCCCAATACGCCCCCCAAGTCGCCGCAGCCGACAAAGCCGGGGCCCCCCTGGTGATGGGCGAAACCAACTCCGTCTCGTGCAGCGGCAAGAGCGGCATCAGCGACACCTTTGGCGCGGCCCTCTGGGGCGTCGACTACGTGCTGCTGGGCGCGTCCATGGGCATCCGCAAGACGTACTTCCACCTCGGCGCGCAGAGCGAGTACAGCGCGTTCACGCCGAAGCCGTACGAGTCGAAAAACGAGACGCTGGGAGCGGGTATACGCGCGCACTGGTACGGGCATTATTTCGTGGCTAGGGTGGTAGCTCCTGTCAAGCAGAGGGGTGATGATGATGATGATAGGGGGGAGGAGGAGGAGGAGGAGTTGAGTATTGCGGCGCTGCCGGGGGCTAATAGTAGTGCGTTGAGCGGGTATGCTATTTACAGCGGCTCGGAAGAACAGCAACAACAACAACAGCGGGCGCTTAGAAAACTCGTGTTTCTGGATATGGGCGTCTGGAACGGCACGTCGGGCCTGAGCAATAATTCCACGCTAAAGGCGACGGACGGGGCGACGTTTACCAACGGCACGAGGCCTTGTAGCACGATCAGGCTGGCGACGCCGTGGGCGGCGGGACGGAATGTCGGCGTTACGAGGTTGACGGGTCCGGGGACGAATGCTAAGAGCGGCGTTGCGGTGGCGGGGGTTACGTTTGATGGGGAGACGGGGGAGAGGGTGGGCGAGGAGAAGGAGGAGGTTGTTGTGGTTGGGGAGGATGGGGCGTTGGAGGTTAGGATTAGGAGGGCGGAGGGGGTGTTGCTTGAGGTTGAGGTTGTGGATGGGGATGGGGATGGGGATAGGGATGGGGATGGGGATAGGGGTAATGGTGGCTCTGGAGGAGATGGTAATTCGGGAGCCGCTGGGAAGGGGAGCGCGCTGTGGTCTGGCAGTGGCTTGTTTGTTGCCGGTATGACTGCTGCTTTTATGGTGATGTTGTAGTTGTAGGGGGTGATGTAAAATACTTGACCTACAAAAGACGTATATTGAAACTACCTTAGGTGGTTATTTATTGAAAGGACTGTTTTTGAGATATGTTATATCTAACACATTGGACTCAGGGGTATGATAACTCGGCCACGAGGAGCACATGTATGTAGGTGCATGTAGTAGGTTCTTGTACTTCCTGTTACGAGATAGGCTGTCTATAGTTTCGGGAGGAAATTATGAGTTGGTTGTGTCCTTTGAACTCGTCGTATCGTAGCCTTAGCATTGGTAGTATATTGGTTATATCGTGCCCAGACTAATAATTACATATGTCAAAGGAAGGGACTTGAAGTATTAAACTTAAGAGGGAACAGAGAGAGAAAGAGAGAGATACCTATACTTACCGCGTCTACATATGGACCAATACGCCCCTCGCAACCTCCCCCACGCCCCTCAAGCCAATGGATCTAAAGACGAAACGACATGTCACCCTGCCACGGCCCGCCATCGTGTATAGATGACATATCGATGTCGGCGCACCCTAGCACAGCAGCAGCAGACTCATCTCATCTCAGCTTAGGTACACCAGGAGTCCTCCCCCTCCCCCGCCCCCCCAGCCATCCATCCATAGTTAGATCTTGCCTCGAATCCGGAGATAGAGATACATACATACGTACCTCCTAACCTAACTTAACATACGTCAATAGCTTGCGAAGTAGCTAAAGTCCGAAGTCGCACTCAAGGGTAGTGCCCTCGACCAGACGTTCTCCATCGGACCAAGTTTCAAGTTTCCAATATCTGAGTCCCGCGAAAAGCAAAACCATCACTTACCTACCGCGTCTCCATCGCACCCCTTCTAATCACCCATCTGCCTATATCAACCCTGCCCCCCCTCCCCCACGGAATACGAGGGGGAAAACTGCCATCTCAGCACCCTGCAGCAAGGCACACACGCACGCACGCATGTACGTACGTAGGTATGTCCTCATAGACCGACTGACCGACCGACTGAGTCTGCAGCTAACCTATCGGAGACCGACCCATCTGGATCCAATATCTGGGGGTAGTAGCCTAGTAGGTAGCATGAGAGCGGCGCGGCGCGGGCCAGTGATGTGACTTGCAGATACATGTATGTATGCTTGTCGGCCGCGGTGTGGCCTCGCAGCGCACAGCATGGGGGACCCTTCCTGCAGGTTTGTTGCGCTTCTACGTGCTGCTGCTGCCGTGAGAAGGGTTGGGTTGTGCGAGCCGGGGTCGGGGTTAAGCATGTAGACATACATACATACATACGTACCTTGGCAGAGGATAGCATAGCATAGCATGGCATACCGTAGCATGGCACGGCACGGTATGGTATGGTATGGTATGGATGGTCCCTGTAGTTTCTTCATGCAAGCCGAGTATGCGTCTTATATCTACTCGACAACCAGCCAGCCAGCCAGACCGGGTAATAACTTACGGTTGTTACCTCCTTATTTGGCCGAGTGCAGGTTCTAAGAGTTCCTCTTGGAGTGGATTCCTGCATTAACGCCGATAGACAAGCGTCCTTGGTATAAGTGTTCTCGACGGCCAAGCAGAAATAAATACTACCAGCCAGTCATACGATTATTATTATTATAGGAACAAGCCAATATTGTTGTGATGGCTTTTGCTTTTGTTACGGAAGCAGCTGTATGTCTCAGATCGTCCCGCGCTTCTTAGCCTCATTAGGAATACGGAATCAAAGCGTGGTAACTCGCGATCTCGATGAACAGCATACATATCACTACTACTAGGTAGCTTCCGTACCTAAATTATTAATAGTACCAACGAGCTGTCCATCTCCTCTTGTTACTAAGAAGAAGGCCTTCTAAGACGCCTCGGGCGGCATTCATGCCTTCCGTAATATCAAATATTCCCTAGACAAAAAACCAGCTACTAAGATATTAGGACTTCATTTCTTGTCTAAGGTGCGAGGACCACTGGAATGAGAGAACCAAAAATAAAAGAAAATATTGAAGCATATTATCTATTTCCAGCTGATAGACTTTATCAATCATCTAACATAAGTGGGAATGTTATATATTTTAAATTTTCATTTTCACAGGAATATATATCGATATTTTCAAAATATATACGGTAGTTGTAGCGTTGTGCCCCTTTTTATCGGGGAGAGAGGCGTGCCACGAGCGATTGCAGCGGTGACTTCTAGGTCATACATCGGCTTCGCTAATCTAAAGCAAACGAGAGGAGAGGGCCGTAGGTAACCAATCCTTGGTCAAAAGAAAGTTGGGTGAGACCAGTGACAAGTCCCAGCTATTCTTTCTGAACGCCTCATTCGAATTTCCTGCATGAAAATCATGAACCGACAAGAGGGGCCCCCTTACTCTTTAGGTTTTTCTTTTTGGGTTTTTGACACATATCCAGAAACGCGTAACCCTCACGCACTTTTAGTTAAACAGAGCACCCCTTCATCATAAACAAAATACGATCCTAATAGCTGTGTCTTTTCACTGCTGTAGCCTTGGATGTTGGCAACCCATAATAGACTTTTCCAGTAGCATCAGTTCTTTGAATCCCTCTTTCCACGATTTGGTTTGTTCTGGGGTCGGTTTTGGGAGCGGGCTTCGTGCGAAACCGCCGTAACCTGACCACGCTTGGAGTCCCGCCTTAACACTCAGGACGCCGCCTTGGATGGCCGTCCAATCGCCCCGTGATACGATCTCCTGGATTTTCTGGGCCTCGGAGTATTTGCCTGCTTTATATAATTCGATAGTCTTAATACAAGCCTTCGGTGCGATGTTTGCGAGACCTGCTAATACGCCGTGTCCTCCCGCGATTAAGGACTGGATCGAGAAGTCGGCAGAGCCCGCCAGGACTAGGAATTCGGGTTTGTCTGGGTCGTAGTGCTTAGATTGTGACCGTGTGGCAGCTACTACACGGTTCAATTTGCCCGTATTGCCGCACGTCAGCTTGACGCCGACAATCTTGGGATGCTGTGCCAGCTTAATGATTACGTCAGATGATAAGTCCAAGCCATTTACGGCGCCTGGAAAGTTGTATATGATCAGGGGTATCGGAGACGCATCAGCAACAGTTGTAAAGTACTGCTCAATGGTCTTAGATGACGGGGCAAACAAAGGCGCGTAGTACGATGGGGGCAACACAAGGGCATAATCACCCCCTGCTTCCCATGCCTCGCGACAGTACTGAATAGTCTCACGAGTGCTCTGAGCGCCGCAGCCGACAATAACTGGAATGTGCGAGAATCCAGCTTCGTTTAATGCCTTGCGTGTAGCGAGAGTGACTAGCTGACGCTCAGCATGTGTGAGGTGAACAGCTTCACCGTTAGAGCCTTGAGTGGCAAGGCCCGTCACGCCAGCTTCGGCAAGTCGTACCGCATGGCGAGCGATGGTATTGATGTCAACGTCTTCGGTTTCCGGGTCGAAAAAACAAAGGGTTGGTACATAAACGCCTGGTACCAGTGGCCGTGTTATATGGAAATCTTCATCTAACAACTCGCTTTCAGAGAAGCTACTAAACGAGGAGTGTGACTCGGCAAGTGCTGGAGAGTCTCTCACTGCGTCTGAAGATGTAGCACGTCGAAAGGGGATCCCGTCGAAGCCAACCGTGAAGCTTCCACTGGGAGATGGTGCGTCAAGATGGGGTGCCATGGCCAATGATAAGGGGACACTATAGTGGCAGTGATATGGCTTCGAGAGTAGATTTTGTAATAAAAAAGTGGTAATCAATATTGTGCTAGGAGTCTTATAAAACAAAACAGCGGGGGGTAATGTGGTATATATAGGTTAAAGTGAGATATAGCTATTTCTTAATAGTAGCGTCGATCGGAGGAATAAAAGGTAGTAGCTCGAACAGAAGAGGATGAAAGTAAAAGAGACAGGCATATAAACAACATTCCATTTCTATAACACAAAGGGAAAAATGCACATTGCCATAGAAGTCTAGAATGCATGCCCTCCTGTATTCCTTGCTCGGATTTTCCCTGCCAGTGGTGTTCAAGACGACACTTCAGGTCAACCATCTCAAGATATTGCAGCTGGAAAGCCGTGGGCAGTGCAGGGGAAGATCTGCATCGCCCGCATATCTGGAGTTGCGAATGCAAGGGTCCTCAAAATGTTTTCGTATCGCGCGCGAAAGCTAACATTCAGTTAGACGTATGGTGACTAAAAGATTTGTTATACATTAAACAATATTATAGCCATCCAGAGAGCCTGGAGCTATATGTACCTCATAGTGACTTGTAGGTCGTATTGGAGTGTAGGTGCTCATCAGGTACTAGAGTCTAGCAGGCCGGATTATGGATTTGAATGTGGGGGGGAAGCTCGAGGTCTGTAGTGTATATTGATGAGCCCCCCCCAAAATACTCCGTCAGCTAGTCAACCACTCACGGTCTCTATATTTGGACGATGACATTGGTGATACGGCTTCTATAGAGCCCAGCCGATTCGGCCTTTGGGATTGGCCAATGGAGAGGGACACATCCATTTTGGAGCTAGGGTCAGCCAGCACACTGGAACCAATAGAGAAAGCCATGCAGAACCTACCTAAGCATGTCAGGAGGAGGCCTAGGCATAGACTAGGGAATTGGACGGAAGAAGACCGCGGGTCTAATCACCAAAAGCCGTCAAAGGGCAGATCCATTTGCCATATTCGTGAAGGTACATTCATCTGTTCGGTGATTGCACAAAGACCATCAGCTTGGGCATCGTCGTCATTCAGAGCCTGGTGACATCTTGATCGAGCAGGGGTTTGCGGCAACCCGGTTGGGTGCTGGTCAAAATTCAACAACTTCAGGTTTCTCAAAGGAGGAGTAGAAGGAGCCGACGCGGAAAAGATGGCCGTGTTGTCACAAGTCCGAAGACGGGCCAAGGCCAAGAACGGCCATGTGATGAGGGATACGGACTATCGTTTATGACGAAAGACGACTAGCAGATAAACGTCTCATCAGGCGGCTGAAGGCAATGTGGCAAAGCGGCATGCGAGGCGCGAATAAAAGCTACGTACGACTCGTGGAAGTAGTCTACTCGTTCTTCCGGGATGGACGGTGTGATTGTGGCTTTCAGGATTGATAGCCGGGCGGCTGCAGTGTCACTCTTATCGAAAAACTGTTAAAAGTTGCGAATGACCTCTATGCAGCTTCGTCGGACAATAAGTTGTTGCTGCAAATCAACCCATGATAGTCATAATAGCGGTGAATGGGTACTGCACGGTAGTTCGAATTCCTCGTGCCGATTACCAATTACTGATTCCCTCAAACTGACAGCAGAGGGATTTTAGACCGAAATTTGATACAGTCATCTCCGGAACGACTGGGACCAGTACGGCGAAGAGAGTAACCTAGGCAATAATGTGGCGACCCGATGAATGACTTATTGGGCCAAGAGCTAGGAGGTCGTACCGTAGTAGTAATCTGCCATAACGAAGCTTGTTGAATGCGGGAAACACATCGCTATCCAAGTTTGGGAAAGACCTCCAAGGTTGCGACGGGTGAGTGATGTCTTAGGCTCAAACAGCAGTACAGCAGTAATCATTGGCGGCTGGTTTTGTCCTTCCTCTAAGGCACCGTAACGCTAGGTTAAAGTGTATCGGTAGCGAATAGCGAATAGCGAAACCAGGCATTTGTTACTACTCGGCAAGTGAATAGGAAGGGGATCGGCATCATGTCGCCTATCCAAGGAGTGAAGGGAAGGTGACATATTCGGATAATCAAAGTATTACAGCATTATAATCATTTTCATCATTGTCGTCATAATGATCGTAGACAATATTCCTAGGTATTGAGGTGAACAAGCCGCTCGATGCTAGGAACCGTGCGTTTTGGTTGGTGCCCGTTTGGTGTTGAATGATGTGCATTGGCGCGGAACGTTGAAAGTTGAAAGTTGGGGGATTGGGGGTTTAGTTTGGGGGGGAGGGGCTATTCAGGTAGTACTTGGTATATTTGCTTAGTAACAATATTAAACGCCGTACCTACCTTCTGAACAAGACGAGACTAATGTATTGTAACTGCCATCCTTTCTTACATACAGCCGTTCCTACCTCATATAGACTTAAGTGTAGGTATGTATATACAATTAAGATCTAAACGATAATGTTAGCGACTTCCATCATCTACTATGTACATACGTCAAGTACCTATACTGCTACAGTATAAACTTTCTAATGTGGGGGTGGGGAACTCCACCAATGTTGTTACCCATTCATTATGCTGTCTTGCCCCTCTCTTTAACACTTCATTTTAATATTCTGCTTATTCCCCAATGCGGGGTCATGTCAACTCGCAACTCGTCCTCAATCTTTAGACTTATCTCCTCAATACACCACATACATCATACATCATACGTATTACACGCGCCCATCTCCTATAACGATCTACTCGACCCTAACAGATGGTTGGCTGCCTCACGCTGTCCAGTTATCCAGTCATGTGCTCGAACGTAAAACTTATTTTCGGCGGCTGATGAGGTTGAAGGAATCGCTTTAATCCTCGCTACCAGGTTATCACTCCCGCTGCAACCTGCATCACCCATCCGTAGCACAACCTGGTCTACATACATACACATGTACCTACTATGCACTATGTACGCGCCGTATGAGAATGGTGACTTGTAGGACGAACATTTCCCAACCTAGCCGTAAATGGGCTCCAAGAAGTTGGCAGCTTCAAAAGTGGCAGAGTAGTAATGTCAGAGAATCGTCTTTCCCTTCCTCTTTTTTCTGCAGCGTGTCATTTTTGTGAAGTACTGAGCACGGACCTTGTGATATTGGCTAATTGGGAGCAGCCAGAGTTGCATCTCGTAGAGGCAAGTTGAAGAACACATTCCACTTTGAGCTTGGCTTCAACTGCATAAGACGGAGACATTATCACAGCCCACTACGTAAAAATAATTTCCCCTGACCAGGCCGATGGAGCTCATGCTGGAATAGTGACAAGTCTTTACGAGGGTTGACTGTAGCCTGCCTCTTATATCATACCCTTTCATTGCCGTGCCGAGACCCGTGAGAGTTAGCAGTTAGCTATCGAGAATCATATCATCAGTATATCGTAGCCTGCCTTTAATATGCTTCTGACTAGCTTTGCACGCCAATTGGTTAGATAGTCGTACGAAGTACGCGTCGTCTTAATACGCATCCAAAAGCGGACGATTTAGTAGCCCAACCAGGAAGGAAAATATACAAAAGCGTCTTCTTTTATCTCCTTGTGCTGATCGCGTGAGAAATATGAATGACAAGCTTCGAATCTGATAGGAACCCTCGCTTTGCGTCTAGAACGCCCCAACACCCCGAAACCGGGGATGGCAGCTAGATGTACCCCATAGTATCTATACCTCTTATGCACAACCCAGTTTCCGACAGATTGGTTCCAACAATAAAAAGCAAAATTATCCAGCCACTTTTCTAGGGGGTACTGCTTGGAAAGTGTGGGAGTAGAATGTAGGACACGGCTTTGCATATCCCCATGTATATGTTACATTGTCGGCTTATCAAACGGAACTTCCCCTCGTAGTCATTGGAAGATAGGTTAGGTACGTATACCTTACGTGTGAGTTATTATATTCTTTAATTCCAGGGTTACACACTCTTATCCAGTGTCTTGATTGCTGGCGTTGAGCTCTTAGTCTACAATATACAATCCCTTTATTCCTCAAGCTATACGTAAGACTCATCTAAGCTGAGTGATCAACAAATCGTAGAGAATAGCAATGTATCTGCGTTCTCTCCCATTATTCGAAGCTTGAATAATATGACTTGAATTGATCTAGCATATGTGGCGTGGGTCTTCCAATCCAGTTTCCGGTTGCTCGATTAGATCGTCTTCTTCGCCTAGTCAAATGTAACGTTAGGTAGACAGGGTATTGCAATATATTACTGCCTATAACTACTCGTAGTATACTCCCAGTTCCTAAAAAGCCCGCCATAACTACATGCGCAGTGGCCATATGCGTATAGGCAGAATAGCTCGAGCCCAATACATATTCGTCGTAGAATCCTGCGAGCATGCCCAACGTCTAATTTCAACCGCATAGTCGCCAAGCTCCTTCAAGTGTGCAGTTTCCTGGTCACATGGGCCCCAAGACGAACCAATCCTCCAAGGGGACGTATATGTACGGTACCTCTAGCATAGTAGATCCTCGTTGACCAACCGATGATAAAATGCCTGCTTCGCCACGTGGGTGCAACACACATTGAGCATGACGTACTGAGTAATGGATGGCGTGGTGCTGCCCTGCATATGCAACTCCTATGGTTGATTGCTTGTAAGCTACGTCTTGGGGGCCATCAGATGCAGCATCCCACCTCGGTCCATATGTCACCCTCAACAAGTTTCTTGGCTCCGGACTGTAGTCAGACGATATTCGGCTCAGATAAACTATCTACTTAAACTCTTACGCGATGGCAGGCTCGGATATGCCCAACCGTGATCTAAAAGAGGGGGAAGTGTTGGGCGAGGTGTTTGTAAAGTATATTCCATTACAAATTATTTCTCAATCTCGCCCTTCCAATGAGAGCCATGTCTGGGTTAATTAGATAGCCTCAATAGCCGGGCAGGTATATGATCAAAAAGGAGCTTTTTGCGTCATTTTAGAGCTCACATCTGAGTGAGTTCGTAAATAAGTGAACAGTAAGCGTTATAATAAGTTGTGTGAGTTTATAATGTTAACTAATCTCGATCGAGGATATATTGAAAGCTCCGCTCACGTAGATACCTATTGTCAGGATTCTAGATGAGATATTTGGAATGAATGACATGTTCAGTATTTGTAGACGTAGAATCTCGTAGGTCAGAGTTCCCTGGCGGAATAGCGAAGTTGTTTCCATGCTGTTTGGTTCCACCTCTTGACACCTACCTCATTCATTATACTTGCGATTTCGTGTAGTCCAGCATCAAATTTCCAGAAAAGTTTAGATAGTTTTCTCATTAATAAGTTGTGCTACTACTTGTAGATCTTAAAAAGGTTTTAATAACTGAGATGAGACACTCAAAATATATTCTAAGTTTTTATCAAGCCTTAACTCATATTACAGTTAACTTAGTAGCCATGAGGACTAAACGGTATCCCTATATTACTATATCCTTCTGATAAGTTTAGTGCTTAGTAATTACTGAATCTGTTAAATTTACTGAATTATCAATATAAGTCCCACGGGTCTACTAATTTGACTGAGTATATTATCTAATCCTATTGGGACAGTTTTCTCTTAGTATAAGGTAACCATTGCAATTGTATCTGTAGGATATTAAGACAATATTTGGCCAACTCTTATGATATCTTGAACTAATAACATAAGACAAGTCTAGCCTAGGGCTTCTTTAGTGTTCGATATTCTCTATACTCTTTAATCTAAAAAAATAACCATCACTATTAGGATCTTGGATGAGATATCTATTATATAGGATAGGTACTTTCAATATTTATAGCTACAGGCTCTCATAGTTGCCTAAGTTTGGTGTCCCATACGGAGCAACGAAGCTTTATCCATGCCTTTAGACCCCAGTTCGTAACACTCACTATGAGAGGCCTTTTAACTTGGATATCCTTAACTTTAAATCTTAAAAGTACTAACTAGGCTTTTACGGTAGAGAATTAAACTAAGGTACAAATAGGAATCGTAATTATAATCTAGTCTTAATTTTAAGAGAAAAGCATGTTATATCTCGACTAAGCTCAACTAGGGTTAATTTCATTAAATTAAATAAGGAAACTAGGGAACTAGGCAATAATCTAACTAAACAGCAAGATGATATCTAATAACTAGCCGATTATTTAAAGCTTATAAGGATGGAAGTAAGAAATAAAAGTACAACCTTAACGCACGAATGATTATGGGTTTATCCGAGACTAGGCTGTTGATATAATGAAAAGCCTTTTCCTTATATGTCACAGTAGGAATAGGACCTCCTTATTCTCATTATGAATGAATATAGTAATGTTTTTAGCATTTTAGGCTATCTCATATTTGCTATCTCACACATGTATCTTGTTTTATGATTCGCGTTGATCTAATAAATACTTCATAATTTATCCTGACTGCCAGCTCATCTGTGACATTGTAGCCAACAGGCCTTAACAGCAAACCTCGTATGATAATAACCAATTAAAGTGAACTAGAAGAGTATGAACTTCATTATAACATTAGCTATGAGAAGAGTTTAAGACTTTTAAAAGTAATTAAATATTTTTACCTACCTTTTAATACATATGGGCTCTCAACGAGTAGGAGCTAGTTATCTCATAATCAGCGAATAACTTCTTACTCTTCTAGACTTTAAAAGACTTGCCACCTTACACTAATAGCTATTTTATAATGCCGTGTTCCCTTTCGTCTGCTAAGAGGTAGCCAGCGTTAAGTCTAGTCTACGGACTCTTACGAACTACGCTTAAGCGAACGTGAAACGTCTAAGATGCGCTTTTGTTGAGACTTATAATTTATTTTACTCTTTCGTATCTAACGTTACTTACAAACCTGCCATCATAGTTGGTAATTAAACTAGGCATTATAAGAAGCGTATAAGTCCAACTGTGGTTGATTCGTAGCTTGACCTATATAGATGCGGAGTGCGGTGTTTGCGTTGAAACCCAACCGTCACGTCAGTGGATATAAGCGGACATATATCAATGGCCCTGGCTCCGCCTGCAGCTCCATTAACCAACCCACTTTTCTGCCATTTTCTACCATTTTCTGCCCTTAAATACATACCTAAGGTCACGTTCTGGCTTCCTTCTGAAAGCTTCCACCGAGACCGTTCGGCTCGACTGAGACTGGATGAGCTCACCTGGCCAAATATATCGTACTAGCATCAATACACATGACGATGACTTTGGGAACGAACCCCTCACATTGTCTTATCTGTGTAACATTGTTATTAGAGAGTGCCAATTGGTTGTCTTAGTTCTCTACTTCTGGAAGGTAAATAAATCAGAGACAACCAATTTATTGTCGTTAGTTGGTTATTCCCTTGTTAAAGATAGGCGCGTGAGAGAGGTAGTGTGCGCAGTAGAATAGCTAGCAACGAGGAAGACGGGCACATTTCACGGGGGCGGAAGGACAGTTCTCTCCGAGGGCTGGGTGGCGGACTCCTAAGTAGGCAAGCTTCGAAGAAAGCTCCGTTGCCGGCGCCTCCGGTTGTGCCCAACTATCCTTGCTCGGTCGTCGAATTTGTCGTTAAAATTTTGAAGTATTTACTCGGGTAGTTTGAAGATCGAAATAAGACAAACTCTTAGTATCGTATAACTAGTATCGTATAGTATCGTAGAGAGGGAGACAGATCTCTTTTACAAAGTAAAAATCGATGACGCTTGATTCCAGATAGACGACTTAAATACCATCGTCGTAAGCGCCGTTAATATGGACATATACATATTTAATTGATATGGGGCGTTAATGCAATGCCTGAAAGGGCGGTCTGGAAATCCGGAGGGGGCCAGGGGCTATGTGATATGTATATATCCGCACATGGCCATAGCGTCGGACCCAAGCCGTCATCCACTATTTCGTCCTTAAAAACGTGACCAGCCGCGATCGATTCGCGTCTTCATAGTGGGCCGACGAAAAAGGGAAATAAAAGGCTTGCTTGCATACAACACGATAAAAGCAGTTTTAAGGTTGGAAAAAAGAGCTGAAACCGAAATCGAAATTTGCGACTAACGCAAGACCCTCGCGATGGCTTCGCTAAACACGATTCCATCCAAGAGGACGTTGGTGCTGTCGATCGCGCCGGTTCTGGTATCCGCATATCTCATATATAGATTTTCACCCCCGGGCTTCCTCACATCCCGGAGAAAATCGAATTCAGGTGAACGGCCCGGACCACCACCAAGAATTACAAGAGGTGGAGAATGGATGGACGAAAGCGATGAAGTGAACGTTAGCTCCGAAGAAGAAGATGAAGACGAGGTATGTACCTATTTATCCTCTCTCTATATGGAAGTAGCTTTACTTAAATCTCTTAATAGACTCCCGATGACAGCTCAGACCTCCGTCCTCCTTATGATTATTACTGCATGTTCCGTCCCTTCTTTGACATTCAAAATGAGAATGAGGACAAGGATGAGGACGACCAGCTTGACGACGATGACCTGCTTGAAAAATACAACCAGGAAATCCGAGCTGAAGATAACATTGAGATGAAGCCAGCCACCGAATATCCAGATCATCGGTGGATCGCCATGTGGGAGACCTGGAAGCTGTTTTCCGCATGGGAAAGGCGGGCATCGTACACCAACCCCGACTTTTTCAAGATGCATATTCACAAGCACTTCCACGGCCAGGGCATGCAGGAAATGATTGAGAATATGGTAAGGGGCTAGCATCCCTCACGTCGGGCTCGTTATTGGAATAGGCTAACTGACTATCGTTAGCTCATTGCCTTCGACAAAGAATTTACGCGGAAGAAGCGTAGCAAGAGAGCCCTGAAGCAAATGTGGGCGATTGTAGCCGCCATGATGCAGTGGCTCTTGGAAATCCCCCTCCATGGGTGGATAGGTTAGTTCGAGAAATCCGAGAAGAGCATATCGTGACCAACTAACTGATCATTCGCGTAAATAGCCACGGGCGACGTGCAGAGGATAAATACCACCGTTAACCTCGTTGGCCGTGCTCTGCTCACAGTGCTCAACGAGCTTGACCGGGCCAAGATGCTCAAGGCCGATTCCGAGATTAAAGACCTAGGGCTGATCATGACATTCTATCTTTACTGGGTTGAAGACCTAGAGATCCCGGATCTCGAGCTGCCGTACCGTAAGGAAGTCGTCGGCTACGCGAAGAAAGCCGGTATCGATCTTAGCTTGGCCGGATGCTACGGCACGGATGAGAAAGTTAAGGCGCTAGAAAGGGCGGCCGGGGGCAAGATCAAGCCGATTTCTGGCACGCCGAAGAGCGACAGGTGGGATTGGAAGAAGAAGGTAAACCCCCCCCCCCCCCCCCCTCCCTCTGGGACCCCCTAGTAATGTAAAAGGTACCCAGGTAGTCTTGCTAATACGCGCTCGTCTTATAGTTCAAGAAGTTCTCCAAGGAGTACAGGATCGGCGGTGAAAGATTCAACATCTTAAAGATGTCGCGGGACGAACGCGCCGGCTACGCGTTCGACAAGAAGGATCCGCTTGCCGACATTTCAGACAAAGCTCTGCAAGAGGGCAACGTCAGGGTGAGGCCTAAAAGAGGCGCCACATCTCACTAGATGATGAGATTTTTTCGGGTTCTAAGGGAGGGTCTCGTGCTGTTTTCTCGACGAAAAAAAAAGATGACTTATCCCCGTAAGCTCGAGTTCCATGTATCGTCTCGTTCAAAGACGGAGACCGCGGGGGCTGTAACTAACTAGTGGAATCTCGGATTGGCCCTTTGTGGAATTACCGAGGTGTAGAGATTATATATGCCATTCGCCTCTTGTTCTTACGAGATACGATTTGTACATAGGGACAACGAATTGAAGTAGCTTACTGCTTCACCTGATGCTTTTTGAAATGTGATGACGGCTCGCAGGCTTGAGTGATCACCAACTGACCCAGCAGCCAACACGTACAATCACGACACTCGGACCAATTCCGAAGCATCTCGATACTTGGCAACCATCACCTGCATCGTCTCCAGAATACCTTCTTTCCCACACCGTAGATTGCGTGCTCATACAGGGGGACCATGGTCCGATTTCCCTAATCCCTGCCTGTGGAAACCCAGGGTATCGTCCAACCAGGTACCGAGATAGCCACGACGGCTTTCTGAATGCGGTATTCGAATTGAATACCTAAAGCGTTAGACCAGGCTCTCGTAATATGTACATGCACTGACCCTGCTGGCCGTACATACATACACCGCAAAGCCTTAAGGTTGGCCAATCAGACGCTGTCCCAAGATGCTGGGTCTGCATTGGGGACTGTAGGTATTTTATCGTTAATGGATATGAAGTGGCATGCCAAGTGCTTGTCGCTTGCAAACCAGTCAAATGTGATATAAGGGCACCATCCGACACTGCTCAACAGACGGGATTTACATACTAAATCACATTATCGGTTACCGCACGCACATCGCATACTTATTAAACGGATTACCACATCACAGGACTTGCTTCTTGCTTATTTCCATTGGGAACCTGTTGGTTCTTCTATCTTCTAGCGACCGCGATTACGCAGCGAAGCTGCTAGCTCGTTCGACTGATCTTTCTTTAGCGTACACTATCTACACATGTAAAGGGTTGCTGGGATATGATGTAGATAGAATCACATAGGGATAGACGTGGAATGGAAGAGACGCCGTACTCTACGTAATAACGAGAGCTGATTATAGCTTGGGAAATATCGATCGGCCATGAATTTATCTCTCTTGATAGGCTACCTTTAGTACCTAAGTAACCCGTCTTCCCAAAACCCCGGGTACACGACATAGAAAGGCGTTTGCGTAAATCCCCAGCCATTACACATTTGCAAACGGACACGGTATTAGGTGAGAGGTAGGTTAAGAACCAGCCCAAGGCTAAAGAGACCTCATTGGTCTCTATGAATTCCAACTTGCCTAACTAATAGTATTGATAAGTCTGCTGATATTACTAACGGGTACCTAGGTAGGTAACTTGTTAGGAATTCGAATATATCGTAGCTGCACTTTATATACCGCCTTCGGTGAACTGGAAATGTCAATGTGACTCGGAATAATATAAACTTTCAACCAACATCCGCTCGAAAGGCGATATCGCTCTTTTGATTTGCTCGCGAGAAATATTACCCGTATTATGTGAGAGTATAGTCGAGAAACCGAATTGCTGTTTGTGCAACCCAAGAGCCAAAAGCCCGCATACAAGTAGCTACCTAACCTAGGATGTTCAATGTTATTTGGTGGAGATGTTACTTGAAAGAGAAAAGTATCAGGACACTCGAAATACTATGGCAAAATACAGTTGAAAATATATCTCGTGATTTTGGGTTCGGGATGATGTTTAGACCCAGAAGTTCCACATAAATGATTCTAGCAAACTGATAACCTCTGTATCTTGGGGGGTTTGATCATGTATTGTGAAGAGCCTATATAAACCCCAGTTTAGCAAAGGTATCGATCAAGTTTGAGAGATATTTATATGCAAGTTAACTTCCTCGGGGAAGACTGGGCAGCATGAAATACTTCACGTCAGCTACTCGTAGCCTACTACGCGCCCGAGTGTCTGTAACAATCTGGATGCTCGGAGCATTCTTCCTTGGGACGCAGGCTGTCTACGCTCACACTGAAGCGTTTGAACCTCTAGAGTCGACAATTGAGAGCGTACGGACTGCGCTCGTCACGAAGTCGGCTACTTGCCGTACTGTGGTGTCTTCTTTCCTTTCCCGTATTGAGAAATTTAATCCGAATATCAATGCGATCGTTAGTCTTAACCCTGATGCTCTCTTCGCAGCAGATGAGTTAGACAAGAAACTTGCCGCCGGCGACCTAGCAGGCAAGCTCCTCTGTGTTCCTGTCTTGCTGAAGGACAACTATGACGCTATAGGCACGAACACGACAGGGTCATGTGCTGGTTTGGCTGGTAACCGCCCCATCGTCGATACCCCTTCCGTCAAGGCACTTAAAAAAGAAGGCGCTGTGATTCTAGGTAAAACGAATTTGCATGAAAGTACGTGTCCCCTAGATTCCAAACAAAACATATGAATTTATGTATTGTAACTATGCTGACCGAGACTGGAATAGTGGCGCTGGAGGGCCTCACAGTGTCCTCTCTAGGAGGACAGACGGTAAACCCATACGATCAAACCCGGACTCCGGGAGGTAGTAGTGGTGGCACCGGTGCTGCAATTGCAACTAGTTTCGCAGTCTTTGGCACAGGTACGGATGCTGTCAACAGTCTCCGTAGTCCGGCAAGCGCGAATGATCTCGTCAGCGTGCGTCCAACTCGGGGGCTTATATCGAGAACGGGTATAATGCCCGTCAGCTTCACACAGGATACTATTGGGCCAATCGCAAGAAGTATCCGAGACCTTGCGGTTGCACTAACCGTAATGGCGAGCGTCGGTGCTGACGAAGCTGACAACGCCACTCTTCTTGTTCCACCGGAGGCCAGAGGAATAGATTATACACGAGGTTTAGACGACGGAAGTCTCAATGGGCTTAGAATTGGGTTGTTGGATGGATTCTGGAACCACACGGTATCAGATGAGACGACTCCGGTAATCGACGCCTTGGAAAGCACCATCGACTTCCTCAAATCAGAGGGTGTCGAAATCATCAATGTGACAGAATCAATCTACAACGCATCATCACTAGCCGATTTAGATGTCCAGCAATACGAATTCAAAGAATCACTAAATAATTACCTGTCTAGTCCGAGCCTTACCGGGGATAGACCGACTACTTGGGACGAGGTATATGAGAGTGGAAATTTTCTGGTTATTCCTGCTCAATACAGCTTCATAAACAACTCCAGGATTGGGTCGCCAACTGATCCGGGATATACAACGGCTAAGCAAGGGATAGATGACCTCAAAGCTGCAGTTAATAAAACATTCATCAGCAATAAGCTCGATGCTGTCATCTACCCGGAGCAGAAGAATCTCGTAGTCAAAATCGGCTCGCCGTCCCAGGCTGGACGTAATGGTATTCTTGCTGCATTGACCGGCGTCCCCGTGGTCGCTGTTCCGGTCGGATTCTCGCAACCATCTCTGGATGCGCCGATCGGTGTTCCCATCGGAATGGAGATATTAGGCCTTCCGTTCAGCGAGGAGAAGCTGCTTAACATTGCTAATCACTTTACTTGCCTTCGACCATTGCGCAAGACGCCAGCGTTCGCAAACGATACCGTCCCGACGAATCCTTATGTTTCGGTACCGAAGGTGCACCCAGATATCTCTAATATTCCTCCAGCATACCCTCTCGGTGTCCTTCATTAGTATAGTAGGTTAGGGAAGTGTAAAGGTTGAGATATATGTATTGAGGCTGATAAAGATGTTGGAGGGTTGCATGCGGCTAATTTGATCCGCCGACGTTCATGCGGGCAAGGCAGTTGAATGCAAGAAAGGTCTGATTATGGAACCTTCTCGAACTGCCTTGACATAATAAATATATGTACATACATGTGTATATGTAGGTAAATGAATGATCTTCCCGATGCTTCACCGTTTTGTGCCAAGGCCGGATTGTGACAGGTTAGACCATGTTGACGAGGGAAGTAGATCTCGATCCCCTTAAAAATGCCTCGCGTCCTTGGGCCTTCTAGTATGTAATTTAGCAGCTGAGCAGCTGTGCAGCTGTGTCGTCCAGCCGAACGTAGGTAGTTTTGGGTATGGTTCCCGGGATTCTGACAGCAAGCCACAGCGGGGGCTATAGGAGCCCTGAATGCTGCAAGTATCGTAGAAATACGTTGGTGATCTGATCCAGTGCGCAAAACATCTCTGTCTCATGAACGTTGTCCCATTTAGCCACGAAGTCACGAAGTCACGAAGCCACGGAAACTCGCGTTCCTTTGTTTCGTTATTCGGCTATTTTATGGTCTCACCAAGTTTCAAGTCCATTTATTCCTGCTAGCATGATCATGTTGTTACTAGACAACTAGAGTCATCGCTATAAACAGATTCTTCAAAACATCGGAACGGCAGGACGCGACGCCAACATTGCGATGTTGGCGAGTTAACAACCCGACAACTTCTAAGTGATCGACGCTGTTATTAGACAGCCAAAGAGGGTTCTCGATCATCCAATACTTATTGTTGATTGACAGTGGAGGGAATTGAAACGAAAGACAGGTATCGAACATCTAAGTTTCCGAGTTCTACTCAACAGTATTTTGAGGCTTGCGAATTTAACGTCCGAGGTTACACCGTCTTGCCACGAGAAGAACTATAATACTCGAGTTATTATAGTATCATTCATTCTCATCTATAATTCGCCCCTTTTCCAATATCGCCTCCGGACGATGTGCAAGGAGCTATATCAGCGCTGGTACGGCTGCTCCTGTTGGGGATTCATACAGCCTAAGACATGTGCTGAATTGTTCAAGAGATGCTTAGGACCTAGAGGTGAGGTGGACAAAGTTGTCATCAAATGGAATGAGGGGATGTGTAATGAATGCTGGGATAGGCTCCTTCAAGAAGCGAGAGAGATGGCCGAGGCCGAAGACGCAGCTGAAGCACTAGCTATAGCTTCTACTTCTGCTTCTTCAACAAGTCGTTCCGCTGGTAGTTAAGGGTAGCAAACAAGTAGACTTAGGAATTAAAGATAGGTAGCTAGCACCTGGGAACGCGCAGAACTTGATGCGAGACTTTGTAGAAGTCCCTAACGAATATATGATAAAAGGTATTGCTGCGTTATAGCCTCTTCAACTGTGAATAAAGCCTCTTGAGATAAAGCAAACGAAGAGTAGGAGGTAAATACCATATAACTAAGCTAAATCGAACTAAATGTAACCTGCAATAGTGTTACATTTAGGTACCCCAAGATGTATGCCGTGGATATCAATCTGCAGAAAGCGACAAGTGATGATATGTATGTAAAGTAGGTAGAAAGAGGTACCTAGGTAACCTATTATAATTTATAGTTCCCATTAAACGCGAAACCATAAAGTCACGTGCTTTCGAGATTGGCACATCGCATTCCTGCCCCTCGATCGCGGATGCAACTAAATGCCGAACACTTACGTTAAGCTCAGGCACTTTTCTGCCTATGTAAAGCATTTGTAAGGGGATTAACTTGCAATGGCACCATGCATCCCCAACTATTATTATATTTGTTGCTGCCGATATAACGCTCACGTTTAACATCCATTTAATTCGCTACTTTAGGTAATATATCATAATTTATGATTCTATTCTGATCTGATGGCCGGAAGGAAGCGTGCAGCATCTAGAAATCATGCGACGAACACGACGACGGCCTCTGGGTCCGCCCGACAGACGAGGTCCAGTGCGAGGCGCTCTAATGTTCCGGATATATATCGCCAAATGCTTGTCGAAGCCGATGTCCAGCCTGATGCGCCCTTACCTGAGCGGCCATTAAAAAGGCGGCGACCCGGCCAGAAAAATGAAGAACCACCCAAGAAACCGAATCCCCCGGAGATAACGCCGAAGATTGAGGATGTAGACGATGAAGAGGGTATACAGTTTGAGGATGTGCCCTTACCAGCCGCAACCATTCAGACGGTATATAGAGATTCGGATGAAGAAGAAGAAGAAGAAGAAGATGACGATGATATACAATTTGAAGATGTCGATTTCTCGGTACCTCCGAACTTAAATAATACCGAAGGTGCTAAAGATGCCAATAAGGATTTGGTTCTTGACTTCTCGACGCAGACAGCTAGAGGCGCCCAGAAGACTGTTGATCGGCGAAAGCCGATTAGCAGGGCAGAAAAAGATCGTCGAATTGAAATACATAAGACGCATCTGCTCTGCCTCTTAGCCCATGTCGCTCGTAGAAATCGGTGGTGCAATGATGCTATCGTTCAGGACACGCTACGAACACACCTGACCAAGAAAATGGTCAAATATCTCAACCCAGGGACCCAGCTTACTCAATTCGGACGGGCACAATCCCTTAAGGATGGTCTGGAGCAAGTGGGAACCATGTATAAAACAAAATTTCAGATCACCGAGCGAGGACTTCGCCGGGCGCTTTGGGCTGAGAATGAAGAGCATCTTAAAGGCGTACGCCCACCTGATTTCTATTATTATGGAGAGTAGACTAATTCATCTTCATAGTACAAGCTCCCAGACGATGTAGAATCATCTAGAGAAAAGCCAGATTTCCGAGAAGCGGCAAAATCTCTCCGTGGCTCGCGTGATGTCGGCGCACAATTGTATTGTGCACTTCTCCGCAGCGCTGGGGTTGAAGCCAGGCTCGTGTGTTCCCTTCAACCTCTTGCTTTTTCTTCCGGAGGCCCTCCTTTAGGAAAACCGCCAAAACCGGAAGGAAAGCTATCCATCGCAGCGCGATATGCACAGATGCAACAGAATGCTGCAAATAATAATGATAATAATAATACGGCCAATTCACCAGATGAGGTCGTTTGCCCAATCCGCAGGCGGTTAGGGCATCCGAACGCTATGGCTTTCCAGGTTCCTACAGTTCATACTGCTAGTTCATCTCGCGAAGCTCCTCCTGTGCCTAAAAAGATCCGGGAATCACGCCATCCTGTCTATTGGGTTGAAGTTCTAGACGAAGCCCACCAGAAATGGCAGCCCGTCGACCCATTAGTGACAGACTCGTTCTGGAAACCTCAGAAAATGGAACCCCCAGCTTCTGACCGAGAAAATTGTATGACCTATGTTGTTGCCTTTGAAGCTGATGGCACGGCAAAAGATGTAACTCGCCGCTATGCGAAAGCGTTCAACGCGAAAACAAGAAAGATGCGAATCGAAAGCGCAGAGGCTACTGGTGAAAGGTGGTGGCGGAAAGTTCTTAGGGCTTTTTCCCGCGGGTTCACTTCAGACTTAGATCAGATTGAGAATAACGAATTGACAGCCGCTGAGTTACGGGAGCCGATGCCCCGTAACATTGCTGACTTTAAGGACCATCCTATATATGCGCTTGAACGACACTTTAGGCGGAACGAGGTACTTGTGCCTGGTGCTTCTGCGTCAGGAACTATAGGGGCTGGTAGTAACGGACCCCTAGAGAAAATCTACAGGCGTAAGGATGTACAGATTGCTCGTAGTAGGGAAAAGTGGTATCGAATGGGCAGGGAGGTTCTCCCGAATGAGATACCTGCTAAATTCCTACCTAAACGTGCAAAACAGAAGACTGATTCATTTGATGACGAGGAGGATGGGGATCCCGACGGGACAGTCGGAACACCAATATTCACAATCAATCAGACGGTACAATTCAAACATCCCCCGGTTGTCAACGGGCGAGTGCCGAAGAACCGATTTGGAAATTTAGATATTTACGTGCCCGGCATGGTTCCGGAAGGCGGCGCCTACGTGGCTGATGAGCTCGGCGCCCGAGCTGCCTTCATACTGGGGGTGGACTATGCTCCCGCCCTTACTGGCTTTCAATTTAGGGGTAGACAAGGCACAGCCGTCCTATACGGGGTGGTTGTTGCCGCAGAACATGAGGAGGCTGTCCGGGCTGTGATTACAGGTCTTCAAGACCGGGAAGCCGACATAGAGAAGGAATTGCGGGCCCGCGAAGCTCTCAAGACTTGGAAATTATTCTTGAGGGGCCTTAGGGTTCGGCAACGGATCTGGGAAGGTGTTGACTCTGAAGAGGAAACCCAGAATCCAGATACTACCGACGTCGATAAGGGAAAAGGGGTAGCACAGGAGCCGGACATGGAGGACGCGGCACAGCAAAGTGATGACAGCGATGAAGCTGGAGGCTTTATGATAGATGACGACTACGCTGGTGGCTTCATGGCCGATTAAGCCTGGGGCTCAATACAAATTATGCGGCCTTTAAACGTTTACGCGACTAGCTACCTTGGCAGATAGAGATATAATACAGTAAGGTTGTAAAGTACAGGTATGGGTTAGGTTTTGTCGTCAGATCCAGCCAGCCTTGGACCGAAGTAGCCCGCCGATCTCAATCCTGCACCTACAGCAACGGACGAGTAAGCAGCCGCATTGCAGGCCCCATGGCAGGGGTTTAACGTGCGCATCTTCCATCAGGAGGAGGCGATGCTCTTGGGGGAGATGTTGGCGTCTTGGTATGTAAGTGCAATGATACGAAATACGACACCTGTTGTGGCCCGACATTGTTATTAGGTATATTTACCTGTTGGTTAAGAGGTAATTATTGAGACGCCTTTCGTCATTCTTTTCAACGGGTTATGTATGAGTCGACGCGGCATTTCTATATGGCTCGTTTATTCGTCCGCGGCGTAACATGATGCATGTAATTGTATGTAGGTAGGATGCACAGGATGCATTACATTGTAGGTACCTACATATGCACATATTTTCCATATACTACATATGTACCTCCTATATTAGGTATGTTGCTGCCTGTTGCGGGAATCTGCAGCATATCTCTGCATCGAAATTGGCGAATTGGGACTTGGCGAGAACGTGGTGTTTGCTCAAAGGGAATACACATCGTGCTGCAGTTTTCTCACTCCTCGGAAGTATTACCTTTTACATATGTTGGACATGTATCTTGATACGAACCATACGGTATTGAAATCTATTAGTTCCAGTTTAGAAATGGCTCAATTAAGTTAGTGGATCTTGGAAAGTAGAAACTTTTAAGGTTTGAGATGAGCTAAGCGGGGCCGTTTCAATCGGGCGTCGGCATTCATTACCTAAAGTACCTTAACCTAGATTCTCGGCGTTGCAAGTGCAAGTTACAGGGCCTACGGAGGTAGGCAGCTACATAAATTTTCATCGGGATCCCATTAGCCGGTTATCACGGCTTAGAAGCACTGCCACTCTTTGTACCTATTATACATTAGGTACATACGAAATTCCGGGACGTTCGGACCAATCCAAATGCCGATTTCTTTTACATACCATTGAGAGGTCGTGAGTCTGGGGGTAGATCGTGCAACGTCTGGTCTGAACGAGGCTATACGATTCAGGCGGGTTTGGTTCTTGATGTTTTTTCTTGCGTAAGGATTTAGGAGGCTTAGTGCTTGCTTTGATATTATTACCATTCTATACAGAAATATATACTCAAATTCACTTTCTATCCTTTGTCCATTCCCCGACTTTCCCGTCTTTTCCTACGTTTACGGGAGATAGATACATTAACTGCCTGGCGCATCTTACATGGCGCGATAAAAATTATTCCTTACGACGCGGATCTGTCAGCAGACGCCGGCCTTCAATTCGACTCGACCGCCTTTCGATAGGACGTTTTTACTTCCTCTCGAGACGAGATAGATTGCGAGTCTATTCGCCGCCATCGACGACAATGGCTTTCTTGCGACAGACGTGGACCTTGACAGCCAAGAACCTCAAGATCATCGTCCTCCGCCATCAGTTCGCGACTATCATAAGAGCGCTTATCCTTCCTGTCCTTTTGGCGGCTTTTCTTACCTTTGCGCGAAATTTATTCGTACCCCCGGCTGTTTATGGCATTGGAGACTCCCGCGCTATCAGGTCACTACAGAACGGACTTGCTGCTGCGACCGAAACGAATCGTAATACGGTTGCTTTTGTAAACAGTGGTTTCGTCGGTGGTGATATCGAGCGTGTTATCGATACACTTTCAGAAACGGTAACCGGGGCCGGGAAGAATGCGTCGAGGTTATCGAGTTTGTCCGAGTTGTCTTATGCGTGCCGGAGCTCCTTGCGCGGCGTATCGTCTTGTTACGGCGCCGTAGTATTCTATTCCTCCCCGTCCGAAGGCGAAGGGGGGATATGGAATTATACGCTTCGAGCAGATGGCGAGTTGGGATCGAAGATTGATGTAACGCGGGACGATAATAGCGCTCAGATCTACACTCTTCCCTTGCAGCGGGCCGTAGATGCCGCAATCTCGGACGTTTCTACTAACACCGGCGGCCAGTCCCGGATCCCGGACATTATAGACGAGTACCCGTACACTCCGGAAACTCAAGAGGAACGGGCCGCACGGATTCGACGTAACTACCAGTCAGCATTAACAAACTTCCTGAGCGTATCGTTTTTCGTCGTCGTTATCGGAATATGTTACCATATGACAGGCCACATGGCGACCGAAAGAGAAATAGGTATGTCTCAGTTGCTAGACGCCATGATGCCCACCAAGTACCGATGGGAACCTCAGGTCGCAAGACTCCTCTCCTACCATATTGCCTTTACCGCAGTCTATCTTCCGGGATGGGTAATTGGCTCAATCATAATTGCGCGAGGAGTCTGGGCAGATACGAGCGTCGCCATCGTACTTCTTTACTTCATCCTTATCGGACTCGCCTTGGCTTCTCTCTCTATCCTTGGTGGCGCGTTCTTCAATAAATCACAGCTGTCAGGTGTTGTGACGACGATAGCGTATATTCTGCTGGCAATCTTAGCTCAAACTCTGACATCGCCTAGTACTGCCACCGTCGCAGTCCTGAGTTTACTCTTCGTATGTGTTTCTTGTAGTTAATTATTTCCCCGTCACTTGCCTTGGCATTTCAAGTCTAAGCGAATAATTGCTAACCTTGCGCTATTATAGACACCCTGTAACTTTGTATGGTTTATGACATATATAGCGCGATATGAAAGATTATCATATCCAGCCGATTTATTGAAGAACCCCCCTAATAATCCATGGAACATACCTGGTTATGTTTTCTGGATATTCCTCGCTATCCAGATCATCGCCTATCCCGCCATTGGGGCTTATCTCGAACGCGTGCTCCACGGCACGACCACCAAGGGGCGTACGATTCTTCAAGGGCAAAGCGCAGATACAGCACCGGCTGACGCCGTTCGCCTGGAGGGCTTCACGAAAATATATTATCCTAGTTTTTTCAATCGATTGCTTCCCCTTAAATCGGCGCCGAAAGATCCAGTTGTGGCCGTTGATAAGCTGACACTCACCGCAAGAAGGGGACAAATACTGGCTTTACTCGGCGCTAATGGTAGCGGAAAGAGTACGACGCTCGATTCCATTGCTGGCATTGGTAAGATGACTAGTGGTGGTATCACAATCGATGGAACAGGAGGGCTAGGTATTGCGCCGCAGAAGAATGTCTTATGGGATGAGTTGACCGTCGAAGAACACATCCGGATCTTCAATAAGCTAAAGTCCCCTAATAACATTGCGTCTTCTCAAGAGATCAACGACTTGGTGGTGGCGGTAGACCTTGCGCCAAAAGCTAAAGCTTTGTCCAAGACCCTGTCAGGTGGCCAGAAACGAAAGCTACAACTTGGAATGATGTTAACTGGTGGGAGCGCCGTCTGCTGTGTCGACGAGGTTTCGTCCGGAATTGACCCTCTTTCCCGGCGCAAAATTTGGGACATCCTTTTAGCCGAGCGTGGAAAACGAACCATCATCCTCACTACCCATTTCCTCGACGAAGCCGATCTGCTTGCCGATCATATTGCTATTCTTTCCAAAGGCACGTTGCGCGCCCAAGGGTCTTCTGTCGAACTCAAAGAGAGATTGGGTGCCGGATATCGGGTCCACGTATTTAACGCTAGAGAGATCAAGAATCCGCCAGAAATCGAAAATGTGACCCGCAAGATGGGTTTCGACGTGATTAGCTATATTGCGCCAACGTCTAGCCTTGCTGCAGATGTCATACGCTCTCTCGAGTCCGCAGGAATTCACGACTACAAATTTTCTAACCCTACTATCGAAGACGTCTTCCTACAGGTAGCTGAGGAAGTCAGAGGTGAGCATGCCATTAGACAAGAAGAGAGCTCATCCTCTGCTGAAGTTGCTAGCGACAAGCAAGTGGGCACCGAGGATAGTATTGGAAATGAGCTTGAGAAGGACAGATTAGAGCTGCTGTCAGGACACCCAATTGGCTATTTGAGGCAGACAGGAGTACTGTTTATGAAACGGTGCACTATCTTTAAGACAAACTGGTTTCCTTACGTGGCGGCCCTCCTGATTCCGATAATAGCGGCGGCTCTGACAGCTCTCTACGTCACGGATCAACACCCAGTTGGATGTAATCCGGCTGATCAACAGTATGCCGATTCATCCGGTTCAACGAGTCTATATGACAACCTGTGGCTAGTCGCCGGCCCGTCTTCAGAATTTAGTAACGAGACGCTAGTGAGGCTTTTCGCTCCTGTCCTTCCAAGTGAAAGCCAGAATCAGAGCCTAAGCCAGCTCCAAATCAGAGCAGACAATTCGACCGGAGCAGCGTTGAATCCACTTACGTCGTTCATGGGGAATTTACATCTGGTCGATTCGCTAGATGAGTTTAATAACTTTATGGTAACGATGCGAAAGAACATCACGCCAGGTGGGTGGTGGCTTGGGGATGCTAATTCTGCACCTACTATTTCCTACCAAGCAGATAGCGGCGATGTCCTTACCTCGGTCTTCGCGCTGAACGCTTTAGATACTATGCTAGCCAACTTTAGCATTGCCACGACTTACGCGCCGTTCGATACCCCTTGGGCGCCGTCGACCGGAGATTCTTTGCAGCTGCTGATCTACTTTTGCTTGGCCATGTCCATATATCCCGCTTTCTTTGGCCTTTACCCAAACATAGAGAGACGTCGAAACGTCCGAGGATTACAGTACTCGAACGGAGTGCGCTCACTGCCGCTCTGGGCTTCTTATACGCTATTCGACTTTGCGATTGTCGTTGTCTCATCCGGGCTTGCCACCGCCGCATTTGCTGCATCTTCTGATGTTTGGTACCACGTCCCTTACCTCTTTCTCATTTTCATGCTATACGGCTTGGCGTCTACTTTGCTCTCATACGTTATATCTCTATTCAGCAACAATCAGCTGTCAACATATGCTTTCTCGGCAGCCGGTCAGGCAGTCGGGTTTCTGATCTACTTGATTGCATATCTTTGCGTTCTCACATACTCACCTGTTATTCTTATTGATTCGTCTATACTCGTTGCCCATTTCGTTATATCGGCCTTCGTACCCATCGGTTCAGTCGTTCGAACGATGTTTGTCGCCCTCAACCTTTTCTCGGTAACGTGCGACGGGGACCAAATACAGAGCAACCCGGGCGCCATAACTGCTTACGGTGGTCCGATTTTGTACTTGATTATACAGTCGATCCTCTTGTTCGGTTACCTACTATGGCACGACAGCGGGTCGGGAAGTAGTCTACTCAACCGCTTCACGCAAAAGACGCCGCCATCCTCTAATGATCCTGCTGCTTCAGACGAAGAAATCGCCAACGAACTTGTCCGCGTAACTAGCACGCCTCAGGGGAGCGATGGTCTCCAGGTGTTACACTTAACAAAGACGTTCGGTAAAAATACGGCTGTTGATAATGTAACGTTCGGCGTCCAGCACAGCGAGGTCTTTGCGCTATTGGGACCCAATGGTGCTGGAAAGTCCACGACCATCTCGTTAATCCGCGGCGATATCCAGCCTAGCTACAACGGAGGTGATGTTCTCGTCGAGAATACGTCTGTAAGCCGTCGCCGTGCTGAAGCTCGATCCCATTTGGGCGTATGTCCTCAATTCGATGCCATCGATTCGATGACGGTCCTCGAGCATCTACGCTTCTATGCCCGTATTAGGGGTATCCCTGACGTCGACCATAACGTTCGGGCTGTTCTTCGCGCCGTGGGTCTCGAGGCCTTTTCGACTCGTATGGCGCATGCGCTTTCCGGCGGAAACAAGAGGAAGTTATCCCTCGGTATCGCTTTGATGGGTAATCCTAGTGTTGTCCTCCTCGACGAGCCCTCTTCTGGTCTCGACGCTGCAGCTAAGCGAATAATGTGGCGGACATTGCATTCGATCGTACCCGGTCGATCGATCCTTCTCACCACGCATAGCATGGAGGAAGCTGACGCGCTTGCGAACCGTGCCGGTATACTAGCTAAGCGTATGCTCGCCATGGGAACGACAGAGAATCTACGCCAGCGGTTCGGTGATGCCCTCCACGTGCATCTAGTTAGTAAATCGGCGCCGCATTCGACACCCGAGGAGATGGAGCGGGTGAGGCAATGGGTCGCAGACAGATGGCCGGGAGCAGAGATAGAGCAAAAGACATACCACGGACAGATGCGATTTTCTATACCAGCAAGCGCCGTAGCAGGCACCGGCAGTGCAGTGGGCCGGCTTATCGTGATCTTGGAGGAGCATAAGGAGGAGCTCGGCATCGAGCACTTCTCGTGCACGCCGACGACGCTCGACCAAGTGTTCCTAACGATCGTCGGGCAGCACAATGTTCGCGAGGAGGGGTACAATGAGAAGAAGAAGAAAGCATGGTGGGCGTGGAGGTAGAGGGGAGGTTTGCATAGGTACCTACATACCCCTGCATCATATCCCATCTCATTCATACAAGAGAATTTTGTATTGCTATGCATTTTAGAGGTAGATATCATGCGATACATACAATGTGGTTTACGGATGAAAGCACCGATTAGATGGATATATACATGCATTACATGGATAGGTAGGTACACATATACACATATATACGGCGTGGACATATGGCATGGAGTAGGTATATATGAGGTAGGCAGCTGAAAGCTACGGTTTATATGTATTATACATATACCCTCATATGTTGATTAGAAAGAATATATATATATATATACCTCTGTTAAAGAGACTACGGCGATGAAGTGGTCTTGAAATGTTGTGCGATATCTATTATGTAGAGTGTGATATAATGCGAGTACGCGGCAAACGGTAAAAAATATATGCATCTACCCCACGAAGCGTCCCGGGTATTCTGCATTGAACCTTGTCAATCACGTAGCATCGACGCAATCAACTGCCAATCCCACCACCCATCCACCCATCCATAAAGCAAAACATAAAAAAAAAGGTTGTATTTTTCCAGCGTCCGTTATACTATGTAAATTATAGGAAGTAGAAGAAAAATGCAAAAAGCAGGGTCTGACCGGGGATCGAACCCGGGACCTCTCGCAAGTTTGCGCTCATTTCGAATGAACCCAAAGCGAGAATCCTACCACTAGACCATCAGACCCTAGTAGTTGTTGAAAGATTGCCCGTTATATGGCTTTATATAGGTTTAGGTTTAGCGCTGAATGCTAAGGTGTGGGGACTTGTTGCTTAGAGAGGTTAGTGCGGTATTGGACGGAAGACGATGGTTGGTTTGTGGTCTCGTGCTTTAGCGCGTGTTTAACTAACTTACAACTTACAACTTACATTAGGTCCATAGCAGCATAGCGCCTTTGAATGTTTAGAGTGATAGTGTATTGTTGGCAATGGATGGCAATGGCGTAGTTGTCTTAGTAAGTAGGTAGGCAACTAGGGATCAAATAGGGATCTCATCTACTTCGGATAGCACATCGTCAAACCAACCCCCTTAGATGCCATAGACCTCATCTACGAGTTGCGATTATACGTTAGGACCAGCACAGAATCTACCAGACTTTCGCGTAGTGTAGGAGTCGAGATTTATGTACTTTCACCTGCTAACTAGTATGATCCTCCAGCCAAGTCGCAGCCAATTCCTCCCCTTTACTATTCAGTGCATAGTCCCCAGAACTAGGCCCTACATTATGAACCCGAACCGTCCCAACATCACTATCCTCCCAACTGTCGTACTCATCCCACTTATTCCGTGTGTCCAGCCCCATTTTATTAACTCTGCCACTCATGAACCATCCCAATTCTTGCGCCTGGGTCTGAAAACTGTCCTCCCTCTTCAGCCTTACCAGGGATGAGGGCTTTTTGGTGTAGAGCAGCAACGTCTTGGGGATTTTCAGCGTGGATGTTCTCGGCGGGAAGACGAGCAGCTTTTTGCTAGGATGCGTGAGGACTAGCGTTGGTTCACCCGTCATCGGATTCGGTAACGATACATTCGCTAGGGAGGATGCTTCGGGGGAGAGAGCGGATGTGGTGAAGTTTGGTGGCACGAGAAGATCAGGAGTACGGAAGAATAGAGTAGGGCTCGCAAACGGATCGAAGAGGCCACTTGGGCTTACGAATAATGCCTCGACGTGCTGCTTCAGCTCCTGGAAGTGGGGATCGTTCGAGCGGGATACCGATCCTTTTAAGGTCGTACCTCGCTTTGGCGGATTGTTCATGCGGTGGTCCGGGAGGAACCTAGTCCAGTCGTATATCCCATTCAAGGCTATGCATCCTCGAACAGCCACCGGCGCGTGGGGATGAGTTTCCGTAAGAGCAAGGGACGTCGCCAGAGTTGCCCCAAGATACGAGCCGTAGAGGTATATGTCTCGACGCGCATAGCCAGATGGGCCGAGGTTTTGGACAATCCAGTCGTAGGCCGCTGAAGTATCATGAATAGGAGCTGGCCAGGACAGGATAGGAGAGAATTCCTCCTTGTCCGATTCATCCGTAGATGTTGGCGTGGCAGGCTTCCTAGTCTGGAAGGGAGAGAAGCCATTCCAACGGTAGTTTATCACAGCCGTCGGTTGCCCCCGGATGAATTTTGGCAACGGGGCAGGTTTATCTGCGAAGGCTGTTGAAAATGGTGGTAGATATATTAATAAGGGGCTTTGTGGTGAAGCCTTCGCAATATTGTGTAGACTACTCATTTATAAATAAGTAAGTCAGGCTTAACAAATCCAACGATGCATATATATTTCGTAGTTACTTACTCAATGGTTATACCGCCTGTTAAGCCGAGGCGGACATTTACTCGTTCTACATTGTTGGTAACAGCGCTATAGCACCTTGGTTTGTGGCCGCGAAGGCCAGCAAATATTAACCTCCTACTCGAGATCCATATTCTCATTTTCCCTCTACGGCTCGGAATACGGCTCGGAATTCACGAAGCATGAACTCATCAGCGCCCTATTACCAAAATCGAGAATGTCTCGTCCTTTTAAATTTATATAATTTGAGTTGTAGTTATGCATCAAACGTGTGACTGGGATAGAAAGTGACAAAAGTGAAAATGATTATTTTTACGCGCCAAGCGATAAGAAAAAGGTGATACGAAATCGGCAGTTGCAGTCGTAGTTGTTGCATACCGTTTGTCTAGTGGGTTTAGAACCAATCATATGTCATTCCAACGGGTTCTTTACCAGGTTAGCAGCTAGATCCTTCCATATCCACCTAAAGCTTAGCTTCGCGATCCCGATGCCAAGCGACGTCATACCACATAAACATCCATATCAAGACATGCGCCTGACCCTCCTTTATCTACTTCTATATGTATCATTCTTATTCTGCCATGTATATTTCTCATAAATGCTGTATTTTACATATATATATAAAACGTAGAGACATACCCGACCCTCGGGCCTCGTTATCTAATTCTAGACCTTCGGTAAAGAAGAAGTGGTTATTAGACGTCTTTATCTTACTTACCGGGTATCTAGTTGGCAACCAAGGCAGGGCGTATGGATCAAAACTGCTTCTTAACACTCCAGAAATCTATGACTAAAATATGAGTTAGGGCCTAGGTACTCTCCCGCTCATCAAGATGGAGGATGCAGGCCTAAATAACAGCATCGACGAGCATTCACAAGCTGTCGATGGCTTAAATCATGACGAGGTTGGGGAGAGAGGTATCAAGCATGACAAGATTCATCTCGATCCTAGGTAAGAAAACCAGCGTGTTTATTATTCGAAATATTAAGTCTGATTAACTAATATAAGCTCATAGCCGTTATTGGTTTATGTCGGCTGCGTTTCCCATGATAGCTGCTACCCTAGGTCCCGTAGCTTCAGCCTTCAGTATATGCTCGCTTGTCAAGTATTGGCGGCAGCATATCCCTCCTGGGTCCGACGTTACTAAAGCAGAGTATGTTAAGGACCCTCCATGGCTAACAGCAGTGAATGCCGTCCAACTAGCTCTAGCTATAGTTGCGAACATGTTTCTCCTACTAAACATGACGAGGAGGGTGCGGTTTTCGATTGCGCAACCCATAACGATAGTCGGTTGGTACATATCAGCAATATGTCTCATAGCCCTGTGTGCTACAGCATCTGGACCGTTAGAACTCCAACCGGAGATTGAATATGTTTGGTCTCAAGCCTTTTATTACGGCTTGTTTGCAGCTGTCCTCTACTTCTTAGTTGCCTCTCTTATGGCCGTCACGGCCTGGGGCGCTCTAACCGGGCACTACGGCAAGGACTTTGAGTTGACAACTAGCCAGAGGACTTTGATGCTTCAGACCATCCTCTTCCTCGTCTACCTACTCTTAGGTGCTTTTGTCTTCTCCAAGATTGAGGGCTGGAACTACCTTGATGCTATATATTGGGCGGACGTCACTCTCTTCACAGTTGGCTTCGGGGAAATATCCCCACAGACTACCCTTGGGCGTGGTCTTCTCGTTCCATACGCGCTGATTGGTGTTATCAGCCTTGGTTTGGTAATCGGGTCTATCCGGAGCATGATTCTTGAGCGCGGCAAGCATAGGCTCAGCGCACGCATGCTAGAGAAGCAACGACGGCAATTAATACGGCGCGTCAAGCGGAAAGGACATGGTGATATCCTTGAACCGATCGATGACGAAGCTTCAGACCAATCTCCTTCAAATGCTCCCTTGACAGAATTTGAACGCCGCCGGAAAGAATTCAAACTCATGCGTAAGGTTCAACGACGGGTATGTACGCAGCCTAACCGGGGCTCTTGGATATCCCTTCTCCCCTTTTCTCGTCCTTTATCCTATCAATATACTAATTAGTGGTAGTAAGTGGTCAAACCCTCCCTCTCACACATTCCCTCATGTCAAGGACTTCCGATATGAATATATTAAAATACCAAATATCCATGCGCTACCCTAGAATACTAACATATAGCAGAGCATTAAGAAAAGAAAGATGGACTGCTATGACAATATCTCTTATTGTTTGGCTACTGCTCTGGGTCGTAGGTGCCAAGATTTTCCAAGAATGCGAGTACCCCTATCAAGGATGGTCCTTTTTCGACGGTTTTTATTTCTCATTCACAGCATTGACCACAATCGGGTATGGTGACCTCACCCCAGTGTCGAATTCAGCCAAGCCCTTCTTTGTATTCTGGTCCCTGCTTGCCGTGCCCACTATGACGGATCTTATATCAAACGCGGGGGACACGATCGTGAAGGGCATTGAAGATGGTACCCTTCTACTCGGAAATCTCACAATATTGCCCGGAGATTATGGTTTTAAGAACGAAATAAAGCAGTTGCTGTCAAAACTGTCCTGCGGCATGTTGTTTATGGACTACGATGTCGAAGAAACACCCCCGGGCTTTTTAGGAGCAGCGCACGAGCAGCCCAAAGATGACGAGGATGACGACGAAGAAGATGAAGGGAGGGCTTCTAATTCAACTGATATCAATAATGCAGAAAGCAACCAGAGGGCCCAGGAGGATGTTGAAAAGGGAGAATCACCATCTTCACGCAAGTCTCTGCCCACCCAAAGACTAGACACGAACTCAAACTCACCAAGACGCTCCGTCTCCGTAGCCCGAGAAAGCCTACCCACCGAACTCCCCAAATCCCGCGCCGAGTACCACCTCGTCCTAATCGACGAGATAATCCGCGTGACTAAGCACCTGCGGCACTCGCCGGAGCGCAAGTACACATTTAAGGAGTGGTCAGTAAACCCGAGCCATTTCCGCGTTTCCCCGCCATCGCATCTCTTCTTTCCCTTTCCTTTCCTTTCCTTCCATCTATTAGCTGTTGCAGTCTTCATCCTCAGCTCTTCGACGGATTCCTAGATATATATCAGTACCTACCTATACGTTAGGTAAACCAGCGCCCAACCCCTTCCGCGCTAACTTGAAGTACCTAGGGCGTGGTACCTCCGACTCATCGGCGAGGACGAAAGCAGCGCCGAGAAACACCGCCGACCCGAGCACCAGCCGCCGGAGTTACGCGGCCCCAGATCCTCTACAGACGACGAAGACAGCAATAGTACCAACGAAAATGACGGCGAAGAAGAAGCGAGTCCCGCGGAAAAACCGTGGAGCTGGGTCGGACACCGAAGCCCGCTCCTAGATCCCCGGGAGGAAGCGGAGTGGATTTTAGACAGGCTAGAGCAGAAGCTTAGAGAAGAGTTGGAGGACGTCGTTAGGAAGGAAAGCGGGAAGAAGAAAGGCCGGGATAAGCTGAGAAGAGTCAAAGAGGAAGAGCGGCAGAACGAGGAGAAGGAGAAGAAGAAGACGTCGGGTTACCACTAACCCACGCATCTGGTCGAATTCGAGTGACTAGGTACCTAGGCATATAATCAAAGAAAAGAGTATACCTACGCATTATACATACCGATGAATAAGTACGAATAAATGAATGTCGGGTTTATTGCTGCTAATGTGTAATAATGTAAACATGCGATATATCTAAATAAGTAGGTAGCGACGGTGTTTCCGTCTTTTTTTCTTTCTTTTTTTTCGTAGCTTTAGCTGCTCGCAATTCCGTAAGTGATATCCGCCCTGTATCCGATATAGTATTATTCTTGTCGGCCAGGGCAAAAGGAAGGAATACGTCATGTCCTCAAAAAAATTTGCAATTTTTATACCACCCCAAACATCACATCTCTCCCGGCCCCCGCTGGAACAGATGGCCATGGCCACCCCTCCTGTCCACTTTGTTGTAAAATTTAACGTCTAAGAGTAGTAAAAACACCAACCCAGCACGTGCGTAAGGGCTCGTTTCCCCCACCTTTGATTCAGATTCATTTTCGGGTGTAAGCTCGGGTTAGGTTAGAATATGCTCGGGAAGTTCATTGCCTTCCGTCCACCTAGTCCTACGTGAGGCATCTTACGTCAGCACAACATTCGATATTCAATATAATATAATGAGAAAGCCAAGCTACAATATGTATGCAAGGACAAGGACAAGGACCCGGCCCCCAATGGACGACTTACGAAGGCTGAAGCTGCTCCTTAGTTAGATGTAAATCTCCCCACTTCTCGGTACGGGAGAAAGGACACATATCTCCTCTGGTGCACGGGATGCGAGGGCAATGGTGGGAAAGATAGCAGTCGTAGTCGACGCAATAAGGACCAGCAGGACAGAGGCTGGTTCGAGCTTTGTAACGGTGGATGGCGAGTTCCGGCCCGGTTAACTCAGCGTCGTGCGTCTTATCGCAGCTAATACCCCATTTGCAACGGCCCTTAAGATAATGGTCGTTGCAGAAAACCGAGGGCTTGATAGCCTGAAACTTAGCCTGGTAAGATGACTGCGCCGGGGTTCTGGGCGGATGCTGGGTCGGCGGGTCAATGCGATAATTATCTACGTTATAATATATAACCCTTGGTTGTTTCTTAGGCTTGGGTGCTTTAACAGTGACATTTTGAAGGTCGTTGACTCCACCCGCAGTGGCATAACTGATCGAAGTGCCGCCATTTCCGGAGCTGATGACACTTGACGCGCGTGGCGGAGCAGTTCCCTGCTGCTCGGGAGAAGAAGTGCGCTGTATTGGCGACGGGGTACTAACAGAAACGGGTGTAGAAGTAGTAGGAATAGGGGTAGATGATTGTCTTTGTTCTTGTGCAGCAGGAGACCCGGTCGTCGTGGCCGATCTCTGCGCAGGCTGTGTGGGCCGAGCAATTGGACCGGGCGCAGCAGACGGCTGAATGGGCGAGCGAAATCCTGGCGGAGCAGTTATATTCGGAAAGCTATGCTTTGTCTCGTTGCCCAACGGCTCTGACCGGAAAACATCGTCAAAACGTACAATAGGAAAGCCGAGGGACCTAAAAGCCGGTTCTGCGGGCGTAGTCTCCAAAAGCACCAGTCTATCTTCGGTAGCTCCTGTATAGTCACGAAGATCGTGTAGATAACCATTATCGTGGCAGCACCCAGCGAGGAATATCTTCTTGCACTGCACGTTTCTGTAGTAGTGATTAAGCATACCTAAAAGCACGTGAGTAAATTTGAAGCAGACATGACGTTATAACTAATGTGATGGAGCATTCGCCAGAACGTACGTCTTATCTTAGAGTCGGCATTCTCCTTGCCCTTGCCAACGTTAACGAAGTCAAAGTCCGCACGACTGTTGGTGAAACGTTCGGCGAACAAGCGCATATCTTCTTCATATTCAATAATCCGCGAGAGGCGTAACGACTTAGACAGGTCATTGAGATTAGCATACGCCCGGACAAGAATAGGAATGTCATCTTGTGAGACTCCTGAATCTCTAAGGTTCTCTCGAACGGCATGCTTGAGCTTTAAAGCAGCTCTTTCGGCACCGCCACTAGGATCACGCAAGAACTCGTCTTGAAATTTAGCCCCGTCGCCATCAATTAGCACGACAACAAACGAATCCTTATTCTACTGCAAGCGTCAGCCAGTATGTTACTTGAAAATAGCGGATAGCGCAACAGACAAGTTGATGTGCTATCCTCTGCACTTCGCTCTCAAGCGTACGAGCCTTGAACTGATAATCAGCTCGAGATTTCCTTTGATCGTCTAGATCAAGTTCAAGTTCATTAATCTTCTTAGCATCTGCCTCGATTTTCTTGAGCATATTCTATCAGATGCGTATTAGCGCAACAAGTACTCACCCAGTATCCAGGGGTAGGAACGGGAATGCCAGCATTGGACGTACATGAATGAAAGCCTGCCTTTCGTTATCAACTTGGTAATAAGTACTAAGTCGGCTTTCTGTTTCTGCTTTAAGAGCAGCCGGATCTTGTCCGTTTAACGCCATTGATGACCCCATAGACGCGATTTATAGGTGACAATTTAGTGCTATTATATTTGGGAATAAATCTGCCCCCTATACTTGATAGTGATATTATTTCGGAAGCTACTTCTAGTTAGCGCGACGACGCAGGTGGTTCCGGGACGAAATTTCGATGTTTGCCGCCTAAAGTGTGCAATAAGATGAATGATAGAAGCCCCTCAGGAGGGTAAGGAAGTATTGGAACAGTAGATTATTTCGATGTGGACTAGAACGAGAATGAAATCTACTCCTTTATCATGACTTGGCCTTGTGGGAAAGCGAATTGAACCCCAGATTGAGAGGTGATTGTAAATACGACAAACACGTTCTCCTAATTTTTTGCTCGTCGCAAAAAGGTTGAAGGGTTTCCGAGCCCAAATGGAGCTCATGATTTAAGGTAGGTACTAGCTAAGATCTTGTGGAGATGGAACGGCACGTGACGTGTGCAACGTATGTAAGGGGGAAATACGGGACACGGAGGAAAAACGGGGGTATGACTGTATGTGCTAGCAATATATACATAAGCTACCCTAATAATTACATACAAATTACCTAGGTACCTTGACTACCTCCTAACCTAAACTACCTCCTAACAACCTACCTGTAACTATCTTTATTACCACCTCTACCAAGAAAAAATTTTGATGCAGCATTGCATATTCAACATATTCATCCACCTCAACGAGGTACCTAGGTAAGCAACGCTTTATCTCTCTCTCCTGCTGAGTACACGATTTCTATTAGGTAAAACTTATTCGTTCCGTTAAAATCGCCTCTACGAGTCTTCAAAGCAATTATGTTATCATGTACCATATCAAAACCCCTTCCTCTCCATCTTAATTTAAAGCGCTAGGTCTATTTCACTCCACTCTCAAACTTTGGTTCAAATTTACTTGGTAGACTCTACCAACATGTTAAGCACTGGGTTCTAGTCCTAGCACAGTATCATGTTATCTTCATGTATATGTTGGAACCATTGGCTGCCGGACGTTACCCAGCAATTTACTTTCTTCTACTTGATTTGACCACCAGCGATTATGCACCCATCTGCTGTGTATAGACAGGAGAAAAAGCTATCGTTAAATGCATTAGACGATTGGCCTCCTTTACGACATTCCCCCAAAGCTCTTCTCCACCTGTGTCGTAGCAAGCTCATCGACATATACTTAACCCAGGTACTGACACTCCTCTACATGTCCATCCATCAGCCCACTATTGATTCTCGTAGTTTTTATTGTGTGACAGTATCTCGGGCTGCATCATCCGATCCCCCGCAGACTGTATTTTTGGCCAATATGATACCCGCCCAGTCAATCTCTCTGATGGCAGTAACGACAAGAGTTAGGCCGATTGCAACCTTTGGATCTCTCCTGGGCTTGCATACGCAACGGCATAATTTGGGCTCCGCCCTCGTACCTAAGAACGCCGCACTTTGGCGATCCAGCTGCGTGCCTACTCGCCAGTTCGAGAGGACGCCCGCGGGGTATGGAAGCTGATCTTTAAATAGGTCAATAAACTGGAAATGTTGGTTTCTTTGAAGACTCTCGCGGCTTGAATACGTTACCCTCGCGAACAGCTCGAAGACTACGTCCTGCCGATGGTTTAGACAATGTATCGCCTGGTTGACCAACTCCCCTATTCGAAAACAGGTCCGCAGTACCGTACGCGGCGATAATTCCGAGACGGCAGAACGATCGCGGACCTTTTCAGGGAAGGGCGGTCGTACGAATGGCTTCAAGGGCATCGTGTCCTCAATGCGAGCATCACACCCGACAATTTCCTCCGCGCGAGTGGTTTGATCTTGTAGCGAAGGGTTAGCTGTGTCTTGGAGGTTGGTACTCGATGCGCCGTTCAGAATTGTGCTCGTCATAGCATATACGATATTCCAATCGACATCTTCATCGAGAAGATCATCCTGGTTGATGTTAGGGTCCTCGGCCATGTCTACTATGTGCGAGGCGCTTAGTTCATTTGGGGATGAGTGTTGTAGAGTCGAGTCATATTCAACTGCCGACCTTGAGTCACGATCCCATGCCTGAGCAACGCTAGAAGGGGGTATATACGCTTCTTGGACGTTATCGAGGGCCGTTCCGAGAAGATAGGCCATGTCTTCCTCCATCAAGTCACCGTCAAGGGGATATTCGTCTTGGACATCGCCGCTGGCGTCAGCATTCAGATTATCCGGTTTAGACGATTTGCCTAGAATTTCGTTGTCGTTGTCAGCGCCATTGCAGGGATGCGCATTACCTACTGTGGTGAGATGTATTAGGCTGGGGGATCGTGCAACAACTGTTGTACCAACTGGATTGCCATGGCTCGGATTCCAGGAAGCACCGACTGACTTGGGCGTATACGGAAGCGCCACAGGAAAATCCCTCGAGTTCTCAGTTAGGAGAGAACCTTTTACTATATGCAATTCTTTCGACGACCCCGCTACGCCGTTATGATTCTGCTGGTCCCCAGGTTTGAATAGTGTTAGAGTGGAGTGAGGAGTTAACTGCTCGATAGTGGTATGTCCTAGTGGATACCGAGGATCGATAAATTGGCCCTGCTTTATGTGGTAAGGATCTTGCGGATCTTCTATTTTAGGAAGAGAGATGTTGCCATTTGTGGCGCCAGATTTGGTGACTCTTAGTGTCTGAAAGGGACTAGAAGATGGTGCGGCTGGTAGAGATAACCTGTGAGGTGAGTTTTTTATGCCATCATTCTCTTCATACATCTCTCGGTTGCGTTTCAAACTCCGATTTTGAGCGCTATGGATGAGTTCTCCTGAAAAGACATTCCGTATTTCTTTGTTAATGTTTGCAGTAACATCGAAATGAACGTGGGGTGAGGCTTCTGGTGCTGATTTAGGGAGACAATGCCTCTGACCGTTTGATTGATTAAATTTACTCATTATAAGATACCCGGACGTCTATCATTGGGATACTTGTATAAGTGATGTAGGTGAAAGGTGAAAGGTGAAAAGTGAAAGGGCTAGAGTCAATTGTATAATGGCTTTTGCATAATAGCTTTGTTTGTCAAATTGGTAACTACGTGTAAGTACATGTATGAGTCAGCTACGAGTAGTTCCTACCTCTTGTATACATTTTACATAACTCAACAATTACTCGAGTCCAATGAAATTACTTGCATCAAGTCAAATAAGGAAACTACTCACAGGACAACTTCCAAGTCTATAGCTGAGAACAAAGAGGCAGGTGTGCTACCTTAAGTAAAGCCATTTAGAATTTAGGTTGGTTAAAGGAGAGACCTTAATAATTCAATAAAAAATTAAAGATGGAGATGTGATTCATTTAAAAGAAGTGACATACCACTGCTTCATTCCTGCATCATTGTAACATATTGATTAGACTAATTATCGCACCCCGCTCCAAATCGGTTTCCCACCTTTGAACTCACCCCCTCTTCTAATCTTGCCTGATACCTACATGTCGCTACATGTATGTAGTGCTGACTTTGATCCGTATCGTCGGAGGTCCTCCCTCGTGTTCTGCCGATCAAAGTTCAATCGTACAGGGAAAAGTCAGATAAACGCACCTGGTCCTTGACGCTGCGCGCTAAGCCTTTGCATTAGGTACTGCAGCAGACTCTCTGTTTCTGTTTAAGGACGTACATTAGAGTCAGCCAGCAGCCAGCCTAGGTACCACAGAAGGGGTATAGGGCATACGTATACCTGCCTGGAGTCACTGATAGATGATAGATGGGATTGTTTACTATCTTGTGTTGCCTCGGTGCGAAACATTCACTTTGTGCGCCTCCTCACCATTCACACGCATTGCACACCTGATATTGCACATATTGCTTACCTTGGGGCTGTGAGCCTGTGACATATCACGCACGACCACAGCCTACAAAAGGCATATTTTAATCATCTTCGATTCTTCCGAGGTCGCGAATTATCTAAATATTATACCAAATACACTATACACTTTTATTAGTTTGATTATTTGCGACCATGTTTTCCCAGGTAAGTTGCATACCCCTTTAAAGTCTCATAATGTCTTAATTCCGGATAAGACTTCCGCACCAATAGATTCCATATCTTAGGCCTCCCTATAACCACCACTCCCATTCATACCTATATACCTATATACCTATGTATACTTTCACATACTCATTTTAACTTCAATTTACTTCTAAGAACTACAAATAAAGTAACTTCTTACCATTATGTACGAACTATTTTAACCTACCTAATAGAAGAAACCATACTCGGCTGTCACCGTGACCGTTGAGCGCCTCACTAGCGAGCAGTTTGAAGAAGACGATCTTAGTGGGATCCCTGACCTAGTCGAGGTCATCAAACTCCAAGCATCTGGCCCCGCAGAAGCTGCTCGTGCCTTGAGGAAAAAGCTGAAGTACGGTAGTGTCCACAGACAGCTTAGAGCTCTTGTGCTTCTTGATGGCTTAATTCAGAATGCCGGTCCTCGTTTTCAGCGGACCTTTATAGATGAACCATTGCTTGAGCGCTTACGAGTGTGTGGCACTTCGGACTTGTCTGATCCCGATGTCAAGAAGAAATGTTCTGAGCTGTTCAGAGGCTGGGCTACAGAGTATAAGAATACACCAGGTCTCGAAAGAATTGCTATGTTATATAAGGTAAGAAACCTTTGGTAGGTAAACTTAGAGCTCTAAAGAGTAACCATGATAGGAACTCCCACGGCGTAAACAAGTTGTCACTCAAGCGAAATCCAAGGTCTTGCGTGAAACGGAGCAAGACCCCTTTCGCGACTCTGAGGACGAAGCCGAACAGACTCCGGCCTCCCCAACGTCTCCATCTCAGGCTTCGTCCTCGCGACAACCCGTTGCCTTTCCTCAGCCCACCCAAACTGTACAGTCATTCAGCCATGTCAAATCATCATCCGGCTCTGGTTCTGGTTCCTTTTTCTCTAGTTCCACTAAGGACAAGGATAAGGACAAGAAGAAGAAAGATAAGGAAAAAAGTAAGGGAAAGCACAAGCCTTTCAATCTTGAAGCAGAAAAGGACGCCATGAAAGTCGCAATCGCCGAGTCCTCCCTCGCGGCCACGAACTTAACCAATGCTCTCCAAAGCATAAATCGAGAACGCGAAAGGATCTCAGAAAACCCCTCAGCTGTGCAGCGATTCGAGACTTGCAAAAAGCTCCGAAGAAAAATATTACGCTACGTACGTCTTAGCCCAATGTTGAATGCGTGACTATTTGCTTACCTTGGTAGATTCACCATGTTGAAGATGAGCAATGGCTTGGTGGTCTTCTCCATGCTAACGACGAACTCGTGGTTGCCCTTATGACTTATGAGCAACTAGATCGTTCTATCGACGCCGATAGCGATTCGGAGGACGAATTAGCTGAACAAGCACATCTTTATAGGAGTAAGCTATTCCTTTCGTAAATAACATCCATATCTATTACTGACTAGAGATAGTGGCAGCCGAGAAGCACAAACAGGCAATGTCGCCGACAAGCCCGTCTAGCCCTGTGTCGGACATGGCCCAACTCAGTATAAACCCAAGCCCTCCCCCAAGGCCGATGCCGCCTCCGCGGCCATCTGCTGCGTCCAAGCCAGTGATAGCTCCTCGCCAACCTTCCCCTCCAGACTCGGATGAAGATGACTACGCAGACGAAGATGAGAACGATCCCTTCGCTGATAGAAATGAACTTGCGACGCCTAAGGTAGAAGGGGACGAGCCTAAGTGGTAGACCCTCTCTTGCTCGGTGTGGATTGACGCGGTGGCTTCCATGACGGGGTTTCATCATTTATCGGCCAATTACGAGATACCTTTTCCAAGTCAAATATTAACTCTATGCATTAGCTTTTATCTCTTCTATACCCTAGAGTATCAAGAGTTCTATCGCATTTCATCAATTAACACTCAATAGATTGCAACCAGTTAAGGGGAAACTATTGAACCACTCGCCTGTATGAGATTACTTGAATCTAGTTCCTTTCGTTCTCATTTCCTAGTAGCCATATTTTCATGACGAAACTCGGCTATTGCTAGTTACATGACCCCAGCTGATAGCTACGGTTCTAGTACGAGTACAATTATTTCACTAGTTGCCTAAACATTATAGGTTGGTTTCTTCCATTCCACAATGAGGAATTGATTCAACAGTAAAAAATAAAAAATAAAAAGCATTATGCGTATGCCTTGCTACTACAAAGAGGCTAAGCACATGGACTTTTAGACTTACGTCGACGCTATATAATCTACCATCTGGAAATTCTTCTCTTACGTATAACCTCTCACATACAGGTTGCCAAATCATAGGGTAATGGTATTCGATCGCTATACCGCTTCCAGCTTCTTATCCTTTTTCGCTCTTTGTATCCCACCACCTACTATCCTTTAAACAGTGTATTCCAGGGTCTTGTATTATCTTGTAGGAAGTTTTTTTTAGATACAGCCATATAAGTATCCATCGATATCTCTCTTCTAATGTCAAGGATTGTAGCGTCAAGTCAATGTACTCTGCAATACTCTTCTGAGTCCGAAATCCTCAACCTAGATTGATCAACTGTAGCGTTTACGATATTGTGGGCTTGAGTATTGGCATTACAACTGTTGAATGAGATTGATTTTTTTTTATTATACTTGGCGTCCAAATTACAGAAACGATTCACGCATTAACCGGCTTTATTCAAGTTCGATCCGCTAGGTAAGGTAGGATTGTATCTCCTTAAAGTTCAATATATCCGATAGGACCGATATTACCGGAGGTATCTGTAGGGAGCCCCTTTTACTATGGTCGATACAGTTACTGGCATGTATACTAGCAGTAGTCCTTTTCGTGACTAGGTTAACATGATCTCCTTCGTTCCAAACGGACCCGAAGCATGTCTCTAGTATACGCAGACTATACCTATTAATGAACATATCTGAGCTTCTACTAGATAACCTTCCATTTCGGGCACTGGGGCGACAAACTACGATAGTAGATACCAATAGCTAATATTAAACATATCTCAGACGCGCACGAGACCGCTATCAGGTGTCAAGGAGCAGCGCACACGCGACGCGTCGCGAAGCATAAAAGCGCGGATGTTTACTAAGCAACTCTACGAGCCAGCAATCCCGACAGCCTCCAAGTCTAAGATGCACGTTCATCGCCTAACAGAGCTTATCGTCTCACTCTTAGTCTATCTCATCCCATCTCCCGTCCCCTCCCCTCGGTAACATGACAACACTCACCCTCAATATAAACTTCCACTAACCGCAGCGCAAATCGTTCTTATCTAGATCGCTAACGCAATCCACAGATCCCGAGCAGATGGATCGAGTATGTAAGGTGTAGCGCACCCAACCGTACCTACATACCAACTTACCTATGACGCAACGCCCTCCTCTCCTGAAAACCGAAAAGAAGAAAAAAACGACGCCATGGGGTTCCGCTTTCCCGCTTTCCCGCTTTTCCCAGCGGCGGAGGCCTGTCTATCCGTAAATACGAGGGAGGAGTTGAGGCTACTACTACTACTAAGCCAGAGGACACGCGTCAGCGGTCTCAACAAGCCGAGTCAAGCAAGTTTTTACTAAAAGCTTGGTCGTAGGCAAGTCAAGTCAAATAAATGACTTTTATTATCATTTACCTAACGCCCCAGCCATAACAAGCCACTTATAATCTAATAACCACCAATTATACCACGTGAATACGTATAAAAGTAGGTCTATATAGCCTCACTTTAACTGGCAACCAGGCAAAAAAAAAAAAAAAAAAAAAAAAAAAAGACTGGCTTACTTAAATATCCTAAAAATAGATATTTGGCCAGTTCAGGTCAAGCCAGTGCAAGTCAAGTCAAATAATTAACTGACGCGTGCGGGAGCGAACTAAAGCGTTGGTGAAACCGTAGTATTATAAGCCGGTTTGATGGGCAGGCTGGTGGTCCTCCCCAGGAATAACATGACGTCGTCAATGTGCCGAAATAGCTATTATTCAAGTTGTTCTCTACCTCGGTAAGTAACACAGTAGGCTAACCTAGAGCCTTGCCAATTCCGCCGGGGAAGGCTAGGGAGGTATGTACTGCTACATACCGGCAGCTGGACGGTACCTAGCGTCTGATAAACTGGACACTATGGTATCATGGTGAAGTATGTACCGGACAAGTCTCCGGCCGAAGTCCTACTTACATCTGATAGCCTACCTTGATTATTTTACTTTCGCTAAGCTAAAATGAATGGATGGATGGGCCACGAGTCGCTGTGGTACATAGAGATGGGACGAAGTCAACAACCTTGCCTAGTCCAGCCTTGTCAAAAAACCTAAAAAGATCATATGGTATCTAAACGAAGCTTTGATCCAGTGTGTCGGGGACACTATATTACCCTACCCTATACTACCTGGGAGGGAGGCCTGGGGATGTGGGCATCACGTAATGATGTACGTGTAGTTAGCTGACAGCGGCACGCGTGGCCTGCAGCTCTCGAGCCAAGATGGTGGCTGCTAAAGCTGGCTTCATGAGGCTGGGGAGGAGAAAGCCAAAAGCCAAAGCCAAAGTCTCTTCCTATATTAGACAGACTCTACTAATATAGTTACTCTCTTCCCAGGGTTTCGGTTCGAGCTAGTCTTATCATTCTGCTCTAATGCGGCTCAAACTCTGTCTGACGTTAAGGTCGGGTGGTGCGCGCTGCCCAAAATTAAATTCGCTAAATTTAAAATAATATTATTTTTATTGGAGTCGAAAAAAGAATATAATATTTTTTTTATTCCCCTTAGGCTTAGGGAGGTTATTTAGAGTTTTCCCGAGCGCCATGCCCATGGGGTCGCCCTCGATGGGTAATCCTTCGAGCTGCAATACTTTGCGGAGAGATCAGGCTGCGTCTAATATGTAGGTAGGTACCTAAGATACCTCCTAAGTATCGCGGGCTGACTCGGATCAAATACAATGGGGATTCGATTCTCTTCACACATAGACACCTATTTATTATCTCGTAGGTCACATGCTATGTTGGGCAAAGAATTGATAATGTAGCCGATTCCGCTGGCCCGGATCTCTGCTCGGGAAACTATTGATTTAGGTAGGCAACCGAGAAACACTCCTCGCTGGCACTGTCAGACCGACGTTACATAGCCTTCTTACCGGCAGGCTCCGTGGGTCCTCAGGTTACGCGCTTCGGGGCCGATACATATATAAGGTTCTCGCTCACCGGCGCCGTAACGGTTATAGGCCGCACCGCTCGCCCAGCATCAGACCACCAGGGATCCAGGTCGCCGCGTCGCGGGCAGCTAGCTACGTACGGTTAGGAGTGATCGGCGAATTACCTTGAGGGTTTGCCGTCTCTTCCCATCTGACATCCGATGCACCGTAGCGGCTCTTTGTGTAGCCTCGGAGGCTACGTTACGTAGCAGCAGGGGGGGTGGGAAATTTCTACCTAGGTCCTACATATTCTCCTTTGTTGTTGCAAGGAAACAAAATTGTGGAGGTTTGGAGAGAATCTGTCCGTTAGAAATTTTCCATTGAGCTATTGATGACGACTTTTGGCACCCGCGAAATTATCTGGTGCGCTCCACTCTGGAGGAACTAGTTACTGTATGGATGGATGGACGGATGGATGTACTTGGACATGTATACCACCACATATCTAGACAGATACATTATACAGACGAACATACTTGTATATATGGCAACTAACCAGTAGTATATGTTTACGAGATCTGAACTAGAGCTTAGAAGTCCCGACGTCTCGGCCCCACGTGGTTAGAAAAAACGTAAAACTGGACGCGATCCACGCTGCTGGATGTTCTCTCCGGCTCTTGGTACATAGCTTCGTCTCAGACCAGACTCAGGAGGTTGGGATTGTACATCAAGATCTTCCCTGACAAATGGGATAGAGAATCCGCAGGGTTCGGGTGTGCAGCACACGGTACATATATGTATATGTATATGTAAGGTATGTATGTGTATGTGTATGTGTATGTGTATCTGGACATGTGATATTTGCTTCTGTCTAACCTAGTTGCTACTGTATGTATGTTTGTTAAAGATTGATACAGCATAGCACGCGGTAAGGAGACGAGACAAACTTATTTGCTTATCTCTAACTTTCCCCTTCTTCGGCCAGACGGCTACATGGGATGGGAACGCGTAACGTGAGCGACGACTCGAAAAGTCAAAAGGGAAGGTCTGAACACTCGTACTCATATTTGCCTTCAACTGCACTGTATATCTTTTATTTGCCAGCCTCCTTCGAACCACCTGTGTCGTGTAACGCCGTTGCTGTTTTGCCTTCTTTTTTCCTTCCCCTCACTTGCATAGTAGGCATCTTTCGGCGTTATTAACACAACACAATGCAATACAAGGGGGAAGGGGGAGAAGAAAAGCGCTATCCCAATTGAAGTAGACCGAAATTGGATTAAACTTCTCGGTCTCTTTCTGGAGTCGAAATCATGTGCTAGCCAGCATCTTTATGTAAGCAGATGCTTCCGAGCTTCTGATTGACGGCTTCTAAACTCCGCCGTCCTATGTAACCCCGTTCACGTGAATTAAGCTATTCCAAACCAGTCTAAGCTTCTCCCACAATCCACCCCCCCTCTCCCCATCCATGCTAGCCTTATAGGATGTACACTCGTACACTCGTACAATACTGGTAAAGCTGTAGAAGCGCTAGAAGCCTTCTAGAAGAAAGCGGGGCCGCTCTCCGCAGTGGCGAATCACTTGGCGGCTAAATCTAACCTTGGAAGTATCGGTTGGCCAGACCCGATCGGCCGCCAGAGCCCGTCCGCAAAATCCTCAATTGAGCCGAATGGGTGCCGAAGCGGAATCCCAAAGAAAGAAAAGGACCGATGGATAGAGTAGAAATTTGTGTACATGGGCAGCGTGGAAGATAAGATAAAAAACATGGATGAATTTAACGAGATGACTTTAGGTCTCTTGACATCTCCGGTTTTGTACATGATCGAAGGGGGAAGATCGATATTATATTGTTACTTGTCTTAATAGTATCGCTGTCGCTACCTGTTATTTGGAATAGTGCGTCTCAGAATTAATCCCTATTAGATAAAATATTCCTAGAGATTTAGCATTGCGTAGGTATCCCCCTGTTAAGTCGTCACAAGCTACGGTTGACAACGCATTGATGCATAGAACTTGCTAAGGGAATTCAAGTCAGCGGGCCTCTCCAAAGAGAGAAAAAAAAAATAAAAAAAATACATGGCCTACCCGCAATAACGCCTTGCTGACTCGACCGCAACTCGTATCAACGCCAATCCAATCCACTGGCCTTGGTGAATTTATTTTGCTGCGCGCGCATCTGCCATGACGCCGCGCTACTGTATACTGCCCATGTATACATAGATGTATGTATGTATGTACTAGTGTATGTAAGTGCGGCAATGGAATTGCCTTGCAAGTGCCTTTTACTATTACATATGTCATAGGTACTGCTGCTGCTGCTGCTGCTGCTTTCTACTGCTGCTCTCTGCCTTGTCTAGAGCCTGTCGCTGTCACGAGATATTCTCCGATCAACGTCCCCTAGCTACATACATACATACATACATACATACATAAATTTCATCATATCTACTACTCTACCTTACCCGGCTATGTATGTATATCATTAGGCAACCCTAAACTAAACAACGCCACAATTCAATGACTGGCATATGCCAGACGGGAAAGCCTTGCACCAAGCATAGCGGGCCCTGGGAGAGATAGCGTCGGTGGTGGTGGTTTTTTTTCTTCCCTTTCTTTCTTCACATGTGGGGTGAGGAGAGAGAGAGAGGGGTGAGCTCATAGTTTGTAGTTCGTAGCTTGTAGCTTGTATCGCGATGAGATGTTTTCCGCCAAATGGCTGGCGGATGAGGCTTCTCGGGTACGTTTCGCTCCCGTGCAAGTGCAAGCTAACCAGCTGATACTGGATCGGAGGAGCAAGAGGCCCTGCGGAGGAAGCACCGAAAACCATTCAATCTTGGTGAAGCCCGTTGTTGTTTATTCCCTCTTTGTCAGAGAAACCGTACGGGCGGAAAAAAAAAAACACACAGCACGACGAGGAGGAGACGCATTATCGAGAATAGAAGCTAAGCTAGTCACGATCTCCAGGTAGCTGTATCCAGTGGTGCAAGCAGTGAGCATCTGATACCAGGCGCGCGGGGAGGCGCCGTTACTCTGCTGCAGGCAGAAAAGTCGGTGAGCAGCGGTTCTCGAGAGCTGATTTGCGCGCGGACGACGAACGTCTAGAAGGGTGTGGTAGGCCAACTCATCGTGCTGGCAACCAACCCCATCGATAAACGGTCGATAAGCCCTATCGAACCCTATCGCCAGTGAAGGTGTCATGCATGAAAGTGGGCTATCTTGTTGTTGTTGTCCTGAAATGTCTAAGACCAAGATATGCAACCGTACATCACATACATATACATATACATACACATACACATACTTGCTCGTCCTATGGTAGTACACCTAGCTTTAACCTCTACCCAGCCGGTAATGTACCTACCTATGTATATCGAATGGAGGGGGGGAGGGTTGAACTGGAGAAACAACTCAATCGCGGAGAGACCTATGACCTCCTTTTCGACCAATGATAAAAATGACCAAGTATAAAACTTGAAAAGAAAAAAAAATAGGAAATAGGAATATATGTTTATCTATATATTTATATGTATCAATTTATATTCGCGACGATAACAACGGGTAGTGGATTAAATATAGACAAGAGCTTGTACATAACCACAGATGGATTTATTTTCCCACCAAATAGAGTCGCGCGTTTGCCAAAACTTACACATTCGCTTACCGCCCGCGCGGGGTGCATCCTATTGGCATCCGATTATGAGCTTTGATATTTATCGATGAACCTGCAACTCGTCGATATCCGTCTGACATGACAGAAATCAGAAATGCCTACCTGCTGCGGTACTATACTGCAGTACTACATGTATATGTATATGTATCTATCTATATGTTGATTACATTATGTAGGTCTGTAGTTATGAGGTATGTATGTCTGTGTGTCTGTATGTAAGTCTCTATGTATAAGTAAATACGTCTATCGGACTTATTATTAGTCAACCTTCAACATAGGTACCTAGGTAAGGTACCTTGCCTATAACAGTATTATGAGGTAGTCAGTATAGCCACCGAGGGGGTATACTGACTGATCATGTATGCTGTTGCTGCTGCACACCTACCTCATCCTGCCGATTCTCGACAGCTTCATGCTTTTCAATATGCGGAACGTGTCCTCGCACATGGCTATTCCGAAACACCCCATCACCAAGTATGATTTGGAGGTGTGTCGAGACATCTTGACGGCCAACTCACCGCCCTACCGTCCTACCTATACCGCCAAGCGCGCGCGCTAGTTATTATTATTTTTTCCCACTTCCCACTTCCCACTTCCCACTTTCCATCGAAGTAAAAGGCCCGCTTCTAGCTTGGTAGGGCTCACGTCCAATTGCGCCGTTGGTTACAGGACGATACAGGGTCGTTCCTTGGTTTATACATAGCAACATGCCTACATGACAGCATGGTAATCCGCAGACGGGTTGTTAACGCCATTAATATTCCGGAGCTATAGATATAATATAGGTTTTTATATCTTAGCTTAGCCAGGTAGCTAGCTACTGTATATGAATGGAGCAAAATGATAACTTTCGTATGAAGGGCGTTGGGCGGTCTAAGTGACCGCAAGCTTCTAGAGGTTAGGTAGTTCTGTTAGATCTAACACGCCGCGCATGTATTGTACGACGGTCCCGCAAATATCCCAAGTGACCGAAATCTACCAGCTATCTATGTAAAGAAGCTTGCTTAGGAGCTCTCGTCGCGAAGCCTTGAAAAAAAAAGAAAAAGATTTTAGCTGAAAATTCACCGATATTCAGTCAGGTAGTGATGCAGTCGGCATCTCCAGTAACAAGCAGCATACTAGACAGGGGAATACCCTCGCTGCACATCCGAGATGCAGTCCCAAGTAATAATCGACCTACCTATCTAAACACATATCCACCTCTCGATACATCCAGCCCTACTAATCCCGACAAAACTCCATATCATCTGCCTACGGTCTATCCAGCACAGCCTTACGCTGCTGCTGCTGCTGTTATTGTTGTTCTCGTGACTCTAAGACATGTCTAAGTGGAGAGATTCGAACAGGTTTGGGGACGTTGACAGCTTGGAGAGCAAAGAAGGGTCCTACATATAGAATCCGTAAAAGTTCAAACGCGTTCCCTAATGCGGGTAAGGCGGTAGACAAGTTGGAAAGAAAAGCTCTCTTCGAGCGGGCGGCGGCAGTCGATAATAGGCAGATAGGTCCCCATACCCATATATATTTAGGAACGAGGCAGTTCAGCGTTGATCCTCCACTCGTCGATCCAGGGTCCCAACTGCAGGATGACCACCTCGCGCAGGGCTGCTACATACAGGTGAGGGCATCATCTACATAGCTAGTAGAGAGGTTAATCGCAAGCGACGATGGGGCACAGATGGGGTTAATGGGGTTATCTGTTTGATGTCGTAGACCTTGTCGCAATCCACGCCGATTCGTCTTTAATCGGTCTGCTAAAAGCTGAAAGATGTTCTGTTCTTCCGAAGCTGCTAGTTAGTTGCTTACTATGTGTTGTTTATGGTGTTACTTGTGGTGATCATATTCTAGTTACGTAGTTTTAGTCAGTTACCTCCTATTAAGCAGAGCCCCCCCTCCGCCCCCAATTTACCTAGAAGAGAGGGAGAGGGAGGGGTTCTACAGCACCAGAGCACACGAATTACAGCAAGTAAAGGTAAATTCGATAGCACCGTAGCGGATACAGCCGCACCCGTATCACCCATACCCCTATAACATTAGTACATACCTAGTAACATAGTAGATGGCTCATTTTAGAGTGCTTAACAAAGAAAAGTTCCCGTACTCTTACCCATGGTTCTGAATCGCATGGATAACAAACTCGTCCCTGATCGGGTATATGGATGCCAACTTGCCCATCTCCACAGGTTTGTATCCATGAGACCAATGGTGCTGCCGTTCGCTTCGGTTTCACATGTTCACCGTATCGCTATTCACTACGCCCCGACAGCATCAAGACTTCTGGAAGTTTTCCTGACAGTCACGTCATATGAACCCACTCTCATCTCTACGTGATGATTTATGATTTAACCTTGATAATATAAGTATAATACAAGTCTCACTTTTAATAGGCGAATTAAGCTTCAATACGATTGGAAGACGAAGACGAGATCTGAATGTTGGAGCACGTTTTATTCTTTTTATTTGGTAGGCCTTGAAGATTTTTACTATGTTTTTGTGGTCATGGCGCATGCTATTTTATCTTCCTCTTGGGCCTGTTTGCTAGGTCGCTTCTCTTCAGCACCTTTTGAATTTTTAGCTAGCAAACCTCCCTCCTTTTTTCGCCGCGATGGGCGCTACAGTACAGCTCCCTTTTCTTTTCCTGCTTTTGGTTCATCATTCCTTCTTCATGAGGTCGCCCTCTAATTCTCCTTGAAATACACACTATGAGTAGTAGAAAGCAAATGCAGCCCTTCCGTTAGGGCAAAATCAAACGCGGACCGTGGTATCATCCGGGTAGCAACGCCGATTAGTGCCAAATAAATATGAAAACTAAAGGCGAGTGTGCCATAGACACGACGATAAGTCTCGAGCGGGCCGTAAAGCAGCCAGCCTATGCGCTGTAACGGTGAGGCCACACCGTGATTGGTCCGAGACCAACCCACTGGCTAACCATGCAGTGTGGGATTATCGGCGATGGGACGCCTCGTGATTAAACAACATCATTAAACGCCGGCCCTCATGCAATGCAATCGGTATCGTAGAAAGCAACCACCTTCGCAATGCTTCGTAGAAAAAAAAAATAAAAAATACAAGGCAGCCTGTGATCTGCCATCGAGTTGCATGCTGGCGACTCGATTGATGGGTATTATTCTGTCGATTCTGTTGAGGTTCGTAGGATAGGGTAGATTACCAACCCTGGGCGTGGTAGCCGCCGAAGTCGTCGCGGGAGAAGTATTGGTTCCAGCTGCTCGAGTTGGGCTCTTCTTGACCCTTGCTCATGTAGGCCTTTTCTGGATACTGCTTCAAATTGGCCACGTCGAGGGAAGTATGGCGCCTTTTTAAGACGGCATTAGCGGTAGACGACTTTTGTTGTCGCTCCCATAGAAGTTGACGGCGTAGCGACTCTGTCAATTCTGTGGCTAACATGTTCCTTCGGGTTGTCCTGGGCGATAACGCGGCTTGGTGGTAGTGGTGGGTCTGAGGGTTAACCATGATGGGCTGGGCGCCGGTTCTCGTGACCTCGTTAATTGGTTTTAGCGGCGTAGGTCGTAGACCTCTGCGCATCTCGAGGCCATTATCGGAATCGTTAGGAGAGGATACCATATTCATGTTGGATGTGGTTTGAAGTGCTCGCGCGCGCTGGGGAATAGCAGGCGTCGAGTGCGACGCGTAGTTGCTAAGACCCTTAGCTCGTTCCTCTTGTCCAGCGAACATGAGGCTAATCAGTGATCTTTGAGAAGTAAGGTTCGCCTTTGATGGTACCCGCTTGAATGTGACTGCATCATCTATACTAGACTTGCCACTCTCCTCAATGGAGTCTTCCCACTCAGAATCATCCTCATCATCATCGATAGCGCTTTCATCCATGTAGCTGTCGGAATGATCGCTAGGCGTCTGGATTGTCCTCATTGTAACGTGGTTGTTGAAAGAGGTCTGCTTCTTCTGGCAGTTAAGCATGGAGCCCGGTCGAGAAGAGTGCATGGCACTCTTTAGAGAAGGGCTGTCGTCTTCTCCAGATGATCCGACGCCAACTTCGAACATGGGCCTCTTAGGAGCCGGGGGCGGGGGCATGGCCTTGCGAGCCTCTACACTTTGAGGCGAGGATTCGTTGCTAGAAGAATCGCCAAACTTGAACTTTGCAGGCTGCTTCTTAAGCTGCACTGGCTTAGGGGCAGGAGACGACTGAGGCTCAGGAATCGGGTCCTGCACAGCTGACTTGGGTTCGTGAGATACACGGAATGACGGGATCTGCGACGGCGAGAAACCTCGGATGACGGTGGTGGCAGGAGCCTCTATAGGCCTCGGATGCGGCGACGGCGCATCTACTGACTCGCATCCAGAATCGCTCATCTGAGTCGCGGGGGTCTGTTCTGCTTCTAGGCAAGATGATTGAGAGGCATCTGATGACTCGACTGAAGGAGAACTCATAGCGGGTAATGGCGCCAAGTTCGGCTCCTTCTCCTGGATAATAGAAACTACCATCTTCTCGAGGTGGTCCGAGGTGATATGGCGCTCACGACCCCTACTTCGGCTGCTGGCACAAGAATCTTGTCGGACAATTCGAGGGCGGACGATTTCCATAGGGTCGGAGATGGTAGTGAAATCAATTGCTTCTTCGTCGGCGACAGAATCGACGCTTCCTGATAGTTGAGGGAGGTCTGATATTTGCTGTTGGGCGGGGATGTCTTTCGGTAGTGTGGTTGCGGATGCGGCAGATAATTCCTTAGCTTCGCAGCAGAAGGTCTCTCTATTCCATAATCGCCAACTGAGATTTTCTAACCTTCGACCTTGCTCGACTGAATCTTTACACCTGGAGAAAACTAGAATCTTGGTTAGAAGCTGTTGCTAAGACCCACATCATGACCCAGTTATTAGATCAAAGATCAAAGACCTACCAGTCCACATGCTAAAAAGGTTCTGGGGGTTGTTGGTGTCGACCTTGTGGATGACGTTCGGGTCCACGGTCAGGACCAGCCCTTCAGCTTTACAAGGCATGCCGTCTAAATGGCTGCTCGGCTGCTGGAGCAGACTAGGAGAAAGTAGTGGATATATGGTGAATTCGGTTTTCGCGAAGTCGATCGCGAATGTCGAATTGGACAAGAACTCGGTTCCTTAAGCTCCCCAGAGGCTGATTATCAAGATAATCGGCGCCGAAAATAGACTGTTGGCGAGAAAGTTCAGGGGAATTCGTCCAAAGTACGGCGGCGGGAGAAGGGATGGATTATACGTATAAGTGCCGAAAGTGGTACTATTGCTGCTGTAGCTTCTGTAGCTGCTGTATGAGATATTCGTCGGGGTGGGATGTCGCTGTTGCTGTCGATTAATGCTAGTCGAGATTATGTTTACGACCGCCGACGTTATTAACACTTAAGAGTTATCAAACTCTTCGTGGTTCATGATGTAGGTTCATAAAGAAGGGGAGAAAGGAAGCGGGTAGGTGTTGTACATATGTATTTGATAGGAGGGAGTGGAGTGGGTAGGATAGGTGGAGGGTAGAAGGCGCGGTGTGCAAGGACTTGCAAGGCCACTCCTCACTGGGTCCGGTACGTACTGTTTTTTGGATGGTACCTAGGTACTTGTGTAGATACGTACCGATGTACTCTATTATTTCGCTCTGGGTCCTCCGGGGGTGGTGGCGGCGGAACTGGGATCAGGGGATCAGGGGCGGTAGCAACCCTTGACAACACGCGCAGAGGTACCTGTTTTATAGTATTATGGTACGTACCTAGAGAAGTACGTACCGGCTCTCGCTTCCCTCTCCGATAAATGGGTCACAGCGGCCAGACTCGCCCCGAACTATCCTCTTTAGTGTATCTAAAATACTGCCTCATTGAGTCATAGCTGAATCTTTAGCGCAGAATCTAGACTAAACTAGGTATCACATGCCTATTGAGGCACTTAAGGCCCTTCTCTGAAGTACCCGGAAACCCGCCCGCGGTCAATAGGTCCAGTTTCCCAATTCAATCTTCTTCCTACAACTGACCAGCAGACCCTTTTGCCTGGGACTGCAAGCGGTTCGTTTTCATTGTCCAAAGGCAGGCACATGTTACCCATTTAATCGGCTGGTTGTTTCCAAATTTCCAAAGCGGTCACGTATTTTGTGAACCCGGCCAATGGGTGCAGGCTTACAGTAGGAAATGGTAAATACATTGATACTATCGATACTCTCGAGACTATCACTATCGATACTATGGATGCTATCGACACATACTAATACTATTCCCATGTTCTATTTCGCCTTACCCATCCCATACGTTTTCAGCAGAGAATATTGGAAAATGACTGCGGGATTATGCTTGCGTGGTGTTTGTGAAGAGGTAACATGCCAACTAGGTACAACTATGTATACACAGTAGCCAACTGACGACAAGCTTCATGCACCAAAACCATCTATGAGATATTTACCTTATTCATACATAATACCTATTTCGCGTGGGATAGAGCATGGTAATTAGAAATTCGCATTACATCTGTTAAACTAATAAGCGAGCAAACGAGCCCTAGTTGCTGTATGAGAGAGGGTCTTTTGACGCTAGGAATTATTTGTTACATTAGCTAATGAATATGAATAAATATTCCCGCAAATGCACTATGTAGGGACGGTCGATGAGGCAATCGTGACTATCTGCTTGGAGTTGGGTAATGGGTAATTGGGTAATTGGGTTTATTTGGCACTGGTTTGCTGCCTGTGCTCAATATGGTAATCTTTCAAGCATCGTGATCCTTGGCTGCGTTAATTAGTAGCCAGATGTTGAGGCCGTTGGAGGTCACAGGGGTGATGACAATGCCACAATGTCCGCGAAGTTAGACAATCGGCGGAAGTTACAGAATGTATGACCGTCGATTCGTTCGGCCGACGTTGGCCCTGATCGAATAGATACATACAAGATATACTACTGGAGAGCATTGTCGCTTGTTACCTGGCTACTAGGTTAAGTTAATTGCTAACACGGAAGCACGTGCTGACTGAAAGACCGTTGCTTGGATCGACGGTCCTTTATTGCCTAGTTGCCTAGATCCGGCTAGAATGTTGAGAACTGCCTTGCAAATAGCCCTCGTGATACGGCCCTTCCAATATGAAACTTCATCGAGTTATTCTTTAGTCAACGGACCACCCCCGCGTTTCCCCTCGTCATAGCTTCCCACGAGCCCGAGCGCGGCTGTTAACTTGGGTCGACTTAAGTCGACTTAGACTGTCGTGGCTAGTCATTTGAACGATTTAGTGACAATGACAACACAGTCTTTTCCGAGCACGTTACCGGAAAACAAGTTGCCAACACATAACACAGGTGTAAGATGAGGCCTAGCTTAGACCTCTTTACTTTCTCTTTTGCGTATCGTAGCTATGCTATACCCATGAGTACCGCCGTGAAGGTATCTCAACTTGATCAGGCAGACACTCGTCTTGTGCCATGGACAAACCGGTGAGCTACGTATGTGCTGTCCTCTCGGGCATTCTCACAACCACAAGAAATGCACCAAGCGGCAGATGCTGCGGAGGACATTGCCTCGTACGGGGGGATATTGTGGCGGCCATATTTGACCTCCGCATACCTCCGCATACTTCAACCACATACTTTAACAATGGACGGTGAGTCAGCTGAACTCTCAGCCACAGTCGAGAATTCCAATTGAACCCGGTACCCCCACAGGTGTGGTGTATAACTTGGCCCCGGATCACGAATCTGCCATAGAGGCATAAGGGAGCACAGCAGCCTTGTGTACGATGGTACGATACAATCTAATACGAAGTAACACCTTGTACAAAGATCTCAAATGATACGTATAGTTATGTCGTGGTGTAGTAAGTAAAGGTTAGCACGCGATCTGCAATAACTACATACATATGTAGTTATCATCTATATTGTTCTTTAAATGCTAGTTATAAGGAATGCCATAAGGAATACTATTAAGATTAAAAATTATTACGGAAATGTTCGAAACACATGGGTATGGTTATATTCATGATAATAAACGGTCTAGTTAAGTGTAAGTGAACCCCGAAGGATCGCCGGTGATAGGATTTAATCCTTTTCTACCTTATTTTTCTTCTCTAACCGTTTTCGCTTCAACAATTGGGATGAGACGAATATGAGATGAAAAGGCAAAATCAACGAAGGTCTTTAGCAAGGGTAGTGTTCAAAATCACATCTGCTCTCCTCTAAAGCATCAATATCACGTAGCCTGTGACCATTTCGTTACATTTTCAGTATTGTACATTCCCTCGCCAGCATAGCGCCAACAAATAAATAATACCCGCCAATCGGCCAACTCAACCCCACGCCGAGATGGTAGATTCGTCGCTTATCACACTTAACGCTAACACTTCGTCACATTTGCGCGCCGTCGACGAGCGCCAAAATTTGTACATATCGTGACTTATTACCGCATAAACGCTCAAACTGCCACCAAGTCCATCCGCGCGCGTCACCAACGCGCGAGCCTCAGTAGACGTCGACAAGGCACAATTGTAATGGATAATGGATAATGGTCGTGCCATTGTTTCAATCGTGTCATGACGTGGATGGTCATATAATTGTAATAATAGCATTGTAAATTACGTCAAAGCCATCATCTGATCTTGCGCTGCGCTTAAACTATCTCAAATCATCTCGTCGTTCTCAATGGCCACCGGAGTCGGACAACGGGGATTTGCTGGAGATTCTCCAATAGACAACAACCTCGTCCCGTATACCGAGCTTGTGATTCCTCCACCATTACAACTCCCATGTTATTTAGTGTATACGTTATAATTATAATGTATGATCGAAATCCCAGCTAGACCTAACCTTCCATGCCAGGCACGGCGGCGAACCACCAGCCAAGCCAACCACTATTGTGTAAATGCGGGTTGCAACTTGCAAGCGTAGTAACTATACTTTTACCAGTGACCGAACATTGACACCCCCATCTCGCAGTAGATCAATCTCTTAATAGCAGGTTTGAGAAGTTCGTTGGCAAGTCATGATACCATGATACGTTCTAGAAGAAATGATGCCCAGCCTAGACTGCTACCTACCTAACTTTACATGGCAAAGTTTCTACGGTGGTGTACCAGTATTCTCGACATCTCGAGATATCCCATCTGCGGCGTGGGATGCACAGGCCGCGCTACATTGAATCAGGCAGGCGGCAAGGCCTATTCGCCGGAAGCGTACCTATCATGCACCACCATTTCTCCCACGTTTCCTCGACGAAACCCTAGGTTTCCAGAGGTTCTGTTAGACCCACTTGCACTACCGGCCAGCTTCTCATCATAGGGAGAGAACCGAGCTTGGGAGCTTAGAAGAGAAGGAGAGCAACTATCTCGATACCACGGATACGGGTTTGGAGGTGTACCTCTGTTACCTCTGTTCTGGAAACATCGTGACCCCTGAATCCGCCCTTGTAGTTTCGATATGTGTGGTATTTGATCTGAGAGGTCGACTTTCGTTCGCCATTTGGGCATCAAGTTACGAAATTGGGCAAGACACGAGCGAGAGCATCTCCAATAAGAAAATCCAGGGACGAGCCAACGCTTCGGGAAGCTGTTGGAGAAACCTGGCTAAGTACACTCCTAGGAAAGTAAACATATATTATATACCTACCTAGGTAGCTTTTATACATCTACAGCTCTACATATGATATATACACTATGTATATTATTTCCATTATATCGTTTACTCCACGATGCAATGCCCCGCCAAGAATGTGTCATGTTGACATCGTCGGCCAAGCAGGAAGCGAAGCGCCATAGCTGCATGAACGGGGTGCATTACATCGAGTATCTGCGCATTGCCGTTGTACGTTGTAGACCTACATGAGGATTTAGAAGCCAACATGCACTTCGGACGGGTTCAGTCTTGGCTTCCGCCGAATTATGTACGTGCTGATAGAAACTGCCAAAGGATTTGAAGCCCCCCCACGCACATTATGTAGAAATTACTGTAGCGAATTAACCCCGAAGTCCTCCTCGGCGATGTACGGAATATGTATTTTGGCCATCGTAGTGCACGTGTTTACCTACCTACATATCAATTATATCTCAAGCAGGCTTCCCCAACAATCCTAGAAGCTTCCATCATCCTACTAGAACATGTCTCTTCTTCTTAAACAAAATTTTTTCTTTCTTGTCTTAGCTGCAGTGTCAACTACCGGCGACGCACATATAATTCTGCGCAACCCCATGTTATTGCTGGGCATCACGTCATAATCATTTTACGAGCGAGACCATCCAGTCTATCGATTATCAGATCGTAACAATCGATAACTCCAGCCTTGGGAAATCTTAAAGGTTTCTTAATAATATCCCCCACTTTCTTCCCCCCATTTTCTTACCCCTTGACCTGGCTGACAATCCTGGCCGGACACACTTCCCCGGAACTGGGATGCGATGACCTGTGACAAGGGATAAGGAGCATTGGAAATTCATTACATTTACACGAGGTAATCCGTAAGCATCGTCGGCATACATTTGACCGAATACGGAAATATCACTCTAGAACGGCGAGATGACAGGTAATTTTTTTATGTTAACTAGTTATCTCATATTTCTTTCAATAGCAAGTTGCATGTGAGACCAATACTACTTTACTAAGAGAGCTTAGGTATGATCGCGTTCTCTTGCGTAAAACATTTAATTTGTTTAAGCAATGTACCTGCATTCACATGCGATTTTCAAAGCGAATGAAGCCGAGTAAAACTCATGCTTTCGGTGCTCATATCGCCTTTTCGGTGTTAGCTTCAAGAAAAGTAATATACCTAAGCCATGCACTTAATGCACTTACAATCCCTTACGCCTAATACGGATGAAGTCGTCGTAACTTACATAAACACGACACGCCAAGATCCGGCAATTTCAGAAAATTGAATGGACCCAACTCGGCTTCTGGTATTTGGGAATTGCGATGGGAGTCTCAAAAACGTGGTGAATGGGGCACTACGACGAGGGGCAGGAACGGGGCAGCCATTACCATCTAGCTGGTGCTATGGCAAGTCAGGTGAGCTACAAACAGAGAACGGGGCAGCCAATTATGCGCGCCAGAAAGCCCGTTACATAAGAAACATGATACGTAGTACAATACACTAGCTGTGTCGATACCCCACATCGTCAGGGCGCAGGCTCAATTGAGACCATAAGGTTTCAAGGTTCTACGTTATTTTTAAGGTAATTACGTCGTCTCTTCATTCTCGGGGAACTTATCCGGAAAGTATCAAAAACTCCACTACCGTCTCCAGCAAATCTTCCCTACGAAACCTTGCTTAAGCCTTAATTGAGCCTTACTTTATATGTTATCAAATGAATCAATAATAGCGTTCGGCAGCTCCCCGAAACTTTTGCCATTGGCCCTCGGGTATTGCTTTGACGCTTCGGCTGTCGTAATCTCCCTTTCCCTCTCCCTCCGCGCGACGTTGGTCATTCGTTGGCCCGAGATGTCTTGCGCGTCGGGGTACCAAGCATTGAAAACCTGGAAAGCAAATTC